TCTACTAAAGTTAATAATAATTGATGTATTGAGGATATTTCTTAAGGTTTTCAACTACCAAACTTATACTTTTTTTTTTCATTTTATAAAATTCAATAAGTGCTTAAAATTGTTATTACTTTAGGATATATTTGGAATGAAAGACTTATCATAATAAAGGCTAACGTAGCTAGTTAATTATAGTAATTTTAATTCTATCTATCTTTTTACATCTTCATTAATTTTTGAATAATTATTTTAAGACCTTGAAAAAATGAATAGCTATTTTTTGAATCACATTATATAATTTTCGAATCATTGAAATAATATAAATCTTACCAAAATCTTATTTCTCTAAGAAAACTGATGATCAGATTCAACTTTCACAGCAATATCTCTAAAATTGCTAGGCTTGTGATGCAATATACCCCAACTAAAATATTAGCGCGTAAATAAGTCTAAGTTTTTAAGCTAAATTACTGATTTGAATTTCTATGATGGCTCAATAATTTTCTGGTTTAGAATATATAATTTCTAGTGATATTTTCATCTGAAATTTTGTGAAAATAATTTTTAAGTTTATTATTAATATATTGTAGGATAACCTCCCCTGAGATGATAGAAGATTTAAACTCCAATCTATTAAATATCACATATATTTTCTTAATTTCAAGCCTAATATAACATTGCACATAATCAACTATTGTTTACACAGATCCATTCAGCGATTTTTAAAGGGGTAAAATAAATCTTATAATTTAAGATTGCAATAAGTATAAGATAGTCAATGGTAGTAGTTCAATCTCCTCATAAGTTTGCGGCAATTATAAAACATTATTCATTACATAGCTTTCTTATCAATTTTTGATTTATGAGACTTTATAGCTCTAACCTCATTATGAAGTAACATTAGAATTCAAGTTTTTGAAGTACTAATAAACTTATTTTTAATAGATTAAATAATAACATTTCACGGGAATTTATTGTTTATATAGAAGATAAAATCTACCACTAATAGAATTATCATAACTCTATTAATTCAGCTGGATTATACAGTTGTAAGTCAGATTACCTTATTTTCCCTATTACTATTACTATTTAACATTCAAGTCCTTCTGTCACAATCTCAATGATTGCTGAAAATAATTATTGGGGAATAACAGAATTTAAATTATCAATTAATGAATGCTTAAATGAATGCATTTATTGTGATTCATTTTTTTGTTTTTATTAAGAATTATTTTTGACCTTATTTAATGAAATAACATTCTCTGTTGTGAGAATAGAAGACGGATGGTCCTCTGGAGTTGATAGAGTATATGTAATTGGAGAATGCTATGGTATGTTTAAAATAAAATTATTTAGGATTTAATTACCTCAAAACATCTGCCAATTAGTTGTAAAAAGATTTTACTTTAGTTGAACACAAAATGATAAGTTTTTAAGCAAAGATATTAATATTTAATTCAAATTCTACTATAATTAAAGTTTATATAGATGATAGTTTAGTAACTACATTTAATTATGTTTACCAATAACTAAAATTTGATGGCTTAATATGTGAATACATTTCAATTCAAGAAATTAAGCTCTTATAATATCAACATTTTAGAACAAGTTTAAAAATTACAATAATAGTTGAATTGAAGTAATATTATTTTTCGCCTAGTTTATCTCCATATATTGGACTAAGAGATTTTCAACTATTTCTAGAAAGACCTGCTGAATGTTATGATAAGAATATTATTCCTTTTGATGGATGCTTTTCAGATTTTTTCGATTGTGTTGAAGGTTGTGGATTATGTATTCAAGGTATTTGCTAAGATTGCTTATTTGGATGGGAGTTTAAGGAGTCAACAAAATCATGTATCCCTATTTGTGGAGATACTATCATTACACAAGATGAGGAATGTGATGATGGTAATTTACTCGCATATGATGGATGCCACAAATGCAAATATTCTTGTCCATAAAATTGTAAATATTGCTAATTTGGAAAGTGCTAGGCTTGTCAAAATTAACATCAAATTATAGGAGGTAGATGCTAATTTATCGGTGATGAGTCAGAAAAAACTCATTACGAAGGAAACTAAGATTATTATGATTTTATAATTTTGGAAGGATAACGTCGATAGGACGAAATTGATAATTAATTTGAAAGTGTTATTCTTTAGAATAGAAATCCCTCTTAAATTTTGAATGTTAGAATACTTGAATAACAATATAGCAAATATAAATTTGATTATCTCAATAATTGTAAGGTTGAGTAATTTGGAAAATGTTTGGAATGCCATGTCGAGTATGAATTCAATTTTCATAAAACAAAATGCATTCCTAGATGCAACGATGGAATATTAATATAAGAAGAAATTTGTGATGATGAGAATAGAATCCAATTTGATGGTTGTTACAAATGTTTAAAAAGTTGTTAAATAGAATGTTTATTTTGTTCTGAAAGTAAATGCTATAATTGTCAAAATGGTTGGCTACTTCAAAATTATTAATGTAAATAAATCTGTGGAGACGGATAATTAGCAATCATTTCTAATGAATAATGCGATGATCCTGAGGATCCAAATTGTGCTAATTGTAACTATTAATGTGATAGTGACTGCTTGGTTTGTAATGAGTTTCAAAATTGTGAGATATGTTAAAGTCCTTTTTATATCAAGAATGGGAAATGCTTATCAATCTGTGGAGACAATATCATTACTCCACCTTTTGAATAATGTGATGATGGCAACAATATTCCATATGATGGTTGTTATGATTGTCAATTATAATGTTCCTTCGGATGTATAAAATGTTAGAAGGACAACACTTGTGTATAGTGTGAAGAATAAAATTACATTTTAGATACTCAAACTTAAATATGCTAAGAAAAATAACGTAATAGTGATTTACAACCTAACGAAGATGAGGGTAATAATGATATAGTAATTGTTTCGTGTAATGAGAATTAACAATTTATCAATGATCAATGTGTTAATTTATGTGGTAACGGTATACTTAATAGTCTTTTTGAATAGTGTGATGATGGAAATAATGAAGGAGGTGATGGGTGTTCAGCTTTATGTTTTGAAGAAGATTCCTATAAATGCATCAATTAGAACAATTCTTTCAGTATTTGCACTTTTGTCTAACAACCAAATTTTGAATTGATCCTACTATCAGATACCTAGAATCAAACAAAAATTATTGAATTAAGTTTCTCTTAAGAAGTATACTTATTATCCTATCAATACTTTGAACAATTTGTAGAATTTACAATCACTCCATAAACTTAATATTAGTTATCACTACATCCATTAATAAACATAACAGCTTAATTAAGCCATCCTAAGTATTAAATTTCTGTTTAATTTTTGGAACCTGTCACAGATCCAATTCTACAACTCAAAATCTAGTAGTTCTCTATTTATAATCAATATGACATGTAATTAAAAAGTAATTCAAAATAATTACATCTTGGAACACCTTTTGTGTTATCAAAAGCTACTTAAAATAGAGTCAATTAAGTTATTAAGATGAATGATGCTATAGTATATTCTACAGTTAGTATTGCAAGTTTACTATTCTTAACTGGGAACTATTTTGTATTTTTAAATTTATTAGATTTATTATAGTCTTTATCCTACATTAGATATATGGAATATAAATTTCCTCCTCATCTAAGTCAGTTTCTTGAAACTTATACTAAAATTTCCTTATAACCTATTTTAGAGAGTTTAAGAGTTGATGAACTTTTTACTAATCTCAATGGAGGCACAATCCCATATTTAAAAAAGAAATCACAAAAGCCCAATACAATAAATGGTCTTAATTAGATGTATTTAATGAATGCAAAAGGATGCTACTTCTCTTACATTGCATCATTAATAACCTATTTTATGTGTTGTCTAATATCTTCAAACAAAGTATCAGATTGGTTAGGATGTTACTTTAAAAAGAATGAAGAAAAGATTAAAACTCTTCGACTAATTTCAATATTCTAGCAGAAGATCCAATTATAATGTTAAAAACTTAAAAACTATTATTTCTCTTCAGGAATTGTTCAAATATTTTATTCAACCCTTCAATAATTACTATTTAGTACGCTTTTACAATTTCCTGAATATTAGTTTAATTCCATTTTCGAAATAATTAATAGTGTTGCAGCATTGGGAAGTTTATTGTTTTTGATATCAATTTTTTTTAGATTACTTTCCATAACAACTACTTAAATAAAGAACAAATAAAAATGGAAATATTTTTTTTAAGATTCAAAAACTGAATTTTGGGCTGCTAATTTCAAGCCATTCCAAATTTATAGATCTGCTTTTTATATTACAATTATAACTGAATTAATAGGATATCCTTAAGCTTAATCAGTTTTACTTTCGATGCAATCATTTTTTTATTTACACTACTTGATCCTCTTTAGACCAATAAAATCAAATTACGAGATGGTAAAATTAATATGTAGAGAAGTGATATTATTAATTATCACAGGGTCATTTTTAGTTTACAGTTTGGAATTAAATCATGATCAATTTTTTTTATATGGATGGTTTCATATAGCACTCTTTTGTTTTTTATTAGTCTTTACTTTAACTGTTGACCTTATGGATTCAGTCTAAAAAACATGTTATATCCGTTTAAAAAAAAGATAAACTTAGGAAAGGAAGAAAATTCTGTAATATTATGAAAATCCATTATAAAGATTTGTTTAGGAAAGTAAGAATGATTAATAATTAAAAAAATGAATAATCAATTTAAAATATTATTGCTTTTTAATTCTTAAATCTCAATATATTTTAGTGTTATTAATAGAAGAATTTTTAGAATCCTCAAAAATTGATTCCATATAGATTTAGTGTCGTCACTTAAGAATCTACAAGACACGACTTTTTGTGGATGCTCAAATTGGATAAATCCTTAGATAATTCTCTTGAATCGTCCTTTGATATAGAATCTATATAATACTAATTTATTACTTAGATACCTCATTCTCATAATTAAAATCTCATTTGATAATTCTAATAATATAGAAATAATTTTATTGTCATTATAATTATTTTCTAGCTCTCTCACTGATAAAAAGTAAATTGTTGATATTCAAGTTATTTTTTTATGTAGAAGTACGCGGAGCTATTTCAAGCCTTCCTTCGTAATTATTAATTCTTTATAGCAATTGGTAATCTACTCGATAGACATTAGAACCCTCAGATTTGATGCGTTGAGTTACCCTGAGGAGATCATTTTTGAAAATTTATCTAATAAAAACTAAAATAAGGGAATTTTAATATGGATATTTAAATGTGTGTAGGTTTAATGCTAATATTGAAAGTTCTATTATATTTAGAGTATATTTCATTATGGGTAATTTATTTTTTAAATTAAAATTAGTAATCTAGTTAATATTTCCTACAACTTTAAATCGCAAGTTTAGAAAATAAACAGAAGGACAATTTTAATACAGACATTTTTATTTATCATAAAATGATGTACAAAAATACGATTTAGATTAAATTTCCCATTTTACTTGGAACATTTGCATTCAAGATCGTTCCTATCGAAAGAATTAAGATGAACAATCAACTTATGAACACTTAATTAGGTTATAAATTACCCCATTCTTCATTGGATGAAAGAAGAAAAGAAGAATAACTTTTGGTAGAACATTTTTATAAAAGATTGCTTGCATATTGAATATCTAAGATAGTGAAAGGGTATGGATATTTGCAATCTGATGAACATAATTTAAATTAGAGAAGATTGTACTTATAAGTGATTAGAAAAGCTTAAATTAAGAGCACCTTTAATAATCAACCAAGGATTGAAGTGACTGTGAAGATAAAGAAAAGGATGTAATTTGTTTTTTTCGAAATGATACTTTTTTGTGGATAGAATTCTTAGAGTCAGCAATTATTAAAAAAAAAAGATACATTAATGTTGTCAAGGAATCTATTAGATGTAGGTTAGTNTATTAGTCTTTACTTTAACTGTTGACCTTATGGATTCAGTCTAAAAAACATGTTATATCCGTTTAAAAAAAAGATAAACTTAGGAAAGGAAGAAAATTCTGTAATATTATGAAAATCCATTATAAAGATTTGTTTAGGAAAGTAAGAATGATTAATAATTAAAAAAATGAATAATCAATTTAAAATATTATTGCTTTTTAATTCTTAAATCTCAATATATTTTAGTGTTATTAATAGAAGAATTTTTAGAATCCTCAAAAATTGATTCCATATAGATTTAGTGTCGTCACTTAAGAATCTACAAGACACGACTTTTTGTGGATGCTCAAATTGGATAAATCCTTAGATAATTCTCTTGAATCGTCCTTTGATATAGAATCTATATAATACTAATTTATTACTTAGATACCTCATTCTCATAATTAAAATCTCATTTGATAATTCTAATAATATAGAAATAATTTTATTGTCATTATAATTATTTTCTAGCTCTCTCACTGATAAAAAGTAAATTGTTGATATTCAAGTTATTTTTTTATGTAGAAGTACGCGGAGCTATTTCAAGCCTTCCTTCGTAATTATTAATTCTTTATAGCAATTGGTAATCTACTCGATAGACATTAGAACCCTCAGATTTGATGCGTTGAGTTACCCTGAGGAGATCATTTTTGAAAATTTATCTAATAAAAACTAAAATAAGGGAATTTTAATATGGATATTTAAATGTGTGTAGGTTTAATGCTAATATTGAAAGTTCTATTATATTTAGAGTATATTTCATTATGGGTAATTTATTTTTTAAATTAAAATTAGTAATCTAGTTAATATTTCCTACAACTTTAAATCGCAAGTTTAGAAAATAAACAGAAGGACAATTTTAATACAGACATTTTTATTTATCATAAAATGATGTACAAAAATACGATTTAGATTAAATTTCCCATTTTACTTGGAACATTTGCATTCAAGATCGTTCCTATCGAAAGAATTAAGATGAACAATCAACTTATGAACACTTAATTAGGTTATAAATTACCCCATTCTTCATTGGATGAAAGAAGAAAAGAAGAATAACTTTTGGTAGAACATTTTTATAAAAGATTGCTTGCATATTGAATATCTAAGATAGTGAAAGGGTATGGATATTTGCAATCTGATGAACATAATTTAAATTAGAGAAGATTGTACTTATAAGTGATTAGAAAAGCTTAAATTAAGAGCACCTTTAATAATCAACCAAGGATTGAAGTGACTGTGAAGATAAAGAAAAGGATGTAATTTGTTTTTTTCGAAATGATACTTTTTTGTGGATAGAATTCTTAGAGTCAGCAATTATTAAAAAAAAAAGATACATTAATGTTGTCAAGGAATCTATTAGATGTAGGTTAGTAAATTCAGGATATTCAAAAACTTCATTTTTAATTATGATAACAAAAACAAAATAGCTAAATGTATATCTAAAAATGAACTAAATTGTAAATATAATGCACCTATATTTTATGCAAATGTATAAAAAACTAAAAAAGTGGGAATAAATTAGAATACTTTAAAGTTTTAAATTTTACTTTACTGATTGTTCTCATTGTTTTTTATTATGGTGAGAATTATCAAATTATTCATTTCCTTACTTATTCAATGTATTGCTATAAAATTGCTTATCATATTGGCTTGATTTTTCCATACATACACTAGGATGGATGATAAATCCAGGAATGGGAATGGGCTATGTATAAAGTATCCGGCCCCAATAATAATTACTCCAAATTTAGAGGTAACAAAAGGTGGATTATGGAAATACTTTAAATCTTTTTTAAAATAAATACTTAGTTTACCTTCAGAAAAGATCCGAATTTAACAATCAGATTTGACCAGATTTTAAATTATCATGAGATTATTAAAACACTTAGGAATGTTTCAATATCAAGTATGATGCAAAATATCATCAGAAACTGGATATGGATGGAAGATATCGCCCGTTATGATGATAAGGTATAATGTCGAGGTTTTCCTTTACAAATAAAAATAGTCGATGTTATGCAGAAGTAAGGATTCATGACAGCTTTCTGATTACTGATTATCAAATTATAAAATAGGTTAAGAAATGTTCTTCTAGTTATGAGACGGTGGATGGCATAGGTATGATGATATATTCAAGGAAAAGTGAGAAGTGATTTAATTGAATAAGTGGAGAGTGGCTTAGAGCAGAGAATAAGAACAAACGATGGAAAGTATGCATGGGAAGAATTAGAAATTTAAAAATAATTCTGATGCATTTTCTCTACAGTATCAATTTGTGGCTGGATATGGAATAATCTGGTATATTAAAATTAAAGAGGATAGATAAACACTGGTGAGAATGTATATGAAAAAGATGATGACATCGTGCATGGATCTTGGTGGAGATGAAGTTTGGATTTTCTTATTCTGGAAAGCATGTTAAATAGGAATATTATTCTTCATTAGGGGTTCAATATTACGTTTTGTTAATTTTGTAAGTGACTCTTTAATAAATAGAAGGATGTACTTAGCCATTAATACAAAGAGAGCGTAAACCTTGCGATAAAGAAGACCGTTCATACAATTTATTGATTCAGTCATGTAAGTAATAAAAAAAATGAAAATGTACAACAGTTTATAAACCCCCATTTAAATAAAATATTATTTCCGTATTTTAAAAGGATTACAATATTATTATCATAATTAATTATATTAAAAAGCATATTGAAAAATCATAGTAACATATATATTTTCTTTGTAATTAAATGAATATTAATTCATATTTTTTAATTATTCAATTCATTAAGTTAAATAAGAGATTCTGAAATATCTCAATTTCTTAACTTTTTCTTCATCATCATCAACATCTTCTAAATCTTCATAATCTATATAATAATAATTGGTTAAGGTTTATAAATCGTTAAAAGGATCTATGTTGATGTTTAGTTTTTTATAAACTCCCCTCAAAATATCAAATCTAGAAAAAGTATTGGGTACATTTTTCCCTTTTTTTTTGATTTTTTGATGTCTTTTAACAATTTAGAATAAATAAATTGATGTCTGATCTTAAGAAAATTATCTAAATCCAAATTTAGGGTTTATATTCCTTATCAGCTTACCAGTTTAAAGATTTCTAAGTTTAGCGTCGGAGCAGTGACCATAGGCAATAAATGACTTCCAAAAATATCTTTTACTAGGCATATTATGTTGCCATCTTAGATGTATTTTCTAGTTTTGTGTATGAATAATATAAGTTTAATCATTTGATTCTACAATTGCAAAACTAGAAAATAGTTTCTAATAAAATAATATTTCATATTAAAATTAAGTAATTTATTCAAAATCGGTTTCAAGCTGAATAGTTAAAATAGTTGTGCTATCTATTAATAGATTGATATTGCCAGAAGAATCATACGAGAGAAAATGCTATGATGATATCTATTTTTTTTTGGTTTTTTACTAACCCAAAAAGTCAATATAAAGCAATTTTGTAGGTTTTCGAAATATTAAATATCTAGAATCATCTGAAAAAAAATAATCTTTGATTTTTAATTTATCTTCAATATATTCTCCAAAATACATCAATTTATTATTAATCAAGGACTTAATAAATAGGATATATTCTTCCCTTGAATGGCTTCCAACAACAATTTCTGTTCTTACCACAAAAATAGCAATATAGTTCTGATTTGGAGATAAAATATAGTGTTTTATCTCAAAATATTCCTCAAAGCTGACATCTTTGTCATTGACTGGGAATTCATCGCAGAGATCAAATATACCATCAGGAATTAATTCTATCCTTTTTTAGTTAGTATCCGCCTAATTTTTACTTTACATTAATTTAATTTCCTTTATAAAATTATTAATAGTAGCACTTACTGCAAAATTACTCCAGATGTTTTGGACTATATTTTAAGTAGAGCATTGAAAAATAGCTAGCTTTTAGCCACTATTGATCAATTTCAATTTATATTACAAAACAATATTATTAGATGTCATTCTCTTTGAATTATATTAACCAAAATTCTTTTGTTTGTAAGTCAAAATAAATTTATAATATAGTAATAATAAAGTAGACATCAAAGTACTTCTAAATCCTCATTTGGATAGTTCTAATGATAATCAATTATCACCATTTGGATCATCCGTAAAGTTTTTTATAGCAATTCCAATTATCTGCATTTTCAAGTTCTTTATATAAAATTAATATTCAAGACCATTAGATTCAACTATAACGCTTATATAATTTTCCTTATTATCTATAAGAGAGTTTAATTACAAGTATTTACAAATAGTAATTAACCTATTTAGAATAAACTAGGAGAAAAATATTTGAGCTAAATATTTTGCGACTGGCCTAGAAGGTAGTTGAAGTATGAATTTAGACAGAATGAGAGATAAAAAGGAGTTATTTAAATCTATCAAACACATCTTAGAACCTATTTTTCGATAGAAACAAGAAAAAGACTGATAAATTTGATCAAATGAGTTGAAACCATTATTGCTAAATTAAATGATAATCGAGTTTAGTAAGAAGATATGTTTAGAGTTTTGGATAAGAATAATCAAAGATCAGTTTAAAAAATGAATTTTTTAGAAGAATTAATATAGAAATTACTGGACATAAATTAGGAGAATTTTAGATATCATCAAAAGATTAAGATAATAATTAGAGTTGCACGATAGATTTCTATGAATTTAAAGAAATCATGTAAGAAATTTTCAGTCTAAACTATATATTCTTACTTTTAGAATATTAGGAATATCAAAAGCCTTACTAATAAAAGGACTTATTTTGTTAATAATTTACTTAGTAATAGTTTTGGCATTCATTCTATTATATAAGCATTTGCCATTCCAAGTATTTTTGCTAGATATAATATATTTACTATTAAAGGGTTGTTTTTAAGAATGAGTAATCTGAAAAATACATACCTTAATAGATTATTGGTTTTGGGTATAATATACATATATTTTTGTTTTATTCAAAACTACAGCAAAGTTAGTTATTTTATATTTTGAAAAAAACTCGTATTATGTTAGTTTAATTATGTTAATTATCCACAATTGTTAATATATTTATTTCATTTATATCAAATCCTTTATTTAACAAAATTTATTTACTGAATTTTATATTTTAAGTTTTAACAAGCAAACTTTAATCCATTAATTCAAAAATTTATTTTTTCATTTAACCATAAAATAATTTTTAGTTTCATATAAAATTATATTAATTTCGAAACTTCTTCATAAATTAAGTAATTTATTCTTTTTATTTAAACAACTAATTTTATTTCCATCCAAGCTAGGAAATCTGGTAATAGATTCACATTTTTTACTTATTATTTTAATAAATATTATAAATACAAATATATTGATTAAATCTTGACTCAACTGTTGTTTTAGTCAAGAAGTTCATAAGCATAAAAAATAAAATTAGGTAATAGATAAGTGATTATTTTCATTATTTTATTCAATGATGCATAAAATTTTCAGTAAGTTATATAGTATTTTAAAATATTAATAAAAATGTTTTTTTAGAAACTTAGGATCTATAACACAAAAGAAAAGTTGATTGAGAGAATAATTCAGTACAAAAAGGAAGAGGAGCTCAGAAGAAATAGTCCAATTAGAGAAAAAATTAAAAGAACTAGTATCGATAATTTGTTAATTATTTTAGTATCAACTTGTTAACCTTAACGAGCAGCCTTTAATTGTAATAATAGAATATCAGTGTCTCCAAAGATTTAATGTAGTTTGGATATTGAGAAGATAAGAATGCCATTTAGTGCGGAAAGGGAAGGCCATCTGACTAGAGTGACAGAGATTCCTGTTAGACAGCAGTTTTACATTTGAGTTTATATGTAGTTTGGTGACTCCTTCGCCTCCACAAAAAACCATCCTCGACCATCTGAATGAGTAGGAGGAAGAAAAGATGATTAGAGAATTGCTAGATAATTATAAGCCAGAATCATTCGATGATCTTATGGAAAATGATGTTCAAGAAATAGAGAGATTTAATGAAGACGCACATGCAAATTCAATGAAATAATTCTCTTATTAAGATTATAGTCCTCAAAGAATGAATATGATAAAAAAGCATTAACATCATCATCATAAATCGAATCAATCTCGTAACAACAATAATAACAAATATGATTAACAAAAATAATTATATTTATAATAATTGGAATACAAGGGTGACATTTTTTAAGAGCAAAATACAGAGAGAGGAAGATATCTAAAAAGGTTCAGATTGGCAAAGTAATTAATTAATGTATGAAAATAGCAAAAATTTGAACAAGGTTTGTTAGGAGGACTATAGAAAAGTCGTAAAGTCATAAAATAAGCTGGAGGATTTTGCACAATTCTATAAACAACCCCCAAATTTATACATGCAACTAAATAAGAGTTCACATCAATAATCTATTTTTTAAAGCGGTTTGGGGTTAGTTCAGTAGTGCAACCATATCCAAATTGCAAATGCATCTGGTTAAATTAGAACCAATTAATAAGTGAAGGTTTTTTCTGAGGCATTAAAGACATCACAATGTAAGACTTTGACTCATTTGAAATTGAGTCATAATAAACTTAATTCATTGAAGTATTAGATAAAGTGTAATTTAGGATTCAATAACTAACAAAGTCTTTTCCTTAACATCTATAAGAATTAGATTTGATGAACAATGGATTGGATTCTAAGGCTTGTCAATTGTTATCAAAATATATTTAAAAGTCAGCAATAAAGAAAGTGAATCTTGAAAATAATAGAATAGGTGATTTGGGTAGCAATGCATTATGTTTAGCAATATAGGATCATGATTATTTGCTTTATTTAAATTTATCAAAGAATAATCTTACAGAACACTGTACAGTTGAACTTTCAAATTATATAAAGAAATCTTAGGTGTTATTTGAATTATATCTGCATTTTAACTCCATAAATAGTGCAGGAGGAATCAATATTTGGAAGGCATTATATAAGAATTCCAGTGTGAAAGTTTTTGATATTTCTTATAATAGAACAGCTTCATTAGAATGTGCTTAATGGATGGCAAAAGTAATCATTAAATAGTATCCAGAACTTATGCACATTGATATTTCTTATAATAATTTTAATGAAGAATAATCAATTGAAATAAAAAAAGCATTAGATCAAAATTAGAATATTTATGGATTTCATTATCAGGGAAATTGTCCAAAATATTCAGTTGATTCTACAGGTCATTTAAGAGACAGAATCCAAGAAGAAGTTGATATTCAAAAAAAAATAGAAGAATGTAAAAAGAATCCTTAGACTACGTTAAAATTAGTTGATGACAATGAACTTTAATCTATAGAGATAGATGAACCTAGAAATAATCATAATTACAATCAATAAAAGATAAATAATTTGAAGAGTGATGCTGAATTACACAGAAACTTTAAATTTAGAAGAATTTAAGGTATGAAGCCAATCAAGTAAAATTACGAAAAGGATAGTGAATTAGATTCTTGTTGGATATGTGATGGTTGGTAGGAAGTGAAATTTACTTGGACTCCTGGAAAGTCAGGAGGAATGAACAATGATCCAATTTTTGTACATCTAAACTTTGAGAGTTACAAACCTATACTAATGACATTACATAATGGAGAATATTCTGCATATAGAATGTGTCCTCCAAATTATAAAGTTACTTATTTTTACAGTAATCCTGTATTAGGAATTCAAACAACAGCCAAAAATTAAATGATCACTTAAACTCCCTCGGATGATCCATTATATCAAACTAAATAATCATTTTTATATAATGGAAACATTTTAATTGAAGGTAATCGGATGGGTTTTGTAAATGAAATGTACACAGAAGATAAGTAATCAATTATGGATAGATATTTCGCAAAGATTTTTAGTAAACCAAGGGAAGAGGAAAAGACTTTCGATTTAACTAAGTTTCTTACAAAAAGAGAAAAATAATTTTGGAGTTATGAACTTTCAATCTTTAAAAATTATCAACCAGATAATGAAGAACTTATAGATGAATGCTTCGAATATGATTATGGAAGTTCTAAAATCAACAAAATCATTAAGGATCCTTTAGAGTATAACGAAGTGAAGGAGATAATGAGAGAATATTATCCATACATTTTTGCATCTTATAAGTTCTATGCATCCACACTTATTGGTGCTACAATTCCTTGCATTTCATCCAATGCATTTGGTGATTTGATTAATTCGACTAGTGTAATATCAGATAAATACAGAACAGGCGATGTAGATTTGAATTTCATTTCTACTTCGAATGTAAAAGATACCAATTATCCAAATGTAAATGAGAAAGCATTAGTTAGATATTAATTGATGGAGTTATTGGTTAGAATAGCTGTAGATAAATATTTAAGAACATAAATATGTAAATCAGTCAAGGAGAGTTTGAGAAAACTATTTGAAGAAGATGGAGTTAGATTAAAATTGCTAGAGATAGATCGAAGCTAGGATTGGAGAGATATGCGATATTGGAATGAATAATGTGATACACTTTTAAGTAATTTTATTATATATTACATCTAGAGGATAGATTACCTATGTTAAAGATGCTATTCAAATATACATCAAAATTAAATCCTAAATAAAAATATTACAAACATTTATGGCTTCAATTTAAAGACTTTAGAGATTTGATAAATAAATGCGATTTATATTGTGATATCTTTGTTGAACGAGATGCATATTTAGTATTCTTATTATCCATGTAAACTTCAGTGGATGAACTCTACTTGCTTAAACATCTTCAGATGGAATTCTATGAATTTTTAGAGGCATTGGCCAGATGTGCTGAGAAGTTATCTTTAATCAGAACATAAGATTCATTAAGTATTGATGAGAGAAGACAACAGCCCTTATTCAAGAAATTAGATGCTCTCATCTACCTAATCTATGTGAGATTAGGAGAGGGCATCAAGACTTTCTTTAAAGATTCAGAAGATCTTTCGGATTTCGATAAGTGCATGTAAAAATAATACGGATAAGTTATAAAATAACCAAACCCTGATGAGGAAGAGGAAGTAGATAAACTGACACCCTAATAAGAAGAGAAGTTCCTTGAAGAATAATTAAAAGTAATTGTAGTTCCTCCTTAAATTACAGTGGTAATTAATTTAATTAAATAATAAGGTTTCATAAAACAAGAAAGCCACTGGAATGACATTTTTGTAAGTCATTAAATAGGCTTAACAATAAAAACAATTAAAGAGCCTATTCAATTTGACCAATGTAGTTCAATACTTTAGACTAAAGGAAGAAGAATAATTAAAATGACTATATATTATAATAATGTAGATAGAATTTTATTGTAGTCCTTTCTTAGACAATGTATGTGAGGTTTATTAAATCTAATTAAATATTCTCATCAAACATAAATAACTTTAAGGACTACATTATCATTAGAATTCAAAATTAGAAATAGTCAAAGATATTCTAATTATTAGAATATAACAAATATTCAAATTGTGCATTTACAATATTTGACTAACTTATCCAAAAATATCTATATTTTATTATTCAAATAAGAGAGGTAATGATAAAAATAAAATTTATTTTGTGCTATTATAATTAAATTAATACAAATGTTAAAATCCTTTGGAATTATTTCTGGTTTTCTTTTAATTAGTCAAGGCAAGGTTAATTCCTTAACAGAAAACTTTAATGCAGCAAGACATGCTTTATGCATCCTATTTCCAGATTAAAATTCAGGTGTGAATGGTGTGGTTTCTTTCTCTTAGGAACATATCAATGCAAAAACAAAGATTGCTGCAGTAGTAAGAGGATTGAAGCCCAATAGTCTTCATGGAATTCATATTCATGAATTTGGAGATTTAAGTAATGGATGTACAACAGCAGGTCCTCATTTCAATCCTTTTGAACAAGAGCATGGAGGTCCATTGGATGAAAAAAGACATGTGGGAGATTTGGGAAATATCAAAACAGATGAAAGAGGAAATGGATATTTGGCCTATGAGGATAACAAGATTTAATTATATGGAGAGTATAGGTAATGAGTATTTTTATCATTAAGTATTTTGGGAAGATCCGTGGTTGTGCATGCAGGATAAGATGATTTAGGAAGAGGAAATTAAAAAGATTCAAAAACAACTGGAAATAGTGGTGCTAGATTAGCTTGTGGAGTGATAGGTTTGGCTTCAGGATTTAAGAATTTATAACCATATAAATGATAATTAATATATAACTATAGAAAAATTTAAGAATATTGTTATTCTCTTAATTAAAAAATATGTTATCATTTGATTACCTTTTGAAGCCATTCGATTAGTTTGACCAATGGATTATGAACAGCATCAAAGTTTTGAACATCTCGGAGGACAAAGTTCGACTTGTTTCTTATTTTGTAAAAATTGAATTCATTAATAGTTATTTTGTATTCCAATCGCCATCATATTTAGTAAGATCAAATAACCAAGAATAAGATTAATATACAATATTTTTTGGGGAGTTTTCTTCACTTTGTTCTTAGGGAGGGAGTGGTTTGTATATATAAATATCACTACCATTTTGGTGTACTTTATATCAACCATACCAACCAAGAACGTTGTGATACCGATTTCAATAACAGCTTTCGTAGCCCTTTCATATGTCCATCTATTCAGACAATGGGTAAGATTTAGAAATATCTTTAGTTTGATTACTTGTCATGGAAGATTGATTTCTCAGTAATTTAGATGACGATAACATGTCGATTAATCTACTATGCTGTTGATTTATAGTATGGTAAAGCTTACGACACTGGATTTTGGACATATTATTCATACATATTTTCATTTTTTAGCATTATGATTGGACCTGTACCATACCATAATTATTTAAATTTTTTAAATTAGAAAGAAGAATATTCTAATATTAAATTTAATTAATATAAATCAGTTATTACTAACTTAATTAAAGCATTATTATTTTGTGCTGGAGAAATATGGATTAGACCGTATGTTGATTATGATTGGTATGATTCACCATAATGGAATGAACTGAACCTTATTGAAAAAAATCTTTTGTAAGCAATAATTGGCTTAGTTGCAAGAATGAGATATTTTGCTGGATTTAAGTTCACTTAGGCTGCTATGGATGCTGCTGGTATTACTTATAACGAAGATACATGTAATTAATGTAGAGATTTTATATAGAATAATTTGATAAATTCATCACTTGTGATTATTCGTATGAAAAAGATGTGAGTGCAATTCATAAAACTACCAAGTGGAATACAACCGTGTAAACATGGCTCAAATATTGTTTCTTTGATAAATTTTCAATCCTGTTTGATGTTACTACAGCATATTATATGACTTACGGAATAAGTGCATTATGGCATGGTTTCTATCTAGGATACTATTAAACCTTCTTTTGGTGGGCCTTGATTAATCAGAATTGCAAGTATGTTTACAGAAGTAGAGATAAATTTTAGTGGTAATCTATTCTCATTAACATCTATATAGGATTCCAGCACCTTTAAGAAGTATAATAGCATTTACTTATTGTACATTCACTATGAACCAAATTGCGATGACTATGGGATTGTTGGATTGGGATAAGGGAATGAGATTTAACAATAGTATGTATTGGTCTGGACCTATTGCAATCCTAATTGTATTCTTCTTCTTTTTCCTTACTCAATATGGATAGAAAAGAAGGAAGTGATGAAAATATTATTTATATCTCATAAATAAACATATACGTAATTTTCATCATATTAAATTGCTGTGTCCTGTGTAATTTAACAATTAATAATCTAACAAACTTTATTATAATTGTCTTTGTTTTTTATCTTAGCCACTACTCCAGTATTGACTTGCTGTTTTGACACTTTCGGCGCATCTTTCGAATTACTTTGAATACATATCATTACTCTGTTATCCTATGTAATTTAATAATAATCTGTTATATAATGCATGAGTGTGCATTCTCTAGCTTATTTAACTTTACTGGATCCACTTAATTTAATTCGCTTATTATACTCACTTACTATAACCAAATCATTAGATTGTTCAAAGAACCAGCCAAATGATTATTAAGCAAATTATGCAATTTCAAATCGAATGTTCTAGAAATCTATGTTCATCTCATATGCAACTTCTTAATTGAAATAAACTGGGGATTCTGAATTTAATAATTGCTTCATAAATTATACTTTTTTGAATAATTCTGAGGTGTTGATATTTGTATTGTTGTCATTTAATATAATAATTGGATAATTTTTAACTAAAATAAACATGAGCCAAAATTCATCTAATGCTTCTATTTACTTTTTAATTTATTAGATAGGTTGTGATGTACATGATATTTACTTTACAATATAAAGAGTTCGTTCTTAAAATTTGAAATATGCATGATGATCACTAATTGGCTATTAAAATCGTTTACTCAATAAGGCATGTTATTCTGATATAATGGCTGCTACTTTTTGGGGATGATCATCATTTTAATTAGTTTTCTAATCACATTCCCATCCATGTGAAAATATTGATTTTAGATTATCACATTTTATTCTTAAATCCCAAAAGGATTCTGTTGCTTATAATTAAAGCTATTCTATTAGTTTTGTTAGTTTCACAATTTATTTCTCTGTTTTTTCTATCTAACTTTCTTTCAATTTTAATTATTATTCAAGCACTGTAACTTTAGTAAATAATTCTTTATTCTAGATTTAAATCTAAGAGTATTCAAGCAAGGTTTAATTCTTTGATTCAATTTCCTGTCTTAAATTAATAAATTTATCTACGATCATTTACAATTTGATATCCATATTTTATACATTTGGGATGTTGAAATAATCATAGAAGGCATCTAATTTGTTGTATTATTGATTCTATTCAATATATTTAAGAGTATTCTTTAGTTTAATGTTTTCATTTTGTACTTTAATTAATCTGTCTCTTAGAATGTAAATATCATCAACTTGGCCAACATGCTATTATTAGGCTTCTAATTTTAGAATTTTGCTTCGAGCTTATTCTAACTATTCTTATAGTTCTGTTATTTACTTGTTGGAAATGAATTCTTAAAATTTCATTTATTTATTTTAATGTTTTTGTATACAAATATACTGATTATGCTTGAATTGGCATAGCTATTGATTCTAAGACAAATGTGAAATTTCAGATACTATTAGCTTACAAGTAAAATGGTATTATTATTGTGTAAGCCAAATTAACACATAATCATCATTGTGATTTGATATATTTAATAATTGATTTTTTATGAATTAATCTCTTTACTCTTCAAACTTGAATGCACTATTACCTTTAGAAAATTACTTATTAATACTTAATGAGAAAACAAGGCTGAACAAATTTATTCACAGCTAGAATACTATTTAGATAAAGCAGTTAGACTCAGAACAAACTACTAGAAGAAAAAGTTGTCATTGTGGTTAATGTGGGTAACAAAGCCTATTTTAGTTATAAACAATGAATATTCCACTTAAGAAAATAGAATTATTAAAAGAAGAAGAATATGCCCCTCCTGGATTTATAGCAACAAACTCTGATTGTATTTAAAGAAAATATAAATTATTAGCTAGAACAAATACCTTTTATAAGAAATCTTCATTCAAGAATTTGTAAATCTTTATACCTAAAGAGAATACAAATAACACTCGGCTGACTTTAAATATTCATGGTTTTTAAAGAGCTTACAATAGATAAAATACATTATTGAAAATGATTACAGATGGGCAAGAAAGATCAAAAAGAAAGGAAACTGGATCATTTTCATAATCTGAACTATATTCTTACAATTCTTTGAATTCTTTAAATATTGCAACATAATCCTCCTTATAGAATAAAAAGAATTCAATTTAGCTCAAAAGTCCTGTAAGTTTGTTTTCCCCAAAACGCAAACAGCAATAAATACATAACAAATTATTAAGTACTAATACAAGGAATCATAATCCTTATATAATAAACTAGAATAAATAATTAGTGATAAAGCCATTAAAGTTTTAAACTTCAACTTAAACTTTTGGAAATTTATTCCCAAAACTAAATAAGAAAGCTTGATTGTATTAGTATTATACTTATTGTATATGATTATATATTTATGTAGACAGCATTGATAATTATTACATGAATTATTATTCCAATTCTATTTAAAATAAGTATTAAAATAAATTATTTTTGTTATTTTTGGATATATACAGGTACAAATACGAATAACCAAATACATAAACATATGATTATCATTTTTAAAATACAATTACATCTCTATGATTTTCAACATGTTAAAGTAATTCATCAATATCTTAGATTGGTACTTCCATGTCCTAGGCAATATTTTTTAAGTGAGTCTTAAATTTATCAAATTATTAATTTGTGATGTTCAGATTTTTGTGGACTTCAATTAAATCTCTATAGATATTAATTTATTGACATTACCTGCCAGTATACTAAGTATTTTTATCACCCATCATTTAAGAGAAAAATCGCTTTTATTGATACCTTACTCTACTCATGTCTGCCTTCAAAAATTTATCACGAAGAAGTTTATCAAAGAGTACTTTGTAATAGAATTGATCAATAAGTTCTGATACTTATTAGTCTCCTCCAAATTTTTCATACAAGCATTTCTTTTAATTATCCATTATTAATTTTTATTATCAAATATTCACTAAATATCCAACACGCTTTAAATCTTCAATTTTCTTTTTGGCTTTGGTTGCATTTATTAGGGTTTGGTTCAAGTATAAGGATTTGGGCAAAGAACAACCTTGGGGGGAATTTCTAACTAGAGAAATGAAATAATCTAGAGTCCTTTCAGTTATCATATTGGATGATAAATGTAGACTTTAAAACGCTTAATTTGTATTGTATACTAGACAATCTAATAGTTTGCATGCTCCCTCATCGGTTATTTTATTCCTTACTAATTTTAGTTGTTTAACTCTCTTAGATATTTTCAGAATATCACCAATAAATTATAATCCATCATCTCCCAATTCTAATTTAATACATATCTATTGATATACCTGCACTCGAAAAATCAGCAATTTCTAGATTGTCACTCTTAAAGGCTTGCCAAACATTTTCAAATTTTTCATTGATCTTAAACATTTTCTTCTTTTTGCAATCTACAATTTTGGTATTAGGACTAACACCTTATCTAATGGAATTAACCTATTCTAAATCTCTTCTGCCAGGACTTGGCTATTAAAAGGATCCTTTTAGTTTCTCCAAAGCTCTAATTTAAATTCTCTCTGGTTTTGTAGGAGTAGTTGATTAGATGGTTTAAGAACTAATAACAGGCTAAATTTCTTTGAGTTCTTTCAAACCAGATCCACTTTTATTTTTTACAAATTCCTCTTAATCTAAACTACTTCTATTTGGACTTTTCACTTAAGTAATATTGGTTGTTTCCTCCACAAGGCTCTCACTCCAATCTGCCATAGATATATCTTTAAGTAACATTGGTTCATCTTGACAAAAACTTGAAAAGACATCTTAACCACATAATTTGCTAAAACTCTCATTTCTCTTTATGTCTTACAACAATGTTGAATCTGTCAATGTATTGATAGTTTTTAAAATTTAACTACTCTTAGTCATGTTGCTAGTATTATTGACATTACTCAATTATAATGTAATAGTGAATAGATTATCAAAACTCTTATCGATTTCTGTCTTTTTGAGATCAACTCTCAATTTCTTTATTTTGATATTCTATAATTTGAGATCCAACTATTTTTAGATCTTCTCCAATTCCTCATATATTCCCTTACCCTTGTCTACACAAGCATAATCTTGATTATTTAACAAATCTAAAGGCAATTCTCCATTTTCTGTTTTGGTTGAGAAATAAACTAATCTATCCTTGGCTGTAATCTTCCACAATTCAGCCTAATTGAGTGAGCTTTGCAATAATTCTTTAATTTATTTTTTTGTTTGTTATTCTAGAGATTATGTCAAGGTGGTTAATTATTCAATAAGTCTCTGTTCCTTGATATCTAATAATTGATGCAGTTCTTTAAATTTCTCTTTAACAGTATTGTGACTCTCTGTAAGTACACTTGAGAATCTTTCTTACAAGGGTTCGAAATATTTTAACTCAGTCATTTCACTTTATTTTTAGAGTATCTTTTGATATATCTGCATGATATTCTCAGCCTTTTGTGTGATCTCTTTTACAACATCATCAACAGAACGGACTTCGTGGTGTCGATGCTATCCAAATAATGCGCATCTTGTACAAATTCTTAGCTGATCTGTAAGACATACTATTTCCAATTTTTCTAGATGTTCCTAGCATAAATCATTTGGAATATCATTAGATATTAAATTGTTTAATTAGAGTTGATAACCTATATCACTATCGTCATTTCTTGCTGATTATCTACTTTATTAGTATTGAGTTTTATGCTTGACCACCATTTTTAATAATTAACAGTTTTTTGGAAATTATGAGATGTCATTTTTATTTTTAGCCATGATACTATAATAGATAACAATTTTACCCATCCTCTGGACAAACAATGTATTTTTTATTGATTAGCATTTGCTAGATACAATTTTAGCAAATTGTATGTCCACAATCTGGAAGCATCAATGGTAAATTGTCACTTTCGTTAAACATCATTTAACATTCAGGACATATAAGTTCTTCTATTTGTTGCATTTTTGAATTCAAAAACAGTTGATATTAAATTTATATAAAATATATTTTTTATGCAATCATCATAATAATTGTAAAAACCTTTAGATAATGCTATCCTTCAGTAAGAGAAAAGAAACGGGTATTCCGAATTTGAGATTACATAAGCATGGAATGCTTCATCTGGAAATATGTCGATTTTTCAATAAATCTTGTAAGGAATGAGAAATCAATCGTTTATAATGAATCCGATCAATCAATAATTTAATGATGATATCTAAGTAGCAGTGGCAGCATCATTAACATTACATTAATAATATATACCTGTTGGAAAAGTTAGATAAAATTATGTTCCTTGTGGGTTGATGAATGTAGGAAATACCTGCTATTTTAATTCTCTTCTACACACCTATTATTTTATCTATGATTTTGTTTCCTCCATAGTGAAATGCAAATTTGATCATGTTAATTACTCAAATATAGCTGATAAGAGAGTTGTCAATTCAATTGAGCTAGTTAAAAATCTATAAAGTCTATTCGTGCTTCTGATTGGAAGTGACAGATAATTTGTAGACCCTAAGAAGGTGATTCTCTCAATCTGTGATGATTTTGGTAAAGCATTGCCAATCGGAGATCAAAAGGATGTTAGTGAATTTAATAATTATTTTCTATCAAGAATTGATGAAGGTATAACTTATTTAACTTAATCCTTATAAAAGACCAGCACTTCTTAAAGCTAGTAATAGATAAAATAATAACTGCCAGGATAATCATTTGTGTAATTTCCTACAATCCATTATCCTTAAGAGAGCACAACAAGTTTGATCTCACAAAAATCATTGTTAATTAGACAATCATCAATCATTGCTGAAAACTCTATGGTGTTTAAGTTATTCTATGGTAAATTCTCTCCTTAAATAATAATAAAGGGGTAGGTTAGTAAAGATTGTTAATAAGAAATGTTCAATATTATTTCAATTGATGTGAATACTAAATCCTTAGTTGAAGGATTTGATAAATACATGAATCAGGTTGTGGAATACAAAAATGATAAGGATGAGTATCAATAAGCAATCAAACAATTTTGGATTTAATCGGCCCCATAAGTCCTTACATTTTAGATATAAAGGGTGGAGTATAACAAAGAATTTGGTATTTAAATTATTTAATATATTAGGTTCCTTTACTAAAATTAATTCTTTTTTCCATTTTGATAAAGAAATCTATATAGATAGATACCTTTTATCAAATCAAAAGTTAGCAAAGGATATTTAAAAATAAAATTAATAAATGAGAGACAGATTAAAGAAGATTGATTAGGAATTGGCAACCTTAACCTAATTTAATGGAAACATTGATATTATCTAAAATCTAGAAACCACTCTATAATTCTTGAAATTACAAAATTCAAATGAAAAATTAAATCCATTCTATGTAGATTGCAGTGATAATAAAGCATCAATTAAGTCCATATCAGAATATCATTAACATTATATTAAAAAACGAGAATGTTTATTAAAAGAAAGAAAGGAAATAGAATAAAAAATTTCAGAAAGTTACAATTCCCTGAAGAAATAAAAATATATCTTACAATCAATTTTAATGCATGAAGGCAATCCTGATGCTGGCCATTATTATGCTTATATTTATAATCTTGATGATCAAAAATGGTATTATTTTAATGATATTAATGTTCATGAGGAAATAGAATAGAATGTACTAAAAAATGCTTTCGGAGATTAAACTAATTCTAAAAGTGCTTATTTAATCCAATATGTAAAAGAAGATAATGCAAAATTTGCTTAAAACTCAATGGTGAAATTAAAGTCATTTAGTACAAGTGAGGATACAAAAAAGTATCTAACTGACGGATACGGATTATTGCTATCTAAACAGCAACGAGAGTTTCTTAATTAAGATAATGAAAAGTTAAAATAAGAAGTCGAATAGCAATAATTACTTAACAATATTGAATTGATTATTACAAAATATCAATAATATTTAGAAATTGCAAATGAAAAATAACGAAAATATTAATAGAAAATATATCCACCTTTCCAAGTCAAACCTCCATACTTAGAGAACTATACTATGTATTTGAAAATGAAACCTGATGAAAGATTATTCAAATGGACAATATTAGACAATGCTATAATTAAAATTATGCCAGAATCTGGTGGATTATTTAGTCAACCAGGACTTAAAGAAATAGTAAAGACCTAAATCTTAGATGAAATGAACAAGCTAGGGAACAACAAAGTATAACATTTCCCTACTGCTCAGGAGTACTAAACATCAACTGAAGAATACAAATCAACTTTAAAATTGCAATGCATGATTTAATACCTTTTGGAATAATACAATAATAATAACTTCATTGAAGCATTATAAGCCTTACAAAAATACATGAAATTAGCAAAGCATACCCCTTAATAATCCTTTTTTTATACTATAGCCGTAAACTTAAAACACTTATTTCCATTAGGAATAATTAGCAAATTGATATAAAATAAGAGTATTACTGAGGCAGATTTAAAAGTCTTAAAGCTAGTGATTGCATTTTAGATGCAAGAGCATTTTCTATATATGGAACCTAAATTTTGGAATGGTTAATTGCAAAATTTAATTGATGTTGCGATAAGTAGTTTTGGTTCAAATGAAAAGTGGACATAGGAAGTACTAAAACCTATTATTTAAAATAAGAAAGATACTGAGATGTGCTCTCTATTGGATGCACCCTCTCAAGTAAAAAATATATTATTTTAGAACATTGACGAATACATCTAGAATCTTTAGTCTATATATTTAGAGTAATAGTTTGAAAATAATCTTGAAGATTTCCTCCTCGATAATTTGATGAATATTTTACAAAGATTCTTTTTAACAAAAGTACTTAGAATGATTAATCTTTTAGGGTATTTAAATTCTATTTGAGAGTATATAAAAATCACCAACTATTTTGGATAAAAAAGTGATTTTAAAGATAGTTGAAGACAATCCTCAAAACAAATGAATGGTAATATTAAAGATATATATTCAATAACCATAATTTTAAGTAACATTATTACCAGCAATGTATGCACTTACATTTCTTAATCTCTTAAATTGCATCTATTATTCTGCCGATTTTTTGAATGTGCCATCCACATATGCTCTATAAGGTAGAAATCAACTTACTTTTATTTGAGTTTTTCATGGTCAACATGATTTGATAATCCAGGAACAACTCCAATACCAGCTAATTGGGGGTCATCTTCGGCCTATTTAAATAGGAATATATTTGTACTTCAAATATTTTCTTATTCATATTTAATTCAATCATACTCATTGATGCCTCCTATTATTTTCTATTTTTGTCTTCCTCAATTTACATAATTAAATCTTATCTATATTATTATTGTTATAGGTTCCTCCTTTCACTTTGTTCTTTCTCTTGCATTTGGAATTTTTGATGAAGTCCAAGTAAGAATTCCTAATCTTTATATTTGCTGTTCTATTGTTCTCTTTAACTCTATTGTTTAGAGTGTATTTGATTTAAGATAGTGTCAACAGTATCCCTCTTTAATTTTTCCTTATTCACTCTCTCCATGATATATTTTTCTTCTTCTTATCGTTACTTATAAGATGCAGCTTCTTCAATAAATTTTCTTTGAAGTTCTTTTTCTCTATATTCTTTTTGCAAATAAAGATCATTGTATTTCTAAAGAACATTTTCATTCTGATGATATCCATACTTAATTTTACTTAGATGCTAATTAATAATGATAATTGATTACTAATAATCTTTACTCCTCTTCTTTTTAACTTCTTTGTAATTGTTCTTGGAGAATCTCTTATTCTCTCTATCTGGCCAAGTATTAATCCATTTTTTTTTATTCTTCTTATTAAGCATAAGATTATGCTAAGTCTTTTTACACTTGTTCCTTTCTCTATTATTTTATATAGAGATCCTTTTTTTCTGCTTGATCCATCATTAATCCAATTTAAAATTGCTATTATCTTTCTTAGAGAAAGTTCAATCGCTTTAATGTAACTAAAATAGAGATACTTATTATTCTTTCTTTATTTATTCTTATTCTAGACTATATCTTATAAATTCAGATTGCTTTTATTTAAGTTCCTACAATTTTAATTGTTCAACACTGTCTCTCTCATGTATGAATTTTTGCATAGCTCCAGCGAATTCAGAATCATATTTTGTTTTCTGAATAGTTGATTGCTTCTATTCATTAATTAATCTTTCCAATTCTTCTCTATTTTCATTTGAATTATAATACCTGTATAACCGCTTTCTATTTTCCTACTCTTCTTTCTCTTGCTTTTCTTGCATTTCTTGTGATATTCTTTGTCTTTCAATCAATCTTGACCATTAACCACTGGGATCTAAGATGAAAAAATAAATTACCATGTTTACTATAATGAGTCATATTAACAAACAAATTAGTAAAAATTAATAAATTTTATTTATTAAATGCTAATAACTAAGAACACTTAACAAAGTTCAATCAAATCAAAATTAGTAATATGATAAATTAATTAATTGATAATAGGTGAATCACGTTATCTGAGTTTGTAATGAAACTCATAATAAGTGGATAATTTGAATGTGTCTTTAATAGATATCAATTGTTTTCTTACATACAAAAAGTATGTTATTATATCAAGTACTCCTAGTAACTAATTTGAATAATTATCATTTTAGTCTTATTATTTACTAAATAGATTAACAAGTCAATCATTATTAATTAATCAGAACCCATTTCTTACAATCCTCAAGTTTACCCTTAAATTTTGGAACCTATTGATTGTTTAAGTATTATAATAGCATATTCAATCAAATTAATTGATGTATCTTCAGTTCTATATGGAGTTTGCAAAGTCACATTAACAAATAGTTATAAACCAAAAATGTATTATCAAGTGATTATTGAAATCATAATGGGTATAACTTAGAGAACTTAGGATTGGGTAGGATGATGTTTAGGATCTGATTTACAAACATATGCATTATTTATTGAATATGATAATAAATTTTCATATTTTGAAGTTAATATTTCAAATAAATCAAAATTCAAATGATAAGAACTCCCTCTCATTCCTTATATATGAGAAATTCTCATAATTCATCTCATTCACCAATACCTTAATAAAAATTTATTACTCCAGAAAAATTAGTAAGAGTAAGTGGAAGTTCAGGTGTAAAAGTGAATTCAATTTAAAAAAATGGCACAAGAATTAGAAGTGAAGCGGTTGAAACTGTTAATAAGGTCAAGGAATAATAAAAGTTATAAGAATATGTTTAGGAATTAGAATATAGTAATATTTATCAATAACGACTTAGAATATGTGCAATAAAAGCATGAAGAATAGTAACAATTAGAATTGAGAATCTTAATGTTATTACAACAGAATCACGAACAAGCACAAGAAATGGAAGAGTTGAAACAGGAGAATGAATAATTAAAATAGCTTTTATATGAATAATAGACTAAAATTGTAGAGTAAAGTTAAGAAATCTTAGCATTAAAAGTATATAAAGATGGATTAAAGAAATTAAGCTTTAGTGATTACTTTCGATAATAGAATATATGAGTTTCCCTTTTTGATTTTTAAGTATAAGATAATGATTTTCATGGGGATAGTTAATTGTTTTTTTTGAATAAAATAAATATCATAAAAAATACAATAAACTCTCTAATGATGCATGTGCATCGCTCTATATAACTTCTCCTACTCTATATGCAACTGTATGTGCATTTTATAGACATGCAGGTATTTTTACAGGTCCTGACCAATTTCTGTAATTAAAACATTAAAAGTAAGTGAATCTCCAGAAAGTATCTTCATTCCAATTTGTTGTATTTTCAATCACAGTGTAATGAGTTGGGATAGGTGTACCTTGATTAACTTATTGAGCTATTAAAAAGAAGTCAAATTCCTTATATGTCACTCTCTCTGGAAATATCATTCCATTGTTTTCATTGTTTGATGAGAAGAATTTATCACTTATTCTTTTATTTACTATAATATAGGCGAATTATGGTAATTTAATGTTATATGTCTATTGAATAACGGACTTCATAGTGTTGAGTTCGATTTCAATTAAGTCATTAATTTATGAATTACCTACTCCATCTCTAAATATGACTATGGTGTCTGGATACTGCTTATTTTATTTCTGATATTGTTATAGACTCAAATTTAATAGTTAACCGACTCCCTTATTTAACTCTTTTCCTTTTTCAACTATAATGGTTTTTGTAAAGTGCTTTTCGCTCTATTAACCAAATTGGGCGTTGAATCCTACACATGATTTGTTGTTTGCGAGAGTCTTATGATAAACATCAATACCTATAATCATAATCCTTTCAGATATTTCAGTAATTTTTTAGATGTTCCACAATTACTTTCCTATTTTACTGTGAACCTATTTTACAATTTATTAAGCAATTTTAGAGAACTTCTTGGAATCGACAGTTTGGATTGCAACATTTTAATGAAGTACTCCTTGAACAGAAATCAAGAACTTCTTCAATTCATTATAGAGTTTGGAATCCTCATGTCTGTCTAGAATGGATACAACAATCTAAGGTTTGCCATTAGTATTAAAATTATTGAGTAATGCCTATGACCACGCTGCAGGATCCAAATTATTCATAACAATTTTTCTTGGGGGACTGATTTAATTCCCCAACTCTTTTGTAGCCTTAATGAATTCTTAAGTAAAGAGACTGGCGATTTGCTATTCTTCATTATAATGTATCAATATCCAATTATTGATGTTTGATTATTCTATTAATTTGCCTCTGATATTAAAGCATGCTCCATCCGTCTATTTGATACTGGCCTCAGGTAATAAGGTAGGTTTAACAATCTTGTATGCAGGTGTAGCTGAATTATTTGATATGCTGATTGAATGATTGCTGAAATACTTATCAAGCAATGTCCTTTCATTGTCAATCTTATTGCTTCTTTCCAAGGGATCCAATGTTGTCTGTAGTTTTATATTATTCATCACTTTAAAGTTGTTTTTTTAAGCATTAGTCAATTCAATCATATACAACAATTCAGGGATCAGCCTTATACTCTATTTTGTCTTCTTATCTTCGTGCACCAATAAGGGTTATGTCAGATCAGAGAGTGTAATTTTGTACCTTTGATAGTAATATTGCTCATAGGATACATTTAGGGATTCCATTTTGGAAGTGGGATTAGATTTAAAATCGATCGATTTAATTCTGTACATTCTCTTGGAATAAATAGTCATAAATGTTTTATTTTCAAAGAAAGTTTAAAGATCAACAGGATTCTTAGACTTTTTGTTTTCTTTAATGAAATGCAATACTGTTTGTTTGTTAAACACCTTAGTTTTAAAGTCAATCAACAATAGTGGAGATGATTAGCCCATTTGCAGAACGCTTGTGAATCCTTATAAAATCTAAACATCATTGATCTTCTCAATCTTGTCCTTATCAAAGAATTGCCCTTTTCGAAATATCTATTTTAGATTTCTTTCTTAATATATTTGGCTTAGAATAGCATTCATAGCCTATTTTAGACTTTCATGAGGTATCAAATCTAAATTTTAAGTTAGATTATAAGTTTTGACATGTTTGATAAGCAAATTAATATTTTATAGTTACTTACAACCTGGAACTTAGAATGGTTTTTCTACAAAGTCAAAACTCCATAAATTATAACCACTAATCCAAAATCTATTAATTCCATTTTTTCTAAGAAACTAAGCAGAACTTGAAACATGCATGATCAATTCATTTTATTATTCCTTAGGTAATTCATTTACAAATGTTATGCTATATAGTTATAGGTGTAAGTTTTTTAAGAACTTAATCTCATAATGATTAGAGGAGAATTTCATCAATTAGAAATATTTAGAGATATTCTGACTTCTAGAAGGTTTCGATGGAAGTTTGTAATCTGTCTATTGTTGATCCAGAATTTGCATATACAATAATAATATTAATTTTTGTGGTAAAATATTCACGTTTTATTATAGCATTGTAAGAATAATTAATATGAGTTACCTCATTTGGAAACTCCTTTCTATTGTTATTATCAAATATATTAGTATTGACAAAAGGTATCTCTATAATATGGACAGTCCATTTTCAGAGTGATTATTAGAGTAAATTGTCGTTATTATGTTTAGAACATTTTAAGGAGAAATAATATATTTTAGAATTCTAAAGAAATTTATATAAAGAATATAATATAAATATGTATCAAATCGATTAGGATATATTAGTCAGGGAAGTAGTTTAAATTAGAAACCATAAGACAGGAACTTACTTGACTGCTACAGGGTTTAATACTTAGGAAAAAGGATTGTTGTTTGGAAGTACAGTCAATATCAATAATTATTATGTGGTCGGGAGCGATGATCCTAATAACTATTACACACTTTGGACTATAGCAAAATTGTTTGATGACTCCAATAGAATCAATTATGGAGATGTTGTATATTTTAAGAACCTGAGCACTAAGATGTATCTGATATACGAATTTCAGAAGCATTCAGAAGTTACTAATTAAATTAGGGTCTCCTTGAATTAGACTAGATTAGAAAATTACCCTTTCATATTGCAATAATTGGGGGAGCAAATATTCGAAACAAAGAATTATGCAATTTAGAATGGTGTACCATTGAAGATCTAAACGACAAAGTTAGTTCATTCTTTAGAGGCATCACAACAGAATTATGCATTTAAATAAATCAACTAATTCAAGGAAATCTCTTGTGGAAAAGGAAGTGAGTACAACAATTGGGAAATTATTAAATTGACTCCAGAGTAACTAATTGAGTTTTAAATTCCAAAAACATGGCAATTTACAATGAATATAAAAGAAATCTTGGCTAATGATAAAATAATAATCAGAAATTATAAAAGTGGATACTCTTTACATTCTCACAAAAATACATACGCATCTACTGGAATGCAAGAAGTTACATGTTTTAGTTATGAGAGAGATGGTATGATTATTGATTTAACAAGCATAGTCAATGATTGGTGGGTGATACAATAAACTTATCAGATGGCATAAAAGTAGATCCAACATCAAATGCCTATTAATTTGATTCATCAAGAAACAAAGAAATATTTGTGTGTGGATGAGAAAAACCTAGCCAAATCGAAGAATGGCAATTAGGTTTAAGCCATGTAATCATCAATGCAACAATCATTTGTTATTTCAAGTATTTATATAATCACTATTTTATAGCAATTGATAATTAATAATTGATGGTTGGTAAACCATTCCTCTTTTTATATTAACCTATGAATAAATACTTATGTTAAGGACCATCATTATCAGAAATGCAATCAACCTAATATGAAGTCATATTGACTGATAAGCTAACAACTTCATGTTTATGGGTAGTTGAAAAAGTATTTAAATGAATATCATAATATTTATAAAAATAAAAAAATTGCACACAGTGAGATTTGAACTCACGCGAGAATGACTCACCGCATCTTGAGTGCGGCCCCTTAGACCACTCGGGCATGTGTGCTATATCGAGAATTTGGTTTTGATTTCAATTATAAACTAGTCTAATTTAAATTATAGGAGTAATTATATTAAATACTTACCTATTTCAGAATGTAAATATTTATTGAATTCATATATTATTATGAAATATCAAATAGTTCATATAAACATTTGAACACTCTATAATACTAAGTACTCAATTATTGTATTATTTTAGTTAATATATATTTTCATTGGATTAATTATTTATTTATTCATAATTAATGTATAATAGATTATTTTGGTCTAAATACATCTTTAGGGTATTTCACATTTCCACCGTCACCATTCTTAGTGGAAATATAATTTGGAAATATTTGTTTACCTCCTAAAATGAAGATCCATCAAAATTAATTTAATGGATTTTGTCGTTCATTATGATTACTTCTGGCTTCATTAACACAATTTTGCTAGATCCAAATAATAAAATGAAATAGCAATCTAAACAATGGATTGGTATGATGCACACTAAATTAGTATTATGTAAGTATAACATTTAATTAGCAATCATCGTAATGACACCGATCTTTAATTAAATTGTGGATGATCACCTTGCTTTAGAAATAAGATTCGTATTTATCGTATTCTGGATCCTAATCTCACCTTTCTTAAGGTTTTACAGAGAAGCATGGTCTGAACATCATAGAGGATAACCTACATAATTATAAATGGTTTAGTTTGAATAAATACCTGAATGAATAAATTTCAAACTCACAAATATTTCCTATTAATTAATTGCTGAACTCTCATAATTCCTATTTACCATACAAGCTACGCTTAAAAATATCCATCATTTATAGTTATCTAGTCTTCATTACTGCTCAAAATATTGTTGCCTATTATCTTCTTAACTTAAGTAATAGATCTGAAACTCTAAAGCAATTTTTTTTATTAATTACTCTTATATTGAAGACCTAGAATTGAGCAATTATTATTGGGAGATATGGAGATACTGTTTTGTACTCTTTAATATTTTCATAAAATATAATAACAATATTTTAATCCACTTTCCTTGTTAGTTGCTAATAAAATCATGATTGTTTGTTATTTAAAATATTATTTCCATATTTCAGCCATCAATATTTAGACTTAACTCATTTATTTGATATCTAAATCACTAAATTGCAATTTAAATACATAGTCCTAATAAATCACCAAAGAGATCCACCTAAAAAATAAAATTATAGTTTCTCTAAAAAGATATTTAGAAGTTTATAAATAATTATAATAGAGGATATTATACAATAATAACTATTATAAACAAAGAAATATATCAATTCAAAGAATGAATTTGACAGCTTCTTAAGGAAATTCTGTTATGATTCCCTAAAGTAAAGTACTACTTTTTTAATATATTTTTCCAACATCTTATTCATTAAAAAGTCTTTTAAGATCATCACTATCGTCTTAAAATGTCCATCCATATATAGTTAAACCATTCTCCTTAGCCTCATTATAATATTAATGAGTTTAATTATTTTCCCAAACCAATCTTAAGTCTAAACCAATTATTTTAGCATATTGAGCAATTTCGGTTATCGTTGGAATATTTTTATCTTCAAAACAAACTAATTAAGTTAAAGGGAGATCTGTATAATTATTAAAATATTATAGGATTTATTTTTCAAATGACATAATAACAATAGGTAATTTTTGACTGCATTCACGTAGCGTACTTAAACCTTATTCTTTCAAAAATGTTAATATAATTTCAGCAATATTAATATTGCAGTATTATTAATGATAATCATAGTCTTTAATTTCTAATAGGATCCCTTTTTTATTGTCAATGTTTTGATTATACTTTAAGAAATACTCAACAGTTTCTTTTAATGACGGTATTTTAAGATGTCCATCGTATTCGCTTTTTCGATTGTTTATGCATTAACTTAAACGTAATTCCTTTAATTCTTCAAAAGTGAAATCAGAAATCCACCAATCTAATTTTACTTTATCATAAAGAATTCTAGACTACTTTCTATTTTCAAACTTATAGTGTTTTTTAACATCGCTAACTAAACTTAAAAAGGTATCATGACAAACAATTGGAAGTCTATCTTTGTTCAAGACAACATCTAATTCAATAAAATCAGAAAATTAAAGTGCAGATCTAAATCCTTCTAATGTATTTTCTACATTTAAGTTATAAAATACCTGGATAAAGACTGGACAATCCTCGATGAGCAGCTATAATAGGTCTCACCTTTTAGTAATATTACATAAACAAGAATGTATGATAAAATATTAATATAATATTATTTGAACATTTATTAATGAAATAATTATCTATTTTATATGTTATAACAATTCAATATTTTTTATCCTTAATGATTGTAGTAGTCTTTGACTTAGTTAAATATTTGTTGCATTTATGATCTACGAAATCAAATAATTAAGCATCAACACCCATTCCTATTTTTTTTGCTTCATTATTATATTTTACGACATTCTTGTTTAACTTATGCCTAATTAATAATTTTTATACATGTCATCCACATATTCTACCATACATTACTCGGTTTATGCAATCATCCTTCTTAATTCGGCCAAATCATCATAAGGTCTTTCCTCTTGGGCAATCAAATCTTTAAGCATATTATTACAATCCGTTTCTTCTTTGTAATACTCTGATGTCTGACTCTATTTTTTATATTATTATTTTTATGGGATAGAATTAACTGCTGTAATTAAAAAGGTGTCCTTTTTTCTTTAAGCAGCCAATTTCTTTCTTCCCTCTTCAAAAAAAGAAGGATTGGCTTCTTTCTTTTATTAAATCCTTTATTTTGCTTACTCCAGTAAATCAACTTTAGGTTGTAATGTTTAAACTTATTCTTTTTTTGGTTAATCAATAAAGAGATTATCCAACTTGGAAAACAAGTTCTAGTTTCAAATGATCAAATAACCTCTTCTAATTCACTAATTTTACTTTTTCTGCTTAAAACAGGTTGAGATTAGGCAGGAAACGATCTTTGCATATATTATATTTAATTTATTAATGTATAATCAAATTAAATGAGAAGTGAATTTGATTTCATTACTCTTAAACTCATTATAGATTATTGTATTTTCAGGAACATACAATATAAGATGATCTAATAGTTGTTTAAATTTGAAATAATAATCTAGCATGCTTAATTATCTATATTTATAAGGCTTACTATTCTAAAGTCTAAACTTCTGATATATAATATAGTCTATGATTATTTATGATTGCATTATTATTGTGTAATTTTCATAATAAAATCAAATTGTGAATGTTAATAAAATGATATTGTTTCTTCTTCTTAAATATTCAGATACTTGGTTTATTGTTAAATGTTAATTAATATGAACAAATGTCTGTCTTGACTTCATCAATAGGAATAAATCATTTTCGTTACATATTAATAATATTTAATTTATTTTAATTGAATATTAATAATAAGATATCCTTTTTATTGATATTCATCTATAAATGGTGGCTAATGTTTTGAAACTCTCTTTTAGATGACTTGATCTAAATGTTGATTAACCCAATCTTAATTTGTTGAGTTATATTGGATACAATTTAATAGATCGAGGTGACGAATATGCTGGTTCAGTTTTAAATCTTTAAGATGGTAACGCCGAATATCTTTACCCTTATTGCAATATCTTGGTTTGAGTTTGCTCTAGAATCAATTTCGTAGTTCTCGAGACACATTTATATTTGTTGATGGGCGACTTATTTTAACTAATGTATGATATTTTGATGTTTTCTTATTAAATTTGAGATTTTAGTTTATCTTAATACCTTTTTCTATTTGATAAACAGATTGAAAGTTTTCTTTATTGTTAAAACATATTAAATTTGTCGAAATATGGATCATGTTGATATTTGATTTATTTTTCACTCATTTTGCCGCTTAATGTACAATAACAACTACTTCTTCTTTTTCTCTTTTTATTTATATCCTTGTGTGGCTACTTGATTTACTTAGAGACTCCATTAAAATCTTATTTAGAAGTCTTGAGCATTTTAAGTGTTTTGATGAGAGTTTTGCTTTTATTGATATCATAAATTCCTCTATAAAATTTGAGAATATCCACATTCTCTGTATTTTGTGTTTGTCTTCTCTTTTTCTCGTTCATTTCATACTCATGAATAGATTGTTTGGTTTTGTAATCAGGCAAAATATTTTTGAATCTAATCTAGAATTTGTTCAACTATCCAAATTCATTACCATAACAACTAAAGCTTCTGGTTTATTCTTGAAAACAATCCGAAAAATTTCTGCTTTCGAGATTTACAAAGCTTTGACAAATTTTATTTTTTTTTTCGAGGATTTCTCTTTTTATTGTTACATTCTTTCTATATCTTTCTCTCTTCATCATACAGCTTCTTTTTATAATAAATATTAATATTTAATAAAAGACATTCATTCATTATTGATTACTAAATTTTGGATTATAATCATAAATCTCCTAGATATAATTAGATTTTATAAGTATTATATGATGACTAGAAAAACTATCTTAGTTTATTTATTTATAATAACTTCAAGACACTTAATATTGGAATTTATCAATATATCATATTGGCTATTTTTCAGAATATATCTATATTTTTTTTTGTTTTTAAATTATTTATTTCATTGTCTAAACAATTAATAATAAATAATCACAATATTAAAATCTTCTCTATGTTATCATTCTTATAGTATTACAACTACTATCCCATATAACTTACTTTTTAGGTAGTCTAAGAGGACTACTATAATGTTTAATTCAAGTTAATTGTAAATATAATATAAGTATGGTCTCCTTTTGATATTATTTTTATCTTAATAATTATCATAGCAATTCTCATATTTCTTCAAGCCTATATAAATTTTAATAATAATCTGAAAGTAACTTTGTTCTTGAAATAAATACATCAACTATAAAATATATATTATATATATATCAAGGAGTACTATCTTCTTCAAAATACTGCTCCTCATTAATTTCAGATTCTGGTTTTGGTGGGTACTCATCAAGAGTTTGGATATGAATTTGATTTCCAGCAAGAAATGAAAGAGTGAAGTCCTGATCCTATATATAGAAATCAGCTAATAATTGTTTAACCTAAGATTTGATATTATAAATTACTTAATTTATTTTAACCTTTTCCTCTTCGATTTATTCTTCTTCCTATTCTTTCTAATCATCTCCTGCTTCGCTCTGAGGATATTAAGATCCCTTTTAACTGGGTTCAGGTGCTTGTTCAATTTCTTCCTCCTTTCCAATGTTTTGAAAGTCTTCTTGGTTAAGTACTTTTTCCAATTTTTCCCCAATAATAGTAACCACACAGTCTTAATTGAAATCATAAGGAACTTGATGGCCTTATTTTTGTGCATGCTAATGTCTATCTTTTTTCTCCTGATTCATCTCATAAATGAAGAATCCTAGTTCCTTATTTGTGAGATTGAAGACTGGAACATTAATTTCCTTAGTAGTTTTAACTAAAAATAATGAAGATAATGTAATACTATTAATAGGTTCTTTGGGTGGTTCTTCTTTGATACCTTTTTTATTTCCTTTTCCACCTTTCTTTTCTTTTAACTTTTCTAATCTCTCTCTTTCTCTTTCAGCCTCTTCCTCTCTTAATTTCTTGAGTAGAGCAATAGCTTCGAAATCAGGAACAGTAATTTATTTTTAGATGTTGTATAATCCAAGGTTAGCATCATCTATCCAAAACAATCTTTGGGCATTTTAGATTTCTTATTTAACAATTTCAATAGTCTTAGGTCCATAATCTAAAAGTATCTTTCCTTCTTCAAGCTGAATATTGCCTTCAGGAACAAAAGGTGCTATGCTTGTAGTAACAACCTATACATGTTCTTAATTGGCTGGATCATATCCTTCAGGAAATGTGGTAATTAAATAATCTTATGGACAAATTAATCTTGCCTTTGGTTTTGGTTGTTCTGGGAGATGACTAATTCGAGTCAATCTTTAAGGAGGCTTTTCAGTTGACTCGTCTCTCAAAACATTCAGTAGATTTTTGATGACCTCTCTCACAGCTTCTGACACAAGATCACTTGGTATTTCATACATAGTTAAATAGAATGATAATCCCAATTTACCTAACAAGACTATTGATGATAGATGTCCAGACAATTAGTCAATTGTCAATAACTTATCACCTGTCAGATCTCCACCTAAAATTAGAGTTCCTGTTCGATCTTAACATCCCATGAGATTGTGACATAATATATGAATATCTCTGGCAATGGCTGATGATAAAATAGTTTAATCTGCATTCATATGGATGATAGAAGGATAGAATCTTGAAAAGAAATTCACTCTATCTCCAATGATATAAATATTTCCATAAGGTAATAGAGTTCTGTAAGGAGTTTTGGATTCAATATCAGGTTCTTCTTCAGGGTAGCCAACTTCATCTGGGTAGAAGAACAGATTTTCTAATACTAAAACGCTATTTTCTTAATAGGTTTGAGTTTCTAATTGTTCATCCAAATTTTCAATGATAGCATCATTAAAATAGACAGGACATTCAACGTGAGTCTTTAACCATTCATAAAAGAACTTGGTTGAAGATGTAAACTTATACTTTCCACTTGGATTGTCATAACTTACAAGTAACACTACAATCTTAGCTTATCTTTCCATCAATAGTTTGATAGTGTCAACACATTCTTAAAGTGTTGCTTAATCTAGATGACTTAGATCATAGTTCTTTTACTAGACTATTAATATTAATGAAATAGTACCTTATACAACTTCAACTTCCTTTTATTTGACTGGTTTCCCTTTGCCTTTTTTCTTAGCTGCTTCTTAAGCCAATCTTTCCTTTTCCAATCTTTCTTCTTCCAATCTCTTGTTTTCCTCTTCTTATTCTTTGAGTAATGTTTATTCAAACTTTTCTTTGAGTTCATAAACATCTGGTCTATTAGCTAATTTTAAATGAATCTTTAATCCAATTTTTTTTCCTTCGATATCTGAATCTTAAATTGTTTTCTTTCTAAGTAGATCATAAAAATAATTAGGTTAATATCTTCTTCTTCTAAACACATTCCATTTTAATTCTGGTTTCATCATAGCTCCTACTTATAATAATTGTCCATCATTTTCTAATTTGATAGCTGCTTATGCCAATGCTTCAGCCACCTTAGCTCCCAATTTAGTTTTATACTCCTCAATCAATTCTTTTTCCATTTCATCATTCCACTTCTTCTTTTTTGCATTCTTTAACCAATTTGCTTTCATTTTATTGAATTCATCCAATTTAGCTTTAGCCTTTTCTGGTGTTAAATCCTCAGGTTCATGAAATGTATATTCCCACATTTGCAATTCCTTACGCATATCCTCTGATAATTGAGGAACTTGATTAGCCACATCTCCTAATAATTCCTTTACTACGCTGTAAATAGGATTTCTAGAGATTGGTACTTTCTTGGCCAACTTAACCCACAATTCCAATTTACGTAATACTAGATCTTTAACTTCTTCTTCATCTATGGTATGACACGATTATCTTAGCAATTTAACATCACCATTCCAAGGTATATCCTATTTCAATAGTTAACAAATTTCGTCTGATGAGAAATTAAAGAAGTTCATAATTTCATGAGTAAACCATAATTATTCTCCCAAATTGAGTTCTTCAAATTCTATTTTGAATTATTCAGGATCACTTAGATCTGGTTTAGGCGGAGGTGGTGTTTTGACTTCTTCAAATATATCATCAACTATTTCAGTGGCTATTTTCAATGCGAACTTGTTTTTCACTTATTTCTGAAATTCCTTTCTTCCATTAGTTAATTCATCATCTATAAATGAAATGCCTGTCAATTTCAAATTAGGTAATTAAGTCAAACATGGAGGCTCACATTTCAATTCCCATTCCTCATTAAATACACCTGCTTGTTTGGATAGAAAACTGAACACAAATTTGATTCTTTCTCCTGGTTTGATGACATTTTAATCATGATGACAAAAGAACCTCTCTTCATTTATGTCTTAGATTGAATTAGGCTACTTCCTTACGCTCTCAATTCGCTTCCACTCATAATAAATAGCTGCACTTCCATTATTTGAAACAACTACATTATCATAACCAACTGTTTCAGTTTTAACCAAAAATGATATATGCTCTTTCTTCATTTACAACTTAACATATAGAATTCGAATTGATACCTAAGGACCCTCTACTTCATTCTTCTTCTCCTCCTCATCTAATTCAGAAATTCTGCTGACTGGTCCCTTGGGTGTACTTGCCCGTGGATCTTAAACTCTACTTATCTAGGACTGTACTCCTGAACCAGGCTTCTTTATTGGTCCTGGGATGGACGGAAAGAGCTTCGATTATTTTTATGATTCGTCTGTCCTCCTTTTAATGTAGAATGTCTTCTTTTTTGGCTAAGTTTGAATAAAACTATCTTCCATAATATTATAAATATAATTAATATAAATCAAACAATTATTTCATCAACTTCTCCTTCATTATCATCTATCTTCTAACTAGGAACTTCTGACATGTTCCTAAATTCGTCATCATTTCCTCTCTTTTTCATCAACATCACAACACCATATCCAATTAGCATACCCACGAGCAAACTTATCAAACAAGCAATCATAACCTTCTTCTTTCTCCATCCCAAATAGAAATCCCCTATTTTAGATGCCTAACAGTGATCTCCAGAATATCCAAACCAACAATAGCATTCATGTTCAATACAAACTCCATGTTCCGAACATCTTTTTGTGCATTCACTCAACAACATCAATTAGTAAGGATCTTCCTCCTTTTATGCCTTTGGTGGTACCATAGTTAATTAATAATTAGTCATATTTTGGTCATTACTCTCAAGACTTTTGGTCTAAGATCGTCTTGTTCTCTTAAACACATTCTCCTAATCGAAATTCTCATCATAAACATCTTCTTCCCCCTCATCCTCAGATGATTCTTAGTAATTCTACTGTTTCTTAAATTTATGACCTGTTGATATGAAATCCTGCATATTTACATTAGTGGTCCCTGTTTCAGGTTCGTTATCATCATCCTTAAGCAACTACCAGATAGATTTATACTCATCAGACGAAGACACAACCGCACAATCAGGACCACTAAATCCATACTCACATTCACATAACCCTGTATAATAATTACATTTCCCATGACGATTGCATTTATTCTTACATATTTCCTCTTCTTTCTTTTCCTCCTCCTTAGGATCCTCCCCACATGTTGAACCACTAAACCCTTCTTTGCACTTGCATTTCCCATCCAACTAACATTCTCCATGTTCAGCATCGGTACAATTGCTTGGACAAGGTATTTACAATTGACAGACTGTTCCTGTGAATCCTGGATAACATCTGCAATACCCATTACTTAAGCAAGTACCTTATCCTAAACAATTCTATCTGCATAACACTTTCATTGTACAATCTATACCCTGCCAGCCCTATTGACAACTGCAATGACCAGCTCTGCAGACTCCTCCATTTCTACAGGGAGGACAATATTCATTTGAATTAAGTAACACTGCTGTCAGTGAATCGCTACATGTTTTGTCTAATTTACACCCACCGAAATGAATTAACAATTGACCTGCAAATGCCATCCCTGCAAACTCTACAGACTTTAAATTCTTTTTCTTAAAAGCATTCACAGTACTAAAGTGATTTGTAGTAGTATCAAAAGCATATAAATCATTATAGCATTCGTATGTCTTTGGATTACACCCTCCTGCCACAAATATTCTATGATCATATTCAGCCAAGGCTGCTCCTTGTCTTGGAGATGGCACCTTGCCTGCTGGTTCCTTTTTTTCCCAAGTCAAATCCTCATTAATAGTGTATACATCATCGAGTACGACTCCAGTGGCATACCCTCCAAATATATAGACAACACCGTGATGAGAAACCATTGAGAAACTCTCCCTCCCTATAGGAATGTCACCACTTACAACTGGCTTTAACCATTGCTCACCTACAATGTCAAGAACGTATACATCGTTTGAGTATCTCTCACCCATAAACCCTCCAAATACTATACCTCCTATGGCTGTCAAAACCATCTTGTGTCCTGCTCTTGGTGTTGGAACTATGCCTGGCCAAAACAATTGATTCCAACTTTTACTCTCTAGATCAAATACGAACAGATCATTGGTCAATCCCTATAATGTATATCCTCCAAATATAAAGAGCTTTGCTCCATTCACTAATGCTCCAAATCCAGTTCTACCCACTGGGGGAATGCCAAAAACTCTAGGAGAGGTCCAAACACGAGTTCTCGCATCGAATAGAAAAAGATCATCAAAGCATTTTATGTCCAAAAAACACCCTCCAAATACAACTATTATATCTCCTATAGCATGCATAGAATGTCCTCCTCTGTTTCTTGGAAAACTCTCGTAAGCAATCAAAGGAGTCCATTCGAATTCTTTCAATACTTATTCAGGTCTCTCTTCAGTCTTCTTCTTCTTATCATCATCCTCCTCTTCCTTAGGTACATATTTGACTCGAGTAATATCGTTTAAATTCATGAGGTATGTTTATCCACTGGCAGGATCAGTGGACTTTAAAAACCAACTTCCATCTGTTAATTAATAGAGTGTTCCAACTTTAATCGAATACTCTTTGGGTTTTTCTTCATCCTCATCTATTTCATCTACACATTCAAATTAAGGAGCAGGATTTTTTTCTAATTTATTTTTACTTCTCCCAAACCTAGCTATCAAAACGGGTTCATATTAACAATTAATTAAGCACAATAATAAAATTTATAATAACATAAAATATTATATTCATGTTCTTAACCACATTCATTAAATCGCATTTTACTAAATTAAGTGTACCCGTTTTCAACTCTCACTCAGGCACGAGAATAGATAAATTTCTTATTGCTGACCTCAACCGCAGTTGGAATGAAGTCTAAAAATTAATTAGGAATGGCGAAATTAATGTTAATAACAAAAAGATTAAAGATCACCAATTCTTATTAAAAGAAGGAGATGTGGTTACTTATTGGAATAAATTAAAGAAATAAGCTGACACCTAATTAAGACCTGTTCCTAACATTTAAGCCTATGAAGAGTTAAAAAAAATGATTCTGTATGAAAATGATTAAATTATCATTCTCAATAAAAAACATGGGTATGCATCACAAGGAGGAGCTAACCCAAATTACAACATACCAGAGATTCTAAATCTATATTTTAAAAACTTCTACATTATTCATAGATTAGACCAATTAACATCTGGACTTTTGATCATTGCTAAAAATAAAGATATAGCCACAGAAATAAGTACGATCATTTAAGAAAAAGCCTTTATCACAAAAAAATATATTGCTGTGGTTTAAGGTCTAATTAAAGTCTAAAAAGGTTTAATTGACCGTCCATTATTATTTAATACTAATAATCAAAAATAAACTTGTTATAATGAGGAACAACTATTAGAAGGCAAATATCTACCTGCAAGAACCTCTTATGAAGTCATCGAAGAATATTAATATCAAGATGAAATGTATTCCATCCTTGATTTACAAATTTTTGAAGGTCGTAAACATTAAATTAGAGCACACTTAAGCTAAGTCCTAAAAACTCCAATACTATTTGATCAGAAATATGGATTCTAGTTTACTAAAACTAATCGGGATTTACAGACATCAATCTTTGGTGAAAATTAAGGAATAATGCTCTAGGCAAAAAGGATTGTATTTTAGAATTTTCCTGTTGATATTAATGAATCATTTTATTAAAATTCAAATGGGACAATTATTTAAAAAAATGGAAAATTAGAAATCGAGGCTACTTTTTCTACTGAATTTGAATCTCTTTTTTAAAAATTATCAAAATGAATAGTCTATTTTTATTAATTTTTTAATACATTAGAGTTATATCTATCTAAAAGTTATTTTATGTAAGAATTTTAATCTACATACTCTTGCTTTAATAGAATCATATGGTGATTAAAGAAGAAAACCAATAAAATAAGAATAATGATAATCTATTATTTATTATACTATTCATTTTGTATCCAAAAAGAACTTATAGGTTTTTAACCTTCTTTAATCTGCATCTATAGATTCCTTTAAAAATTTAGTTAAGATATCGTGTTAGGACTTTAATAAGGTATTCTCACATAGTTAGATATATGAATCAATATTGTCATTAATTGGATATAGGGAATGATAGAATTCCTTTGCATATTCTGCACTCTTAGTTGAAAATATTGTGGGTAAGACTTCGAAATACTTCTACTCATACGTTTGCAATTATTCTAAATAAATTTTATGATTAAATGCAGCCATTGCTTCTCTAACCATTGGAATACTTTCTTCTTTGTTATAATTAATGAAATAATCCCAAAGTTTATCGAAGTTAAATAGACTTTCTAAAAATCGTTTTTGTAGTCTGACTTCATCTGTTCCATCCCTTTAAGCCCATTTTTCAAATAGCTACCATTTTTGTTCTTTGGGAATGTTAAGATTAGCAAATATGTTTCTAATTATTCTCCATCCATTTGACAACCCTATGAAACCGAATTCTGCATCATCTGAATTAATGTGCTATAACAAGAATTCCAAATTTTATTGAGATGTGCCCCATAATGCCAAATAATCTACTAATATTAATCTTTTGTTTTTATTTTCCTTTGGACACTTTCTTAATAATTCGATAATCACATCAGCCAATTCATTCTCAAAGGTTTATCTATGCTTGATTGGACAATAAAACGAGACACCTCCAGTACACCATTCTAAAACCATTTAAAGAACTGCATCATCAGTTTCATTCAGTAATGATTTCAAAACTCCATTGATGAATGTAGTAAAACCAGTAAGTCCATCCCTAACTTAATCCCAAATAGATCTCAAGACCAAGACTCTATTGATAGTTGAGAGATTAGAGAGATTCTTTAAGAAAAAGTCTGCTTATTATTATGAATATGAAGTTTTTATGAATGAACCATCATCAAAATTTAAGAGTACGTAAGCATTCTAATGTTCAAATTCTAAGACAGTCTCTTCAGTTGGATTTAATTAAATGAGTTTGACTTCTAATTCTTTGCCATCTTTATCATACAATCCAACTTTGAACATTTGATTTCTTAAGGTTGGATGTAAGTCTTTAAGAGTTGCTGTTTATTTGAATGTATAGCTTTTTTCATTGACTGAGATAAGTTCAACCAAATTTAAACCAGCCTTCATAATCCAATCTTATTACCACTAAAGTAAATAGTCTCCTTCAAATTGTTATTTCAAAACTCCAAAGAAATCAGCAAGAGTTGTATTTGAATATTGATACTTGTTAAAATATTATCCCATTGCTTGACTGAATTTTTGTTCTCCCATCATAGTGAATAACTGTTTTAATAAGGCTGCACCTTTAGCATATGTAATGCCATCAAAAATATTGTCTGCTTGATCAGTATTCTGAACATCGCAGAAGATGGGATGAGTAGTGTTTCTCTGATCTGTTATATAACCCCAGATTTTACTCTTTAAGAATTCAACCCAATGATCGATAGGGATGTTGTGAACTTTTGTTTAGCATAAATGTGATATGAATTCTGCAAAACTCTCATTCAACCATAAATCATCCCACCATTTCATTGTTACCAAATCTCCAAACCACATATGAGAAAGCTCATGCAACAGAACATTTCCTCTTTATGCAACTTAATCTATGGGCACTTCCTCTTTGAATATTTGATTATCATTTATAGTAACAGCTCCAGCATTTTCCATTGCTCCTGTAGCATATTCTGGACAAAATATTTGATCGTATTTGCTAAATGGATATGGAAATTAGAATAGTTATTCATAATATTTCATACCATCCTTTGTTAGTTTAAAAATGTCATTGCTATCTCCTTACAAAAATTATTTCAAAGAAACCCGACAAAACAAACTCATTTCAATTCCATTGTGCAATTCTTCACATTTTATCTCCTCGTAAGGTCCTGCAACAATAGCATAGAGATAAGTGGATAATTTCTTAGTTTTCACGAATTCCTATATTTAATAATCATCCTTATGTTGAATGTAGCCTAATTCTTAGACCAATGCCAATTCTACATTTTACATATTCCCATCTACTTTCTTCTCATTACTTATTATCTTCCATTCCTTGGGAGCCTGAGCTATCAACTTAAGAGTGCCTTTTAAATTTAATTTATTTAAAACCTTTTAAATCTGGTTGATCAAAGCATGGAAACATCTTGGAAAAGTGATAAGGTTCGCATTATGAATAAAGGTATTACTATTCATCTGAATCAATAAATGAATGCAATCCATAACCTGTGGTAGAATACTCGTTCTCAAAATTTACTATAATAACATCACTTAAAATTTTACTTCTTATTTCAGTCTGACCTTAAAGATTTTCTTAGCCAACCAATGTAATGAATCCATCTTCCAATTTCCATTCAACTGCATTACCATTCACTGTTACTCCATCAAGTTTACCGCCTTACCAATCAAGGAATAATCCATCACTTTTGTGTATTTGAACAGATATGAATATTACTCCTCTATAAACCTTTCCTCTTAACAATTCTACATATATTCTGTAATCAACTTATGAAAGTGATTCTGATCTCTTAAAAGCCTATTGTTTTGTAAGCATAATAGATATATTAATAATTATTATTTAATATTTAATATTTAAATCAGCAACACTTATTTAATGTACACTCAGAAATTGAATATCACTCATAATTACCAATTTCACACTAGCCCTATGCAATTTATCAATTTATTGTGGAGCATATCAGGTTCTTATATAAAATAAAATTATTGATTGATTTCAATTTAGTTTGATTCGTTTTTTAATATAATATTAATTTTATGAAGGTATAACTAATAGGCCTTCTTCTGTTTTATTTGGTTACTTGCAAAAACATACCATTATAATTAGAGATTGGGTTAATTCAATTTGAAGATCTCTAGCCTGGAAAACTTTAATATTAAGTATGACAAATTGCAAATGAAAAATAAAGGAAATTTAATTTGATCAGCCATTTATCCGTGTCCCTTAGGTTGCTTTAACAATTAATAGTCTAATGAATCATAATTCTTAGGTGTATTTCAGCAAGATTTACAATGTGACCACTGATGGTACTCTATTCCACACTAAGTCTAGGATTTACAGTTGGAGTTTTGAGTGGAACAGAGTAATCCCTAGAATATCGCTACATGGCTATCGTTGATGATAGAGTCTAAGTGAATTGCCTTAATTTTAAAGTCAAAGAAATTGTGTTCATTCCTTATCTAAAGTATTCGCATCTAAAATCTCTAGATAGTTTGTCAAGGTACCTAAATCATGGGTATTCTTAACCGGAGTCAGATAATAAAGCAATACTTTCTCCTTTTAATAGGGTATCTGCTTTCAATCTATAAATTAGACATCAGAAATGAGGGAATCATGCTTAAGTTCCAATCCATAGACACAGAAATATTGGGAGTTTGCGTTGTGGCTGGTGCAGTTGATATTCTATAGTCTAGGATCGATGACTTACCAACATTCTAAGGGTACAACCTCATGAAGCAATCGACAACTCTATCCATCATAGCTTAATCAAGTTTTATTTGTGAAGATGAATGCTTATTATACTTTAGTAATTCTTATTATAAGTTAGGGAATGATTAAACTAAACAATTAAAAATTAGTACTGAATTTCATAATTACCAAGAAAAACCAAATTTATCAAAATTCATACCCTTGAAAAAAGAAAATCCTACAGTTACTTAAGATAAAGTTGAGAATTTAATAGAATCAACTATTAAAATCGATAAGATTGAACAACCACATACTTCTCATGAAGAGAGTTTAAAGAAGATGATAAATCAATCAATTTTAAATTTAGAAGAATAAATAAATCATCCTAATGGAATTAATAGTTTTGATTCTAATATTAATGAAATACCTCAGTCAGAACCTATAGATAGTGAAAGCGAAAGTGAAGATGAGGAAGTGGAAATGACTCCAATTAAGATTTCAAAACCTATTAATATTGAGGAAGAATTATAGAAATTAGAAAAGATTTCAGATGACAGAACCAAAAAGATTAACATCATGGAATTCAATCCAAGGGAATCTGTTAATGTTTCATTTTTATCAAGAAATAATATTGATATGCAAGAAGAAAGCAAAGCTGAAAAACTTATTGAATTAAAATATATTGATAGAGCACCTAAGTTTTCACCTAAAATTTAGTAAATGTTTGAAGAAGCAAAAAAGAATATTGAAGTTGAATAATCAACAACTGATAAAGTTGAACCTCATATAGATAACAAACTATCAATAAAGGAGTAATTGAAATTAAAAACCGAAAGTTTATTACAACAAGTTGAGAACACTTTACATACTTCCAAAACCGATTCTGATCAAAGAGATATTCCTTAATAATTAAATTTTAATAATAAGTTAGAACAATAAGATATTTCTAATGCACTTATTGAAGAAGTATAAAAAATAACTCCTCCAACTAGCGAGAAAAAGCATACTAAGTAACCCATTCTTAATGAATATGATACAATTTTTGCTTAATTTGCTAACAATAATAATAATTTAAGATCTGTGAAACCTTAGTAACGCTTTTCTAGTCCATTATTTGACACAGAAATCACTATGGAACTAGTTTAGGAGGAAGAAGAAGTTGAACCTAAATAGGAATTAAAAATTCTTAATCCAAGAGAAGAGAGACTTTAAAAATATTTGTAAAAGGCTGATGAAGTGGATCTCAATTTCTTAGAAAACATCAAATTGGTTTCAGAGTAGAATGGATAATAAGAAAACCCAACTATGGAATAAGAATAAATATAGGAAGTGTTCGACCAATCAAATGTATCATACACAGAATAATTAAATATGAGAAAGAGTATATATTATAAAAATAATTTAGATTAAATCCTTTAGGAACTTTAACAGAAATACAATATAAAGGCTGCTCCAATTTAGAGTTTTGAAGAATTTAAATTGAAAGTACCGCAGGATCAATATCCATAAATATTGTATGAGAAATATCTAGATCAATTGAAAAAGCAACAGATAGGAGCTAGTTTTATAGAAACAGATCACAATGTAAGATCGGTAGAAAACTCATATTAACTTGAAGCAGCCTACTATGAATGGCATTTATAAAAAAACATATGAGTCAAGCATCATCTATTCAATTATCAGTATATTTTAAAATTTAAAATAATTGATATTTATTATAAAATTGCTAATATAAATTTACATTTGCTGAAATTATGCTACTCCTGCATAAGCTATTAATTCTCTCTATAAATAATAAATTGGGTTCTGTATACAAATATACAGACTATAATTTAACATCAAAGGAAACTCAGAACCATGAGAAGTATTAACAATAGTGATGAAAGGGAATATTATTAATGTTGGAGCTTGTAGTTAGAAGATGAAAGCATGGTTTACAATTTTTATTAAATAGCATATATGCAATACATTTTATTTAACATTTTTTTAATTAACTTTTAATTTGAATATTACATTTTATAAATTATATTAATTAACCATCCTATGGTTGTAAATACGAATTGAAAATATAATTGGAAGATTAGGTCAGTCGAAAATGATAAAATATTGAATTGTAGAGTTGTTTTTTATAAAAGTAATTTTTGTCAATAGAAGCCAATCTAATATAGGTGTGCATCAATGGTCTAATATTCTTTAAGTACATTAAGTTCTCAAAGGCTTGTAATTTAGAGTGATTATTGTCAATTTTAAGTGACTATTATTACAAAGGGAGAATTGAATAAGTAATAAACAGAACTGAATTAAAAAAGAATATAAATTATCAATATCATGAAATTTTATTGAAATAATTTTATTGGATTAAAATAATGTGGTCAATTTGAAGAGTCAGGATTGTTTTGATTAAATGATTAAAGAAATTGATGAAAATTATAAAAACTCTTAAATTACAATATAAACACTTTGCTACTCAAATTCTCAACGCTGTAGTTAATTATGAATTAATAATACAGTATTTTATATTTTTATTAATGCAAACTGAGAGGAAGGAAGCAAAACTAGCTGGTAGTTGTGAGATGGAGGATCTGATTAGTAACGCTTAGTATATTATTGTTTAAGTCTACCCTTATGAAGTGGTAAACCAGCATTTCAGTAGTTTTGTTGAAAACTCAAAGGAGTTTTAAGAGACAAAGGAATAGCTGACAAGAATAGGTTCCAATCTTCGATTAAAAGTAGACGATTGGCCAACAATCGATGAGGCAAAAATCTTATTCTAAATAAACATGTATAAGAATTAATCATCATAAAAAAGTTAGAATGCAAGGAGAAGAAGTGTAAAATGGAATGATTAAGATAAAAGATTATTTTATTGGGTGGTTATCAGATATTGTTTATTAAAAGAAATCCATTAACTTGTAATTAAAATTATTCTTAAAACCAAGACACCTATTGAATGGAGAGATATAGCTAAAATGATAATAGGGAGGAATGCTCATCAATGTAGATTGAAGTGGGAATAGAAATATAAAATTTCTCTCTCAGAAGCACCATGGGTAGAAGAGGAGGATTAACTACTGTAATAAGTGCATGAGTACTAATTTTATAATATCTTCAAGAGAGTTTAGTAGATTGGGAAAGGAAAACAAATGGTCATAGATAGCGAGAGAAATGTATAAGAGATCTCCAAATAAAATCTTCAGACAACCGAAACAATGCAGAGAGAGATGGATTAATAGGTTGGATCCCAATATTTGCAAGTAAGGAGATAATTTATATGAAGTGAACCATGGTCGAAGTAATAGGAAATAGATTTATTAAAAACCATTTTGATAAGAGGAAAGAAATGGTCTGAATTGTCTGCTCTTTATGGGAGAGTGAGAACAGAGAATTCTTTAAAGAATAAATACAACTCACTTTTAAAAAAAGAGAAATTAAAATATGAATTTGAAACGATTAATCCACAATTATTTTCAAAAGTGCAAAAGTTAAGGATGGACTATGCCAATAAATACGGTAAAATAACTCCAATTGAAGAAATTGATAATTATGAATGGTAGTTTATAGTATTAGGAATATAAAGTTTATATATTGATTTGTGTATTTCAGAAGGTAAGTATGAGGAGGCATAAAAAATAAAGAATGATGATTTTTTTGATTTATTTCATTATGATTTAAGTTCTAGCAACAAAAGTGAAATTTTATACAAAAAATAATTGAACATCAAGAGAGTCAATAGTAATCAATTTTCTGTAGAAAATGATAGGTCTGGAGTTGTTGTCTTTAATAAAAGAACTAAAAAATTATTCATTTCTCCATTTAATACATTGGATTATCAAGGATTAATATTGAAGCATATCTATAAGTAAATAAAGACGGAGGAAAACAACAACAGTAAATGTTCAACTCTAACTCAATCTGATCATAATATGTTTATGATGTAAAAATCATTAGATGATATCAATCGACAAAGTACAATGCAACCATTATTATTATTGGCTAACCAGCCATCATTTATGATGCCTTTGGGATAGAGCATGATAAATAGTTATTGGTTGCCACCTGTACTGCCATGTATGTCTCAATCTATAGGGGGATATCAGCATTAACAAAAGAATATATAAGAATAGGTGGCATAAACCATTAAAGAAATCAATAAGCCAGTAAGTTTTGATGATTTATTCGGTAACGATATCAAAGTTGTCGATTCTGATGGAGAAAAATGATAAATTTATGATCGTTAATCTTTTATTTTAAATAAATATTTATTTTTATGTCCTCCAAGGATGAAGAACTTCAGGAGATGCTTATGAGATATGAGAATCTCGAGAAGCATAATCAGCAATTACAGACTGAAAATTCCAATTTGATGAATCAGATGCAGAGTCTTACGCAAGTATAAGGAATTCTTATAACATTAAGAATATTAGATAATTAGAAACAGAAAACAATGAATTGATTGATTAAATTGAGAATTTAAAGAATGATTTACGAACTCAATTTTAGCTGAGTCAAAGTTTGAGACAAGAGAATGAATTCTTCGAAAATTAATTGCAAGATTTCAGGAAAGAGATGGAGTAAGGAGGGCAATACTATAGCAAATTACTAGAAGATAATGATCAATATAAAACTAATCTCTAGCATAAAAACTAATAAATGGAATATTTGATTCAAGAGAACAATATGTATAAGGATTAAATGATTCAATTGTAAGAAGAAAATGATTAGATCACTCAAGAAATAACCAACTTGCAAGAATTGCTTAATCAAAATGAATTATATCATCAAGATCCCATTAATATCTAAAATTCTGATTAAAAGAAAGATAAAAAACACTCCAGAAGATAAATCAAAGAATTGGAGAAATTGGTAATTAAGAGAGAATAGGAATTGAGTCATTTATATGGTAAAATGGAGGATATGAAAAATTATATTACATAGATTAAGCATCAATCTGATAAGTACGAATAAAATTTATAACAACTATATAAAGATTATTAATAATTGGAGGCAGAAAGAAACAAATATGCTCACAAAATTGATTAGATGCAAAATTATAATGAGAGATACTCAACCTTATAGTAATAGTTATAAAACTAAGAGAAACATAAAAATAAAGAATACCATTCTTTAAAAAACTAATGTGATCAATTGTTAATGCATAATTTGTAGTATTAATAATAAATACAAACTATTAATGATGAATATGGAAAATTATCATAATAATGTATAGATTTGTAAGAATTGAATGAGCAATATATGCAAGAATCTTAAATACTAAAGGATTCTTTAATTGAGAAGGATCAAAAGCTTGAAAGAATGTAATTACAACTATAACAACTATAATAGAAAGATCTTTAAATCTAATAATAAGTCCGAGATCATAATTAGCAACTTAAAGAATTTTAAAATAATAAATAAGAATTGCAGAGTCAAATAATATAATTATAAAGGGACAATTAACAATTTTGTAATTAGATAAATACTTTGAAAGAATAATAATCTAAAGAGCTTAAGGATCATCTCAACATTCAGGAGCAATTCAAAAAGGAAAAGCAAACCTTAGTGGATAGAATAAAGATGCAAGATGAAAAGTGTTCTGAAATGGAAATTAAGTACAAAAACATTGAAATATATTTGAAATAAGTGGAAGAAGAGAGATTGTATAGAGTCTAAGCTGAATAGTATTAATTTATATATTTTAGATCTTTCGAAGAAGTCTCTCAATAATGTATGTAATTATAAGATTAAAATAGAGATCTACTTCGACAAGTAGCTAACCTTGAAAATGAATTATAAAGAAATGAAGAGGAAATGAAGCAACTTAAAAAGAATAACAAAAAGTATTTATTTGAATTAATACAAGTTCTTAGAATTTCGATAAAACAACTTAGTAATTGATACTCAAAGATAGGGAAATCTTGCATCTCTAATCAGTCGTCGAGAGATTGGAGGGTATGAATAGACAGCTGCAATAAGAATGTGATAGATTGGCTGCTAAAATATAATTAACATCACACGAAAATTCATTATTGAGTAAAACCAATAGAGAAATTAACCAAATGGGTCGTTTAATTTTAGAAGGTTAATAGATAAAAGAAATGCTAGAAAAGAAAAAGTATGAAAAACCATTAACAATTACGAATAATAAGGCTCCTCAAGTGATTTAATAACTATAATAACATAGCAGAAGACCTTCTGTTAAAAAATCTTGAGAACAAATTAGTTTGATTAATATTTATATAAATATAACTTTTCATAATTTTCTATTTGAAATTAGAGTTAATAACATTTGATTAATTTAAGTTTCTTAGAAGATATTTAATACTTCTTTATTTACATGATTTCGAAAATCATACGCTTATATCTTTTGTTCAATTTATATAATTATGAATAAAATAGGTTATTAATGATGTTCAATTTCAATTATTATAGGACATAATAAATGAAATCACTCCATTTACTTTTCTTTTTTGAAGTATTAAAATTATTGTTTTTATTCCTCCTTTCTCAGCTTTCTTTATTGAATTGCTCTCTCATTAATTTTCTCCATATATTCACTAAATGAAATAGCCTTCTCTTCACCATCTTTATTTTTCTCCTCATCTCCAAAAATTGCATGAATTTCAGAATCCAAACATTACCTACCAAATCGAACATATAAGAGTTCCAAAGTGTCCTATTTTTATAAGTTAGTATTTCTACTTCGACTGTTACTTTTGGATCCTTCCTATCTGGGGGTAAGTACATTAAGAATTAAATCATATGAAACAAACTTTTTGGTTCTAGGCCTGTCTTGTCGATTGTACATTTTTTGTACATATTCAAAAATTCAGTCCAACTTACTCTTCCATCAAGATTTTCATCAACTTCCTAGTTTCATTATTAATAGTGTAGTTTACCCATAACATAAGATCAATTTCAGACTTGGTAAGTGAAACACCTAAAAATTTAAGCATTTTATCAATATCTTTAGCATCAAAGTAATCAACATCTTTTTTTTTAAGCATCTAGAATACTCTAAAAATAACAATAAGAATACTTTTCTAACTACTTCTTTTCACTTGCTTTGATTTCTATACCTTCTAATTTTTGTTCAATTGGTTACTCTTTTTCAACTTTTTTCTGTTTCATTCTTTGTACATCGACTTAGAGATTTGATTTTGGAATTTAAGCTTTGGGTAATATTCCCATTGCAGCATAGCGTTCTTTCATTGAGGAAGGTAAGAGATTTAAGTCTATTTTATTGCCTTTCTTCTTCTTTTTTTCATCGTCCATTTTTGTAATATTTATTATAATTATAAGACATTAATATATTCGAAGAAAGTTCAATTGATATATATATTTGGTAGAATTATAATGGGAGAAATCTATTATTAATTATGTTGCAAATGTGTTATTTTGAATTAATTAACTGAGTTTTAGGTTGAAGTTTATTATTAATAAATGAACTATTAAAAAAGTCGAATTTTAAGTGATAATGAAATACAATCCATTTATGAATAACTCCAGACGAATTTGAAGTTAATGACGGAGTGTTTGAAGCATAATAAAACATTAATGAAGGTTCATTATTGAAATTATGTCTAGGATTTTGGTAAGGCTACTTGTGACTATGGAGACAAAATCGAGGATCTCTCTAAAAGAACCATCAAGGATATGATGAAAATCAATACAAATTACATACTTAAGGAGATGAGTGGATAGGTATTACTATATTAAGTTTGAATAGATTAAAATAATTGGTTCATAAATTATGGGAACATCTTAGGCCATTAAAGAATTAATGAATCCAATCGTAGAGGAGGGGAAAGCTCTGAAATAATCATACAATGATTACGTCAAACAGATAAATTAAAGGAAGAAGGATCAAGAAGAGTAATTTAAGAAATTGGATGATTTGAAAACCAAAATAGCAGTATATCAAACATCAGTCTATCCAATTGAAAAATAGATGACATCTTAATTTAGATAGTTGAAACAATAAGAGTAAATGATGATTGAGGAGCAAAAGCTTAAATATATGTATGTAGGACAATGCAAAACAGATTTAAACAATTTTATAATTGAAGAAAATTAAATAGTTGAATAAAAAACTAATTAAATTACTCTTAAATGTTATGAATTGGTAAGTCAGTGTTTGGACGAGTACAATAAGAAATTTAAAGACATTGCATAAGTTAAGCATTTGATGGATTATTCAATGAAATCTTTTGATAGATCTTCTAAGAGGAGTATTACACCATCAAAGGTCTGTGCATTATCTCATTGTTCATCTTAGAATGGACATAGTTAAAGATCTAGATCTAGGTCACCATCAACTTAGATTTAAGGGATGGAAAGATTCAGAGATAATAATAATAATTCTAAGTAGGACATTTCTAATGCTAAGAATAATTAATGTTAAAAGGAGAACCTCCATAGAAAAGATCCTAGTAGAGATGCTCTGGTTAGTACAAGAAATTAGAGTAAAAGCTTAGTTAAGAAAAATGATGACTTTAACGTTGTAGAATCAGAGATATTTGAGGATTTTTTAAATAAAAATTATAACAATAATAATAATAAAAGCATAGGACATAGCAAATCAAGAAGCATTTTAAAAGAGAATTTTAATGATACTACCTAACATATGATAAAACCATAGTCTAAAATTAACATCAAGCAAAGGGGTGATAGTAGGAGACAAATAAGTAATAGAGTTACTTCAGATGAAGACTATATTTGATTAATTAATATTATATTGTATTATTAACAACAAATAATTCAACGTCTTGATTATTTTCCAATACCACTTTTACCAGTAAATAAGTGCTTAGGCATTTTGCAATCTATTTTAGTATCACCATCACCAGCTTTAGCCTCATTTCTTCTTCTTCTTTATATTTTTTTAGACATTCTTTCCATAGCCTAAATTATTAGATAGAATATATTACTTATTCTTAAGCAGTAAGGACTTTTTTATTACCTCTACTCCTGCTTCTTGAGATTTCTCTAAGTCTGCTTCTACTTCTGGATAAAGCATCTCTTCCTTTTCTTTGATTTCTCTCATTTCCTTCAATATCCATATCATTATCATCACTATCATCTGATGAATGTTGTTGTCTTTTCTATTTTTAGATAACCTTCTTTGCAGCAAACTTCTAAGCTCTCTATTCTAAAAAGGTAGTATCAATTCCTTTTTTAGCAAAATCTTCTTTTGCATCTTCCAAATTGGGTCTATGTAATTTAACTTATTGTTTCATCTTCATATGATGTTCTTCCTTAATCATCTCTCTTTTTTTGTTGACTTGATCTCTTGTGTTTAATAACATTTCTTCTCTAGCATCCTCTTCTGGATCTTCAACTTCAGCTTAATCCATCATTTCTTCTTCCTTTTCCAATTCCTCCAATCTTTAGAGAATATCAGCATCAACAAAATCTCCAATATTCTTACCATCCATGATTTCAGGTACAGCATCATATTTCCAATCAGGATTGTCTAACAAAAAGTGTTCTATTAAAATAATCAACATATAATAATACCTTATAATGGGAAGGAGAAGACTCCAGCTCCACCATTTTATTCTTGTACATCCTTCAAGGTTGGTCTATTTAATTTACCCACTACTTAAGGAATTACTGGCATTCTATTTTGATTAACTCTTTTAGGTTAAGCAATATAGACTCCTTAGAGAATTGACTCTTCTCTCAAAAGATTTGGATTGCCACCTGTTAATTGTTCAGGCTTAAGATTTTATCTCCATTCATTTAATAAATTGCAGGCTTTTTCTTTAACTAAGGCTATTCCCTCACCAGATTTGTTACTTAATTAAGAACTAATAAATAGATTTCAAATAGATACTAGAACACATTTTCGGATTGGATGACATCTTACAACTTTTATTAATCAATTGGATCTAATTATTCAAACTTTTTAATATCTATTTTAGTCATAACTAACAATAAAGGTTTATTCTTGAAGAGTGGTTTTAAGTCTTTGAAGAGTGCAATCTATTGATCAATTGAATAACTGCATGTTTCTGAAATATCCAAGAAAAACATGATGCAGGCCTTTAAATGTGCAAGTGCTGTAATTGCTTACATTTCAATCGGGTTTCTTTCACTCAATGAATGATCCAAGACTCCTGGAGTGTCGATAACTTACCAACGTACAAAGTTGTAATCACTGTGTCCAACATATAGATTTTATGTTGTGAATGGATAGGGTTGGACATCCAAATTGGCATTTGTAATATTATTTACAAAACTACTCTTTCCGACATTGGGGAATCCAGTGACTAGGAGAGTTCTTTCAAAGGGATTGATGGCTGGCATTCTGGATAAGTGTTTTCTGACTTCATCCAAATAATTCAGAGAACTGGTCAATTTTTTAAGTGTGGTACACATACGACCTAATGCTGCTCTCTTTAACATTTTGCATCTATACAAGGAATCACCGTATTTTAGCAATCTACAATAATCCTTTGCAATGTTATCAATCACATTTCTACAAGCATGTACATGTCCCAATGCCAATTTATAATGATCCTTGTCATACAATACATTAATCAAATCTGCATAGAATGGATGAATATCATCTAACTATTATATATGAGGATATCAAATACTTTTGGGAAGTCTTACAAAATGGCATCAATCTTCTCGTGAATGGTTTCTTATGTAAATTTTACTTTTCTCATATAAAATCCTCTAATTCTGGAGATATCATATCCAGGATGGACTACTGTAGGTGTTTTCCTTTGAGTCTTAGATAAAATCACATTTATCATGTCTTTAGCAGGCATAACAGGACGTATAGTTTTGAAGTTATAAGACATTGCTATTTTTAATCACAAAAAATATTTAATCATAATTTTAATTTAATATAGTTTATAATTCTCCAATAGTGACGGGTTTAAAAAGTAATTATCCATGCCACTTTCAAATCAATAATTTTGAGTTTCCTCATCAGAAATCCTATTACAATGGTTTCTCCTTCTCCATCATCCTTTTGAAAATTGAGATGCATCATTGCCATCTACATTTCAATTATATGACAATTTGGTCAAATTGCAACTCTCCTCCTTCCTCCCATCATTATCAAAATATTTTAGGACTATTGAAAAGAATTCTCGGATTCCAATATTAATATAGTATTAAAAAAATAACTGTAAATTTTTTCAAAAATCCCTAAAGATTATTCTAGAATCTTCTGTTTTGGAACAGATTGTTTGAAAGATGCTATGCTATTAATGGACTTTGGTGTGAGTTATCAACTTTATGCACTCAAAATTCCTCATATAATTTGAAGTCATAAAATAAGTGATCTAGCCGTTTCTTAATTCATTTTGGAATAGGTTTCGTAATTTAAGTTCTCTTAGTTAATTATTTATCATATTCTTATTTTATTGTTATTCAATTTTGTATATCTAATTATGTTTCCCAAGAATTACATCATAATGGAATACTATTTTCAACAAAGACAATGATATCCTTGAATAAAAATGTTCTCTCTTATAATAATTTTATATTCATTTAAACATTGACTATAATAATTATTCTTTATGAAGATTAATTTGTATAAAGTGTTATCTAAAATAAATTTAGAATCATGCTCACTAAGTAATACATGACTCTATTTAGGACAGTTATTAATGATATTATAATTTATCTAAATTTGAATTGAATATAGTTGGATTTTTTCCTATAAAATTGTGCTTAAGGTCTATCAAATTTCTCAATCAAACTACGATAATTAAGTTTTTGAAATATTATTGTAAGTGCTACCTCTTTATAGTCTTGCAAATAGAACTATAAAGAATTTTAAATATTCCAACTTATTGAACAATCAGAACCTTAATCTAGGACTTTATATTGAGATGAAGAATAAATCGAATAATTTGAAAATGTCTACATAAAGGAGATTGTCCAATTGATACTCAGTGCAACCTAAAAGTATTGTTTATTATTATACTCTAATTTAAAAATGAGAACTATTTCAAATTAAGTGAGTTGTTGAAATACTCTTTAATAGATATTGTTTATTATATTTTATTATGTTAAATATATTATTGATTTGGTCCAAACTCCTTGAAATAGGAACTTGTGGGACTATCAGCCCTACTATTTTTTTTTAGGCACTCTCATCAGATAACTCTGAAGTAACAACTCTTAAGCTAAACACCGAATATATAATCAAATTTGATTTTACATTGCCCTCTAGTCATGATTCAAACGTAGACTACTTTAAAATAACACTAACAGGATTTTCATCATTGAGAAATCCAGATTCTTCAAAATATTTTAAAAATCCCACCACAGATGGAAAATCTTACATTCGATTTAGCTTCGATTATACTTAATACACTCCGTCAATAATATTTTATGCTACCACAGGTGCATCACTTGTGGAACATACTTGTAAAGGTTAAAGTTTTTCAGGCACTACAGACCTTTCAATTTACTCAAGTGATATAAAAACCTTTACCTTAGCAGGGGGAACAATAACGATAGATTCCATTAGTCCATCAAATAGGATTTTCGACTTGAAATCAACTTATACTATCAAGCTTACCTTTGAGAATTCTCTATCAGTAAATCCAAATTCATTAACCTTTACAATACCATCAGGTTTACAATCAGGCACACCAATTACATGCACAGGAAATCCGTCTACTTCAATTCAATGTTCTTATGATTCAGAAAAATAATTAATAATAATAACTTCTTTAGATTCTACTAAGACATAAACGATTCTTCTTGACTTTAATAACCCCAAGTCACCAACTACATTTCTTACTTTTAATAATTTTATTACAAAAATTGATAATATTTTAGTTGATACAAGCAGCACTTCCTTAGTAGTCAATGGGTACAATGATGGAATACTCGCAGATGTATAAATAGAAAGTGGATCTTATAAAGTAGGTTAAAATGGAGCCTTTATTAAATATACATTTAAAAACATAAATGATATAGAACCTAGTTTTTAATTTGAATTAACCTTACCTAGTGATATTTAATGGGATTTAACATCTAAATCATGTTCTTTGAGTGTGGCAGGTGTATTAAAAGGTTGCGATTACGAAAAAAGTTCAACGAATGCTTAATTGATTACAGTAACAATAACCATATCTAATTCAATATCTGGAGGAACATCGATAATATTAACAATTAATTCAATAATAACACCATATACCTTCAAATCTGCAACTGGATTCTCATTGAAGGTAATTAAGGATACTGTGGAATATGATAAAAAAATATCCTTTGGAAGTTTAACAATGACACAATAAAGCGGCATTACTTTATCATTTTTTGAAAAAACAGAACTTAAGAATGGTGCTCAATCAACTTATACTTTTAATACTTAATTTGAAACTGCATAACCTGATGGCACAAAAATAACATTTACTCTACCAGGATATCTGTTAGACAATGTGAACAAAGTAGAATTTTATAATTTTAATCCTTATACTGGTTCCAATCTATTAGTTATTTCATCTGCAGCTACAATTACAATCTAATTAACTGGAGCTTTAGATAAGAATTAAATTTATGTCACTAAAATATATAACGTAGTGAATAAAGATAGTATTGGCACAATTACAGCTGAGACAGTATTAGGCACTTATAAGATATCAAGCACAGATTAAGGCACAGCTCTTACTGTTTCAAGTGGCGACCCAAATACTATTACTATTAATTCTTTGGATATCGAAAAAAAATTACTAGGAGTTTTAGATACATATTATTTTAAAATACAATTATTTAATTAGCCCTCTGATGGATCTACTATCATTGTGACTATGCCAGAAAATTTTTCTGTTGATATTGCGAATTAGGAATGTAAAGCAGCAGTGGATAAAACTAAAGGCTTCACAGTAGATACATGTTAAGTTAATAGCTAGGAAATTAGTATTAAAACAAGTGCGATAATATCTAAAAATTTGGAGTTTAGACTGAATAACTTAATTAGGAATCCCAAGGTCTCTTAGTCTACTTACTTTTTTTAAATAAGAACATAGAGAGGTACAACTATTATAGATGAATCTAGCAGCTCGGATTCATTACTATAATTTAAATTAAATTGTCCTGCTACTCCTTCTTTATTTTGTAAGGAATGTGATATTTCCAATAATTGCTTATCATGTTATACTGATGTCTCAATAACCCCTAATATTTACCTATTTGAGAAAAAATGTGTAAGTACTTGTGGATAAAAGTATTACAGCGATTCTAGTAATGCTTGCAAGAGTTGCCCAGATAATTGTTTAGAATGCACTAGTAGTACTGTATGCTAAAGTTGCAGCGATGATACAAATTATGAACTCAAGAATAGTAAATGTGTTAAGAAATGTAATGAGAAATAATTTGATTATAATGGTATATGTACATTGTGTAATGAGAATTGCAATACTTGTATAGATCAAAGTACGAAATGCACATCATGTGGAACAACCAATAATCTGCTTTATTAAAACAAGTGTATTTCTTAATGTCCAACAGGAATATTTCAGGTTGGGTTCTCTTGCATTGCATGTACTTCACCCTGTAAAACATGTAGCACTGGTCCAACTGCATGTCTCACTTGTGTTGCTAATTATTATTACAAAAAGACATCATTGAGTTGTGTTACTGATTGTGGTACTAGATATTTCTAAGATGGAAGTGAATGTACTTAATGCTCTGATCCATGCAATAATTGTTCCAGTAGCACAATATGTATTGATTGCATTACAGGATACTACTTTTTCAATAATAGTTGTATATCAACAGTGCCTAGTGGCTATTATTAATCAGGCAATACCTTAATTAAATGTCCTAACATTTGTGGAAATTGCATTTCAGAAACTGAATGTACTTCTTGTCCAACAAATCAATATTTGTTATCAAAATAATGCATAGATAAATGTCCTGATAAATATTACTCATTGAACTTTGTCTGTTATTCTTGTGATGCCTCGTGCCTGTTATGTTCCTCAAGCACAGTGTGTACTTTATGTCCAGATAATTATTTACATTTGTCTGGTAAATGCTATTAGAATTGTCCTACTAAATACTACTCCTTGGATTAATAGTGTTTATCATGTCAATCATCTTGTGCCACTTGTGTGAATGGTCTGGAGTGTAAGACATGTCCAACAAGTTCACCATATATGTCAAGTAATCTGTGTGTTTCCACCTGCTTGGCCAATTATTATATAAAAGAGTATGCCTGTATCAAGTGTTCAAATGAGTGTGCCACATGCGATGATAAAGGCTGTCTTACTTGCATAGAGAATTACAAATATTTAAATTAGACTTGTGTAACTTCATGTCCTAGTGGATATCAAGATGTACCTTATATTTATAATTACTAAGTTGAACAATGTAGGAATATGCGAGATTGTGACGAGTTCAGAGGAGCAATTAATATCCAATTTGTAAGAGAACAAGTACATACCCATTCCATTCACAATAGTAGCGATAATTATGATTTTGAGTGTTGCAGTGGCTAAGATATCTAAATCTGAGGTAATAAATAATGTACAATAGTAGACTTTTATTCCAGGTTCAGCAGTTGGTTTATTGGGTCTAATCATTGTAGGTTCATGGACAGTGCTACTTATCTTATAATTGGATTACATTTTGGAGAAACTAGAAATGTATCTAATAATGGGTTCGATTGGAGTTCACATTATATTGAATCTCATTAATCTATGCGTTGTCAAACATAGTACTAAAGGGGACATTGCTTTTAATTAGTGGTATGCAGCAAGGAGATCCAATTCGTGTGCCTACATCTTCCTAAATGTATTGTCTGTACTGAGTTTCACTATGACAAGGTTTTATTTTTCTAGGTACTTCGGATTTAGATTCTTAAAATGTAGATTATCAGATGTTGATAATATGGTAGGGATGAATATCATCAATGGACTCTGTGCATTTGTATCATTATTCCATCTATTCATTTTAGTTTTGTTGTATTCCCGCTTTGATTGCCAGCGTGCTTCTAGCCTACAGGGATCAACAAAGAGAGTAATTATTCATAAGCAGTATTGACTCATTCATAGTCACCATTATCTTTGCAATCTGTTTGATATGTGAAACTCAAAAGGACGAAAACTTTTTTGAAGAAAACAATAATGGATCTGCTCCACATTCACTCTAAGTTATTCCTGATTACTTTTAAACCAAACGATCCAAAAGGTTTTCCTTTGATGAATCCATAAATGGATAATAGTTTGTTAAGAATGAGTAAGATCATGAGCCATCTTTTCCAAAAATTGATGAATCCATTGAATATAAAGATAATCAATCCTTTCAGAAAATGATGCATTCTCAAATGATCTTCAAATAAGAGATTCCAGATCCAAAAAAAGACAATTTCAATCTGTCTCAAGAGGAAATGATCATTAAAATACAGAGTAATGATGTTTCCGAACCCGTATCAGTTATAGAATCATCAAGAGAATATTAGAATAGAATTTAGGAATAAAAGAGATTAGAAGAATTGTAGAGGCAGGAAGAGTTAAAGAAAATAGAATTAGAAAAATTAGCAGAACTCAAAAGAATAGAGGATGAAATCAAATAGCAAGAACTCGAAAAAGTTAGAAGAGAGAAAGAATTATTACAATTAGAGGAACAGAAGAAACAATAGGAATAATTAATTTAGTAATAGTAAGAGACGATGAAATTAGAAAGAATAAAAGAGGAATAAAGACAGACTGAATTGGCAGAGTAGGAATAGAGGAGAATAGCTGAATTAAAGAGAATCGAGGAAGAAATTTAGGCAGAAAAAGTGAGATAGGAAGAATAAAAACTAAAACAATAAGAGGAAGAGTAGAAAAGATTATAGGAGGAACTAGAATAAAAAAAAAGAGAAGAAGAGATTAAATAATTGTTGGAAGAATAACGATTATAGGCATTGAAAGAATAAGAATTACTTTAATCTAAATCAAATAAAATCATTTTGGTAGATCAGGATGATGATGATGCTGGATGGAATATCGAAGATGAAGAGAATCAGGAATAAAGTATTGATTAAGGCTATTAAAAATAACTACAAAAGGAAGTTATTTTAGATGAAAACAATGATGTTGAAGATAATTGGGATGTTCCAGCACAGGGATTTGTGAGTATACAACCAAAATCACATCTAAAAAAAGATAAACAAATTGAAGAACCTTAAAATCCATTTAGAGGGGAGAATTAAAGATATGTAGCTTAATCAGACCTATTGAAATTCTCAAGTGATGATTAAGATGATGAAGACGATTGGGCAAAAAACCAAATATCTCCCTCTGAATTCAATGTTCTTAATTAAAGATTCAATCAAAATGATCACTCGGTTACATAAGTTGATCGATCTAATAAGTTCTCTTCAACAGGCTAAAATTTTACATCTCTTATAAAGAGACCAACCTAACCTGATCCTGAAACAATTAGTGATAGTGATTCAGTCAACAAATGTGAATAATTTCCAAAAATCAAATAAACTAAAGGACCTAAAAAATAAAATTAAGGGTAACATAAAAGGATGTAGTTATAAAGATAAAAGATTTAATAAAAAGGTAAATAAAATATTAAAACTAATGATATCCAGTTTTGATCTTATAAATGATGAATTCAATATTTATTTTTCCTATAAATCAAGAGCAATTATTATTTTAAAGATGATTCATTTTCTAATTTCTAGAGCTTTAAATATGATATTTAAATTTAGAGGTTTATCGACTACTAATCAGATCCATACTCATTCCTACTTTAAAAAGATTAGTTTTGTAAGAAATTAGATATTATTAACATAGATTTCATTATTTGAGATCAATAATTCATCAAATTAACCTCGTTTATAGGTGTGTTTAAATTTACTGTGATAAACACTTCAAAAATATCTTGAATAAAAGGAGAAGGGAAGGAATTCTTAATGGAAACTTATTAAATGCTTTTCTAAATACAAATTGAACTTTCTAATAACAGATTTTGAGAATGATTAAAACATAGACTACATTTTTGACATATTATTCATTCTGTTTATTAATTGTTATCATCTATTTTTGAATTCACTAATCATACTAGAACATACTCAATTAATTCTGGGGGGATTGAAATATTTTTAGCTTTCCTATTTTCAAAGTTAGAAATATATCAAAATTTATGAAAATGGATCAATTTTGAGTGAATTGAATTTCAGCTTCTGAATTTTTAAAGAACATCTTAGAATTATTATTAAATTTATGTTATGAAAATAATTGTATATCATTTCCCTATATTAATTAATATGTATGATTTAAAAATTAAGATATGCTATTTATGCAAAAAGTACAAAAGGTATTTGATAAATAATTAAATTGATGCTTAAATTTTAAAAGAGATCAAGAAATGAAATCAAAGGATGCTTTCTTAACCTTGTCAATTCTTTGGACTTTTTTGGGCAACCACCATTTTTTCGTATTTTGAAAAGATAAAAATTTAATACAGTCTTGGGCCACTTTCTAACAATTATCCTAATGGCTGTTTGTGCCTTATACATGTATTACCAGATATAGGATTTACTTAATCAAGGAACTCCAAGCATCATCATTTCAGAAACTTAACCTTTGAGCATGCCTGTAATTGAATAAATTATATTTTTAGGCCTTTACTTTAGATCCTAAGAATTTCACATTTGTAATTAGCATAACAGATACTTCGTTATTATCGTTGTCAACCTACAAGAAACATTTCGATGTAGTTTTGACAGCCTGTAATCGAACTCGTTTTTTCAATGAAACAAAGCAAGCTTAAGATGTCTCATTATAGTAAATTACTTAACATAACTTAGATGTCGGAATGTACCGTTGGAGAGTTGCAATCTAGATAAGCATTTTCCCTAGGATTACCAAAAGCAATTCTTCTCAAAGTTCCTTTTAAAAAATTTGTTCTGTATCAATTCAACAGTGAGCGAAGAAAATCCACCCGTAATGAATTCATACTATTGTAGTAATTACAAGGATACTCAAATGCCGATACTTTTCAATTTTTACAAGTATTAATGATGCCTTGCAGAAATTCATCAACTTATAACGGATGTAGCCCGCCGGAAGAAATTTAAACTGCACTAAAAGCAGGATATTATGCCATCTATTTGGGAGACACCTTGTTGAAATTCGATAATCCAGGCAGACCCTATGAAGAGATCATTACAGTTCAATTTTCCTCATTCTCATCGAGTCAATCTAAATAAATTCAATCAAACTTCAAAATGATTGAAACAAAGACAGACGTCGGGTTAATTAGATAAGACGTAAAAACAGAATTAGCCTTGTTATAATCAACCTAAAAGGACTTTCAATCTTCATACAATCAAATATCCTACATAGAGAATCTAATTTTTATGGAATAAAGAGTTGGAAATTATAAGAGATCCTACATTAAACTATAAAACATATTGGGTAATGTTGGAGGACTTTGGCAATTGGTTGCTCTTACTATCAGCACATTAGTCAGTCCTGTTGTTGCAACATTGATGAATTTGTAAATGGCCAATCGTATATTCAATTTTGAAAACAATGTGAGTAATAATGAATCCCCTTCTTTGTCACAATCAATGAACAATATTAATGGTGATCAAAATTAGAATGATTTCATTAAAGAAGACAAAAACAAATTGGGGAATCCTTAAAGAAAATCTAAAAGGAATCTAAATTAAGTGGAAAATCGAACGGAATTAAAAAAGTTCCTAAAACATAAAAAAAAACAACTGTAGGTTGGTATGTGTGATTTGTTTTGTATGAATTTGGGAATCAAGAAGTCATATCAACAGTAAATCAAGTATTCCATGGAGAAAATCTTTAACAAGTTGGATGTTGTAAACATATTAAATAAGATGCAGGAGATTGATAAATTGAAGTATGTACTCTTGAACAAGGAGCAATTGGAGTTATTTAATTACATTCCTAAACCATTGATTCCATCTGATATGTTTTCAAAGGACTTTGAGTAGAAACTCAATGTATTGGAAGAGAAAATAGAATTCCAATTCATACTCTAAGAAGAAAAATCTGATCTTTTCAAAATTGAATCTGCTTTCTATGCCTACATGAAATTGCATCAGAAGAAGAAGCTGGGTGATGTAGATAAAAACATTTTAGATCTTGTTGGAGAAGAAATAATTTCAATTTTTGAGAAAATCAACAAAAACCAAGATGAATTTTTGATTTAAAGCAATAGAAATATTCATTCAAATTTAAACTTATTGGATCAACATCAAATTGAAATATTATCCCCTGTAAGTAGTAAAGGAGATAATGTTTAATTTAATCGAAATGATCATGATATTGATTGCAATTCTGATTAAAATGATGATCACGATGAACAAGCAGCTTAGATACCACCCAAAATCCCTTATAAGAATTGATATTATATTTATTTTATAATTGTTTTAAATTCGATTAACATTTTAATAAAACCATGGGATCTAACTGTTCAAATTGTGGACAATGCTAAAAAGACAATAAAGATCTATTATACGAAGTTAATATTACAAAAAAAACAGAAAGTAATAAAAATGGAATGTCAATTCTGTCCTAACCATCTCAAGCCTCTAATCATACCGTTAAAGTTGTCATCACTATCTATATTAGACCCAATCAAAGATGAATCAGGTTAAGGATAACAAGGAAGTAATGAAGCAAAAGCAATTAGAAGGTTTGCGATCCTAGAAAGCAATCATAATTTAAAAATAATGGAGAGGGCATAAAGCAAGATTAATTTTTAAAGATTTGAAACAAGGGAAGCAAGAGGTTGCAAAATCTGATGAACAAGCTGCAAGTTAAAGTAAATTGAAGAGAAACACTTTCAAATATTTCAATTCAGAAGAATATGCAGGTAGCATAAAATAATTATAAGGTCAGATGTGAATCCAAATAATACTTTGAGAGAAAAAAGACCCAAATATTAATTTAGGAGTGGTACTTCCTATGAAGGAGAATGGATAGGCGATAAACGAGATGGACAAGGAACTCAAATTTGGCCAGACGGAGCTAGGTATGTAGGACAATGGTCAAATAATAAAGCCAGTGGGAAAGGGACGTTTTATCATGTTGATGGAGACTCATATTCAGGATAATGGGAGAACGATAAGGCTAATGGCTATGGGGTCTATAGACAATCAAATGGAGCCGTCTATGAAGGTTATTGGTAAAATGATTTTTAGCATGGGAAAGGCCATGAAGAATGTATTTTTAATATTAAAGAAAGGGATTGATAATTCTAGTTATAAAGGAGAGTATTTTCAAGGTAAGAAGCAAGGTAAAGGTTTGTACAGATGGCCAGATGGAAGTCTTTTTGAAGGAACTTGGTTTGATAATAAAATAAATGGATACGTAATATTTTTTATTATAATCAGGGAGAGTACAGTTGGGCTGATGGAAGAAAGTATCAAGGGAATTGGAGATATAACAAAATGAATGGCTATGGAGTCTATTAGTGGGCTGATGGACGATCATATCATGGCGAATATTAGGAGGATAAAAAGCATGGGAAGGGTAAATATTTTTGGCCAGATGGGAGGGTGTTTGAAGGTGAATGGAATTAAGGTAAATAACATGGAAGAGGCAAATATGTATTGGCAGATGGACAAACAAAATTTGGTATATGGGAAAATGGAAAAAGAATCAGATGGGAGCAATGATCAAGTTACAATCTCTTTTCTAATAGTCTCTATTAGAATAATGTCTTAAAATATTTCATCACTTATTATATTTTATTTAAATTACTCAGAATAAGCTACATATTGAATGATTTGTTGATTTCAAACCATTCCAATCTTAATTTATATAAATTCTTATTCATTGCAAAATTTGATATATAAGAATTTAAGAATTTCATAGTCCAGCACTTGGAATTATCAATTTTAACATGATTTAGATAAGTTTAAGAATACAATCAAATAGAGCTTAGCATATTTTATACAAATAAAAATGAACAAAGAACTAAATCAAATTGGATCTATTAAGATTTCATGATTCTCTCTTTATTTATATTTTCTAAATCCTGTGATTAATGCAGCAATTAGAATGGCTCCTGCCCAGACCCATAAAACCAAGTACCCATTGAAGCCTTCAAAAACGCCAGTTTCTTAATACAGAATCTCTTCATCATGACACATGAGATCGCAATTATTGCAAGAGCATCTTTCGGATATTACAAATCCATCTGGTGTAACTATTTTGCCATCTGGACCAGCAGGATAATCATACTTGCAATCAGGAACAAAATCAAAGTTAATAGTCTCTTCGTCATTATCAATAAACTTGACTGATATGAATTATTTAGCTTAACCACTAATATATAAATCTAAACAATATACACTGCCTGTTCTCCTTGGAAGTTAAAGAATCCTCCTGGAGTTTTCATTGCTGTTACTTATGAAGCGAATTGAGTTCTCTTACAAGATGACCACATGTCCTATAAAGATTAAAACAAAATAGTTACACATGCCACTTAAGGTTTGACTTTAATCTCAACTAACTAAACTTTCAATATATTTTTGGGGTTTAGAGGGTCTTTCATATTTGTATATCCGTTTGTGGTTAAGAAATCGCTCTAATTAGGACTACAAGTATACTCACACCAGAATTTCTTCAAATTATAGGCACAACTAAGAATGAGACAATATATCTTACATATCACATCCACCACCAGCATTACCAAAAGATGCATCAATGGCTTGAAAGTTTCGTTGCATTTGGTCATCCTAATTTTTGTTACAGCAAACCATCTTCCCATCCATATGAGGGCATTATGAAACTCTCCCTACAAAGGGTTCAGTATCAACCTCTAATGGATCACAGTTATTCCCTTGACACTCCACAGAGAATGCGCATCTAGAATAAGCATACGTAATGAAGGTAAATAATATTATCATTAAATTAAATAATATTATTATTTTAGGAATTTAAATCATTCTAAACTGTAATTTTGAGAAATCTATATTTATCAATTAAGGGATCTTATATGATGTTTTTAGGAATTCCAATAATTCCATATTACTAATTATTTACGATTTTATAAGAATAACAAATGTATTACTATTTAAAGCAGAAACTAAAATTATTAATAATAAATAATATTATTAAAACAATCGCACATTGTTGTAGCTAATAGGCTGATATTTTAGAAACAGAATCAAATGCCCCATTAGAATATATAATAATAGGAGACATCTAGTTTGTGTATATTTAATGAAGTATATTGAAAACGATAAAATTTCTTCATATTAAGTTTGCTTAAACAAAGTTCTAATAGATTATAATAATACATATATATAATTTTATCAAAGGAGATTTTTATATTTCAATGCACTCTTGAATAAGCATTCAATAGGACTTTGTTAGTATTAGTCATAGCCTACAATTTTAGTTTGATCTTTAGGTATTAACATATAAATTTATGCTTCTCCTTCATCATGTATTTAGTGTACAAATTTACCACCTAAGGATTCTACCAGATACTCTAATTCGAAATGTTCAATATGATAATTCATTCTTTTTGGAACAAATATTATCACTCCCTTCAAAGGCATTATTTTGGCTTCTTTGCTAAAAATCAAAATATATGGTTACCATTTTTGAAGTCTTTTTTAATATTGTTTAAAATCAAAATTGTATTCTTTGCAAAAATCACTAGAAAATTGAACTTAATATTAATTGTGATCGAGAATCTCATATTGATTTATTGATCTAGTTAACCAGTTTCTAGAAATGATAGGGATTCCTTTGGCCAGGGCAATCAATAATTTGATGGATCTCAATTCGACATTGTCTTCCATTATTAGCATATTAAATGTGTAATCTTCTAAACAAACTTGAACATTCTAAAGTAATAAAAACTATTGTTCATCTCTACTTGGATGGAACCCTGAAAATGCTATACAAAATTTCCATCTGCTGCATTTTCTTTGGCTCATTCTTTGACTTTCTTTTTTTATTTCCTTCATCTACTTATGATTACTTTTCTTTTTAGGAGAGCTTTCTCTATCCTTTCTCTATGGTATGATTACATAATTTGATTTCTTCTTATTCTTGGTTTGATTTTGTAATCCTTTCTTATCCTTTGAATTGTTATTAAAATCAGGAGTTCCATTAGATAGCATCTCAGTTTATTATTCATAATCATTTTATTAGAATACATCGGTTCTTTGATTGCTTTCATTTTACTTTACTTATTCTTAATTTTATTTCTAATCATTCGATTGTTGTTATTCTTAATTGTTTTATTGTTTTAAATTAGATGAAATTGAATTAATGTCCTCATTTTACTATAAGTCTACATTATTTTACTCTTAATCTTGTTGTTATTAGAAATGGTCTAAATCACTCTATGGAGAAGTATAGAGACTCTCTACTACCTTGACTTCTATTTAAGAGAGCCGTTCTTGCAAATTAAATTATTTTGTTTCTTTTTAAGGCAATTTTCTTGGAAGATATTGATGCTATGTTCCATTAACCACTTAAACTTTAGCTTCTATAGATTAGCCTAATCTAATTGAAAAATCCGCGGACTCAATATTTAAACTAATTTAAGCAATGATTGTACCTAAGTACAGACTCTTTGGCCAATTAATCAAAGTGTCCTTCTTCATTCTTATAGAAGACTGGACCATCTAAAACAATAAGTTCTATTTCCTCTTCATTCAAAACAACACAGCAATGATTATTCACAATTTATTTATTGTTTATACAGATTTCATGCTCCTGTGTATTTCCAATCATATTTGCTCCAATCTGTAAATTGAATTTAATTGGCAGGGCTATAACTTTTAATCTAATGGATACCATTTTTGTAAGGTAGAATAACAAACTTGACCATTTTCTGAGTAAAAAACATTTGGATGAAATAATAATATATATAAATGATTAAACCCATAATTAATCATAGAAATTCATGAATTGATTTGAGATACACTTTCAAGCCTCTTAAAATTTCCATCTTATAATACACATTATTATGAATTTCTGATATGTAAGCCTATTTCAAGTCATTGCTTTCTTTGTATTTTTTTAAGATAATTATGGCATCCAATAGAATCATAATCTAATTGATAAGTATTTCTTTGCGTTCCTTGTTAATGTGGAGCTATAATTAATGTTGATCATTGATACTGCAAATCGTCTTGAGAATGATATTTAGGATTCTAATTCTTTAATATCTTAAGCCAATTCCTAGGAGTATGAATTTAGATAATGTTGTAACAATTATATACAAAACTGCATCACGAATACTTCATAATCGACTGATACGGGTATAGTGATTAAAACATCCTTGACTTGGACTTGGTAGAGCATGAGATATAGTCTCAAATACATCAGCAAGTCCATATTGAGTTTATTCTTTTTGATTCTAAATTCCTTCGTAATCGATGAAATGGGAATGTCGTTACCATTGAAGTTGATTTTACCTGTGTCCCACTCTTCTGGATTAATCAACTTATTGATGGTGATGGTGTCAAAGATCTATTTCTGATTTACAACCTTCTCCTTGCATATATCTGTATTGAGCCATAACTTGTTAGAATCAACTTATTACTCTAAAATTATAGGAGCTGTATTTATTTTCAGGTAGAGTAAATCCATACCAGCTAAGCAAGAATCTGTTGGTCCTTCTCCCGTAAGACACTGTAACTTATTCATGCTTCTTTATTGGCTCTGTAGTTGTGATACAAAAGTACACGTCCTTGTCATTCTCCTCGAGCCAATCCCACTTTGACTCTTCGCTGCTGTCACTTTAATTGTCCTTCTCCTACTATTGTTGTTACTCTTAAATGGTTTATTTGATCTATTCCTTTTATTGTTGAACCTCCAACATCTATTATTGTCTTTGTTTCAAAGCCTAGATCTATTGTGGAGGCAGACCTTTGATGGTAACTAAGTTTTTCTTTTCTAGCATTATGCTCTAAAATAATACCATTATTAAGACAGATAGTCAAGATGCTTTCACTATCTGTTTAGCCCTTTAAATCTCCCTCACTTTATTCTTTATCCGGTTCTTAAGTTAATTCAGTTGTTTACTGTTCTATTTTGGTTTCTTATTGATTATTTTCCTTTTATTGAATCTTCTGCTGTTTCTTCTCTTCAAATTTAAGTTTCCAATCAGATAACTCCTTTATTTTCAGAGTTTCAAATTGCTTGTTTCTTGCTATTTCAACATCTTCGTCAGAGTCGTTGTCTTCACTATCTGAGGAAGTAACAAATCCTAAATCCCACAGGTTTACTTCAGGATGTTAAATCATTTGTTCATAATTGATCCAATTGATCATGGCTCTCTTATCAGAATTTGATATGTTATCCAAGTTGTCGATATCTTTCAATTGATTTTCAGTGAGATATTGCTAGTGTTACAAAATGTAAGTCTGTTTGGGATCGACGAACTATTTAAGTTGAGATTCATCTTATTTGATATTGAGAACACTTAAATTGATCTTGCTTCCCTTTATCTTATATTATTCTTGCACTATCTGCATGAAGGAATCCTGATCACTATCATGTTTCTGTTCATTTTTTCCATCCTTTTTAGCTTGAAGTTTCTCTGATTCGAGTTTCTCCATTTTTGAATTCACCAGATAATGAGTACAGGCCTTGTTGGAATGATTCAGAAAATCAGCGATAGGGATCATACTGGTGGATTTCAAAGACCAACCAAAACATCTACTCATCACACTTTATGCTGCCCAATAAAAATCTTCCTTGTCTGTTGGTCTGGTTTCTCCAAAAACTTGAACGAATTCATTGAATATCTCTTTGGCCTGATTCCATAAATCTTTCAAATCTTCACGCACTATAGCAAATTCGTCTAATATTATAGGATCTTCAATGTAATTCAGTTCTTCTTTGGTCCAATCAATTAAAGTGTTATTCGATTGAATTGCTTGAACATAAGGATGATAGAAGGATTTATCGCCCTTCTTCTTTTCATTGAACAAATAAAAAACTAGGGGCGCCTAATATAAAATCAATACTTAAGATATTAAATTCAGCATCCGATGTCTCATTTTCATCGAATAGTTCAGGATGCTTATCGTAGACGATGGACAATGAACTCAGTTTGCATTTCTCTTGGGATATGATCAAGGGTTGAGGCACACAGATAATTGCCTTAAATTTATAATAAAAACTAAATACTGTATTAGCAGGAATATCCTTAGTAGCAACAACACCAGTGAGTTCTCCAAAGGCTGCTGGCATATCCACATCCTTGATGATCACACCATTATCCAATCCCCATTTTAAGAGATTCTGATATCTGGGATTAAGCTTGATTTCATCTGTTTTCTATTGATCAAATTGCATATAAGGAAATAATAAAATATATATATATATAATCTAAATAAAAAGAGTCAGTCACGATTTAAATTCAACAACTTGTTGAGTGATGAATGGGTCTTCGTGGCTTCAACCAAGAATTGATAGTAAGTTTGCCAATCAAAATGAGATTAATTATTCTTTTTAACCTACTTCATGAACTCAACCTTCAATTGCTGAATCAAACTATTGACACTCTAAATGCTCTTGAAATCCTTCATCTTCTTCATCTGCTACTTGAAGGTATCCCGCAATAGTTTATCGATCTGAATGATGGGAATCAACCCACATTACTCCTCATCGTAATTGTCAAACACTTTCTTCATCAGCACCTATGGAGTTTGTCGTCTTTGCATAGACTCCTCAGAACATAAGTATTGCATCCATTCGCATCTCTCGATGATGTTGTTATGATTCGTGTCGATGATTGACATTTCTTGATTGATTCTAAAATAATCTGGTTCCTCATCCTCATACAACCAAATGAGTAATTTGAGATCCTTGATATTGATAATGGACAATTGATTGACATCAGTTATCGAGTACACATTCCATGCTCTGATGATATCCAAATAATCACTCTTCTTAACCGAGATATTCTAGAGGAGGTGTTAATTTTTCTTATGATCAGCCTTCCAAGCCCAGAGATCTTTTTGTTATTGTGAACTCTCCTCCTATCCAATACTTTTCGATCTCAATGTATATTCTATGATCATATAAAAAAGAGTATCAATTGATAATTCATCAATCCCCTTATAAATGTGATACAAATTCTATTGCAATTTAATGGCTGGCACTTAAGGAGCCTTGCATTCTCTTAACCATTTATTGAACTATTACTCAGATTCATCCATTGCATTTACCATTCGTTTTAATGCATATTAATAAGTTTAAGTGCCAGAATACTATAACATAAACTCTTGCAACTCATCATATTATACTGTCCATTCATAGAACTCATCAAAATCAACATGCTTATTTTTATCTTCGTCCATCATCTAAAAACAAACATAACCCAATTTCTCTAACATACTTACAGATGGAATCACCAGTCCAGCTATTTTACACATGGCTCTTACTGCACATTACAATGTACTTACCATCTCTTACTCTTCTAAAGTGTTCGACAAATCAAAATCAAATAATCTAAAAACAAACATACACTTCGTTTCGAAACTCTCTCCACTGAATATTGCAAATGCAGCCAATGCTTCAAATGTATGCACTGATAGTTTGCCATCCTCTCCAGTCTAATCAGCCAATCTATGAAAGAGATCGATGCAATTATCAGTTAATGTTGCGAAAATATCATCGAATTACTCTAAATTTAAATAACAACTCTAAGGGTAGTATTTGTCTATCGTATCTACACAATCGAAAAGTTCTCTCATTGTTATGCTTTTTAATTTAACTATAAGAGATGGATCAAACTAAGTTGCATGCTTCTAAAATATTTACCCCATTTTTAGTATATAGATAATAATAATATCAATTTTTATAAAACTTGTCTCCCTTCCATTCCCCACTCACTTCGTATCCATCGTATCTGATCAAACAACCATGTCCATTTCGCTTCCCATTCAAAAACTACATTCAATTATATCATTATACCTAACCCTAGTACTAACTCCCATCAGGATAGGTATACACACCATATCCATTTATTTCATTGTTTGAGAATTCACCCTAATAGAAACTACCATCTCTCCATAACATCATTCCATCCCCATCCATACGATTACATTTGAATTATCCTTAATATCTAATTTTTAATTAAAAGGCGTACTTTGATCCATTACTAGACAGGTACACTCCTTCTCCTTCTCTCATTCCTCTAATGAAATTACCACAATAGATGGACCCATTCTTGAAATATTCTTCTCCGTAACCATGTTTCTCATTATTCTCCCATTATCCCTTATATATTGAAGTACTATGGTTAACATATTCCCCATATCCCTGAAATCTATTATTTACAATGCTCCCCTGATAACTAAAAGTATTAAATATTCATATACTATTCATCTTCACTATATTGCAGTCTACATATCCCATGTGCTCTTCCATTAATCCAATTACTTAAATAATAACATTTTTTTCATACCCTTCTAAAATTGAGCCATTTGGATAAATTAATATCCCGAAACCATGTCTTTCGCCATTTTCCATTTCGCCTATATATACCAAACCGTCTTCTAAGGCAATTGCATTAGCCAAATTCTCCTTCTTTAGAAGTTTTTATTTGAACATTGTTAGTTTATCACCTTACTCGACAGATTCCGAAGGTAAAGACCTGCCCTCAGTACACAAAGTATACATTAGTTAAATTAATCTAAATTTATTCGAAATATCATGTTTAATACACAAGCAATCATAATTTGATATCAATAGACGAGTTATTAATTAAGAAAACGACTCCATTTCCAATTGTCTTACTATCAAAATTAACAATAAGTCTAACTAACAGGTATCACTTTAAATTGCAGATACTCTAAATTTGCATGATATGATACATACTTTAATTAGATAGATATTCAGCTATTTACTAAAATTATTAAACTTTATTTTATATAATACTCGGATTATAATGTTGTGCATTATTAGATTATCGCAAGTATTTTAAATAGTAAATGATTATGGGCATATATGTTTGGTATCATAAAAATTATGATAATTAATACGTTCTAATAAATAGTTGCCAATTCATTTTTATTATTATATTTATTATGAATTATTAAGCTGTTTTAGATTAGATCAAATGTTATGAACCTCACTTCGAAGATTATAATTTCCTTGAGTTTTAGAAGTTTAATCCTAAGTTAATAATCACTAATAATTATGTTTATTATGGGCAATTTGAAAACAATCTTAGACATGGAAAAGGTTAATTCTGCATCTCTATGAGATAGGTATACTCTTATAACACAGTGGACGCAAGTATGAAGGGCAGTGGTAGAATGACTAGAAATAAGGTTATGGTTGGGAATTGTTGGCCAATGGATCTCAATACGAGGGAAATTATGCAATGGGAAAACCGCATGGATAAGGCAAATTTATTTGGCCCAACGGAGAAGTGTATGAAGGTGAATGGAACTTGGGCGTTAAGGAGGGTCAAGGTAATAAATCCAAGTTTATTATTAAAAGGAACATGGTACGGTTTAAAAGGAGAGTAATACTAAGGGGAATGGATAAACAATGTGGCTTATGGATACGGAGAACACATTCATAGCAACGGTGATCGTTATGTGGGGAATTTCAAGGATTGGCTGAAAAATGGAGAGGGTCAAGAATACTTTAGCAATGGTGACCGGTACCAAGGGAACTATTAGAATGGTAAACCTCATGGCTATGGAGAATATTATTGGAGTAATGGGGCCGTATTTTAAGGGTACTTTAAGGATGGATTGAGATGCGGAAAAGGAATTTGGAAGAGAAGAGAAGATTCTCCATCCGATCAATATTAAGGAGAATATGAAGAGGATAAGAAAAATGGATATGGAGTTTATAAATGGTCTAATGGCAATGAATACAGGGGTATCTTTATGAATGATTACAAACACGGTTATGGCGAAATGCATTATGTTGATGGGAAGATACTTAAGGGAAATTGGGAATAAGGTAAACTAGTTAATGAGATCAAATCGAATTCATCCAAAAAGATGTCGAATTCATTTGACAATCATATTAAGATAGTTGACAATACACATTATTTTAATAAGAGTTAATAAAACAAAAATATATTGATGGATAATCAATTGCAAAATAATAACTAAATTAAAAATATTCCTTACAATGAGTGTGATAACGAAAAGTTAAGTAATTAATATGCTGATGCATTTAACAGTAATAAAGATATCCCTAACAACAACAAAAGTAACCCAGCTTCCTCTTAAACCCACAGAACCACAAAAACAATTCGGATAAGATAGTATCAGAAGGATAAATCTTTTAGTATGAGTCAATAAAATTCACAATATGGACCTTCGAGTCCTAAAAGAGATTTTTCAGAGAAGAATGAAAAACAAAAAACGTAAACTAGATTTTGCATCAAAACATCTGACAATTTTTATCTACACATAAGAAGGCCAAAATAGTTCTCTTTATACTAAAATTGATTATATTTACTATTCATTTCATAGACATAATTCTGTATAAAAGTGTTACATGTACAAAATAATAAATAAAACTTATTTGGATATGTAGTTGTTAAGAGTTTTTCTTATTCGACATGGGTAATCTATGTATCAGAGTCTGAAAATTGTGTCTGGCAAGAACGAATTAGGTTTGAGTGGATTAGGCATTGTATAATCCAAGAGAGCTGGAACTCTATTACAAAATTTAAAATTTGATTAAGTCTACACAAGTGATTATAAGAGGTATAATTATTCAGTAACCTAAGATGCATTGAATCTTATACTCATATTGAGAATTAGTTGAAATAAAAACCCAGAGTCATTACATATACACCTTTATTAAGAGAAGTTAATTAAGGCGAAGAAACATTAAAATCTTACTAGGATGTCTCTCTCTAATCACAACCCAAACAATCTTCAGATCTGAACAATGAAATCTAGGAAAGAGTTGAAACCTTTCTTCATCAATTGATTAGAGATTAAATATACAAAAAATCTTATAAATTTGTAATTAATTATATAACAATAGTTTCCATATCGACATTAACTAGGATCATAAATAGATACAAATAACTTCTACAATCCCTCAGTTTAGTAGTTCAGCTCTTATTCCAAGGAATCTGGCATGATTAAAGTTTTAGTTTTAAGTCATGCTGGATTTATAGCATAAACTCTTAGATATCTTCATCATAGACAAAATTCTCATTTATCTAATAGTGAACAACCTTGCATCTATGCTAAAAATGGAGCAATATTTCTATTGGATTTCTATGTGTCAGATTTAGAGAGTTGGGATTGCAAAATATCATTAACGAATTGGAAACGAGGAATTAATACTCCTTTCGATTTAATTAATTGATTATTGGTTAATATCTATATATATAATATTCTAGTTATATAAGTTTTTTGAATTATATAATTTTCATTTTTTGATCATTATTCCATATTAAAATTACGATCCTCAATTAAATCAAAAACACCATGCTATTTGGTAATCTTTTTGCTGTACTGCATTAATTTAGACTTTATCCACCTTTAATCTTTCATTTATTATTCCCAAACGAAATTCTGAGAAGCAAATTTAGTTTTAATTTTGTATTTATAGAATTAGCTGTCAGAATGAGATACAATAGAATATTAAGCAATTTGTTAAATAAATGATATTAAATCATATTAGTACTCTCGTTAATTCGAATTCTCCGAAGAAATTCAAATTGTTGAGTTCTTAACTCCCATAGACACTCCAGGAGCCAATAAATTTGTTTTCCACTTTGTTATATACTCCTTTAAATTATTGTAGCAAATATAAATGGTCACCTTTTTCATTCTTTTCTAATAATTCACAATCAAGACTCGTTCTCAAATGAATGGTAATTTCTTGTTCTAAGTTTGTAGATATGTGTCCCTCTGCTGACCAAGGATCATGATCCTGCTCCATTCTTATTTAAAGCTCTAATTTATTATGAGAAGTAAAGAATGATTAGAATCTCAGTAGCTTTTGAGTAGAGAAATTCTTATAATTGAAGCTGGTTAACTTCCATAAGGTAAATTAAGTCTAATCTTAGATGCTATTGAGCATTCCTACATTGGCTTGAAGAGATAAGCGCTTTTCTTGCAATAATTTCTATTCAATTTCTTTTTTAACTTTTTTCCTTCTACTAACTTCTACAATTGTTCCGCAAACACATATTAACACGAAGAGACAAACAATAAGTATAATGACGGGAAAGCTGTCATTATCATCTTAATCCTATTCTGACGTAATCGTTTATGTATTTTCAGAAGTCTAGTCAACGTCTTTTTCTGAGAGAAATCTAACATGTTTAGAACCTAAATTATCGGTTTCTTTTATATTGTCATCAATCAACTAGGCTAGTTAAAGTAGCATCTTATAAATTAAAAACTTAATATTGTAACAATTCTTATTTTTCTTTGAATAAGCATAGTCCATATTATATGATAAAAATAGATTTTTTATAATATTCTCATCTATTCACTATTATTTAAATTTTGAATTAATAAAATATAAATATATGATGCATTAAGTGAACGGTTGAACCAAGAATTAAATAATAAATAAATTGATATTTATACTCTTTTATAACAAATACCCATATTTCAACTTAATTCTTTTTCTACTTCAGCTAAATCTTTGGGCATTTCATCAATTTTAGTGTTGTAATATTTTTCAACTTCTAACAAGAGATTAGCTTCTTGTTGTGCTACCATATTAATGGCAACTCCCTTTCTACCATATCTACCAGCTCTTCCAACTCTAAAATAATATATTAACATAGTATTACCTATGGATGTATTGCTCCTTTAATCTTGGGAATTCATAATTGATGACTAATGACAATTATTGGACATCAATTCCTCTACCCATAAGATCTGTTGAAACAAGGATTCTGGCAGCTCCTTTTTTGAATTCTTGCATAACCTACTATAGCTACAATAGATTTACTTATTCTCTCTCTTTTTGTTCCATTTGACTGTGGATTTTACTGACAGTAAAACCTTCAGCGGTCAATTTGTCATACAAATCATCAACGGTTTTTTTGGAGTTGCAGAATAAGATTGATTAAGAAACTGTAAGATTCTTATACAATTCAACCAAAACTCTGAATTTTTGATCTTCTTGTTGGATGGCAATGTAGAATTATCTAATACCCTCCAATGTCAATTATTCTTTCTTAACCAAAATCTTAGCTGTTCCGTCTCTTAAGAACTATTTACTCAATTCAATAATTTCTTATGGGAAAGTAGCACTAAATAATGCTAGCAAAAACTTAAATGTCAGAAATACCAATTTAAATATCTCCTGGAACCATTTTTAGGATTTCTGCGAAGTTATCACTAAAACCTTAGTCTAACATTTAATCAGCTTCATCTACAACAAGCAATTTCATAAATGTGGCATCCAAATATTTGTTTTTCATCATATCGATCAATCTACCTGGAGTAGCGATAATGATGTGCACTCCTTATTTGCATTTTTCTCTGGTCTCCTAGGTTGAGGTACCACCAATGCAACAGAAGGCTTCGATGTTCAAGTATTGACCAATTCCTTTAACCACATCATAAATTTGCTTTGCCAATTCTCTAACTGGTGCTAGAATGATGACTTGAGTCTTTCTTTGGTTTGGGTCGATTCTCTGTAAAGCACCAATGGTGAATGTACCAGTTTTTCCAGTTCCTAAAAAGAATCATTAGATGATAATAACATACCTGATTATGCTTGTGCCAAGACATCCTTTCCTATAATGACTGGTTTGATGGCTTTTTGTTAGATGGCTGATGGTCTTTCGAAACCATAAGAGAAGATGCCTCTTAATAAATCTTTGCTCAAATTTAATTCTTCGAATGTTTCGACATGCTTGCAAAATACTTCATTGAAATACCTCATTCCAATTTTCTTGTAAATCTTGTGTTGTTTGATCCATAATTATTCTAATAAATTATTTTATTTTGTTACTTAAGACAATGTCCTTTTTATTTTAAATAAAAAGATTTAAATTGTCCCCTATAAAAACAATGAAATTTAATAATTCCCAAACTAATTATAATACAAACCAATCGTGCCAATTTCAAAGACTTTAAGACTTATTATCAATTAATACACATATCAAAAAGACACAAATTAATTCAAATTCAATTATTCATTTATTAAGCCGATGCAATACCACCTCTCTAGTTACTTCCCTTGTAAATCTATTACTATATAAATTTATATTCACTTTCGTTCTTTTATTGCAATGATCCACATCATTATCCTCCACAGCAATTGAATTATTGATCCATACAATAGCAATGACCCTATGACATAATCATCAATCTACAATTTTAGTTTCTAGAATTTACGAATTTTCTTACCCCATCACTAATAATCACTTTTGTTTCCCAAATCAAGAAGAACCCTTAACCAACTACGAGCAGAGTGCACAAAAATATTGAAAGAGCAAACTGTGAATACACTCCCATCAAAATTAGCATTAATACCAATGTCGGAACTAACAGAAAAAGTGAGCCAACTAAAAATTATATGGAATACATTATACTACTAAATGAAAAACTGGTTTTCGTCTTGAATGAATAAACAGTCAAAGCCAAAACGAAGATGAAGGTGATTCCTATGGCCTACCACACTATCCCTACTCCAAATTCATAGGCGATAATGATGCATAGATTTGTTACCAAAAATCCAAAGAATAGAATATAAAGTCCTAAGATAATGAAGTTCAAAGGTTTCTAAATCTCAAAACTAACATCATACCTATCTAACCCTTTGATTTCCGCAGAATAGAATGATGTGAAGTATCAAAGAAAAAACTATGGAAACCCAAAACAGCCATGTCGAATTGTAACGACTGATGTATGTGCAACCACACTATGAGAAACTGCCAAAAGCACAGTAGCAGCTCTCCTCCTGTCCAGTTGTCACTAACCAATACTGCATATTTGTATATAGTCCTAAGATCACCATCAGAAAAGTAAACGCTAGTTCCATCGTAAGGAAGGTGTAAACCTTTAGGATAAAGTCAGCTCTTGTCTATGTATTGTCAAAATTTGTATTTCTCAGAGGATGCTTTTGGGTATTAGTATTCTATATAATCTTTATAATTACTCCTTGATTTGTTCTACTTTCACTTTTTGGTATCTGTTCCGATCCTACTGATTATTAAGCAGCGATATCCAGAGAAATGTACTAATCGTTTGATTATGGTCCTTACATTATTGAAGAAAGATAATATTAATTTAAATTTATATCTCACTGTTATAATTTTTATCAAATTAGAAGTTGAATAAATATTGAATCATATTCTGTATTGATTCAAGATTTAATTTAGTAGAACCAAATTGCAGAGCCTTTCAATCCTTAGGCTATGATTCAAGAGGAGTTTGATCTCTAGATATTATTTAAAATATTAATCACTTTTTTTATATAAATTATCTTATTTTTTGTACCTAATTATTTCAAAATTAAAATCCATTTCAATATTCAGAGAATACTTTATATGAAAGTACAATCATATTTTTAAATGATTATAATTATTCTTGAGAAAAGATATACAAATTAATTATTAAGAAATTTAAGTTAATTAGAAAAGGAGGGTAAAATTAAAATGTTCTCTAAATTATAATGAAAAACATTTGAGGATGTGCTATGGATCTAAATAGGCAGTTATTTAATTTTTAGAATTTATTATACAATTAAACTAGGTTTATTATTGATTAATAAAAATAGCAACAGAAAAAATACTAATAAATTAAAAGAACAAATAATTTTATAATGATATAAGTAATTGAAGACAGAAGTGGTATTGAAAACAATTAATTTTAGAGGGATAATAATAATAATATGAAATTGATGGAGTTTCATTGAGGATGTGGGAAGAAGGTAATGAAGTTTTCTAAGTTTTTTAGTAGCTAATTAATATAGACAGGAGATACAGGTAGAAAATGGCTCTATAATAAACTTAGTCGATGTAACTTTAGTGGTGGTAAAATAGTGTGGATAAATTGTTTTAAAAGTGCAATGGAGTTCCAAAGAAATATCTTTAAAAATTGAAAGTGATGATGATGGGTAAGTCAAACAGGCAATGTAGTATATGTTGTAATTAATTCTAAAAAGGTATCGAATTTTTATTTAAATAGATGAACTAATTACGTAGCTACCTTGTAAGCATATCTACCACAAATCTTGTGTGGATTCATGGCTTTAGAGTAGCACGAAATGTCCGAATTGCCGATCAGATGTATTAGAAGCCTTAAAGAATATGGAGAAATGATTTTCATTTCTATGGACAAGATTATATAAAATACAAAAAAATTATTGCTTACAAATACTGACTAGTTAAGAAAAGTTTGGAACATTCGCTTAAATTTTATTTTCTTTAATTTTTAGGAGAATCAGATAATTCTATGCTTTTATTAAAATTCAAATTATTCTCTTTATTCAAGTTAGTTCAATGGTCTTTTTAGTTGAAAAACCTTTGAAACACATTGACTCTTATTGGACTTTTCAAGCAATTCAGTTTTTATTATATCAATTTGGAAGTTGGATCTTAATATATTAAATAAATCATAATTTTTTTATTATGTTTTTAACTATCTCTTACTGATCCTGATAGATTTTGTCACCACTGTTATAGATTATGTAAATGGTTCCAATATTTACATAAATTGCATATTTATGTTCATTAACATATTATACAAAGGGTTCTTCATTAAATTGTTTGAATTACAAAAGATAACTTAAGGTTCCTTGTGTGTTTGTACTTAAGGAGAATTGTGGAATCAAGCATATTATTTTGGTTACTAAATAGTGTTGTTCTAACTATTACATTTCAAATATTTATCCAAATCAATGTTTTACGATAAGGAATCAGTCATATTGTTAAAGACATCAATATTAAATGTCTTAAAAAATTGTTGTTTTGCATGATATTTGTCTCTGACTTCTTGAGTGTTCATTATGTCAGTCAAAAGTATTGTGGAGTTATCCCTACACAATATTAAGAATTGAAATACATCTCATATTTTCTGAAATCTGATACTTGCATATCTCCACTCATCTTGGAAACTTTGTTAACTAAAATTTGATAATCGCTATATTTTGGTTGACTCAAACTAATAATCTAAAGTTCTAGGGATTGTCTCTCCTAAAAGTCAATCAAACCCATATGATAAGCTGTTGTTGGCAATTGTCGCATGTTCTCTAAAAGATTTAATAATGGAGAAAACAAAATCGTTCCATATGCTTATAACTACAAAGCAAGTTCCAGAGCCACCTTTGAACCTATCCCGCTTGTGACAATATACAAACGAGTGAATTTATAGTCTAATTCTTCTTTAAAAGTATTAAAAGCATTCACATACTATTACGTATATTCAGCAATTGATTTTGGAGTTTTAGTGATTATTGTGTAACCTGCTCCTTAAATATCCAAAAACATTAAATGGCCTAGATCCGTCCACTTTTCATAGGTTGAATTTGGCCCCACTCCTAATTGATCAAAGAATAGAGCACTAGATAATATGGCAAAATACCTTTAACCAGGTTTTGAACCAATGAATAGGAACATTGTATCAGATGTCTTTTTCTCATAGGTTACCATGTATGCTGCGAATGAATTCAATGAACATGTAGTTACCAAATCATCCTTGTTACACTCGATTTATGCATAAGCCAAGGCGAAAAAAATAAATATATACATAAATTTAATAATATTATCTGTTATGATGAATAATAACAATAAGAAACCCCAGTCTTAGAAAGATGTCAGAGCAAAAGTTGATTCTGGTTTGAATCGCAAAAATGATATCCAACAAAAAAGGGTTCAATCTGCAATCTAAGCTGTATATTATAATAATATTCAGGGTGATAAATAAGTTGATTTGAATGGAACATTGTCAGAACAATTAAATAATATAGTGCAAGATTATCTGGTGAGAAGCAGTTGTTTCAAAACGCTGGAGTAATTTAAGGTAGAATCTCAATTTGCAACAGAACAAAGCAATGAGACAGAATACATAATCTTAAGTCACTTTGACAGAGGAGAGAGAGATAAGTTTCTGGAATCATGGAGTCGATACATTCCGAATCAATAGAGACAATATCAAGACTTTTGGAAGCTCGAGTTTTATATTCAAATTTATTTTCTTATCTACCCTATTCATCCTGTGTTTATGAAGAAAGGAGTGATAGACAAGAATTCAATTAATCAATTTAAACAATATCTCGATAGCAAAGGAGGAGACTTGTCAAAGACTAACGAAGTCTTGCCCTTTTATGCATTGCCATATGTCAAAAACCCTGAATTGCATCAAACATTCTAGCATCTTTTCACTCACGAATGGATTGCTGATTTGAGGTAAAGACTAAAGGAGTTCCTCCAATCAATTTTTGGCTATGAATAAACTGGTAGTCTATTAAAAAGATTGTTTCTGTCCAAGGAAGGATCTTCAAATGGCCAATAACAAGAGTTCCAGAAAAAGATGACCGACAATATCAGATCATTGCAATAAGAAAATAATGAATTGAGAAAAAAGAATAATTAATAAGCCTAAGCATTACAAGATATAAATTAAACAGCATAATAAAATCTATTTGAGGCTTAGAGAAAATGGTTTCAATTCACAGGAGATATGTTGAAAATGGAGAAGGAAATGATCAAATATATTGAAACTAACAAGAAAAATCCAGATTAATTGTAACAATTTAAAAAGAAAATTGGGTAATGTGATCAATTCTTAAGTCAGAATTTAGATGAACTAATGAATAAATCATAGGATATCTCTCTATTTGATAAGGTCACTTAACCTGATCATGATCTCTCAGATTTAACTAATTAATAATGTATTTTTAAATTTAAAGAATAGAAATGATGCCTATTCAATAATCAATTGAAGAGTATATTCCCTTAAATTATGAAAAGGTTATTTAATTATTTACCAAGAATAGTAATCCAGTGTTAGTTGCAACAGTTCTCTAGGCTTTACGATGGAGAATAACAAGAGCAAGAAGTGCTTTAGAAAGAAGGTCAGTAGTTGTTGCATATTAAACTCATGATCTAATTGGAGCTCATCAGAGAAATATTGCCTTGGCATAATATTTGATAATGAAATCTGGATAAATAATATAATGCTAGGCTTTGAAATTGATGAATGCTTTGGCATCTGATTATGATGGAAGAACTTACTTGACCAGCAATCCATAGTTAATTAAGCTTTTGATTGAATCAATAAAAAAGGATTAAACTGATTCAATCAAGAGAAAGAATGCAATTGGAACTTTATAAAAGTTGTCACTCAGAAAGTAATGTCAAATTTGGATGCTTGATAATGACATTATTTAAGTTGCCTTGAACATTCTTAAAAGAGTATTAAATCATAATTTAATTATAGGAAAAATTTAATTTGAGTGAATACACTTACGAATATATCACTGCTTTGATAATGAATTTGTCATTGAGTTCAAGAGGCCGAGATTCCTTATCAATTAACAAAGAATTGGCATTTGAAGTGCTATTTGAATTAATTGAATATCCTAATGATCAGATCAGAACTTTCACCAATGGAACATTCTACTCTATGTTTAGTAGAAGAGATCTAAGAGAATATGCTTATGAATTAAATATACCATAAGAGTTACCTAAATTACTGTCAATTAGTGATGATAGATTCAAGAAACAAATACAATACATGATAGAATAGTTGGAAAGCAATGATGATGATTACGATCAATCGTAATTGGAGGAAGATAATGATGTTGATGATTTAGAAGATGATGAAGAATGTCCAGTTGATGATGACGATGAGGATGACTTATAGAACAATGATATGATTGTAGGTGAAGAATTATTAAGAAATGAATTTGCTTTGGATAATGAATAAGCAGAACAGCAAAGATAGTTGATGGAATCAATAATGCAGAAAGAATCATAATAGAGAAGCGCTTATTAGGAATAATTAAGAGAGTCCTAATTGGACAAAATGCCTATTGGACGTAATTAGCACATATTATTATTAGAAGGACCATTCATGGCTGACAGTCTACTCCAAAATGTGAATATCAAAAATAAAGTTACAAATGGCAATCCAAAAAATCCACAGTAATCAGCTTAAGCATTTGCATCCAGACCAAAGCTTTCAAGTACTCCTCCCATTTAATAAAATTATTGATTGATTTATCAAATACTATAAATCTTAAATTACAAATTTTTATTAATCATAATAATTAATACTTCAGCTAATGATAATGCTTTAGTTTCTTCCAAAAATTCAAACTTATAAGGTATTTTACGATCAACATATAAGAGATCCCTGACAAACGTCCAAATTTTCTTTTAAATATAATTTCATTTAAAAAATTGAAAAGATTCGATATGAAATCATAAGATGATAAAGTTCAAAATTTAAGAAAATTAAAACAACAACCAAATCGTATAGTCTATATGGGAAATAATATGTTTGTATAAATATAAGCCTAACTTTTTATTTTAGAAAAAATTATGGATAATATTCACTTCTTAAAAAAGTTGATACTCTTTTGGGCTTTACTTTCTATTTTGGATGAAATCTTTTTTTTTAAACCTTTCTCATTTCTATTTGACTCATCAGATTATTCCACTATTACATTTTATGTATTTATGCATCTATCTATATGCTTATTCAAAACAGTGTTATTTCCTTTGCAATCGATTTCATTATTACAAATTGGACAACGAAACGATTTCGGCTAAGCCTATTATTTTTGTTAGAATGATTATTATTGGGCTTGTTATTAGTGGCCTTTACTATTCACTCCTGATAATATCTAATTACTAATGTTGCTATCCTCATCCTCACTTACTATTTCAGGTTTAGGTTGTTCTGGTTATTAGAGTTGAACTTTATTGATAGAATCACCATCCTCAGATATCTAATGAGACTTTGAACCCAAATTGGATGCAATCTAATTTTCTAAACAATTAGATTTATCAAGTTGTTTTTTGAAATATGTAGAAATTGATTATTTTTGCATTTACTTTTCATTAGCCAATTAGCCCATCTTTAATCCTAGTAATCTTATAGGTTCGTCTAATTACATAATCTTGAGTAATTATTTGCCATATATTGCAATTTGTTTAGCTTGATTTGTGTATTAATTGAGTTGCAAGGATTTATTTCTTATTTCAAATTTGGATGTTTTGATAATTAAAGTAAGATGATTTCCTACTTTTTCTTCTTATTACATATCTTCTGCAAGTTTTTCAGCAATATAGTCAACCTTATCTTCAAATTCTTTTTAAGTACTTATATTAGAGAATGTTCTTTGACAACTTATACTCAGTTAATCTTCAAATTCTACATGACAGTTTCTAGCCACTCCCCAACAAGAATAAAATATGTATTCGAATGTTTTAGGAGTAAAGATTATATAGAGTTCATCAGCTCTGTCTCTGACATCTTTGCAAGTATTAAAGTTCAAGCCACTTAAAATCTACTCAGTGATATTCCCAATTCCAGGGATCTTCCTTACAGGTAATTTTTCTAGGAAACTAAGAACTGCAGTGGGACTTTATTCAACCACATGTAATCCATTGGGTTTATTAATTTCAGAGGCGAGTTTAGCAATCATTTTATTGGGACCTACTCCACAACTGGCAGTGAGTTGTGTTGCTAAAAATATGTCTTTTCTGATGTTTTCGCAGAGTATTGCTGGATCTACTTAGGAATTGTTTACATATTCTGTGAGATCTAAGTTAGCCTCATCTAATCCCATAGATTCTAGATTATCATCATACTTTTTGAGGATAGTCATAAATATCTACAGTAATTTGATTCAAATACATTTGAAACACTTTTGTACTTTTCGAAGTGACAAGGAATAAAGATGATATCAGGACATAGTTTTTTAGCAACAAAACCAGGCATAGCAGATCTAACACCATATTTTCTAGCCACATAATTTGCAGTGGATATAATGCTTTAACCAACAGCAACTGGTTTATCTTTGAGTTCTGGTTTATCTAATAGTTCACAAGCTACATAAAACATATCCATATCAAAATGCGCCCAAATTCTATCCGTGTTAATTTAAAATTCTTTCACTTTATTCTAAATAATTTCCTTGGTTTCCTTCTTCCTTTGTTCATTCTTATGATAGTTTTCCAACTCCACCTACATCTTACTCACTTTTGACAGAACTTATTATCTTTTCTCCTATTATCTTTTATAATATTCAGATCCTCTAGTGGCATCATCAATCACTTATTTAATTTAATCAGCTCCTTCTACGCCTGCCTTATTGCCATAGAAATGAAAGATGGGTTCGTTCATAATAAATAAATATATTCATTATTATTCAATATTCTGTTTTTACAATTTTAGATGAAATCCCATACCAATCAGGGATTAATTGCATTCTTTCTTATTACGTCATTTTATAAATCTCTTCTAAAAGAGGATTATCGAAATAAATACCATTTGAGAAATTGAAGAGTTCAGGTATGGCAATCTTCATCTAGCTTTAAAGACTCTTTAATTAATCGATGTCTCTGAGTTCATCAAAATAAGGATGAGTTAATGATTTAAATGGAGTGAGTCTAGTCTTTGGACAATAAGTGAGTAATTTTGAGACTAGATCAATTGCCTTAGTATCTTTTGTTTTAAGAACCTTAATTAAATAAAAGAATATACTTTTTTCCAATCTCTCTGTTTTATCTTAGCAAATTAATTAGATTGAATATCATAGTTTTTATTCATGCTTAGTATTTGATCACTTGTTGGTGTTCCAAGTACTTTGACAATCTCAACCATTTAATCAACAGCCGAATCTCCCAAAAACAATGGCTCTCCATTGATAAGTTCTGCTATGACACAGCCTACAGACCAAACATCAATTTGGGTGTCATAATCTGTTGCACCAAATATCAATTCAGGAGCTCTGTAGCATCTGGAACAAATGTATGCTATGTTAGGTTCTCCTTTAACTAGTTTTTTGGCACTCCCAAAATCACATAACTATAATTTATTGGATTCTGGATTAACTAAAACATTATGGGGTTTGATATCTCGATGACATATTCCCAATAATGAAATGTATCTAAGAATATATATAAGGGAGTACGCAATCGATCTTAATAATTAGTAACTAAAGAGTTTGACTAGGATATCAGGCATTCTTTTGAAGTCCTTGATGTATGATTTGTTGAACGAGTAAAGTGTGTCAGGGAAGTACTCCATAACTACGTTGAGGTAGTTTTCATCTTTGCTTTCAGCAGGAGTGTAGAAGGCATGCTTCATTTTGAGTACATTGACATGATCTAATTCTTATAGGATCTATAATTCCCTGTTTTTGTATCTACGATCTTGAAGAACCTTCTTGATGGCCACAATTTCGCCAGTCTCATTCACTTTAGCCTTTTATTGAAAATTGGTATACTTTGTGTACAACTCCAAATGAGCCACTTCCAACAACTTTGAGGTTTATGTAGGTGAAATTGGAGTAATCATATCTTTCAGTGGATGCTGGCATCAATACTGATTTAGTGCTGTTCTTTTCAATGGAGAGTGGTTTGCGTCCTTATTTTTTGATTGTCGATTGTTATATTTATTTTAATTGATTCTCAAATTTACCAATGTAGATGGATGGAGTAGTTTCATCCTTATTTTTCCTGAAGGATGATTTGACTATTTGATTCATCTTCAAATGACCTTTTAAATTTGTGATGTCCTGCATTGTTTTCATCTCCTAATCCACATCTTCAATTTCTGTGACCACTCTCCGATTTATGTCTTCCTACTTTTATTGATTTAGAGACCCTACTTAATTCTTCATTTGCTGATTCAACATCTTCTGAAACATCCCCTTTTAACGTAATTTTTAATTATATATAAATTAATCAACAGACTATTATTAGATTATTTTATCTCTTTTTCACTTATACTTAAAAGGGATCTTCACTATGTAATAATAATATATATTATATATATAGATAGATTCAGTTCCATTTAATTCTTTTTATGTAATGTCTCTCTATAATTATCTTCCCCTCCTTGTATTTCTCCGATTCTCGATGTGCCTTGATCTAAATGACAATTAATTCAATCATCAATACATATTTCCACCCAATCACCTAGTTACAACCATTGCAAATCAGATCTTGCACTGTATGTTTTCCAGTCATCAAATCCTTGTCCTCAGGAGCTCCAACATGATAATTGATACTTTATTATTCAAATAAAGTACCCCTTCTAAAACAAGAATGCCTAACCAGTTCCACCTCTGAAATTCTAGAATTCATTTTTTAATCTTACCTTCGATATTCTACTCTGGTAATTTGATAAATGTATATGGCATTTTGTGCATACATAAATTCGATTTCCATCCAAATACTCCAGAATTATTTTACCCATCTTTAAACCTGCGATTTAAGTTCTTGATTATATTATAAAATTTATCAATTAAATTATGGACAACTAATACTAAATAGCCAAAAATCTGCTACAGTCCATCATCATTATCAAACAACAAGATTCCAATCTAGACTCTGCCTATTCATCCATTTTACTTGCCCTTTAATCATAATTGCCCTTAAAGCAAGAACACTATACATCTATCCTCATGGAAATTACCAAAAAATTGACCAAACAAATTGAACAGTATGATGAATATTACACTTCTCAAATGCTCAAAATCCTGTAAAATATCCCCAAACAATAATACATCGATCAATTACAATGCACCATCTCGATCTTGAGCACCTTAATCAATTTATTAGCTAAGGTCAATCAAACTTTTATTCCTGACATTTTCCAATTAGTTTCACTCCTTATTGAAAATCAAAAAGCCCTCCAAATAGCATATCCTCAATTATTCATCAAAATCTTGGCATGTCTATTGAAATATAGCAGAGGAGTAATCCAAGAGAATGGACTGCTGCTTTTTGAGAAAATCCTATCCTTTATAGTTTCCAATACTCAAAGCCAATATCAACAGTTGAACTTTAATGTTGCTTCCTTAAAGTATGAAGAAAACCAAAATTATATAGTACAATCAAAAGTGAACGAAGAATTGCAAAATTTTTGTCTCTTCATCACTCATTTACCTACACCCAAACTCAATAAATGCTACTCTTAATTGATCTCTAAGATTTTCTAATATCCAAATGGCGGATAATACTTTCATATTCCCACTCAAATATCGTTGATTAACCTATACTTTAGATTTAATGAGGGTCAAAATATTCAAGAATTTTCAAAGCTTATAATTTAGATGAACTAATCATAACAATTGCGAATCTACAATGAATTAGAGGAAGACTTAGAATTCGAATTAAAACGATTCCATTCTTTGCAAAATGAAGTAGACACATCATAAACTATTGCAATAATCAGAAAAATTAAATGGTTGATTTACATCATTGTTGAATTCTAGAAGAAACAACAAAATTAATTATAATATGTCTAAATTAGTGAAAAAATTATTAAGTATTTGCTTTTAGGATTGTAATATAAGTGGAATCAAATTGTAGTATCAGTCGATTAGTAGATTACAACTCTTAATTCAAATCTAAATTTATCAATCAAGAACACTATCAACAAACTGAATCTTGAGTTAATGCCTATTCTTAATAATGAATAAAGTATCTTAAATGAGATAATCAGTCTTCTCAATAATTTAAACGAAAATGAAATAATCAATGCATATTTAGAAAATAAATTGGAAAAACAACTGAATAAATTAATCTAAACTATAATTGTTGATGACTCATAAATTATCAAAATCTAAATCACTTAGATACTATATACATCATCCATTCTATTTATTCTAAACAATGTATCCTCTACTTGCAAACATGATTCATATTATTTCAAAAATTTGATAAAGTAGTTCAGCATGCTCATTTTCAATTAAAATGCTCCATACAACACTATATTTTAATCTTAGTTAATTATATACAGTAATCTAATTTACCAAGGAATCGATGAGAAGGAAGATCAATTTCTTTAAGTCTTATATTTAGATTATTTGATGTGTTAGAACAGCTAATCTACAGTCTTGATTACAGAAATAAGTTAGAACTATGTCAAACAATTTAACATATATGATCACATTGCTTCAATTCTCTATAGGAACATTCAAAAGATTTAAGAGTCCAATCTCTAAGTTGATTAAGGCAATTCCTTACAGACTATTTTGCATATCTACTCTAAATTCGATGGATATAATTAAGGCTTAGACATCATATACTAAGTCTTGAAGACTATATATTAAATCTATGATAAGTACTACTTGAAATCTGATATTTTGTTCACCCAAAAGTATCTACAGTTTCTGATTCTATTTTTCAAACAGTGGATTAATCCTTCATTGAATAATAATATCGTTACAACATTAAGACAGATAGCATTGTCATTAACATAGTTTTTCCATCATTCTTAAGTTCACTTTCAAGCATTTCAATGCTTTTACTATAGCATACCAATCCTAGCCAAACAGGAATTACAGGAATGCAACCCTAAGTCTATATTTGGAATGAATGATGATCCCAATGTAAAGGTTGTAGATACCTTAGGTACTATATTTTTTGAGCAAAGAAAATCTTTTGAATTCATTTTAACCCAAGACAATTAGATCTCAAAATTATATATTTGGATGATCATAAAAGAATTATTTGTATATGACAGTTGTTCAGGGTTCTTTTAATTAAAAAGCATTTAGTAGTTTTTAAAACAATACCTAGTATTTGAATAGGAGGAGAATTCTAATTCAATAAAGATTTATGAATAGATACTCTAATTTCTAATACTTTATTGCAATAAGCATGAATAAAATCCCAATTTAATAGATCTGTTAAAATAGGTCGAATTTTTCATTAAAAAATGTGCAAGGTTTGAAGCAAATTAACTAAAAGAGTATTGCAATTATCTAAATTAAAAATTGTCACTAATAAAATGATTCTTGTTTAGTATATTTAGTAAATTAATTTATATTATATGATTGTATCCATAAATTTAATAGAGGAGACATATTTTTAAGTCTTTTGTGTAATATATATTTAAATTAGTTCAAATTATTGATTTTATCTTTATTATTTAAATAATATTTAATAAATTATCAAAAATATATTCGATTTTTAAAAAAATGAATTAGTGAATTAATCTTCATTTTTTCTTTACTTAATTAATTAAATTCTATTCTTCATCAAATTCCAAAACTTATGAAGTACTTGAAGGGTGAAGTTGCCTTTTTTACAATTGAAAAAAAATTTCAATGATTTTATATTAATAACCCTTCATATACATAATTGTTATTATAAAGTTCTGCTTCTGATTATGGAGAAAGGGCATTCGAGAACTAGGTATTTGATTACTATTCAGATGGATAAATAATTCTGCTACACGTAGATTTAATGATGATTATTCCATTTTCATTCAAGTATAATGTAAGTAATTCTTGTTACCAGGTTAATATTATTTCACATTGAGACAGTTACTAAGGCATTTTAGTTTTATTTGTGCTTATATAATAACCAGAACTAAGACCTTATGATTACTTATGCATTTGGTATATTATTATAAATCGATTGAGTTTAACTATATATCTTAGGAGAATGGATGCAAATTTAAAGAATGAGTTCAATAAACTTCTAATACAAAGAATATATAAAATCAAAATATCTAGTGTTTTTCACATTCCTGTAGTGATTTATGTGCTTCTTCTTTTCATGATATTGCTTTTTGAGGCAGGTACAAGTATCGGAACTTATACAATCTTGCCAAGGGTAGGATTATAAACTTCTATACTTTTTTTTGCATCAGGTGTTACTAAACAATATGAAAAAAGAGATACTACAAGTATTTGCATTTGTCGAGTAACGCTTGCTTATTGTTTCGAATTTTCTCTGTTTTTATAATGAACATCCCATTTTATTTAAGTTTTTAATTAATTTATATAAGCATTAAGTAAATAAGTAATAATAATTATAAGCCCATTAAAATCAATCTCAGTACTTAATTCAGTACGCATTTTAAAAACATAAATAGATTACAATCACTATTCTTCATCATTATCTGCTGGATACTGCTCTTCTTCATTAGATTCTTCTTCACTTTGTTATTCCTAATTTTATTATTCTTAATTTTAATCATGTTATTCATCCTAATCTTGTTAAGGAGGTTAATTATCATCCTCATAATTATCTTCATAAGAAGCTTCTTGTTCATAATTATCTTTTTATTGATTTTCTTTATTTTCTTCTTTTTCTTCATTATGATTCTCTTATGGAGGAAATTTACTATCAGATTTTTAGAGTTTTTATTAATCCAAATTGTCATTACAATTACGTGAATCTTTCCTTTGAGCATCCAACTTAGTATTTTGATCTTAAACAGATTGAAATTTATTTTTTAGAGTTTAACTAGTTTCAGTATCGAATTTAGATGAATTTTGTTTGGTATGAGTTCTGTCTGATATTTGGGTATGGAAATGAGTTTAGTTTGTTTTCTGGTTTAACCTTTCAGTCGTTTATTATTGATCTTTGAAAGAAGGTTTCAATAATTTTGATAGTAGGTTTAACTTATCTACATCCCTATCTCAAATAGAAGAGCATACTTTTGATTTAAAATGGATGGTATCTAAGCATAAGGACTAGTCATAATGGCTTTTTTGATCTTAGTTTAATCAAATGGTTGTTTTATAAAACCTTGATTTGTTGCCGAATTTCCGTAATCTCTTATGGATATCTTCTATGCTAAATCAAGGTCATCTTTAAAAGCCTAGAATTTTAATTAGGAGAATGACAATTTTCTATTTTCTAATGATTAATACATACTTTAATAACGATTATTCTTCCTGGATTTTTAATTAATACTCTTATTATTATAAATCGAATTTAACTGAAAGTTCTGCTTTCTTCTTTATTTGGCAATTTCTAACATTTTCAATTTTTTCAATTCTTTTCAAATCTAATTTTTATTTCATTCTGAACTTCTATTCTTAAATCTATGTTAATATAATTGATATAATTTAACCTTTTAGAACTGCTACTATTTAAGTTAAAGTTCTTCATTCTAACTATGTTGATATTGCAATTAATAGAGCATTGATCGTTCTTTCATTACTTCTTATTCAAGTCGCTTCTCTTCATCCAAGTCTCTTTTTCTTCTAAATGAATCTTCCTCATGAAGATGTTTCAATAACTTAATTTTACTGTTTCTGTTTTGTTATTCATAATTCAGATTCTCTAATCTTCTACTATACTAGATGGATAATGTACAGATAATACATCAGATTAATCTTTGGATGTTTTTTATTTAGTTTCCAAGATTTTATTGACTTTGAATTCGATGATGTGATTATTTGATTCTTGCAATTATAATTATTATTTTAATTAGGAAATCCTGGAATCTATCATCCCTAACTCTTATTATTTCTGCATCAATGATCTTGTCTATTATGATATAGATTTCATTATAATTATATATATATATTAATTAATATTATTTTGGTCAATCAATAAAATCTAATTTTCTTGACAACCTTCCCTAGATTGGTGATTTCCATATTATCTCCCTGTATTTCAGATTCCTGACTCTCAGAACCTTTGGAATCTTCCTCATCCTCATTAAATTACTACTTTAATTCATTATCAGACAAATCAATAGTGATATTTTCCTATTCAATGAGTTTCTCATAGGCTTCCATGTATTCAAAAATCTTGGCATCTGATAAGTCAGGCTTGACATTTTTAAAAAACAATGGCACTGCATATGACCACATCAACATCATGATTTAAAAAAAGGGTTTCCTTTATCCGGATCTTTATTATAGGGTCATCACTTTATTAAAACATAAATTAACATAATAAACAAGAAATTGATAGTCAATTGTTTTTAGTAGATCCGAAATCATTTGATCAGGGATCTGATGATATTAGATATCGTCAGCCCTTGACATTTTGAATGACAATTTTCGTTCACTTACCATAATAATCAATTTCGGATAAGGCTTGATATGTTTATAAACATCAGAATAGAATGTCGTATACCCTTAACACAAATTATCGTAGATATCCTGCAAAATCTCCTAATTTACATCATGCTATGACAAAGTGGAAATGATCACTTTGCAAACATCCTCCTTGGTTCTAGAATCTACAGATCCTTATTTGAATGATTTTTGCACTCTCAGAGTAGCATCGGCAGTTCTGATAGCCAAACCACTTAAAGCCTTGAGAGATTGAAGTATCTCAAACATGAATTCATGTTGCTCTCCATAGATATTTATTACATTGCCAGCTTCAGCCCTTTCCTAGAAGTATGCTAAGATGGGCATAACAATCTTCTTTATTACGACTACGAATCTTAAGATTTGATGACTGAATACAGTATTTGAGTAATACACCTTTTCCAATTAATCACATGACAACATCTATAAATTGGGAAACCATGTTTTCCTTGTACATTCTAAATATAATCCATTATCTTCGATTAGATTAGGCATTCGTCTTACATCAACATATAAATAATTGGGAGCCAATTCATTCAGATTTTGAGCTATCAGCATCCTGATTGGTAAGTATTGTTCATACACTTTAATAATATCCAAACATAAACATGGTTCATCCTCTATGTATTTCCATTGATCTGGCCATTCCTTTGTCATCAACTCATCTCTCAAAGTGAAGTACTTTTTCTTAAAGTAAGTCCAAAATTTCATTCTCAATTCATTCCCATCTAATTCATCATAAAACACGTCATAAGCAACTTTGATCCAAATCTCAATTGACAAACGTCGATTCTATGCAAATTCACATAAACAAATCTTAAAGTCAGGACTTGAGGAATTCATTGTTTCATGTATTATTTTTTTTATTTAGCTCTCCTTGAATATTTCCCATTCTTGTAAGATCTGAGTATCATATTACAATCTTTGATCATAGAAGTTGACTTCTGATTATCTCAATTGCGAAATCAATTGTTTTATCTGAAACATTTCATCCTCAAAACAACTGTCCATTGCTTTGGTCATCTGTCTCATTTGGAAGAATCTCTATGAATTTTACATTGTTGTTCTGGAAAATAATAATTAACTCTCAAGTGTTCATATTTAATAACCTAATTATTACAATCCATTTTAGCATAATTTACTTATTCACTTCCTTTATATTTAATTATATCAAACCCATAAAATTTCATTTTTATATAAACTATATAAGCCATTTTTTTAGTTTACCAAATTCACTTACCTGGCGAGCACTGCTGATGATCATGCAGATTAGCAGTGTGGGGTTAAGCTGGCCATCGCACAACCGGCGTCAGTGAGGCTCCAAAACTTTCCGTTTGGAAAGGCTTTATCGCTCAATTTCTGCTAGTGAGGGGAAACCCTCGCACCTTCCATTTTTAATTAAACAAACGAAATTATATCACTTACTATCTTATTATCATTCCAATCTTCTCTTTAATTCTAATAACATTTATATACATTTAACTTCATTTAAAATAATGAGTCAAATCCCACATTAATACAACTATATATCTATTACAACTAATAAAATGGTTGGAATAGGCAAATTAGAACACTCTTAGAACCTTAGCATGTATATATAATATTAATAATTTATCCTTTCTGAATAGCGTATTAGATTTGAGGTAATATAAAATTTATCACCTTTATATTTTATCATTTTCATTTCAATATACTTATATATTCAGCATTTAAATGATGTATTACAGATATAGTTAATTAAATTTTTTTGCTATAAAGCTATTTAATATTTAATAAGGATTTCTATTTTAGACATAAAGTACAAAAATGAATTCTGTTTAGAATTGTTATTCTAAAGTAACTAAAAATTAGTTTTAGAATATAATCAAAGGATTTGATAACTATCATTTGAAGGAGATTTAACAATTTGTGATTAATACAAAGATGGCAAATTACTTAAAACGAATTTATTGAGTTTTTAGAAAAAAATGAAATAGTTGTTACAATGTTATTTAGAAATGAAAGAAATTCAATATTTAGAATATCCCATCGGTTATAACCCAATATTTGAAGTGGTCAATTTTTAAGGCTAATACATTGAAATGATACAAAATTACATTTGATTTAAATATGTTAATTGTGATCATCTATTAAATTTTGATATAACAATCTGGAGTTCATAAGGTTAGGCTTTAAAAGATAAGGTTCTCACTAAAATTTTAATTATTGAATGTATAAATGACCATAAGAGTATTATGCTGCTAGCCAGGTTTTATTAATAGTTGGATCTTAAAAATAAATCTAAAAAACCACTTGCAAAATTTATAACTAATTAAATTAGGATTTGGATTAATTCATTAGGTTACAAATTAATTTTCATAATATTTAAAATAGTGTTAGTATTTTGTAAGGATTAGAAATAGGGATGTGGGGTCTCACTTGATGGCATATATAAAAAATAGATTTGAGTATAGATAATGATTATAAATTTTGATAAATGAAACATGTTAGATTCAATAATTAATCTAATTCTCCAAGGGAAATAGGATTGTTTAGATAATGTATAAGGTTTTAGCCCAAAGAGAGATCACCGTAACCTAATGAGGAAGATGCTATGATGTATTCGAAACTTCGACGATTTGGATTAGTGAGGGATAAGGCATTGAAGTATTGTTTGGCTGATCACTGTAAAATTGATGCTTCACAATGTAAACATGGACCTCCGAATTATAAAATATTTTAAACCTCACTTGATAAATAAAAAATAATTCAGGGTTGGCAAATGGTAGGAAAATTGAAGGAGAGCAGTTCCGAGAAGTTTCAGAAGGCAAAGGGAGATGATGGGTTGATGCAGTATCGAAATCGAGAAGAATAGAAAAAATTTGAAAGGCTAAAGAACTATTTCTTGGGCTTAAGTAATTCCAGTAAATAAGTGAAGCTTCCGCAATTTCAAATGGGAAATGGAAAGGATCATTACTTTGAATTAGCAGACTATTATGAGCAAATAAAGCCATTGTCTAGGACATTAATAACTGACACCGAATCATTTGATGATATTATTCCAAAATAAATAAGAGAACAATTCAGAATAGAACCCAGAGTGTAGAGACCGGCTCTAAAAAGAACAGATGAAGAGAAGGGATTGAAGTCAAGATTAAAAGCATTACATGAGTTGATTGAGACTTACAGAGAAGCCGGAAGTCCAAATGATCCTTCCATAGAAATTGTATTATTGGATAGCTATGAAGATGTTAGAGCAGTTCAATCCCAAAGCTGATGAGGAAAGACAACGTTAAGAGTTTCCAAGTATTGGTTTATCGAAAGAACAAATTTTTACTGATGAAGGAAGTGCAACTGCCAAAAAAAGATGCAGTGTGTTAAGCCATCGGTATTCCAAATTTTAGCCATTTGAAGAATAAAGAAAAAATTAATAATTTTAATAAAAGCTTGATAAATTAGTCACAAAAGTTATTGGTCGGATAAATTGTAAATTTGATGGAACTTTGTTTGGTAAAGATTTCTAAAATTCATGATTATGTCTAATTATATTTTTTATATATTATTATGAGAGAAACAGCATATCGATCATCTCCATTTGAAAAGCAGAACAAATTAACAAATGGTCTCTTTAAGGATTGTCAAAGGTTTAATCCTAGAAGTAAATTTACTGAAGAAAACTACGAAAATGCTACTGTGTTCGCCAAATTAAGAAGGGCTGGGTTAGATAAGAAAAAAGCACTCAAATATTGTTAGACTCAGCATTGCAAATTGGATACTACTCAAAGTGACTTTGGACCACCTGGTTATAAAATATTCAAATAACATTATGACCCAATCAAATAATATTAAGGTTGGCAACTAGATGGGAAAATCAAATTGAAAGATTCAGGGGAATATGAAAGAATAAGTAAAGATATTAATTTAGGCTTGAGATAACAGCCCAATGAAGATTTGTACCAATTGTACAATAATTTAGCTGAAACCCATCGAAAAACAGTAGAAAGGTGCAACTTCACTGAACTCTCAAGATAGGAGTTAATAATGAAATTGAGATCATTGACGAGAGATGACAATAGAAAGTACAACACTCCCATTTACTAATTGAGAAGACATAATGAAATTTATTATGAATTGGCTGATTACTTTGAAAAATATTAGCCTCCCTCAATTAAAACTTTAGTTACTGAATTAGAAGCCTTTGATGACATAGTGCCTAGGAAATATTTAAAATAATTTTATTTAGAGTAAAAATCAACTGGGAATAAAAAAAAGAAATTAAAATAAGAAGCCACTGAAAAAATATAGAGGCGTTCAAGAATACTGATGGAATTGAATGCTCTATTTTCGCCAGTAAGATCTGAAAACTCGGTATTTAATTTAATAATTTATAAAGAACAAAAGATCTGTTTTCTCTAAGTAGGATTAAATTTGGTAAGTTCAGAATGATTCAGCAATCACTAACCTGTTGGATATGGATGAAAGTAGTATCTGTAGAAGTGCTGAGAGAAATAGTATTTCCTTTTTTCGTTCTGCCAAAATCAGGTAGACAGAGGAACAAGAAAGAATTAATTAGCTCTAAGATTCTTTGAAAAAAGTGATTAAAACTAATATAGAAAATATCAATTACTCCAAAAAATAAAATAACATCTTAACTTGACATGTATTCATTAAATTATCATATACTATTTATTATTATTTTCATTATAATTAGAAACGAGATAATCAATTATTTTAATTCTAAGAAGAATTAAATTATTAAATTGGAGGTAAATAATTAGTTTATCTAATCTAAGCTTTTATACAACGGACTAACTTTAGAAGAGATAATAAGAACTTGATATTGTTCGAGATAACATAATTTATTTAACTTTATTATATTCTTTTTGTCAAATTTTATAAATTCTCATCAGAGACTATTCCAATTTCAATTTCTTTACATTTATTGTTAATTAGAACTTCAATATATAAGAATAATATTAAAGAGAACAATAATATTAATCACTCTTATTTATATATTACATTCTATATTTAATTAGCTATTCTATAAATTGACGAATCGACTTCTGAATTGGAATGAAATATTTCATTAATAAAATAAATGGGAGGAGCTTAATCCAACAGATAAAAATCATTGCTTAGTTGCTTAAAATTACTAATAGAAGACATAGAGCTGTATGCAGACGCTAAAATACTAAACTAACTGAAAGAAATATTTATAAAATTTCCGTCTCACTTTGAAAAAAATAGGTAACTTAAATATACAATATTTTGTAGAAAGAAAGTGATAAAAATTCTGAGTAAGTCCATTCCACCATAAATACTACAATTTGAGGACATTCTACTCAACAACATAAGTTCAGTTTTTTAATGCTCATTAATTGCTAACAAATTAAATAAATAAATCCAGATTTAGAAAATAGATCCAGATTTTGTCAGAAACTTTAGATTGATGAATTTTGAGAAATTTAAACCCAATTACGAAGGAGAATATGAAAACTCATTATTATTACTATTCCAAGGACTTAAGAGTTATTGCAATCTAGCCAACCAGATTCTAAAAGAACTTAAAAACAATAAATTAGTGTAGAGCTAAATTTATGTACTGATTTGGGAACACTATTAAAATCATTTGATTAAATTTTCTAAGGATCCTGATTACGATTTGAGTCCAATCAACAAAAGCTTCGATGAGAAGTTTTATAAGTTGTCCCCTGAATTAAAAATTGAAATAATTGGAGCAAAATTATGGGGATGCATGGTAGTATAATTAGATGTTGATTTCATACTTGAAGAATTTAAATTAGCCAGAAGATCCAATAATTAATCATTAATTCCATTTAATCAATTATTCAATGCAATAGTTGATATCAATATCGACGTTGCCAACTTGCAATGGATAGGAAGAAGTGACTTTTAATTTTCAGAATAACTCAAAGACATTATTTAATTCATCCAATTTGACTCCAAGGAATTTATGAATAATCTATATTTCGAGTCAAAAGGGGATTTATTGGTATTTTTTGAAAAATGGGAGAAGGATAATGCATTCCTTAAATCTGTATTGCCATTATGGATTTGCGAGAATTACTTGGATGGTCTTTTCTTTGAGTATTGCGAAGAAAAGATTCAAGAAAATTTCAAATTGCTTTCATAAGTTGAATAGAAAAAACTTATTGAATAATACTCAAATTCAGAATGCATATCTTAACCCTTCAGATTTGAGGACTCATTCTAATAATAATTGAATTCCAAATACTTCTAGTTTGATGACTTTTTATAAAAGAATTCTGAACAAATCCTAGTTAAGATGATTAAATGGTTGAAACAAGAAAAATAATTCAGTAATATAATGTTAATAAGTGAAAGTACGTAATAAGGAGGAAGTGCTGCAATCAATTATCAAGATATTTCTAATTGTGTATTTGAGGAACATCATTAAGGAGAATAAGGAAATTCTGATGTCAAGGTATAAAGCTTAATCTAATCATAAATTCCAGAATCAAATATCTTGAATGAGTAAGAAGATGAAATAGTTAGAATTTGCAAGAAATATGATTCAATTAAAAATGTCATTTAATCAAGTATTGAATAAAGAGATGAAAACATAATCTTTAGAAACAGAGGTTTAAATCCAATTCCAAATGAACTAATTGACTTTTTCAGCTTTATCAAACCAATCAACGAAAGTTAGGCTATTGAAATCATCAATTATCTTGGAAAACAAAAAATAAAGGAAAAAGCATTAATAAGTAGTGCCTTAAGTAGCAATATTGAATTTGCTAAAGGATCCATGGCAGCAGAGTTATTCTCATTCATAAAATGAAATTTAATTTGTTTATAAAACTATTTATATTACTCTCAAGATTAATTGAATTGATTATCTGCTACTAATGAAAGTTTGAATAAAAGAATTTATAATAACTTTATTATTAAAGAATTAAATGAAAAAAAAGTAGGAAAAAAATAAACTCAAGGATAAGGAGAGTAATGTGGATTGGTTTAAATAAGAGAAACTGTAGTTTTCTTCTTCTGTGTTTTTAATTTAAAACAATATTATTGAGAATCTTAATGAAAGGTTAAATGCAAGATCAATTCTTCTAAAATATTTATAAATTTTGTAGGATCAGAACGACCATCGCTATATGGGATTAACATATGTTGGAGAAGATGAATTAACTAAATATTTATAATAAGTCCCTCTTAGTAATCTATTTCCCTCAAGAATTTGGGATTTCTCCTTTACAAGTAAATTAACTTATTAAATAAGAGCAATTCCTATAAAGGTTGCAAAATATAAAAGAAGATGATTTAATTAAAATAATTACACTAATAAAAGTCTTAGCTTAGGGAAGGTTCTCCTCTGAAAAGCCTCCAAGTTTCTAGACGTCTGAATAAAAAGTGGGTAGTATCACATATCCATTTCAATATGATTACAAGGTAAAATTACTGCTTGAAAATCAAATTATTCTTATTGAGCTTTAAATTTTTCCAAAGAAATACCCCCTAATGAATGGTCAATAGCACCCATAGTAATTTGATTATGTTCACGAAATGATATTTGTTGATTTAAATGAGAATGGAGGATCATCCTAAAAGCATCAATTATAGTATGAAAACTATCTTAAAACTCAGTAGAGCATACCAAATTTTTTTAGTGATATGAAATACATAGAAGAAGGGATTTTTGATAAAAAATAGTATAAATACAGTAGAATTGGTGAAGTGAAAGGAGATTTGATAGGACCACGAATATTTAAACCTTTAATTTGCTAGAGCAATTAATTTATCTATAATAAAAAGTTGAACCTGTGGATGACAATAGAAGATGAGGAAAAGTATTATAAGAAATTACAATAATATGAAGAAATAAGATCACATAATTATACTATCTAAAAATATTGTAACTTGCCATCCTCATAATAATTGTTAACTATAATAAAGAATATACCTAATTTTAAAGTGAAACTAACGTCAGAGTAAGAAAACGTTATTTCATATGGAGGAGACGCTTTAGTGATTGGTAGGAGTGGAACAGGCAAGACTACATGTGCACTATTAAAATTGTTTTCAACCGATATACTGTATAAATTAAGAATCAACTTAGATAAAATAAAAAATTAAAATTCCAATATTCTATTATCTTAATAAGATTAAAATACATAATTAAAAACAATATTTGTAACAGCAAGTCCATTATTGGCTTGCTAAGTTAAAAGACTATATGAATAATTAGTGAATAATATCCAAAATGTGATTAATACAAAGAGATAAAGATAAACAAAGGTTTCATAAAACAACCAATAATCTGAAAGCATAGATCTAGAATAAAGTACTTTTTAAATAATTGAGGCATTATAACAAAATGAAAACGAGAGCATTGATAATTAATAATAAGAAGTTTAGAAAGATGATGAAATAGAGGATGAAGATATTAGTGAATTCGAGAAGGAAATGGGGAAATTTAATAAATTTAGCGAAATTAAACAATATCCTGTCTTCTTGACTTTGAGAAAATTGTTGGCCCTTATTGATTCTTCACTCCTCAATTCTTTTTTTACAGTTTATGGTGGATATTAAACTAAGTCATCGCAATGGCATAATGAATCCTTTGGTATTATGTCACTAGATCAAAATTAAGTCTCTTAAGCATTTAATGAAGAACTTCTCCATAAATAGATAAACCTGATTGATAACTAAGAATTCATTGAAACAAATTTGCAAGAAGTCACCCTTGAGGTTTTCGAGAGAGTATTTTGGCCTAAAATAGTTAAAGTGTTGAGATAGGAAAACATAGAAGTCTCTACTTTTGATCCTACTTTGGTATGGAGCGAAATTTGTACAAAAATAAAAGGTCACGAAACATCGCATGAATATCCAAATAAATATATGAATTACGAGAATTATTCTTATTATTATAGAGTTTTATCATTGACATAAACGAATTTACTTTATAAGGCATTTCAAGCCTATGAAAAATTAAAAAAGAGCTATGGTTATTATGATTTATTGGATATTGTAAATCATATTAATTATGAGTTAACTTAAGGTAATGATGTGATTGAATGTGTTCATTACCTAATGTTAGATGAACTTCAAGATGTGCCAAGAGCTGTTTTAGTCCTTTTAGACAGGATGGCAGAATTTGGATTATTTTGTTGTGGAGATAACGCTTAAAACATAGCTAAGGGAATAGGATTTAAATTTTTTGAAGTTTAAAACTGTTTGTCAAATTATAGAGGTAATCAAAGGAAAAGGAAAACAAACCTAAAGTTGTTTGATCTCAATATTAATTTTAGATCCCACAATTAAATACTATAATTAGCCAACTCTGTCATTAGAGTCTTAGAGCTTTACTTTCCTTACAAAATTGATAGATTAAAGAAGGAAACATCCGATTTAACTGGACCCAAGCCAATCGTTTTATAAACTGAAGATCCACAAGATTTGTTGTCATATATTTAGGAGTTTTTCACAAACGAAAGAAAAACTGTCGAATTCGGATGCAATTAAGCTATTATAGTCAAGGATCAAGAATCGAAAGATAAATTGCCTTAAGAACTTTAAAATGCTTTAGTACTTACAATATATGAAGCGAAAGGCTTAGAATTTGATGATGTAATTTTATTCAATTTTTTCAATGATTGTAGTACAACTATTGAAGATTGGAAATAATTGAATGAATTAGAAGTGTAATCAAATTACATGACAGAAGAACAATTTAGAAACTACTAGACAAGTATTACATATTTTATATAAAATAGTTCATCAAACTGAAATAATAGCAGCAGATGTAAATGCTTATAATAAATTGATAGAAATAAAATAACTCAAATTAAGTGATTGGGCAACTTCAAGAAATTATACAGTCTACAAGGAGTCAAATTAGGAAAATGTATCTTTGTGTTAGGATTTGAAATAACTGTATGTTGCTATAACGAGACCTAAAAGAAAATTAATAATATTTGACTAATCAAATTAGAAAAGATTGATAATGCAATCGCTTTGGTAGAAATTAGATGTTGTTGAAATTGTTTAGAAAAAGAGTATTCAGATTTCTGATACTCAGTTTATTCTTGAACACAAATTAGATAATAAAGCTAATTGGAAAAAATAAGGATACAAAATGTTTAGACTCAATAATTATGATCAGGCAGCAAAATGCTTTCAATATTCAGGTGATGAAGAATTAGCCAAAAAGTCTAAGGCGTATTTTTTGGCAACTTAAGCTAACATATTTCAAGAGAATTATGCTAATTATGTTGCAGCAGGACGTTTGTTTGAGGAAATTAATTTAAAATTAAGGGGAGCTTAATGTTATTTCTCAGGCAAAGAATATGCTAAGGCTTATGAGTTGTATAAACTGACTGATTGTTTAAATGAAACTGCTGAATCTGCATATTTTGCTGGCTATTTTGAGAAGGCTGGGGATATATTTAATTAAATGAATGACATTAGAAGAGCACTTGATTCTTATAGGAGAGCAGATAAATGGGAAAGAATATTTGATTTGTTAAATCAACATAAAAAAGAGTTTACTATAGATGAAAGAATGGCCTTTTTGAATAAGTTTTTTCCCAGCTTTCTTAAAGAAATGACTGATTAGATTGAGCAGTAGGAAAAAGAAATGGAAGAAAATAATTTATTTGAAGAGGCAAGTCTCATCTAAGAAGATGACAACGACTAATCTCAGAGTTTCTAAATTGAAAATTCCATAATAGATGAATCAAAATAATCTTAGGTTGAAAATATTTAAGAAAATCTTGAATAATCCCAAGCGAGCATTTTAAAATAGGATATCTAAGAAATTATTGAAATAGATGACTCTTAGTCTTTTTCTGTTTAAAATGAGTAGTCATTGGATCACTTATCAATCTATGACCCAGAAGATGAATGGTTGAGTAACAATAGAAAATCCTTAATTAAATCTATTGCTACCTCAAGTGTTGAATCACAGTTCTCACATGTTCTATTGTTGAATTAACCTTCAAATGTTTCGCTCTTAAAATCTCGATCCAATATTTTCATAAAGAATAACGTTTTACAATAGTTAGTGCAAAAATTTTAATACTTTTCCGAAGAATTTAAGAATCATATTGAAAGATAACAATATAAAACTACATTGTTATCAAATAGAACAGGCGAGGAAAAAGAATTTGATCACATGATCAACTTTTTATATGATTTAGATAATATAGATATTGACACTATTTATTTAATACTGGATCTATTAGAACAATTTAAAAGCTATAAATTGTGCATTTATGTTTGCAACTAATTCAAATTGGCTTAGCATTTAGGAAGATATCTAGTTTCTTAAGCTTCAATCTATACTCCATTAACAAGGAGTCCCTTGAGAAACAACTATTAGATTATGGCAAATAAGCTTTATAGAAGATAAATATTAGAATAAGCGGCAGTATCCTAGTTAGCTATTAATAATGTATTAGAATCTATAAATCCAATATTCTTATAATTTAAATTTGAGGACAAGCTTAGTTCATAAAATAGTTTTGGAATTGAATCCTATAAAGAATTGATAGGCTTGGGATATTGGAAGACTGTCATTTATCAATTAAATTATGAACATGCATTCAATTTGTGCAAATCATTCAATAGTTTTTCGGATATCATTGGCATTATATCAAAAATTAAAGAAAAGAGAGGACTTAATGAATAGGAATAGTTTACCTTGAATAAATCGTAATACTTTTACAATGTCTAGGAGGCACTTTAATCACAACAAAATTAAAACTTCAATCCTTTCTTTTCAACTACTATTAATTATTTCCAAAACAATTAACAATTGAATCCTTAAATCAAAGAAGATATAATTATAAACAGTTAAATCAAGAGTTCAAATTTAAACTATTCTTAGTAGTTGAAGTAATTAGAGGCAATAATCCTATCTCATTTAATCTTAAGGAAAATGTCAACTTTAGATAAGTAAGTAAATTAAGATATAACCCAATTTATTGAAATTTAAGTTTACTTTCTTAATAAAATGCAAAATTTTACTAAAAATTCAATTATCCTTGATTCATTCGCATTCCTATATTAATTCTCATTACCTCAAGGAGAAATTATGGATCACTATTCATAATTTGCCATAGTTCATTTGACATCTATCCTAATATCCAATTTACAATAAGTGTAAAAAGACAAATAGAAAAATAATTAAGAATAATCATAATAATAAATAAAATTTATTGATATCGGATTTGAATATATTCTGACACCTTATCATGTAGTTTTGTAGACAATTCATAAATCCTTTGTTGAAATGCTCTCATTTCTATTTTACAAAATTTCAGAATAATTGAATGATTATTACCTGAATTAGACTGGCTTACAAATAAAATTCACTCAAAATGTATACATAAACTAAACTTTATTATCCTTGTAGGAATTATATTATTTAGATTAAAAATAGAGAAATGTTTTACCCTTTATATTTAAACCTAAATAACTTCCTAACAAATAATTTAAAAATTCCAATAATGGTTTTAGAATAACAGAGATTGATAAACATAAATCTTCAGTTCTCAGCTAAATAAAATAGGTTCATTAATTAGACTTTTTCAAGATATTGATTAAAACCAATATTAGAAATCCAAACCTGCCTTCTAATGTTAAGCAATTTCTTAGAGCTGAGAGTATTACTCTGTTTTAAATGTTTTAAGATAAGAAATAGCACAGCAAAATTGTTTTAGCTATAAATTTATTAAACTACATAAATGATCTTCCTTTTGCTATTTTTACACTTGAATAAATGAAGAAACCAAATCTTGCTAGTCCTTATTTTAAATATATAGAATTCTTAGAGTGTTAAGAATATAATATTACTGAAGATCTGTTCGCTTGCTTTATTGAGTTTAGTTCAGAACTTTAGAATGAATTATTTTTAGATGAGTGGTTATATCATTTAATTAGAGTAGGGCTAGCAATCCTAATTTCATTTCTGGAAGAGCATAAGCAAAAGATTTTGGTACCTTGTAATTTTCTTGAATTTGTAAAAGGATTGCAAGGAAAGAATATCCAAGCCCCAATATTTAAAATTAACAATAATGAAATGGTTGTATAGTATTTAGAAGTTTTAGGATTGTTTCTTGCTTATTGCAATTCAGAACATTATGAATTTTATGGCAATATATTACTTATTCTTTTCATTGTCAATATACCTACTTTAACTAAAGAGATAATTGAATAAATATCTATGATAATACAATTTGACTCAAAATATAAATTTTACAAAAGACTTAAGCTATTAATTGGTTAGGATCTACAGACTAGACAAAACGAATACTTAAAACAATAAAAATTCTTATACATTTCTCAATATTTAGATTTATAAATAATTCCTTTAGATATCATTAATTCAAAAAATGAACAAGAACTTTAACAAATCTATAACGCATGTTTGTCTAATTGGGAAAATTACTAAATTTAATCTGAGTCCATTAAATAGAATGGAAAATAATTAATTACAAAATGGTTGAAATATAAAAGAATTATTACAAATACCAAATCCTTAGGTAAGTAAGAACAGTCAGGTCAATCGTAGCTTTAGATTGTAAAATTTTAACAATTTTACTGCTTGAGTGATAAGGTCCTTAATAATTATTTGAATAAATACAATAATAAATTTGAAGAGAATCTAAAAGAAGCCTTTACTATATAAGAGTAAGATTTAATTTTATCTTAGGAATATTATAAACCAAAGACATGAGGCAGGTAATTCGTTAGATCTTCATTTCTTTAATTTAAAATTGGAACAACTTTCACAATTATAAATCTAGATTAGTCAAGGAATTAATGTAGCTGAATAATTAAGAAAATTATCTAAGGAAATAATTGATTGTAAAAGGAATATTCGGTATTCTTAAGAAAAAGAGGATGAACTTTTGGATAGAAATAAAGAACTGTTAGCAATTAAATGGAGAAATTTGAAGTCAGGCATAAAATTAAAAAAGAGAGTTATCTAAAAAGCAGAAATGTAATCAATTAAAGAAGAAGATGAACTAGAATAATAATAATGAAAATTTAGATTTTCTATATAAAAAAGATAATTTATAAACGGAATACATGTTATCTATAACAAATAGATAATGAGAAGTGTTCAAATATATTTAATAATGTTAATAATAATCTATATTATACAATGATATAATGAATTATCATTGACTTGTTTTTGTTTCGACCTCAATTTTCTATTTTTTTTCATTAGTAAACAAAGTCTTATATAAATATTTTAAAGCAAAGATAGAAAAAGTCTAGATATGATTTAATTATTACTATTCCTCCAATGGCCATTAAAACCTACAAAATTTTTAATGTATTTTAGTCGGCTTCAAAATATCCAATTATTTGATCTTTGCTGATGGCAAAAAATTTAGGTGCTGTTATTCTAAAACTATTTTAAGTTCTATTAAAAATAACATTTCCATAAACACACATGAAAGTTCCTTCACAAAGAATGTCTTCTTCTATTATCACTCCAATTTTTGAAATAGTAGTTATAAACTTTTTAATTTTTCCCTCCTTAAACTCTGCGATTTCTTCATCCCTAATTATCTCATAAGATTTACGTTTTAGGTTCTCTCATATTTGTTCTGACTTCAGGAGGGCTTAATATTTGATCAGTTCTTTGATGTTTTAAGACTTTTGGTAAAATGATTGTCTCTTAGAAGTTGTTGATGAGTAAATTCTCTTTTGAGTTTTGTTATGATTATAAATTAAATGATGATGCACTATCTGAGGTTGTGCTAATTAATCTTCTTTATTAGGCACTTCTACCATTATTTTCTATAGTTTCTAACTCATATTTTGATCTCTTAATTAAGACACCAGCATGTTTGCTATTTGTACTTTTTAATAATTCTTGGTTTTATCCTATCTATCCTTCGACAAACAAACTTAATTGATTATCATCTGTAATGGAAAATGAATCCCTTAAAAATTTAAATGATATACTTTAATTGCGACACATTAACAATCTTCTAACTTTTAAGAATTTCTAATTCAATTTAGTTTTTGTTAATTTTTTCCCTATTCAATTTGTATAGAAGACCAAAAATTGTTCCGCCCAAAGCACAAAGTACAAATTTAGTAAAATCTTTCATTTTTCTTGTATAATTTAATTATTATATAATTTTTATATAATAATCATGATTTTTGAATCATAAGTCTCAATATTATTGATACTATTGGACTACTTGATTACATTGATTGACAAATCGAAAAACAATTTTACCATTTTAGTTTAATAATTGTTTTTTATTCATTTCAAATAATGATTATTAAAACTCATCTAGAATGTAATTAAACATCATAATATGAGCATAATATCTTTGCATGACGTAGTTTGCATACTCATTATTCAAAAGTGATCTCAGATTCCTAAAATAAATATAAATCATACTATTTAATGACTAAATTCCATAAATTCTAGAGTTAATAAGCAAGTGATTTAGTGACCATGATTTCACAAACATTACTTCCAAACTTATTACATGATAACTCAACAAAATTTGGAATCAAGAATTCGTTGATTAAGACCTTATTTTACTCAATTGTTCTTTCTTTTAGCATCTTTTAAATGATATAATTCGAAAACTATGATTTTGATAATTGAATGCTTTCTTAGATAAGTTTATTAATTATTGGACCCACATGATTAGCCTTGGGACAAGTGACCATATTAATCAAAATTACACAACCATATTGATGATATTTAATTTTATCGATTTATAATTTGTTTATTATTTAAGCAAATTATTCATCATTCTGAATAGTGTCTAAAAGTGTGCTAATGATGAGATTTCCATATTAATCAAATTATAGTCTCTTGATATTATCTATTATGTATTAGATGATTTAATTGTTTTAGAATTAAACTAAGCATGCCTGTACTATTTTGTAGGCATATTTTCGATAGCAAAATAAATCCATATTTTCTACTACCAGTCTTAAAATATAGCTTTTGTGTTCATTCAGTCCTTTTTCTAAAATACATTGGATGATATAATGATTATAAATATCAATTGAGAATCCAATAATCTTCTCCTTAATAACGTTGTCAAAGATATTATTTTTCATCTCGCTTTCCCCTTTTTCATAGGCATCTTGAATGCTTTTTGACATTTATTAGGGCCTAATGATAATTAAAAGTTATTTACAATTGAATGTCTGTAAGTATCCTAACTGAATTGTTAGAATTTTTAAGCAGCCTTGTAGAATTTCCATCTTCATCTTAGCATGAATAATATCTTTAATTGTTAACAATTTGTGATTTCATAATAATATAGCTTTAGAAATTAAAAAATAAAAAAAATAATGCTTTTCCCATTGAAACTCTTTAGAATTTATATAATTTATAAAATAATATCAGTATTCATTTCTTACTTAAAGGTATTTTTATTGATAATTTATTAGGGTAAGTCATTAACTTCACTTTTCCAATTAAAAATTCTCTAATCAAATCAGCAATTTATTAGATTTTGGCAATGTTATACTTCTATAAGAGAGTCGGTTCTATATCTAAATTTATTACAGGTTGTCCTATCATAGAAAGCCTTAAATTAATCTTAATTGATTATACCAACTCTTTCCAAGATAAGTGGGTACGAAGCACAATCTAATCCTACTAGTAAAAGTAGAGATAGTAACTTTGATTTCGACAGGCACTTAGTATTCCTTAGGCCAATTTATAATGATGTTTGTATTTAAAACAATTTAGATTTTTCCCCTGAAAGATAAATCCAAATCACACAAAAACTAAGATAGATTCTAAACTTTACTTCATTAACATCTTGTCTTAATGCTTTTATCTCAGATAAGGAAGGGGGATCTCCAGCAATTTTTAAATCAGTTACTGTGATTTCTGATAGCATAGTCACTCTTTTCTTATTGAATGCTTTATGTAACATTTTCTTTATTTTGCCTTTGAAATATTCACTTTCCTTCCAATCATTTACTAAGACTTTTAATAGTTTTTAAAGTAATAAGGATGTTGTACTCACATGAAGATCCTCCACGATTTCTTCATTCTGACAAGTTGTATCCTCCTTGTCATTTTACAACACTTATTATTCAGTTTAATTTTCTAAGCTTTCTCTTTGTTACATGATCTAGATATTTTCAGTTGCTATTTTAAGTTACAAATATTACTTTCATCAACTATCATTCTTAGATGAGTGAAGATTTAAATAGCAAATCTGCCTAGATCTTCTATCAATGTTTTCTTCATTTTTGCTACTAATTTACTATGTTTGATAAGAAAATCCTCCATTTTTTTTAAAGTGAATCCTTATAACTAAATTAAAGCTTTTTTGTCTTCCATTAATTTGACCTACTGCTCTCTTAAATCATCTTCCTTTAAATTACTCATCTTTTAGACTTTAGATACTGTTTAACCAATTGTAGCATAAAATTTACCAAAGTTTAAGGATTTTACATCTGAAATATTTTGTTTCATTTCATTAAAAAAATGTTCAGCTGCTTTCTTAGTTTTTGATTTATCCGCTTAATCATTTTAATATTATTCAAGTGCCTTCTCATCAGTACTAAGACTTTGCAACTTTTTTAATTCTCTTAAGGCACAAATCTCAAGTTCCTTTCCAATTGACATATCTAATCTACATTTAGCTATATCCTATCTCTTCCTTTCGACCTAATCAACTAACTATTTATTAGTATCTTTAATTATTTTAATAACACTAACTAAACTAGAAAAGAGTATGTTGAAAACATTAGATACATCTTATTTTTCTTATTCTACTTACTATTTTACAAGTGAAAAATCTTTATCAATTGACATTTGGGTCAGTATTTAGATTGTATCTCTAAAAAAGTATTCCAATTCTTCATTATACTTTTAGACTATTTACCATTATTGGAGTTAATAGGTTGTTTGCCTTTAAATTTCTTTAATTTATTCATTGATTTCAAGTTCAAGTAGTTACCCTTGTTATTAATTTTCCAAGACTTGTTTTTGGGGTGATTTTGGACTCCTATTTTATCTTGAGGGGTATATTTAGTCTAATAAATTAATGAGATATGATTACAATAATCTTCATCGATAATGACTATCAGTGTGGAGATATAGGTTTAAAATTAACTGGCATAATTCTCAGATGTTATTAAGAATGCTTGGAATCCCTATTTTACAAATATAACTCTTTATTCTTCGTAATTAACTTGAAATTGTTGCATTTTTTAATTAAACTCATTAATTTCTATTTAATTTTCTTTGATTCTGTCCCTAGCATCGGTTAATTTCAATCTTATATTATCTGATTATTGCATTTATAATTTCACTTTCATTTCGCTTTTAATGATTTGAGTAGGATCATCTTTTCTCTTTAGCATTTCTGAATGAGCTTAAGTAAACGTTTATAAATCTTTTTCATTTTGTACAAATTCATTTAAAATCTTCTAGTAATGTTAATAGATCTCAACTGTTTGATGTTTCAATTTCTTCCTTTGTTTTCTTATCTCTTCCACATCTTTAAGATAGCCTTTCCTGAGTTAATGTAGTTGAAGGCTCACTTTATGCATGTCTTGGGAGACTTCGGTATGGCATTGACTAATTTATTTTAATACTTTCTTAAAGTCTTTCCATTAGGGTAAGTACAAGTATAATTTAGAGCTCAATTAAATGCCTGTCAATTGTTATATGATGTCATTTCCCTCCTCGGTGTATTTATCTACAATTGTAATTTCATTTTCAGACATCAATTTACTATCTAAATCATTCAATTATTGACCAAATTGTTGCTCTGATTCCTACAATAATTTAGATTGTTACCTTGATCCCTTCAAAGAACTCTAGATAGATGTCTAATTTTTTTAAGAATTTTTTTCTCTATAATTTTTATACAGAAATTTGTTGTATAGATTATTTATCCTCTTATCTGGGCTGTGGGTTTTCAATTTGTAATTCTGAATTGAACTTATTTATGTAATGCTTCCTCTTCTATTTTATGGGGTGCAAATATTCATCCACGTGTTATTTTACTTTTTATTTATATTAAAATTTTACAGCTTGTGATGCTCACCTCATAATTCTTATGCTTTTGTTTTAGATAATCCATGATATAGTTATACTCAATACACAGAATTACAGAGCATCCAATTACAAAGCCAATGAAAAAGGAATAATTATACCATTGTAGAAATGAAGCAATAATTATTCCAATAACTATTTTATTTGTTAATTGCATAATTTATTAATGGAAGAAAAAATTGAATAACAAAAATATTTAATAATTAAAGCTAAATTAACTATCGATAAATTAAGGGCAGACCTAGCTGAAAGAATTCAATAATTGCAGAATGAAAAAAAAAGAATGAAAATCTAGAACAAATTGTCAATAAATATTTGGGAGATGAAAAGAAGATTGTATGTGAAAGAGTGTTAGCCAAAGTAAAAGTAGAAGAAATCGAATGGATATGTAATAAAAATAATGGAATTGAATGGATAAGAGAGAGCGAATTCAATCAACAACTAAATTCATAAATGCATGAACATATCAAATTACTAGATTATTCTAATTCCAAAGATGATATTTTGGTTGTTTCCTAACAATACGATTAGAGAATGAAAATATTACATTAAGAATGTTATTAGATTGATAAGAAAAAATAAGAAATACTTACTTTGCTTTTTGATTTATAAAACGAATTTGACAAGTATAAATAGGAAATCATACTAAATATTAATGAATTAGTAAATTAATCTGAAGAAATCAGAGAAACAATCTTAACATTAGTTGATTAAAGCACCGATTGCGAGGCAAAAATTAAACTGCTATTTTTGTAGTTATTGAAAGTAAATTACTATATAAACTAAGTCTTGTAGTCCATAATTGCATTCTCTTAAATAGCACTTAATTACCTTAAATTAAACAATATATGAGTTAATCTAATAATAGTAGGAGTAAAATAATTTGATAGAGTAACAAGCGAAGGAGCAGAAATAAAGACTACTTGAAATTGAAGAGGAAAGAAAAATGGAAAGAAAAAAAAGTATGTTTTATATAATTTAAAAACAAAAATCTAGAATTTTGAAAATGGTAGATAGTAAATTTAATTATTAGAAAATAACTTAGATTAACTAACTAAGGAATTGAGAGAAAAAAATATTAAAATTGATCTATTATGTTAAGAGAATCAAAAGAATGCAAAATTTTAATATATTAAAATATTATGTTACACTTTTTTACACAGGAATATTCAGTAATTATATCTAATAATCTAATTGCAACTGTTTTATAATTTACAGAAGCTGAACATGCAACAATTTAATAGGCATGGGAAAGGGATACTAAGTCTTTTTCGAATAGAATTTTCACATGAGAATGGTAATTAAGAATTATTTATTTTTTTATAATAATAAAAAAAAATATTTGACTTTTGATAATTGTGTTTTATTGTTGTTATGTTAATCTAAAAAATTCTTTAGAAATTATCATTCTTTTGGTTTTTCAATGGTTATAAATCAAATTAATTTTATAACTTTTATTTTCATTTTAATATTCTACTTCTTTCGTATATCAATTATTATATTTTAAGATGAGACTTTTCTGTAATTTAAGGTTTTTATATTTGTTATTGCTATTCCAATAATTTTAAGAGTGAGATTTGAGGTTTTTAGTAATGCTTTAACTTTAAACATTCTTGTAAGTATTCTAGCAATATTGTATTTATATATATCAAAACAGGATTTTTTATTCAAGAACTTTAATTAATCTTAGAGTAACCAATAGAATATATAATTCAAATATAGATATTTGATAAACTATATTAAAGAGATTAAGTTCTTTTAATTAATGTATTATTATTAAAATAAAAGTATAATTTAGGTAATTGTACAAAAATTTATTATAGAATTGTAAATTTTAGCAGATCACATGTAAGGATATAAGAATTTGAGCAAAATATATAGAGGTAATTTAATGAATGATGGTGTTGTTAAAGTTTCATGAGTGTTTGATTATTAATTGAATTTAGAATTAAGTAAAAATTAAGATTGATTATTAAAAATTTAAATCTTATTATATGGGTGAGATAGTGCCAAATTAATTGTTCGTTGCTGGTTATAGTCGCAATAAAATACCTGATGAGAAGGGCATAAAGGACATATTCAAAAAATATGGTAATATAAAGGATGTTGCCTACAAGGGATCGTACTCTTTTGTTGTAAGATGTGTTTTTCTATTTAAATAGACATTTTAATCGGAATCGGAAGCAGAGGATGCTCTCAAGGCACTTAACGGATAATCGATTAACGGATAGAAATTAAAAGTTGATGTAGTTGATAATCGAAAAGGACGTAGAAGTGGGCCGTAAGAGAATGACGAATGCTTTAAATGTGGAAAAGGAGGGCATTGGTAATGATGATTATTTTAAGAGTTTAGGGCTAGAGAGTGTCCAAACAGATCCTCACCAAGGAGAAGGAGGTACTCTGATTCGAGATCACGGTATTTAATTGTTTTTATGAATTGGGCAGACATAGAAGATCAAGGAGATCAAATTCAAGGTCTCGCTCGTATTCTTCTTATTCGTCTTCTCACTCGAGGAGAAGGAGGGACTCTAAGAAGCGAAATAGATACAGCAGAAGGAGCAGAAGTCCAAGGAGAGATAATAAGAGAAAGAAAAGTACCAGTTGCAAGAGATCTAATACAAATTCAAGGTCCAGATCATCAGTTAGCAATAAATAGAGATAGTCACACAAGTCATCATCTTCTAAATGAGAAAGGATCAAATAAAGAAAAAGAAATTAGAAATTAAATCAATCGTGTCTTCTTCCATTTTTCATTCCCTTTCCTATTATTTCTGAACTGCTTTTGCTCATTCATAGGAAAACATTTAATATGTCAAATTCTTAAGCAATCGAAAAACTAAATAAATTTTGTATATAAATATATTTTTTAAGACATTTTTACTATTATTAATTCATAGAAAAAATGAATGAAAGATTTGAGTAAAATCTGTAGGCGATTCTTTAGAGAGAATGTCAAATTGAAAATAAAAACTTACTTATCAAGGGATAAATTGAGTTATTAAAATAACAAATAAGAGATCAGAAATTAATCAAGCAATAGCAAGATCAAGAACTCAGGGAAATAGAAAAGATACAAGTTATGCAAAATTTGAAGGAAGAATAGTAGAAGTAGATTGAGGAGAAGGAGATCCAATTGATCAAACAAAAAAAGGAACTTCATCTCAGATTAGATGCATGTGAAGACTTATAATTTGAGATAGAACAACAATATTAGCATCTGCAAATTCAATAAGAAAATCATAAGATTTTGGATGAATCAATTAAAAGACTGATGGATTGTATTTAAAGGGTTAAGAAACCAATAAAAAACTAGTTATTTAACAATCGAGTTGCTACTTCTCATTCATTTGATGAACGGGCCACTGGTTTTGGGATTATGGGAATGTTTAAGTCTAAAAACAATGTCGACGATTATATATAGAGAGTAGAAAAAATTAATACTTCTAGACTATTTGATCATTGATTTAAAAACTATTATATTTGCGTATATTTAATTATCATTGTTTAATTTTGATTTCCTTAAAATAATTAAAATATGGCTGAAGTCGATTATAATACTCTTGTTTAGGCAAGTCAATTGTTGTTTGATCACTCCTAACCATTCAATGATTAAAAAGCAGTAGCTCTTGATCTCGTCACTTCTGGAATGAGATCTAGTAACATTCAAATTGTAAGCATTATTTCTTATCATTTAGATCACTGCCTGTACTAAAATATGGGTTGATTTATAGAATGATTAATTCTTTTGGACAATGACCGACTAGGTCATTTTGTTATGCAAATAAAATCAAACTAAATTTTTAGCTTTGAAAGTACTTGAAGAACAAATTAAATCTAAATGGAATTTGATTCGTGAAGAATCTAGATTAGGACTTAAAGGTTTTATTCTTAAATAACTATTACATTTTGGAGCAAAAGACTAACATGATTCAATCGAGGAATCTTTATTAAATTAAATAAACATGATTATAATATAAATATTAAAACACGAGTGGAAGACAACTTGGGTTTCATTTATACCTGAAATTTGTGAATTAAGTAAAACAGATTAAAACCTTTGTGAGAACAACTTGAAATTGCTTAGATTATTAAGGTAATTTTTTAAATATTTTAAATTTTAGTTAAGAAATATTTGATTATTCTAAAAATTAATTAACAACCAATTAAATAGTTGAATTGAAAAGCAATCTTCACAAAGAGTTTTAATTGATCTTTGAACTTTGTTTCTTTTTGGTCTAAACATTTGTGGAGAAGCAAAACATTAAAGTAACCTTGATAAAGTAAACATTGGAAACCCTTTACACATATTTGTCTTGGATTCCTTTTGGATTTATCTTCATGACATAATTGTGTGAGATTCTTATTTAATTATTTGATAACAATCACTTCAGAAATCTCTCCATTAGATGTTTAACAGAGATAGTCATTCTCAAACTTGATTGTAAATGATATTTTCTACTTTTTTAGCTGATTAATAGAAGATGATCATCTAACAACAAAAGATTGGTATTATTTTCGAGAAGATCTTGATAAAATTGAGATAAGTTTTTCCATGTGACTTCGGATTTTTAGGAGAAAGATAGAGATTAAGAATAACAAGCAATACTCAATTATAATATTTCGACGATTTTTGTGCCATTCTGACTTAATTCTTTACTGGAATCCTTAGTCAACATTTAGATTGGTTGGAGAATGTCTCAAAGACCAACCCAAATGTTATTTAATTAGTTGATTACAGTTTATAATATCTGATTGGATTCTCTTAATTACCCTTAGAATAGAACTATAAGGTTTGTGCAGAGTTCTGGTTTGACTTTACTAAGAGATTGTTGGATTAGCCATCTTAGTTGCCAAAAGGAAATCAAATCATCTTGAATCTTTATTCGAATGAAATGAATCCTCCCTCCTTATAAAATAATAGTTATCCTAGAGTAATAATTTTATGAGTTTTTAATAATAGATTTTGGTTGAATTGAGAAAGATTGTTGTAAGCAAAATGGCTAAACCCCAAGAAGTCTTAATCAGCATCGATGAAACTGGGTAGCCAATCAAGGAGGAACTATAAAATACAGAAAACAATGCTTTATATGATTTATTAAAGGACCTTTTAATTAATCTGGCAAAACTAAATTGGACCAGTACGAAGGAGATTATCACTTAAAAATTGGATAAATAGGTAAATTAACATTATTCTATCTTAAAACGCATTAATAATGGCGTGCTTGCAATTTATTGAGATATTATAAATGATCTCAATAAAGTCAAAAAACTAAAGAGTCTCATATCTATTTATCATTTTATATTAATTTATTAATTTATTTTTAGATGGATGGATCTGAATGGTCATTTGATAATTTAAATAGCATATGTTGGGCAATAGGATCGATATCTGGATGTTTGCCAGAATAAGATGAGAAATAATTTTTAATTCATACAATTAAAAATTTGCTTTCCCTTTGTGAAGTCAAGAAAGGTAAAGAAAATAAAGCTGTTGTTGCTGCCAATATCATGTATGTTGTAGGACAATACCCAAAATTCTTGAGAACTAATTGGAATTTCTTGAAAACAGTAATTAAGAAGCTTTTTGAGTTCATGAAGGAAACCTTCCCAGGTGTACAAGAGATGGCATGCAACACATTTTTAACAATCAGTTAAAAGTGTGGCAAAGAGTTCGTCATAAGACAATAAATGTATTCTTATCTCTATCAAATTATAGTCAATCTGATTAATTGGAGAGAGAACCCTACATCTGCGAACTCATTAGAAACATTAGAGATTAGATTGCAATATTATAAGATCAATACAAGTTGGTGTATTATGAAAGTTTAAGTCACATGATCAAATTCGAAGAAGACTTAAATATCAGAATTCAATTAGTCAACAGTTTAGTCAAACATCTAAATGATCAATTGAGTCAATATACTTCATCCAACAATTATGTCGATCTCTTTAAAGATGAAAAAGTTTAACAGTTCTTCGTTTAATATTTCAGAATCCTATAACAAATAGTTCAACCTACTGGATATGCATTTACTCAATCATTAATTTCACTGTTACCTACATACAATCAAATATATCTCTTTTATAGTCAGAGTATCTAATAATAAGTACTCGCACAAGGAGTGGTGGTTATGGGTTATTATACAGTGAAGAAATAGAGGGCTGTTAAAAAGGAAATCTTGAAATTATATGCAACTTACTTCCAAAATAACGATCAAGAATTATTGAATAAGCACTATCAATTAAAAAATTCATTAGTTATCCCTATTTGTAATCTCCTTGATGAATACTCTTAATCCATAAATGAATAGAAGGAGCCAGAATTGCTATTGACTTTTAAAGTAATATATTAGTATCAATATATATAGTATATGCTTGAGAAGTTCCTTGCACCAATTGAGGATCTTGTTCCATTGATTTTAAAAGGATTGTTTGATGCTACTATTAGATTAATAAGTTAAGACTTCAACTCTTACCCAGATCATAGAATCAACTTCTTTGAGTTTTTACGATCTTGTGTCCAATACCATTTAGTGGCATTATTTAATATGCCCTAAGACTAATTTAAATTAATGATAGACTGCATTGTTTGGGCATTCAAACATCAAGTACCTAATTTATAAGAATTGGGATTGGATGTCTTATACTATATCCTATAAGTAATTATCTATTAATATTTCAAAGTAAGTCAATAGTGACATAGTTGTTGCCAATCAATTTTATTCCCTCTATCATTTAAGATTGTTAAAGGATATTCTAGAAATTTTGACTGATAATCTACATGCTAGTGGATTTAAACATTAAAGCCAAATTTTAATGATCTTGTTCTAAGTTGCCTCTAATTAACAGATCACAAGTAAATTATCCAATGAACAAATCGGTACAAACTTAGAATTTATATCCCAATATCTTGTAAATTCCTTATATAATGCCTTCCCTAATGTTAGCAAACAATAAACTGAATTACACATTGCTAGAATGTTTTAGAACTTAAATAATGCACACAACTTTAGAGTATTATTTATTCATCTATTTTTTTAGTAAGAACTTAGTGATTACTTAATAAATTTAAAATAATTCCAAGAAAGCCATGATCATTTAAAACAAACAGAAAATACAGATGAGTTATAAACAGCTAAGCCTTAATGAAATGACATTAAATATTATACAAAAAAATATATATATTTAATCTAATAATATTGAAAAATCATTCTTATTATTTTATTAATTTCATATCATGCATCATCAATGAGAAAACTCAACCTTCATATTTCTGCTTATATCCCATATGCATTTAGCTATTGATAAGACTATTTTATATCCTAATTCACCTAGATTGATGCTATATAAGATAATATTAGATTTTAATTTAGACATTTCTGTGTAAGCTATAACACTTATATAGCAAAGAATACAATACAAACAAACCTATTATTGGATTGCTACTAAAAATATGAGATTATGAATAAGTAATTTCTAATTTAGTCTACTAGAAACTTATATAATCAAGATTTTATAAATAGATTTTAATCTATCAATTACTCAAATCATTTGATTATGAAAGCCAGTCTTGATATCTCTCAAAATTATAATAATCTATGAAAATAATTGAATTTTTCGAGTATTATCATAACATTATTAATTCTATTAAATAAAGCTATTAGGATTAAAGAGAGAATTAACTTTTGCTACGAATATTTATTCAAAATTTAAACTAATTGATGAATGTGTGAAGTGAAGATGGCTACTCTTACTCTATTAACAACTAACTAAGATGAAAACGACTTAATATTTTTAATATTTAATTCATCATGAACTTATGTTCTGATAGAATTAAAGAATATTTTAAGTTCAGAAAATATTACTCTAGACCTTAGACTTGCTTACTTTAACAAATTAATGATGGAAAATGTAGTATTGATGAAGATACTTATCTTATCTTATATGTAAATATTATCTTAAATAATTAACTAGTTAAGTATGTCGGTGTTGTTAATTTTGAATATGTCTCCAGCATTAATACCATAAGCTCAATATGGATGTGACTATTACTCATGGTTAGAGATGTAAAACTATATAAAATCTTTTAAGGGGCAAAGACAACACATTAACTTACTACTTAAATGACTCTCATCGTGAATAATCCATTAAATTGATCCTCAAAAGCAATTAAGTTCCAATCATATTACAGAAACCAAATGATGATTATAGCGGAGTCGATCTAATCCATTTAGGATATATATCCTCGCCAATTGACAAATCTGATCAAGATGCTCTAATATAAAAAATGAATTCAGAGCTTAAAGATCAAGAGAAGGACTTTAATACAACCATATTGTATGAACAGACGACCATTTCGTTTTACGAAGATGATTAATGATTAATTATTTATAAGCACCAATTAGATTTTAGAAATGTTAATTTTTTCTTAATTTTACTCTAATAATTATGGATAGAGGTAATTAATCTTAATTCAAAAGAAGCGTGCTCATATTTATAATTTTTTTAATAGTCTTTCATTCTTAATTTTGTCTACTGAATTTAAATTTCTTGCAATTCATTTAAATATTAAGTAAAACTAATTGAAATTCATTGTATACCATCTGTTATCGTTGTCATTTGCACATATTACTGGATACTGTTAAAAGCCTAAATTCAATCAAATTTTAACAAAAATTATGTTCTATTCAAAAAACTACCAATAGTTATTATAAAATAAAATGAGATAATTTCTTTTTATAAATTCAAAATTTCTTAACAAGAAAGCATTAATTAAAGTTACACTTTTTTACTCTATTTTAATCCATATTATTGTTAAATTGTAATTTAAATTTTATTTTATAATTGTTATTTTGCAGTATCAAACTAATTTAGAAGCATTCAACTATAAAAGATTCTATTTTTAATTAACTTTTAAATAATATTACATTATAATATTAGCATTTATATTATTCATATACTGGTTAAACCTTTAAGTATTTAATAAACAATAATTTTTTTCCCTTATTAAAAGTGTTGAGTCTTAACTTTTAACTTAATGTTAAATTCAAAGCGATATCCCCTAATATTTCACTCATATCCATTAGATCAGAGTTTTATAATTAACAATTAATTTATTACATTTAACTATTCTCTAATAAATATTTATATTTAATCACTTCAAATTATATTAAAATAATATTCATAATTGAAAGAGAAAAAGATATTAAAATATTAATTTAGTGTTTCTATGTATCTTAAGATTTTTGAATAATATGCAAATAACAAGTATAAAAATGAATTAGTCTTACAAATGATTATATCTATGATATAATGAATCATTTACCATAGTTTTCAAAATTAAACAAAGTAAATACGATAGATAATCATTTATAAAAATGCATTTTAACAATTTTGCAGAGTAGTGTTTTAACATATTGTTCCTAATTAATATGGTTTTAATTATATAAATATTTTCCAAAATTAAAAATGATTTAATCTGAGGAACAATAATGCAGTAATAATTCAATCGATACTCTTCAATAATATGCAAACCAACTCGAATAGGCCATTATTCAAAAGCAATAATCAATTGAAGCTTAAAGGATTAAATTTTTTGAAATAATAAAAAAGTAAAATTAATAGCTAGAATAGGATTTCTTTTGATTTTGATGTACATAATATTGAACCTCAGGAAATTGAATCCTATTTGAAATCTATAGCTCTAATCCCTGAAGATTTTGATGAACCATTAATAAAAAAGAAGAATAAAAATAATATAATAAGAATTAAAATGGTATAGGAATAGCAACCTGTTTCAGAAGTGCCATCAAAACAAAAAAGAAAATATACAAAAAAATAACCATCAGAGGAAAAATAATAGCAAAAAAGAAAGAGGAGGACAAAAAAGGAAATGGAAAATGCAAGAATGCAAGAATAAAAATAATAATGATTATTATATTTATCATAATATATGTTTGCCTATCTCTTCTACTCACTAATTCATACAATATAAAATAATTTATATAAACTAAAATATTTCATATATTTGTAATTACTAATACTATTATTTTATTTATAATTATATCATATGACACCAATGACCTTTTTGAATTCTTCAAAAATTGCTATTAAATTCATGGATTTCAATTTTTCATCCATTGTTAATGTTTTCTTTCCAATAGCCATCAGATTGAGTCACATTCAGAAATCAATTTCTAGAAATTAGATCAATGCTACTTATATCCCTTTTAGCACTCTTAGAAGAGTCATATATATTATCAATGAATAATAACAGAATAAGTTATTATATATGAAAAGTAATTCCATGCAAGGAACACTTCTAATAGCCCAATCATTAAAACTTACCTACTACAATCATTCGTAGTTAATCTAATTCAGAACCAAAATTTTCTTAATCTTCACTATCAGATTCTTCAATGATTTTCTTTTATTTTACAGATGCCATCTTTACTCTTAGATATAATACAAAAATACTGTATGGATTTGAAGAATATCAATATCCTTAATAACTTCTTTAAATCCTAACTCTTTCTTTGATAGTAATTGCTCTCAAAAGGTAATCATATCTGATTTTAATAGAAATAATTTACATTTTTTGTGTTACTAAGAAAATTATATAACAATGTTGTATTTTTTTTCTATTTCTAAATTTTCAATAAGTTCCATAACCATTTCTTCTTGAGGCTATGAATTTTAGTTTTACAAATCTTTTAACTTTATATACCCTGATTGGTGTCATGTTTAAATGGTTTCCAGACTACCAGCAAGTTCTTAGGCTTTAAATTTTACTTTCATTATATTTTAGATTAGCCTAAACTTGAATCATAAACAAAAAATCAGTCTTCATATTTTTAATGACAATAATCAAAAGATATTTTGGTTCTTCTTTTTTAGAATACTAATCAGCCCATGGAATAACTCAGAATTTATAGTTTCATTAATTATAATTAAATTCTTGTAAATATTCAATTTGATAATTTCAATCTTTCTATAGAAAAGTTAGTATATAATATATCAAATTATATATCTTATTATTAAGCTTGTAAATCATCAAATGAAATACATAGCTCTGGTTGCTGTAAAATTAAAATAATTTTAATATACTTTATTAAATATATATTATGAAATTACACAATTAGTCAATAATTATTAGTTTAAATAAATATTAAAAATGCTGCAATTTGATTAAGAGAAACCTATTGGAAATTTATATAAAATTACTACTAAGCTTGGAAGTGGTTCATTTGGAGAAGTTTTCAAAGGAGTAAACATGGAAACTAATGAGATTGTAGCAATTAAATTGGTAAAATTTGAATTTGATTAAATTTATTTAGGAAAGTTAAGAAGCTCAAATGCCTCAAATTAAACATGAATTTTAAATATTATCTGCAATTTAAGGAAATGGTATATTGATATTCTTATCTTAGGTATTCCAAAAGTACATTGGTTTGGACTATGGGAGGATAAAACAGTGATGGTTATGGAATTGTTGGGTTATAATTTAGAACAACTCTTCAATTTGGTTAACCGAAGATTCGAATTAAAGACCATGTTAATGCTTATAGATTAAATGGTATTTTTATGAAAAGATCTATTAGTTTTTAGATAGATATTATATCTCTCCTCCATTCAAAAGGATATATATATCGTGATATCAAGCCAGAAAATTTCTTAATGGGAATCAATAAAAAATATAACACAATTTACATAATTGATTTTGGTTTATCTAAAAAATATAAGGATAAAAAGACCGGAGAGCATATTCTTTACAAAGAAAATAAAGGATTAATTGGAACAGCCAGGTATGTCAGTTTAAATACACACCTTGGGATAGGTATATTATTTATTTAAAATTAAGAGTAAAGCAGACGAGATGATATGGAATCTTTGGGATATTTATGGTTATATTTTCTAAAAGGATCTTTACCTTGGCAAGGTCTAAATGTAAACAACAGGGAAGAAAAGTATGAATTGATTAAAACAATAAAATAAACTATTTCAGTTGAGGATTTATGTAATGGATTGCCTAATGAATTTGTAAAGTACTTTCAACACTGTAGATAACTTAAATTTGAAGAAGAACCAGATTATAAGAGGTTTAAAATGTTGTTTAGGGATTTATTCTTTAAATTAGATTTTGTTTGGGACTACTAATTTAATTGGATTGATTCACTCTAACAAGAATAAATCCAATCTATTATGCCGACCAGAAATAGCAAGAACTCTTTATCAAGTCATAAAGGAGGAAGTATTATTTACTCAAATATTGAGGTTATAATCTGAAGACAGAAGAGGAAGACGAAGTCATAGAAAAAATTGAATTCAAAATTGGAGGGGACTCTCAGGCGAATTAAAAAAATGTTAAACCAATTATAAATATAGATAAACTCATTAGCAAACCAAATTTATTTGAAAGTATTTTCAAATGATTATAATATTCAAAGGAAATTATATGTTAAAAGAAATAAATATTTTATTAATAGAAGAATTTAATTCAATACAGTTTTATATTATTAGAATTTTTATTAACTCAAATTTCCTAACTTTATTATATAGATTGATAAATGGTCCGATAAATTGGCATGGTTTTAAGTTCCTCATTATTTTATTACTCATTCTGTTTACTTATCAAATTCTGATATTCATTCAATTATTTTTGCAAAGAAATCATATTCTATTATTATTATTAAGAAGCTTTTTTTAGCTTAATATTTTAAGCTTGAAGCTCCAACAACATTTTGTCCTTCTGACTTTCCTGGATTACATATGCTGCTTCTATGTTGATTTTAGCTTATTCTTTTGCAACTTATTTCCCCATTCTCAATATCTCTAATTCTTTTTTGAGATTTTAGATTTCCTAATCTTTTTATCTGATAATTTCTATTAAATATTGAGGACTTTACATTATATCTCTAATAAAAATTATTAGAGCGATTTTTTATTTAAGCCAAATTGTTCAAAATTCTAGATTATTCTATCAAGCTTTCTGTATTATATCATTTATCCAATTGCTAAATTAATAATTGTAGGTGTACTTTAATGCTATCTGTACCAATTAGGATTCTTTATAATAATTCTTCATAGATATAGAATTAAAATGTAATTAATTTGTTAAATCCTTTATATATAATTGTTTACTTTTTGATAAAAAAATCGAACAGTGAATACTTGATTGTACAAGAGATAAGATATAAGTTTATAAATTTGAAATTTTATATTTATAAACTTCATTATTTTTTTGGACTCTGCTAATTATTATTTTTATGATTTAATAATTTCTTGGGTTATTTATTGTTTTGCTGATTTTATGCTTGAGGTCTATTGTAATTGGATGTTTAATAAAACCCAGGATTATTGAAAGATTATTATGATTATTACTATTATTATTGCTATTATTACTATATTTGTAAGGGTTGTTATTATAGCTGTTATTAATTCCAAAATGAAGGTTAGGCTATAATTATAGTAAAATATACCAACTCCACTCCAAGGACTTTAGTAATAATACGCACATTATTAATAATATTGATTTTAAAACTATTACTGTTTCCTTCTTTAATAAGAAGCTACAGAGAAAGTGAACGGCATTGATTCAAAGACACTGATATATTCTTAAAACTAAATAGCAAAATTTGAATTGGAGTCTCTTTCATTTCTCTTTCTTTACTTAAAAAATTAGATATTAATAAATACTTCTGAATTATCCAATTCTTTGAAAGCCTTCAACATGCAACTTTTTTAGGGTTATTTTTCGAAGGCAGAATAGATTAAATCACCATTCTCAATTTAAGTACAATCAATTAATTCATGAATGCATTTTCCACTTGATTATTGAATTGAACTTAATTCATTATATGGTAAATCTCTTACAAAAACCTTTTGTCTATTAGATTATTACCCATTCAATTTGAAAAGACCCAAACCATTTATTCTCTTCTGCCCAATATATGAAATGCTTAGTTTCTCTAAAATAACTGACAATTTTAGCCAATCCAATAAAATGAGATGTTTGAGTAACATTAAATAATAAATAAACCGGACGAGATGCATCATTTAATTTCTAATTATTACGACTCGAACTAAGGATTTTATAGAATAGCTACCTAGTCCAGATGCCGTATTTAATAGCACGGTGAACATTATCTTTAGTTGGAGCACGTATCAAAAAGTAAGTTGCTTCTGGTTCAAGTGGCTGATGAATATTTTGAAGACATTTAAACGTTTTGGTTATTTCTTCAAAATTTTCATAATTATCTAAATATTAAGCTTCTGGTTATGGACAATTAGGATTTGTTTGCATATTAATATTTATTTATTTAAATATTAATTCATGGATGTATATATATCATATATTTGCTTTAGACTGTTTCAGATATCAATCCAAGACCATTCCTTGAAGAAATCACAAGAAAGCAGATCATAGTCAGATTAAAATGGGGATGGGAATTAAGAGGTAATATAAATTATCTAATTATTAGGGGTTTTAAAAAGCTCAGACTAATACATGAACCTGCATGTAATTTTATTTGTATAATTCTATAGATGTTGAATACAGAAGAGTACGTTGATGGGAAGAGCAGAGGAATTTTAGGAGAAGTATTGGTTAGATGTAATAATGTTTTGTACATCAGACAATGTCCTGACGAAAAATGATCTTAAATTCAATTATATATGCATTAAATTTTAGAAATCTAAACAAATAGTATTATATGGTTTATAGGTGTAACTTAATGAGTTAAAAGAATACTAATAAAATTTAACAAACTATTTAGTATGCCCTTATTCTAGCGTATTATTGACATCAGAATATTTATTGATATTATTGATTGAAAATGAATCTGAGATACTCGTTATATACCTGAAAGTTTAATATCAAAGACTTAAAGTAACATGTTATCATACTATGAAATATTAAACCAAAGAATGGGAGTTAACTATTATATTTTTAATTTGAAAGAGAACTTATCTTCTAAAACTAAACTTAAAGATATTGCTTTGTTTGATTTAAATTATATAATTTTCTCAAAGCTTTTTTATTAAATTCATTAGTATTCATCAAGTTTTTGAAAAAAAGATCATCTTAAGATTCTAGTCTTTTTCTTTTGCGTAGTTTCCTCTTAAACAATAGATCAGCATCAGTTCAAGTATGAAGAGTAAATAAAACAACAATGAATTTACTTTGGCTAACAAATCATTCAATCAATAATACTGATTTTGGCAAAAGACACGCTTTTTGATTGAAAAATAGATGTATTAAATGATAATTTTAATTATTCTCAATCAATTTATAATAAAAAATCAAATAATAGAGAATTGTAATTTGATAAAACATATTATTTATTTTATTCAAGTTTGTCTTTCTAGGTTTCTCGATTTTAAGGTAAATTTTAATATTTTCAATTATGTAAATTTGGACCGTGTTGGAAGATTATAAGTTAATAGAATTTATTAATAACTTATAATTATTAATAGTAATCATGATGAAACATTGTATATACAATAAAAATGTTTTAATAAATAATTAAATGAATAAATAATTTTTGATTCTTTATGAATTTTTGGAAACTAACTCAGGAAAAATATTTTTAGTAGAAGAGAAATAGTAAAATACTTCAAACAAATATTATGCGTATTTATTTAGTAAATTATTGATTCCAAATGAATGCTTAAAAGATGAAATAAAATTTCTTGAATAATCAAATCACCGAGATTTATTTAGAAAATATATTAAAATGCATAAAGATGATCAAAAATAATTATATTTATTTGATTATATTGAAGGGAGTCAATTTTTAGATCAAAAGATTAAGGATTATGGGAAACTTACGAAATCTTTTGTATATTCTGAAATACAATAATACCTTAAAAACTTATTATTAGCCTTATATCAATTGCATTCAAAAGATATTCCTGGGAGAGTTTTTTCAACTTTCAATATAGTTGTTTAACCTGGTGAAAAAATTGTATTAATGGATTTTGGATTTGAACCAGAAATTGAAAAAAATCATTTAGATATATTAGCACCACCTGAATATTTGAAGAAAATAATCAATAAAGGTATTATTTTGTAAATATTTAGAAAATTATGATAAATTTGATTTAAAATTTGACTCTTGGTTGGTTGGAGCATTTTTATATCACTTAATAAAGTTTTAATCTATTAACTAGGTTAATGTAAACAATAGTTATGTACGATATAAATATGATTAAAAAGAATAATTTTATGAATATTTGAATAGTATCAAATTTATTCCTTGTTAAACTTCAAGATACAAAAATACTCTGCTCTCCTTAGTATAAGATTTACTTACTTGTGATCCAAACAAAAGATTATCCTTTTATCAAATTTATTAACATCCATTCATTAAAGATCTTAAAATTGACCAATTAGATTCTTATCTTCAATTCTATCAGAAATGTGAATATATTAGAGATTTAAAAAATGATGCATTTAATACTGGATCATTTTTTATGAATACTCAAAAAGAAAGATCTGTTATTTAGTTTCCATAAAAACTTGAGTTGATATATTCTTGCAATGTTCTCACTAATTAAGTATAATCATAAAAGAATCAAATTGAAATAATTCAAACCATTTCTAACTATAAAGAGAAGACGAATTAACCTGATTATTTGGTTGTTATTATGAACACACCATAATTTTCAGATCGAAGTTATTATGAATATTGGTTTCAAATTTAATTAGATTGTTTGAGATGCTATATATTAGCTTCAGCAAAAGACAAAATTACTATTGTTTTTAAATCTACCAATCACTTTGAATAGATCTATACATTTATTATTAATAAAATGCATTTACTTATTTTAAGTGAAATGAATAGTTATTTGCAATCAGAACTTTATTAAAATAAACCAAATAAAAATTGGAAAATATTTTTAAATCAACATTAAAAAGATTTAATCGCATCTGAATAAATAAATTTATATCTAAAGGAATTATAACAACAATTGCTTACCATTTTGTAAAAACATCAAGAAGTCCATAAAAAAGAGGACGATTCGCTTCCTGAATTAATAAAGCTAGCATTGAACAACGATAAAGTTCAAANCTTGAATAATCAAATCACCGAGATTTATTTAGAAAATATATTAAAATGCATAAAGATGATCAAAAATAATTATATTTATTTGATTATATTGAAGGGAGTCAATTTTTAGATCAAAAGATTAAGGATTATGGGAAACTTACGAAATCTTTTGTATATTCTGAAATACAATAATACCTTAAAAACTTATTATTAGCCTTATATCAATTGCATTCAAAAGATATTCCTGGGAGAGTTTTTTCAACTTTCAATATAGTTGTTTAACCTGGTGAAAAAATTGTATTAATGGATTTTGGATTTGAACCAGAAATTGAAAAAAATCATTTAGATATATTAGCACCACCTGAATATTTGAAGAAAATAATCAATAAAGGTATTATTTTGTAAATATTTAGAAAATTATGATAAATTTGATTTAAAATTTGACTCTTGGTTGGTTGGAGCATTTTTATATCACTTAATAAAGTTTTAATCTATTAACTAGGTTAATGTAAACAATAGTTATGTACGATATAAATATGATTAAAAAGAATAATTTTATGAATATTTGAATAGTATCAAATTTATTCCTTGTTAAACTTCAAGATACAAAAATACTCTGCTCTCCTTAGTATAAGATTTACTTACTTGTGATCCAAACAAAAGATTATCCTTTTATCAAATTTATTAACATCCATTCATTAAAGATCTTAAAATTGACCAATTAGATTCTTATCTTCAATTCTATCAGAAATGTGAATATATTAGAGATTTAAAAAATGAAGCATTTAATACTGGATCATTTTTTATGAATACTCAAAAAGAAAGATCTGTTATTTAGTTTCCATAAAAACTTGAGTTGATATATTCTTGCAATGTTCTCACTAATTAAGTATAATCATAAAAGAATCAAATTGAAATAATTCAAACCATTTCTAACTATAAAGAGAAGACGAATTAACCTGATTATTTGGTTGTTATTATGAACACACCATAATTTTCAGATCGAAGTTATTATGAATATTGGTTTCAAATTTAATTAGATTGTTTGAGATGCTATATATTAGCTTCAGCAAAAGACAAAATTACTATTGTTTTTAAATCTACCAATCACTTTGAATAGATCTATACATTTATTATTAATAAAATGCATTTACTTATTTTAAGTGAAATGAATAGTTATTTGCAATCAGAACTTTATTAAAATAAACCAAATAAAAATTGGAAAATATTTTTAAATCAACATTAAAAAGATTTAATCGCATCTGAATAAATAAATTTATATCTAAAGGAATTATAACAACAATTGCTTACCATTTTGTAAAAACATCAAGAAGTCCATAAAAAAGAGGACGATTCGCTTCCTGAATTAATAAAGCTAGCATTGAACAACGATAAAGTTCAAAACCCATATGAATACTTTTTGAATGGTTATTCAGATGCTATATAAATGCTACTCTAACATATTAATTAATTAATTACTTAAAATCAATAAGTAAATTTAGAAGAATTATAAGCTTACAAGAAATTAATTTATTGCTGTGTTGACATCAATTATTCTTTTCAACCTTAAACATTTTAAGAATAATTTTAATAACTAACATAAAACAATCAAAAAGTACAACCAAAGGATATTATTAATNATATATATATAAAAGTATTACTAAATTTTACAGACAATCACAAAAACATACTTGTTTAATAATCCTATATATTCTTCTCATTATCTCTTATTATAACCAAATTGGTTTTAAAATTAAATTTAAGCTTGTCTTCTATTTAATTAAAGCTCCCCTATGTAAGATTATAGCAGATCATATATGAATAGAATTTAAAATAAATCTAAAATAATAGATATGCAATGTATGTGATTTTTATAATACAATAATTTTTATATTAAATTAAATGTATTAATCATTCTCTATCCTTTATTAAGTATTGGAAACCAGCTCAGGAACAGTGTTTAAAGTAGAAGAGAAATTCTAAAATATTTCAAAAATATATTATGCTTTTTAATTTATTGAGTAACAGATTATGAGTGAATCTTTAAGAGATAATATATAAAAACTTGAATAATCAAATCACCGAGATTTATTTAGAAAATATATTAAAATGCATAAAGATGATCAAAAATAATTATATTTATTTGATTATATTGAAGGGAGTCAATTTTTAGATCAAAAGATTAAGGATTATGGGAAACTTACGAAATCTTTTGTATATTCTGAAATACAATAATACCTTAAAAACTTATTATTAGCCTTATATCAATTGCATTCAAAAGATATTCCTGGGAGAGTTTTTTCAACTTTCAATATAGTTGTTTAACCTGGTGAAAAAATTGTATTAATGGATTTTGGATTTGAACCAGAAATTGAAAAAAATCATTTAGATATATTAGCACCACCTGAATATTTGAAGAAAATAATCAATAAAGGTATTATTTTGTAAATATTTAGAAAATTATGATAAATTTGATTTAAAATTTGACTCTTGGTTGGTTGGAGCATTTTTATATCACTTAATAAAGTTTTAATCTATTAACTAGGTTAATGTAAACAATAGTTATGTACGATATAAATATGATTAAAAAGAATAATTTTATGAATATTTGAATAGTATCAAATTTATTCCTTGTTAAACTTCAAGATACAAAAATACTCTGCTCTCCTTAGTATAAGATTTACTTACTTGTGATCCAAACAAAAGATTATCCTTTTATCAAATTTATTAACATCCATTCATTAAAGATCTTAAAATTGACCAATTAGATTCTTATCTTCAATTCTATCAGAAATGTGAATATATTAGAGATTTAAAAAATGATGCATTTAATACTGGATCATTTTTTATGAATACTCAAAAAGAAAGATCTGTTATTTAGTTTCCATAAAAACTTGAGTTGATATATTCTTGCAATGTTCTCACTAATTAAGTATAATCATAAAAGAATCAAATTGAAATAATTCAAACCATTTCTAACTATAAAGAGAAGACGAATTAACCTGATTATTTGGTTGTTATTATGAACACACCATAATTTTCAGATCGAAGTTATTATGAATATTGGTTTCAAATTTAATTAGATTGTTTGAGATGCTATATATTAGCTTCAGCAAAAGACAAAATTACTATTGTTTTTAAATCTACCAATCACTTTGAATAGATCTATACATTTATTATTAATAAAATGCATTTACTTATTTTAAGTGAAATGAATAGTTATTTGCAATCAGAACTTTATTAAAATAAACCAAATAAAAATTGGAAAATATTTTTAAATCAACATTAAAAAGATTTAATCGCATCTGAATAAATAAATTTATATCTAAAGGAATTATAACAACAATTGCTTACCATTTTGTAAAAACATCAAGAAGTCCATAAAAAAGAGGACGATTCGCTTCCTGAATTAATAAAGCTAGCATTGAACAACGATAAAGTTCAAAACCCATATGAATACTTTTTGAATGGTTATTCAGATGCTATATAAATGCTACTCTAACATATTAATTAATTAATTACTTAAAATCAATAAGTAAATTTAGAAGAATTATAAGCTTACAAGAAATTAATTTATTGCTGTGTTGACATCAATTATTCTTTTCAACCTTAAACATTTTAAGAATAATTTTAATAACTAACATAAAACAATCAAAAAGTACAACCAAAGGATATTATTAATATTTTTGGTATTACCAATAAGTTTCGATGATTTAATATTAGTAAATAAATACATAAATATAATTATTTTGCTATATAATCTAAATATTATCTGATTTTTAATACTCAAATTCAATATTCTAGTTTTAATCAGAACAATACCAAAAATTTAGATAGTCAAAAAATTCACATTTATTTGACTTGGTAAATATATAAAAAATAGATAAGTGTCCTTTGAGAATAATTAGAATGAATATCTAATAGGAAGAAAGAACAAGTGATTTTCTCAAATTTAAGATTACTTACATATTCAGATCAGATTTGAAAAAATCGAATGACCGAATTATCTGCTGGGGTATTAAAGTAATGTGTGAAATTGACGCTTATTATAATGATGATAGAAGTTAAATTAAAAATGAATAATCACTATTTTATTGTTGACTTATGACTTTATTGAGCCTTTCATAAAGAATATACATTACTTTAAATTTCAATTTTTATAAATCTCCATCATTTTTATTACCATAACTAGATATTTGATTATTCAATTGAAAACAATATAAAATCTAACTATTATATCTATTTTGTTATTTATTTCATCGAATGCAGATTTATTGAGATCTATTATGATTTGTTTCATCAAAGATGTTAATTGCAGATATTAGTTATTATATTTAATAAAAATAAGTTCAGATAGACATTTAGGTTTCTGAAATCACTTTACATAATTATTACTTAGCCTGCCATAATTAGAATATCAGATTTTGAATCCAGAATTTCATTGTACTATTTTCCTAGTTATTGGTAATTATAGTTCTAAACTCTTAGATGAAAGTATCACAGAATATCATGGAGTCTTTAGGTTTTTATTCTCATAATTTATACTTCCATTCTCAACGCCTTTCTTTTTCCTATCTATAGTATTTTCCTTTCTGAGATTTTATTTAAACCTATTTATTTTATATTAATTAAATTTAATTCTATACTTTTTTAGATAAGAGATAAAAAGGCAGTGGAACATAAGATTTAGGCTTATATATGAGTAGTTCTTAAAACGCATAGAGGATAGAAATAAGATAATGTTTAAGTTTTTATTATATATATTTTCTTTTAGAATTTTAGGACAAAAATTTCGAAATGATTTCTATTTCAAACAGAGTTTAATTGTTTAGGACTATAAAAATCGATTAATAATATATTGAGGATTAAACAAAAAGATAATCTTTCTTCATATAACACTTCATTAATGCACCTCAGGAAGAGTTGTAATTCTATTTTAGTTTGTAAAGAATTTTGATTTTTGAGGCTATAAATAAACATTAATTTAATTCTTTTTTTTGACAGGAGATTAGGACGGGAATGCTGTAATTATTGATGAAGCTGGAGATCTAGGAGTGAGTACCTAGGGTGTATGCATTTAAGTATTTTTATTGGAAAAATTACTCTTTTTATGTAGAGATTCAAATAGTTCTGATTATCTAGAGAATTTTTATCTTTCTTAAATCATTATTTTCTATTGTTTCATTAAAAAGGATTCTAAATAATTAAGCTTAATTCTGCTCTAAGAGTGAATTGGTGATTATTTATTCACGAAGACCTACTCTTCAAAGACTAAACTACTTAAGGTTGGTCTGTGAATAAAGGATTTGATCATTATATCATCTCTAAGTATTTATATTTCTTCCACTATGTTTTCATTGCTCGTGCTATTTTTGGGGGAATTGAGATATTAAGGAAATAGCAAAGTTTATTGTTTTCTTATTGATCTTTTAAATTTGTTAATAGCAGACTCCTGCTCTCTCTTTAATTAATTAATTTAAACACCGTAGTTCATTGTGTCCTTTTGGAATATGGATTACTTACCACATTCAGAACAATCACAACTTTTTCTTTTCTATATTTCTTTTACTTAATCCTCAACTTTTTGGTTGTTAACAATCACTAAAGGGCTTGGTTCATTAGAAACATGTTCTGAAAATTTTAGTGTATTTCTCCCAGTTCTTATTTTCGATAACCTTGTTGGAGATAAAGATTCTTAGATACTATGCTATTATTATTGACTCCTGAACATTTGTGGAGGGATAAATATCTTCCCAAAAAATTTCATATTATGAGGAGCACTTAGGCTTCTTTCTTATCTAGCTACATTAATATTCTTAAGTTTAATGTTATTTTTTTTTATTATAATTCTAGCATTTCTTTGTGATCTAGATGTTTATGAGATGCTATGAATAGAAAAATAGGGCCTTCTAAAATTATTATTTTACATTTATTTCCTTGTTTTTATATATTAAAAAATGATTTATTTCCAAATCGAAATCATTGAATGGGAAAAGAATTTACTCACTAATTACTAAACTTAGTTAAGAAACATAGCCTCTTTTTTGATAAAATCAATGCATTCATATCTTTTAAATGATGAAATGATTTTAAATTAGAATTTTATTCTTAATTATAGATAAATTTAATTACTGACTTAGAGAATTTGAAATAATATATGAATAACCTTTCTAATGACCATCATAAAAAGTATTCCTCTTAGCTATCTCTTGGAAAATTAATTCAGTCTTTTGTTAATTCTTAACTGAGGAGATGCCTCTTAAATCTCCAAGCTGAGATGATAAACACGGATTAATCACTTAAAAGAAATGAAATAAATATCATCACTTTATTATAAATAATTATATATACTTTTTTGAAATATTAGTTTGAATATCTTTATCTCCTTGTTACTCAATCTTATTAAAAATAGGCAATTAATACCTGTAAATTATGAAATGTTCTAAAGAGTTTCGGGTTTTCCATATAAAAGGTTACCTAAAAAATAAAAATTTTCATTATAAAAGGAATAAAATTTAAACTCTGGATCCTTCATTAATTAGCAATCAATCATAATTTAGGATCTTAAGCTTAAAACAATTAATTATTTTAACTAAATTAAATATCAATATCAGATTTTGAACTCATCATCATCTCCAGTTGAACCTCTTGGAATCGCAATATTTTAAGGAGTTTTTGGAATTCCATATAAATAAACAGGAGAATATTAGTCTAAATCATCATCTTACCCACTAATCTAATTGACTTAAGGGTTTTGTAACAATTATTAAAACATTAGCTATTACTGCTAATGTTATTACAAAAGTTTGGATAAGAAATTTGGATCTAACTTTTAGGCAATTGGTTGCTAAAACTATTGTGCTTAACTTATTTTTTTTGGTTTAGCAATCTTTTTTGATAGTTCCTTTGGTTTAGGAGCTGGTTTGAGTTTTGCTTATTCTTTTTTTGCTTCTTGTTATTGTTGTCTATAATTTTTTACTATTATGAATGGTTCACTCAAATTGGATTTCATTTGATAGTTATTAATAGTTATTATAATTATTTTACTCCAATTTAATTTAATTACCTTTATATAATATCATATTTTCAAATGTTATCTGTTTTAAAGNTATGCTATTATTATTGACTCCTGAACATTTGTGGAGGGATAAATATCTTCCCAAAAAATTTCATATTATGAGGAGCACTTAGGCTTCTTTCTTATCTAGCTACATTAATATTCTTAAGTTTAATGTTATTTTTTTTTATTATAATTCTAGCATTTCTTTGTGATCTAGATGTTTATGAGATGCTATGAATAGAAAAATAGGGCCTTCTAAAATTATTATTTTACATTTATTTCCTTGTTTTTATATATTAAAAAATGATTTATTTCCAAATCGAAATCATTGAATGGGAAAAGAATTTACTCACTAATTACTAAACTTAGTTAAGAAACATAGCCTCTTTTTTGATAAAATCAATGCATTCATATCTTTTAAATGATGAAATGATTTTAAATTAGAATTTTATTCTTAATTATAGATAAATTTAATTACTGACTTAGAGAATTTGAAATAATATATGAATAACCTTTCTAATGACCATCATAAAAAGTATTCCTCTTAGCTATCTCTTGGAAAATTAATTCAGTCTTTTGTTAATTCTTAACTGAGGAGATGCCTCTTAAATCTCCAAGCTGAGATGATAAACACGGATTAATCACTTAAAAGAAATGAAATAAATATCATCACTTTATTATAAATAATTATATATACTTTTTTGAAATATTAGTTTGAATATCTTTATCTCCTTGTTACTCAATCTTATTAAAAATAGGCAATTAATACCTGTAAATTATGAAATGTTCTAAAGAGTTTCGGGTTTTCCATATAAAAGGTTACCTAAAAAATAAAAATTTTCATTATAAAAGGAATAAAATTTAAACTCTGGATCCTTCATTAATTAGCAATCAATCATAATTTAGGATCTTAAGCTTAAAACAATTAATTATTTTAACTAAATTAAATATCAATATCAGATTTTGAACTCATCATCATCTCCAGTTGAACCTCTTGGAATCGCAATATTTTAAGGAGTTTTTGGAATTCCATATAAATAAACAGGAGAATATTAGTCTAAATCATCATCTTACCCACTAATCTAATTGACTTAAGGGTTTTGTAACAATTATTAAAACATTAGCTATTACTGCTAATGTTATTACAAAAGTTTGGATAAGAAATTTGGATCTAACTTTTAGGCAATTGGTTGCTAAAACTATTGTGCTTAACTTATTTTTTTTGGTTTAGCAATCTTTTTTGATAGTTCCTTTGGTTTAGGAGCTGGTTTGAGTTTTGCTTATTCTTTTTTTGCTTCTTGTTATTGTTGTCTATAATTTTTTACTATTATGAATGGTTCACTCAAATTGGATTTCATTTGATAGTTATTAATAGTTATTATAATTATTTTACTCCAATTTAATTTAATTACCTTTATATAATATCATATTTTCAAATGTTATCTGTTTTAAAGAGATAAAGAGAGAAGCTTATAAATTGTAGAAATCTAGATCAAACTCTCAATTAAATTCAAAGATTATTATGATTAGATTTACTACTATTTAAATTCATTCATTTTATTTAAGAGTTAATTATTAAAAAAAAAAGTTTTCTTTTTTGATTTTTGTAATTATCAAACAATAATGAATTTTTCTAGTCTTAAGTATTATAAATATCACCAATTTTTTTTATCCTTGTGATTCTAACATCTGAATTGTATTAGAGTCGTTTATTGAAGATTTTGAACACCACTTACTCATAATAAAAAATACTCATCAAATAATATTAGAATTGACAGTTGATTTATTATCTTTTCATAAATAATAGAATCATCATTTAACAATCAAAAAAAGAATTAATATTTATGCAATCAACCTATTTATAAATAATTATTAATTTATAAATTAAACAAGAGATAAAGTATGATAGCTTTTACACAATAAGAGCTTTAGACCAGTTTTTTCAAAAACACTTGCTTCCCATTTATTTCCAGCAACTCTTTATATTCGCCTGATTGCACATCGCGACATTAATCCAGAGGATATATTAATAGTTGCAGATTATAAATTTAACATTGTGATTTTGGCTTTTCTCGAAGAACTTGATAGCTAAAAGACCTTTATGGAAGGCCATCTGAATATATTCCACATAAAAATAATTTAAATATATTTAATTGCCATATTTTAGCCATTGTAGTAGTCATTTTAATTAAAGTTACTGGATTTCCTGTATTTACAGCAATAATCTGATTCTGAGAGACTTGTGATTGGATATGATGAGGAATAAATAAAATGACAGTTTTTGGAAAAAATGTGAGTAAAATTTGTAGCAAAGTATCTCCTAGAATTTAAAGTTTTACTAATGCAAATTTTAGACCTTACTCTGATAAGAGAATCAATATAATTTATCTAAATTAGTTTATTTTTTATAAAACGGTGCATTCATTCAACTATTTTATTTGAGCTCCAAAAAAGTGATAAATATTCTCCAAATCATTAAAAATATTAATATTAGGATGAAAATACCATTTATAGATAGACAACTAAAAGACAGAGTATTTTAATTTGGCATTAAAAACTCAATTATTATTTGTTATAATTTAGGTAGTGCACTCATAAAAATTAGGTAGCCTAAATCTAAAATAAGTTTACTAAAAAGTCAGAAGGTAAAATGAATTTTCGATTTTTTTATTCAAAAAAAAGCTTTAAATTAAATAATTAAGTATATGAATTAAATTGTTTTATTTTAATAAACCTTGATCACCTTGAGAATTCTGATCTGATTCAAGTAATCTTTAATTAACAAAAAGATCTTTGCATACATTTTCTTCTAGAATCATTTGATTGTTTTCATTTTATTCTCAGAAGAAAAATTATTTTTATATTTACGATTAAATTAACAATGGAAACTATTTGATTAGCCAAAAATAAAATTTGGTATTGTTCTGATTAAAACTAGAATATTGAATTTGAGTATTAAAAATAAGAGTATATTTAGATTATAACAAAATAATTATATTTATTTATTTTTTTATTAATATTACATCATCTAAAATTATTGGTAACACCAAGAAATTTAATGACATCATTTGGTTGCAATTCTTGATTTTTTTATTTGAGCTATTAAAATTATTCTTTAAAAGTTTAAGATTGAAAAGAAAAATTGATGTCTATACAAAAATAAATTAATTTCTTGAAGGCTTATAATTCTTCTAAATTTCCTTCTTGATTTTAAGCAATTAGTTAATCAATACATTAGAGTAGCATTTATATAGCATCTGCATAACCATTCAAAAAGTAATAATATGGATCTTGAACTCTATTATCATTCAATGATTGCTTTATTTCTTGAGGAAGTTAAGAATCTTATCTTAAATGAGTCTAACAATGTTGTTCAAAAATTGTTTGCAATTCTAGCTCTAAATCCTTCAGATATAAATTTATTTATTCAGATGCGAATAAATCTTCTTAATGTTGATTTAAAAAGTTTTCCCAATTTTTATTTGGTTAATTTTAATAAAGCTTTGATTTCAAATAATTATTCATTTCCCTTAAAATAAGTAAATGCATTTTTTTAATAAAATATTCCAACACCTTTATATATTGATAATCATATTTTGACAAAATAGTGATTCTATCTGTTGTTTAAACTAATATATAGCATCTCAAACAATCCAATTAAATTTGGAACCAATAGTTATAAAAACTTGAGTCTGAAAATTATGGTTTTTTCATAATAATTTTCAAATACTCAGGTACGTTTGGCTTGCTAACAGTTGGTACTTCTTAAATCAGAGGTTTTTAATTCACTAATCTAGATATTAAAGGTGGTTCAGATTTCAATTAATTTGTAAAAATAACTTCATTTTTTAAATCTCTAATATATTCACATTTCTGATAGAATTGAAGATAAGAATCTAATTGGTCAATTTTAAGATCTTTAATGAATGGATGTTAATAAATTTGATAAAAGGATAATCTTTTGTTTGGATCACAAGTAAGTAAATCTTATACTAAGGAGAGCAGAGTATTTTTGTATCTTGAAGTTTAACAAGGAATAAATTTGATACTATTCAAATATTCATAAAATTATTCTTTTTAATCATATTTATATCGTACATAACTATTGTTTACATTAACCTAGTTAATAGATTAAAACTTTATTAAGTGATATAAAAATGCTCCAACCAACCAAGAGTCAAATTTTAAATCAAATTTATCATAATTTTCTAAATATTTACAAAATAATACCTTTATTGATTATTTTCTTCAAATATTCAGGTGGTGCTAATATATCTAAATGATTTTTTTCAATTTCTGGTTCAAATCCAAAATCCATTAATACAATTTTTTCACCAGGTTAAACAACTATATTGAAAGTTGAAAAAACTCTCCCAGGAATATCTTTTGAATGCAATTGATATAAGGCTAATAATAAGTTTTTAAGGTATTATTGTATTTCAGAATATACAAAAGATTTCGTAAGTTTCCCATAATCCTTAATCTTTTGATCTAAAAATTGACTCCCTTCAATATAATCAAATAAATATAATTATTTTTGATCATCTTTATGCATTTTAATATATTTTCTAAATAAATCTCGGTGATTTGATTATTCAAGTTTTTATATATTATCTCTTAAAGATTCACTCATAATCTGTTACTCAATAAATTAAAAAGCATAATATATTTTTGAAATATTTTAGAATTTCTCTTCTACTTTAAACACTGTTCCTGAGCTGGTTTCCAATACTTAATAAAGGATAGAGAATGATTAATACATTTAATTTAATATAAAAATTATTGTATTATAAAAATCACATACATTGCATATCTATTATTTTAGATTTATTTTAAATTCTATTCATATATGATCTGCTATAATCTTACATAGGGGAGCTTTAATTAAATAGAAGACAAGCTTAAATTTAATTTTAAAACCAATTTGGTTATAATAAGAGATAATGAGAAGAATATATAGGATTATTAAACAAGTATGTTTTTGTGATTGTCTGTAAAATTTAGTAATACTTTTATATATATATATATTAGTATTTTTAGAAATTATTTATTTATAATGCAACAGAAAGAGAAGAGGAAAATGTAGCTGAATAAAAATAATAATGATTTTAGGCTTAAACATTTTACTACTTTTCTAATTTTATAAATATTCTCAAATATTTTATTTATTGAACCAATATCTTCCCTCCCCATCAAATTTAAGAATATATTCATGAAATTTAAATAATGATTGCCTGTGTGATACTGTAAACAAGGTTATATTTAAAGCTTTAGCTTTATTGTACATAATTGCTTCAATGTCCATGCTAACAGAAGATGTGCATTCATCTATCGAATTATATTAGTAATGATACCTAAAATAGCATATTATGGTTTATGATAGAATAATCTAGCCATTGCAATACGCTGTTTTTCTCCTCCACTTAAGACATCATTCCAATCATTTGCTGCATCCAAACCTCTCTCTCTATAGACTAAATATTCTAACTAAACATCTTCTAATAATTTTATCAGATCTTAGTCATTAATCTTTCTTCTTAACATCTACAATTTCGTATGAGGGTAAATGATTTAATCTCTGAGAGTTCCTGGGGGTAAATATGGTCTTTAAGGAATGTAAAATAACTTATCAATTGCAGGTCTATACAAGGTACCACCTTAGACTGGCCATAATGCTCCCAAAATTCTGAAAAGAGATGATTTTCCACAACCATTAGGTCCACTAATGATAACATTCATTCCGGGTGTGATTTTAAAACACATACCCTTAATTAGAGTATCTCCATTTGGAGAAATGATTGGTACATTGTCGAATTCGATTATGTCTTAAGTTTGAATAATCTAAATTAAAAAATTAAGTTACCTAGCCTTTGTCTAATTAGATTGTCTAGTGCTTTCCTTAATCAATAACTACTTATCCGGTTTCATTTTCTTATTGGACCTAAGTTNTTTTTATATATTATCTCTTAAAGATTCACTCATAATCTGTTACTCAATAAATTAAAAAGCATAATATATTTTTGAAATATTTTAGAATTTCTCTTCTACTTTAAACACTGTTCCTGAGCTGGTTTCCAATACTTAATAAAGGATAGAGAATGATTAATACATTTAATTTAATATAAAAATTATTGTATTATAAAAATCACATACATTGCATATCTATTATTTTAGATTTATTTTAAATTCTATTCATATATGATCTGCTATAATCTTACATAGGGGAGCTTTAATTAAATAGAAGACAAGCTTAAATTTAATTTTAAAACCAATTTGGTTATAATAAGAGATAATGAGAAGAATATATAGGATTATTAAACAAGTATGTTTTTGTGATTGTCTGTAAAATTTAGTAATACTTTTATATATATATATATTAGTATTTTTAGAAATTATTTATTTATAATGCAACAGAAAGAGAAGAGGAAAATGTAGCTGAATAAAAATAATAATGATTTTAGGCTTAAACATTTTACTACTTTTCTAATTTTATAAATATTCTCAAATATTTTATTTATTGAACCAATATCTTCCCTCCCCATCAAATTTAAGAATATATTCATGAAATTTAAATAATGATTGCCTGTGTGATACTGTAAACAAGGTTATATTTAAAGCTTTAGCTTTATTGTACATAATTGCTTCAATGTCCATGCTAACAGAAGATGTGCATTCATCTATCGAATTATATTAGTAATGATACCTAAAATAGCATATTATGGTTTATGATAGAATAATCTAGCCATTGCAATACGCTGTTTTTCTCCTCCACTTAAGACATCATTCCAATCATTTGCTGCATCCAAACCTCTCTCTCTATAGACTAAATATTCTAACTAAACATCTTCTAATAATTTTATCAGATCTTAGTCATTAATCTTTCTTCTTAACATCTACAATTTCGTATGAGGGTAAATGATTTAATCTCTGAGAGTTCCTGGGGGTAAATATGGTCTTTAAGGAATGTAAAATAACTTATCAATTGCAGGTCTATACAAGGTACCACCTTAGACTGGCCATAATGCTCCCAAAATTCTGAAAAGAGATGATTTTCCACAACCATTAGGTCCACTAATGATAACATTCATTCCGGGTGTGATTTTAAAACACATACCCTTAATTAGAGTATCTCCATTTGGAGAAATGATTGGTACATTGTCGAATTCGATTATGTCTTAAGTTTGAATAATCTAAATTAAAAAATTAAGTTACCTAGCCTTTGTCTAATTAGATTGTCTAGTGCTTTCCTTAATCAATAACTACTTATCCGGTTTCATTTTCTTATTGGACCTAAGTTCTTTTATAATATCCAGAAGACAAATCAGATAATACTTCCTTTATTTCATAAACAACCCTAGTGTATCCAGCTAATTGTTATATTTCTTTATAACTGACAACCAATCTCCCAATTGCTTTTGCCAAATTAATCAAAAGTGAACTATTGCTAACATAATCTCTTGTAATTGCACTTTTATCGTTTCCAATTTTTTTTAAATATTCTTCCCTATTTGGTCCGAAAACTGGTAATCCCATAATTCCATATCCTGCCATAACTGCACCATATTTAACAAGCAGCCCATCAAAAATTCCCATAAATAATCTTAACTTGTTCACTACTATCTAATGCTTATTAAGCTATTAATATGATTAATTAATCTTTAACTTTTCCCAATTTTATCCTTATAAAAATGCTACTTCTTCTGCATGATATAACAATTGACTATGAACACTTCTATATTCACCTTCTAATTTTTAATCGATAGCAGTTAATTTACCAAATGCAGGAGACACAATTTTTAATAGTACTCCTGAAAAGAAATACCATAAGAACACGTACATGGGTCCTTAGTATCCAATTGAAACTGCTAATTTTTTTGAGAATAAAAATATATCCAAAATTGGTTTAGAAAAATTTGAGTAAATTTGAGACAATGAGTTAGCCCACTTCTCTATATCAGTTGTTAATCTCTAATCAGGGTTAGCAACACGACTATCTAAATTTGATACTTAATAAAAGATCATATTTTTGATGTATTGATCATGAAAGTATTCTGTTAATCTCCTTCTAAACCTGAGTGAAAGTGATTTATTTAGATATTCTAAATAACTATTTACAAAACTTGCAGGCACAGCAACTAAACCTAATTGTACGATCTAAATTATATTATTCTCATACTTTTTTTATAAATTTTTCCAAATCACCATTGATAATTGTTTTAACTATTCTACCATTCAAAGATGAAATATATATACTCATCATAGTACGAATAAATAAAAACACTGTTAGAACACTCAAATCAAATACTTCCATGCTTTTAATTGAAGGAATAACAATTTTCAATAAATCTAAGATTCTGTTCATAAACACTTTGTCAACATTCCCTTGACCTTGTCTTCTAGGTATCTTTCTAGGCGACGACGCTTCTTTCTTTGATTTCAGAATCATTAAGATTAGCACCAAAACTGCCCCTGAAAGTGCCTTATTTTGAAATGATTAAGGCAGAGGAATCTTTGAAAGGACACTAGGCATTAAAAATATTTAATTTATGATAATAATATTATTTAATTGGTCATCAAATGACAAGCCAAATAACTAAAAATAATAAATAAGAATTTATTAATTTTATACATGTAGATAAAAAATGAATATTGTTTATTGAATGATTATAAATTATTTCAATTATTGTGATAATATATTATATTAAAGCAGCTGTTCAAAAATGGGTGTTTTCAATTTAATCCAAAATTCCTTGTTTTTCAAGTTAACTTACTTTTACTCTCATTAGAATTTTATCTGCATTTTGAACTAAACTTTTTCGTTTTAGTATTCCATATAAACAAAATATTATCCCTAATTTTTTGTGATTACCTGAATCAAACTGGTTAACAGTTTGTTTTATGTGTGAGATTTAAATTGGCTTTAGTTTTGAATCGAGCTATGATTTATAGTATATAGTTTTATGTTTATAATGTTAATTATTCTGAATTATTTAGTTAATATGATATTTTTTAATCCTATAAGTAATTATTTTGTAATCAAACGATATATATTAGTTGCAGACTACTTATCTAATTATATTAAGTAATTTATTTATTGAATTAGAAATCGAGAAATAATCACTTGTAGGTTTCACTCTTTATAATTATTATAGTAATTTATTTTGTATATTGATATTTAAAATAATTCATCTTGTTCAGAAAATTACTAAATTCTTCATTTCTGCAGTTCTATCGATTTTATTTTGTGCATATTTTCCTTCCACGTAACATTTTAAAATGTACAAAGCATGCTCATCATGATTCTTGAATCCTTTGATATCTCTGTCTTTCCTAAACGAAAGCTTTTAGTCAATTAAAGGGGCACCTTATTTGTCAAGTAGTTATAAGTTTTTTAAGCTTTAATTGATAAATAATGCTTCCAATAGGCTTTTATCATCCTACGCTGGTTGATTATTTTAAATTGAATTTTGAAAGTTGGTGGATCCTTATTAAGAAACTGGACTCTATTCGTTTATATTTTTTTAATTTAAGAACTCTTAATAAGGCTATTGCTAGGCGGGAGGAGGAGGTGGAGGAGGTGGAGGGATCATCTACTGATTTCCTGATGTCTAATTGGAAGGATTTTGATATTCTAATTAATTGTTGTTAGGGATTGGATGAGAATATATAGATGTAGCTTATTTTAGATCTGGTATTGGTTATTAGACATTTGAATTTTGTCTTACTATTTGAGCTTGGGTATTTTAATTATTTTGATCTAGACTAACCTAATATTATTCTTTAGGTTGATCTGGTACTTAGGCAACATTTTATGCAAATTAGGATGTAGCCAATTATTTTGATTCATATGATTAAGCTTAACCGCAAGAATATGGAGGAGCCTATTGATTTTGGGGGTTGTACTGTTAATTTGGATTTGTGTTATAATTATTTTATTATTCAACAGGCTATTTTGGATCATTGTTAAAATTCTATATTGGATATGAGGGTGATATTTAATTAGGATAAACTTAATTTTATTAGCTTTAATAATCTTGATTATTTTGAAGACTATATTAATATCCTTGAGTCGGAGGAAATTAGGCAATCTATTTAGGATGAGTAGGCTAAGAGGAATTTTAATATCCTGGAGGTTAAGACGTATTTTAATATCCTGGTGTTTAAGATGTATTTTAATATCCTGGAATTTAAGATGGATCTTAGTATCCTGGGGACTATAAGGGATTTTAATATCCTGGAATTTAAGAGGGATCTTAGTATCCTGGGGATTAAGAGGGATTTTAATATCCTGGAATTTAAGAGGGATCTTAATATCCTGGGGACTATAAGGGATTTTAATATCCTGGATTTTAAGAGGGATTTTAATATCCTGGGGACTATAAGGGATTCTAATAACTTGGGATTTATGAGGGATTTTAATATCCTGGAGGCTAAGTGGAATTTTAATACCCTGAGGGTTGAGGTTAATAATTTGGGTAACCTTAATTTAGAGCTGACTAAGGTGGGACTGGTTAGTACTACTGTGTTTAAGCTGTTGTTTAATTGTTATAATTGTAAGTTGATGTCTATTGATACCCTACTATTGGTGGTTATGGAGGAGAAGAGTAGGGATTTGCTTAATTTTGACTATTATTGGAATAGCCTTATATTGATGGTTGAGGAACACTCGAATATGGATTTGAAGGTTGACCATAGATACTTTAATTGCTATAATTATTGTAAGTTATCTATTAAGGCTGTTATTATTAATATGTATTTTATTGGGATTAATGTTTTTGATATTGTGAATCGGTCATGTTTAATTGTTGTTGATTTGGTGGGTATGATGAATAAGGATTTTAAGATGGTTATTGATAATTGTATTATGAAGTTACAACAATAGTATTTACTTGAGTTTGAGCCGGAGAATAAAGGTCATCATCATATAGATAAAATGTGAAAGCTGAATAATTAGTTGTATAAGGATGCCCATAATTGATAAGTTGAATTTAATGTGTTTGATTAAACTATGTCAAGTAGATGTCTTTAATAAATTGCTCATTAAATAGATCTATAAGATATTAGTTTATTATAAAAGGAGGAGTCTGGAAGGTTGTTTAAAAATACCCTATAATAATATCTCTTAATGCAATAAGTTATGGAAAATTATTAATGGTAATAGCTGCATACTCTAGAGAAGCTATTTGGCTAGCAAGGTTTGGTTTCAAATTTCTGATATTTCTATTAGTGTATTATATAATGTCTGCTTTAGTTATTAACTTTTAAACCAACCTAAAATTTCACATTATTTATTACTCTATTAAAAATCTATACATTTTTTAGTCTCTGAAGTGACAAATCAACTCTTAAATCAGCCTTTACGCTAGAACGTAATTATTATGATGATGTGAATGATGATGAGTTGCATACCTATATAACTAAGCCAACTGCATTTCTTTTTGTTAGACCTATTAATGCTCAATGGTTTCTCTCAAAGCAGCCTATTCAATAACAATGTGGCATTGCGGAACAAAATATTCCATTTATTAAATAATTCATCAAAAAAATCATAATATTGGGATAAATANAATTTAAGATGGATCTTAGTATCCTGGGGACTATAAGGGATTTTAATATCCTGGAATTTAAGAGGGATCTTAGTATCCTGGGGATTAAGAGGGATTTTAATATCCTGGAATTTAAGAGGGATCTTAATATCCTGGGGACTATAAGGGATTTTAATATCCTGGATTTTAAGAGGGATTTTAATATCCTGGGGACTATAAGGGATTCTAATAACTTGGGATTTATGAGGGATTTTAATATCCTGGAGGCTAAGTGGAATTTTAATACCCTGAGGGTTGAGGTTAATAATTTGGGTAACCTTAATTTAGAGCTGACTAAGGTGGGACTGGTTAGTACTACTGTGTTTAAGCTGTTGTTTAATTGTTATAATTGTAAGTTGATGTCTATTGATACCCTACTATTGGTGGTTATGGAGGAGAAGAGTAGGGATTTGCTTAATTTTGACTATTATTGGAATAGCCTTATATTGATGGTTGAGGAACACTCGAATATGGATTTGAAGGTTGACCATAGATACTTTAATTGCTATAATTATTGTAAGTTATCTATTAAGGCTGTTATTATTAATATGTATTTTATTGGGATTAATGTTTTTGATATTGTGAATCGGTCATGTTTAATTGTTGTTGATTTGGTGGGTATGATGAATAAGGATTTTAAGATGGTTATTGATAATTGTATTATGAAGTTACAACAATAGTATTTACTTGAGTTTGAGCCGGAGAATAAAGGTCATCATCATATAGATAAAATGTGAAAGCTGAATAATTAGTTGTATAAGGATGCCCATAATTGATAAGTTGAATTTAATGTGTTTGATTAAACTATGTCAAGTAGATGTCTTTAATAAATTGCTCATTAAATAGATCTATAAGATATTAGTTTATTATAAAAGGAGGAGTCTGGAAGGTTGTTTAAAAATACCCTATAATAATATCTCTTAATGCAATAAGTTATGGAAAATTATTAATGGTAATAGCTGCATACTCTAGAGAAGCTATTTGGCTAGCAAGGTTTGGTTTCAAATTTCTGATATTTCTATTAGTGTATTATATAATGTCTGCTTTAGTTATTAACTTTTAAACCAACCTAAAATTTCACATTATTTATTACTCTATTAAAAATCTATACATTTTTTAGTCTCTGAAGTGACAAATCAACTCTTAAATCAGCCTTTACGCTAGAACGTAATTATTATGATGATGTGAATGATGATGAGTTGCATACCTATATAACTAAGCCAACTGCATTTCTTTTTGTTAGACCTATTAATGCTCAATGGTTTCTCTCAAAGCAGCCTATTCAATAACAATGTGGCATTGCGGAACAAAATATTCCATTTATTAAATAATTCATCAAAAAAATCATAATATTGGGATAAATACTGAGAAATGATAATAAAATAGAAAATCATTATTTCCATAAGTTTTAAACAATAACTCAAGGTCAAGATTCTTGAATATTTCAATAACAACTTTTATTCAGCTTAATGATTTCTATAATAAAATAATAGTAGTATTAGGAAAACATTTAAACTTTCTTAGAAATATGGAATAATAAAATTTGATCTAATATTTTCAATTAGTATCACTGCATCATGTATAAATTCTTTAAATTCTAATACATTCTCATTTAATAAAATAAACAAGTTATGGAAGAATGAATTAACAGAAATTCAATTTAGTAATGAGAATAATTAATAAAAATACATTAATTAATCAAAATGAATGTGAATAGGAGAAAGAAGTTGATCTTCGATTAATTAAATAATTTTAATTTTAATACTACTCACATTAATGTTGTTGTTCCATTCTAATTATTTATTTATTATTATAAAGTGTCATTCTTCGTTATTGGTTACTTTGAGTATAAATATTTATATCCTTTTGTTGTTTTAAATTATTCTAAGAATACGTCTTAACCTCCACATTAAGCTGCTGATTCATAATTTAACGCGAATCGTCTATGAATATTGTGAATAAGGATTACCTATAATAAGTTTGTAGTAATAAATCTTGTAAGTCTTTTCCACAATGTAAAACACATTTAATTCGAACATTCAATTAACCAAACTTTTGTTCTTCAAAACATTATTCTATGTCTTCGCTCTCTATATTAATGGTTAGACCATGAAGGTATGCACATAAAGGATGGAATGCGTGTCTACAAGGGATTGTCTCATTGCCGAAACAAGTAAATCGAAATCCTATAATGAAAAAATCAATACCCTTGTCATCGCCACAAATAGCACATTACGGAGTACTTGTTTCATTGTCCTTACAAATTTGCTTAATATCATTCTTACTATTTCTCACTTTATAAACACCTTTTTTTATAATGACTAAATTTGTTAGCAGCAAGCATGAAACATGATAAAATTGATTATCAATTTGTTTTTATGGGAGCCCTAATTTTTTACAAATTCTACATTTTGCTGGATCTGAAATAAACAAATATATTACTCCTTTTTGTTGTACCAGATTTGTTTTGTTCAAATAAACATGCATCACAAAGGACATCTTATTCATCAAGATTTCCTATAAAACAATAACAAATTTTGTGGAATGATGTTGAGCATCTACCACAATAGATTACTGGATTAAAATCTGTATAATGATAATCAAAACATATTTTGCAGTCAGTATCAAGTGGTTTTGAATTTTCTTTAGAATGAATTTTCTTCTTTTTTAACTAAGCTTTTTATGAGGATTGAGAATCTAAATTTAAACAAGGGTAAAATGTATTTAGAACATCTTTCTGCTTGTCCTTATATCCATTAATAAAGGCTTTGACAATTTGCGACCATTTTAATAAATCCATAATCATTTGTTGTTTTTTTTTGAGGGTCTTCATTGTCTATTGATCTTTAGTAGTCACTATTTAATTGTTTATATTTTCTCTCATTTAATTATTCTCCTAAACTACTTCATTCAAATCTTCCTTTAATGCATGATATACAATATCTAATTATTCGACTGTCTCATTTTCAATATCCAATTATAATTCTAAAAGTTGGTAATACGATTTTATTTTATCTTCCAATATTAAGCATTGATCGAAATCCTCCTGGCTTAATTCGCAGGATTCATGAAAAATAAGACTTTTTCCTACTGGCTCCTTTTTAGCAAATTTATATTAGTACTTCATTTTCAGAAATTTACGAATTTCTTTAAAAAGGGACACTTTCTGATGGATATCTATAAAGTCTTAGATTTGTTAGGATCTATCCTTTGGTATTCGTTCGACCAATTTAATCAGTGAGATTATATCGTATGAATCTAAAAGATTGTTTTACAATTAGTGTACTAATAGGAAGATTGTGAAGTTCGAAAAACTACATTCATGGAGTCTCTATAAAGATATTTTAACTAAATTATTGGTTCTATCCATAAATCAAAGCAATACCAAAATTACTCGCGTCTGAAATATCCAAAAGCTCCTAATCTTAAGGTTATTCATGCCATTAAAATAAGTTTTCAAAGTCTTCTTATTAAGTTAAAGGCATTTTTTTTTCCCCTATGAAAAACACTTCGTTTATCTTGTCCCACCATTTTGCAATAGATTAATCTCTCTTTGTTTCTCTCTCTTACCTTGGAAATTCAGGATCTTCCACAGAAATTTTAGTTATCTAAGGAAATATTTATTATTTAATAATTGTGTTCTTCTGAATCTCTATTTATATCTATTATTATATTGGCTATTATATTTAAGATAATATCTAAGGCTTTATTTGTTACTGTTATTAATGATTTTAATGCTGAATTTCATAATTTAATGTCTGTGGTGTCTTAGACTCTATTTCTATCTGAGGCTAGCTCTACAGCTTTTTTTAATAGGCTTGACTGACCAAATCATTGGTTATTATGTTCTTCTGAATAACTAGAAGACTTTTCTTGGTCTACATAGGTTTTATGATTTCGGAAATCGATTTTTTTGATTCCGACTCTTCTCCATCGCTAAACTTCAAATTTTTGCTGGAACGCCTTGATTTTTTTCTGTGGGAACGAGATCTTTTGTGAGAATGCTTCTTTTTGTGTTTCTTTTTATGCTTAGATCGATGATGCGAATGTGGTTCTTCCTATTATTCCTTCTAAACTAAGTAAGAGTTATATAGGGAATTCACTGCTTCATCTAAATCAGTAACAACATTTTAGATTGAATCATGGTATGAGCAAAATATCAATAACTAAGGAGGGCGGTGGCCATTCTCTTCAGTCTTAGATATTATAGGGTTGTCTACACAATCAAAGTGAAAGCTCTTTTGACATAAACTTTTACGAATTACACATTCTAATTATACCTCTGTGAACAATGAATAACTTATTTATAGTTTTTTTTCCCACATATTGAACAATGTTGCAAGTATTCCTTGTAAAATAATTTTTCATTGACTGCCAACCGATTATTCCAATCAGATTTGTAAAATAATAGGCACTTTTTATGGATATACTCGTAATCCCTGGAGGATTTGAAATGAGGAAGCAATTTCACTAATCCTTCTGATTTCCTTCCACACGCAACACAATTTTAAAATACCATTAATTATAATTATTTTTATATCTCATCTTTTCATGTATTCTAATTAATTATAAACAGAAGTATACATAAGTTATAAAACCACAATATATTTTGTATTAATAGCAACTTTATTATATCTTCATTCATTCTTATTTACTTTTTAATTTAGAATTATAAGCCATTTTAAAAGTGTTTTATTAATTTTAAGTAAGTATTTGGAAGAATTTCTTAATCTAAGAATTAAATAATTTACTTACACATATATAATAAATTAAAGCATTTCTTTAATTTTAATCATTATTTTAACTAATTTAAATGAATAGATCTATTCAAATTGATTATAAGTATTCGTTATTGCACTTAAATTGATTCTCTTTCAAGAATTTTAGTTGAATTGCGCTGGATGAATTAATAGTTTTCTGCATTAATCTAATAAATCTATTCATAATTAATACATGTTTTAAGGATAATTAATTGATATTTCAATTTAATTTTGATATGAAATAGACTACAATTTTCTTATAGTTGATTTTGAACTTGCACCTTTAAAATAATTTTATCAATCTTTTAATTTAAGATTTTAGTTATGGAATTGTTATCTATACTATAAAATTTGATATAAATTAACTCTGTCTGTCTACACAAAATAGTCCATAAATTTTAATCCAAGTATAAAATATTAAAATTTCAAATACTTAATTTTAAATTGTATTTAGTTGTAAGTATATTAATACTGGCTTATCTTAGAACTTCAATATACACATCGCTATATTATAGATTTATCATAATTAGAAGTATATATTCATAAATTTGACACTATAATTCAATGAGTTGGTTTTTTAAAAAATAATTCTAATTTGTAATGAATTTCATGTGTGATGTTATTAAAGGATTAGAAAATACTTTAAATTGCAATTTATAGCCTAAAGTTACTATTGATGATTATAAAATAATCAAATAATGATCTTTAATATTGATATTAATTCAAATGTGTTTATATCCAAATTACTTTACCAAACTAAACTTGACTAAAAGTAATAGGATAAAATAATTGACAGAGTATAATCTTTATGTAGCCCTAAATTTATAATGAACTTTTAATTTTATGAGCCACTAGACCAAGACCACTATTCTTTTAATTATTAATGTTATAATAGTAATAAAAAAATTAAAAATTGTAGTTTTAAAATAATCATTTGTAATATTTTCAGTGCTCAAAAGACCTTAAATATTTTATTTTGTCTTATAAAAAACTACTTATATAGTTTTATATAATTCATTATGATTTTACTTTTACTATTTTCTCAAATATTAGACTTTTTAAACATAAACAATATATTCACATCACTTTATAAACTCAGGTCTTTCTATTGAAATTAAGTGTCTATAGTTTTTAGGGTTGTCTCTAATTCATCTTTACTAATTCCAATTGATTATTAGAATTTTTTTTGTAATTTTTCTTAAATCACATTCAATAATTTTATAATTTTTACAATCACTTGCTAGTTTATGGAATTTATTCTTTCTTACTCTAATTAAGTGAGTCACCAGTAGTTCATTAATAAATAATTTTTCAATATTCATTTTGCATCTTCATATGAGACTATACAAAATGATATATGAGAATTGAGCTAAAGTATAGCTACAGTATTTTTAGGTAGGTCCTGTGATTATTTAACAATGCTTTTTTCTTATTCAATTTAATTAAGAATATTTATTTTAAATATTTTATTATTTACAGAACCCAATATTAAATGTTTTTGTGATATCATAATTATACTTTTATATGGTTTTTTAATTATTGGACAAACACGTAAATTTTATGGATGGCTTCTAGATGTTCAGATTTAATTAAATATATATTGAATGTATTTTATACTAATCCTATTTTTTTTTGATTAGATTAAATCATAAAAAATTGCTTTTGGTTCTTGTTTTACTTATGAGGATGCAGAATCACTAATCTTTTTTGAAATAGCCAAACATAAGCCAGTATATCAAATAATTAAACATAATAGGATACTTTTATCTGGTTAGGAGATGCTGCCTATGTGACTTCTAAAACAAGCTAAGATAGAAGGATGTCTGAATTGAATGAAACAATAGTTGAATTCAAATTTAATCTTACAAAATATAATCCTGGTTACTAAAAATTGTTAAATGCTACTCATATTGATGGAGTATGGGATGATCACGATTATAATGAAAGAGATGGAATTTATTCAAATCCAGCAAAAGAAATGACTAGACAATAATTCTTAAATTTTTTAGATGTAGGAAAAGATGATAAGAGGAGGTTCAATAAAGATGGAATCTATTATTCCTTCAAATTAAAAAATACAAAGATAATACTTTTGGATGTAAGATGGAATAGAAACCCAGAAAAATAAGATGTTTTAGGTGAAAATTAGTGGTTATGGTTAGAGAATGAACTAAAAGATGAAGAAATTGATTAATTCATCATTGGAAGTGGATCATAAATTTTGCCAAATGATGTATAAATTATACTATGACTAGAGGTTATTTATTGATGTGTGGTATTTGTCAAGCAGAAACAAACTTCTATAAATGTTAAAAGGGAAGAATGCTTTACTAATAACAGGAGATGTCCACTTTGCCGAAATTTTATAAGATCCATGTACTAATATAATTGAAGTTTGCTCATCAGGATTATCATATGGAACTCACTATAGGAATATACTCAGGGGTCTTTTTGAATTTTTTGCAGAATTGTTTTAGCCAGATACATTTTCATAATATTATGAAAGGTTTGCTGATAAAAATTATGCAATTATTGACATTGATGAGAAGAAAATATCCATTTATAATGAAACTTCATTATTATATTAAGTTGGCTTTAATAAAACAACTTCAATTAAATGTGAGGACATCGAATCTACACCTGTAATATTTAAATACTTTTGGAATTTTAGTAATAAAATTAAGGCATTTTTCTCAACGTTATTATTCTATTAAATAGCGAAAGCATTGTAAATATGTATTATTCTATTAATTTTGATGATATTGTTTGGTTTTGGAGTCCTTAGGTGTTTAGGATTATAAATAATAAGAAGAAAGACAATTGAAAAATTAAAATAAAAAAATGAATGATTATTTTTATGTTTGATTGCCCAAAATAAATCAATTTTCACCATTAATTTTTTATTGTTATTAATTTTGACCTTATAGCTTTTTTTGATTATTAAGTTCTAAGATTTCTGCTCTTAATTTATCTTTTTCTTTTTCAACATTTTCTATTTATAATTTTAAATCTGCATTCTTTGAAATATGATTATAAGCAATACTTTTTATGCAATTTCTAATGCTAATAAATTAGCTTTATCAGCTCTTTATTAATTTATGTTACTTTTTTCTTCATCTTCCTTTGCCTTAAAGGCTAATTTAAGGAACTCCACTGTTAAATTTTAAAATGTGCTAGTTGATTTCTCAAAAGTTTCAATAAATTCATTTTGTTTTCCTTTGTACACTTATAATTTCATTTTTTTATCATTCAATTACTTTTATGCATCTTAAATTAATTATTTTTCTTGCATGGCCTTTTAAGCATCGCTTTGCATTTTTTCGAACTATTCCATATATTTCTTTGTATCGTTTTTTTGTTCCTCTTCATTCTATTTAACCTTTTCCCAAAATTCCTTTTCTTTTTATTCGTATTATGCAATTAATGCTTGCATATCTTCGCGAATCCTATAATATACTCAAAAATGTTGATACTTCAAGTTTTCTTCAGCAAATTTTTATGCATCAGTCTCTTCTTGTTGAATCTTGTCCTTAACATCTTTTACATCATCATAAAATTTATCTTTCATTGATTTTCTATTAGCTTCTTCTTATTCTGGTAATTTTTTAAGTGTCTCATTTATTTTTTTTGTGTTCTAATCTATATCTTGGCAATTTTATTTTAATTTTAATAATTTATCTTATAAATGTGGATATTCCTTATGCAATAATTAATCTTTATCTTATGTTTCCTCCTTTGCTCTTTTTTTTTAAATAAACTCATCCTATTATAATACTTATAGAAATTCCAGCTAAATTATAATTCTACTATTTACAAATTGCTATCCCAATTGTTTTATTTGTTCAATCGATAGATCTTCATTCAAATTTTTTAATATTTCTTTATACAATTCCTCTACAGAATAGAATTTAAAGGTACCTGCTTTAGAAAATTCGACATTGTCTATTGTGTTTTATGATAATTCTGCGTATTTTTAAGCCAATAGTTCTTACATTTTTCAAATTTTAAATTTAATATTAAAAATTAATCATTTCTTGCTTTGCCATTTTGTTTAATAAGACTTTATATTCTACACCTGATCAGAAAATTGTAGTTCGATGTCAAAATCTTCAGAATGATCCAACTTCTATTTCTAAACTTAAGGTGGCTTCTTAACTTCTGGTTGCTTTATGATTGTTATAGGCTTATCAGTTTCAATATAAATGATTCCACTACAATGATCACTTGTAGCCTTGGTAACTCCCTTAAACACATTCAATAATTGCTTATTTTTTCTCACAGCCATGAACCCAACAATGAATGAATCGATCTTTTCATAATCTTAGGATTTTTAAAGTTCTATTTATTTTATTTCCGATTATAAATATTTAAATAATTCCTCTGGAAAAGTGCCACCTACAAACACCTTCCCTTATTATTTAATATTCACTAAATAAGATTGAATTTCTTAACAGATAAATTATTTTAATGTTGCAACCTTAACCACCGGGGTTGTCTATTACCGATCAATCAAATCCATTAGATTACCCAAAGACAGAATTGTATACTTGAATTTATCTGAACTTTTTAATTGATTTAGAAATTCTTCGTTAATTTGTTTATCCTAGAATGCTTAATTTAAGACTTCTTTTTTCCAATTTGATGCATAATTTAGAGCAAACATGGCAGGACAAATAAAATCTCCAAAATAAGTTTCTTACTCCTCCTTATTCTTATATTGAGTATATGATGCAAAACCTGATAAATTCAATAAAGCATCTTACTGCTCCAATAATTTTGCCTAGCCAATAATTTGAAAGGGCCCTCCGTTACCTTTCAAATAAAAGTCATATGCAAAGAAGTTACAAATTACTCTTTATTTGTATTCATTGGCAATTTATTGGCAAAACTTACTCAAAAATAGTGCTGATTTTGGCTTTTGACCATCATTTTCTATTAATTAAATAAGAAGTGTATTAAAAGCAAATAAAGTAACAGAATTGCTTCGAATTTCATTTTCTGTTTATTTCAGTGTTGTATTTATAAATTCACTATACTCGATTTCCAATTCATTATACAATTTATCATCATGCTTTTCCTGTGTTTTCTTAGAATACTCCTTTATTGTTGAAATTATTTTCTTTCTTAGTTCTTCAGGATATGCAAGCCTTTTGAAATACTTTTCATTCATCGACCATTAGTCCTTACTTGAATAGAAAAAATCAACAATAGATAACTCTATGCCATCCAATTAGATGTCTGAATTGACTGCGCAAACAACTATTTTTTCCTTGTCGTCTTAATTCATAAATTATATTTATAATATAAATATTTAAAATCTAGTTTTAGTGTTAAGTTCCATATTATCGAGATCTTTCTGCCTTGAATTAAGCCTGTTGAGTTTAATTTAAGAATATAATTGGACTTTGATGAATTAGTTTGGTTGCCTATTATGTTCTGTTAATGTTAAGGGTTTTACTTTAGTTTTTTCTATATTTTGAAATCACTTCATATTTGATATCCATTAATTTTCTGGCTAATTAATATAACTACCTCTAAAATTGAAGATCAAAGGTGCATATTGTTTGTAATGGTGACGTTATTTTAGGTGACTCTTTTCAAACTTCCTTCCTAGAATCTATTTCATCATAATTATGTCTGCATAGATCAAATTCACACAATTTATTTGAAATGAAAAATTTACTCATTATAATAAACTCTCAATCTAAAGGTATTGTTCATTGATCTTACGATAAAAAAAATGATTTATTAAAAATCTTTACATATTTGTCCCACAGACACCAAATATTTTGGGAATCACACCACTTTGCTGTTACATCAAAGTCATTTACTATGAAATCGCTTGCTCTACTTTTATTACAAGGGTAGTTTGAATAATTATAGACTAGAATTGTAAGTATGTTATTTTATTATGATTAAAGACTAATAGTTATTATGTATAAATTTTTAATTTAAATATTATATGAGATCTAATTAACAAATTAACATAAACAATATTGTTATGATCAGATATATCAACATGATTTCTATTCACGAATTTCCTCAATTCCTTAACTTACATTAAACGAGGATCCAATCACTTACTATGAAAGCTGACTTCCTCTTTCTTTTAAATTTTACTTTATGGGTTTGCCCTCTAGTTTGATTTTTGTTATGAAATACACCGAAGGTTCACTTTCAACGAATTCTTTAACACTAAATGTCTAATTCAAATATCTTTATAATTATTCTTGTCTTTCTTAGATTAGTTGTGGGTTATCTCTTGTCTATCCTATCAATCTCCTTTTAGGGAAATGAGGGAGACTATTTTTAAATTATTATTTTTCTAATAAATGATGACAATCCCGAAGATTGCTGTACCTGGCTTCGAACCTATATTTAGTAGTTTTTTTGGTGTCTGTTAAAATGATGAAATAAAGAACGAAATCATTTTGAATAGCAAATTCATTGATTGTAAAATGGAATCTCTGATAATACCCTGAGATTTCTTTCCCTTTCGATTTATCTTTTTTATTTGACTAAAACTACTCTTATCTTTAGAGGAATGATTTTTTTAATTCATCCATTTGCAACCAACACAAATCTTTTGAATATTCAGTATTAATTTATTCTAATCTAAATGTTTCATCGAGTAATTGTGCTTGAGGCAAAAATTCTCTCAAAAATTAGAATGACAATAAAGTGGGAATATTAAGGATGATTTCCAAATATTACTGTAATTCTAAACCCTAAGAATTTGAGAATTTAAATACTCTTGTTTTAATGTCACTTTGAGAATTTTTTGTTCTTCCAAATATTTTCTTTCTGGGAAATCTGGGAAGTGATAATTTCAACTTGAACTCATTATTTTTCTAATATATTTTTTGGTTTAAGGCCTTCAAATCCGAATATCGCTTCTATAATGCCTTGATAGCCTTTTAATCATTAACATGAATTGTATAATAAATAACATCGTTTCTAGTTTCGTAATCATTGATGGTCACCCCATATCTGATCATGATATCTTGATTGTTGATTAATTATAATAATTATTAATGGTTTTCGATGCTTTTAATTACACGAATTATCATAATTAACTTATTATTATATCAATAATATATTAAATATAATCAATCCAGATTTAAAACAAGAAAATGTTTTAGTCTAGTGCTAGACCAGCGAGTCATAAATCAACAATTCATCATCCTTATTTCCTAACTTACTAAGTTAAAAAATAAACATTTATTCAATTTGGTTCAGTAAAGTAGAAAGACTACTTGTCATAAAAGTGAGAGTTTGTTATCTAATTATTTAATTCTGCTTTCTCCAACAGCTGGTATATAAAATTTCGTAAGGATCTATCTCTAACATAATTTATAATGTTAATAATATTTATAATAATTCTTTGATGATAGAACTGATTTCATTTTTTAATTGAATAGTATCAGTGAATTGTAGTTCTTTTTTCATATTAAGCTTGAAATGATCATAAACATGAGTTAATTAACCACTTATCCTTTGATTTATGAGGCTACTTCTGAAATCTAAACTTTCTATTATCATTTTCTTATAAAAAATAGATGATATGTTGTAATACCATATAATTTGATAATGTTTTAGCAATTTAACATTAATTAAATGTCAAATTCAATTACTACAAAGATTAAATACTAATATGGCCTAATATTTAGTATTTTCAAATTATTGATTATTATATAGAAGATTATTCTTAGACTTAGATTTACCAAATCATATATTCAATAGAAGTGAATATTAATTAATTGATAATCCTGTTTTAATTTAGAAATTACAATAGGAAGTTTAAGAATATTTGGTTAATTTAATAAGGAAATAGAATTAATTATATTATAAATATTAATATTCAATTCTCAACAATTTAATCCTCTATCAAATTTAGACTCAGCCTGTCGGAATGAGAATGTTAATTAGAAGGTGAATTGTCTATAATAATGAGACCTCTAGTATTGATATCATGATCGCTGATTCTAAGTTGAGTAAGAGGTATTTTTGGCAACTCACCTTAATGAGAATTGGAATTATCTATTTCATTCTTATGGGTCATTTGACTCAAACACAAATATTTTTAAATATCTGCCTCTCCTAATTCTTATCGACATACAGGACATGTAGTATTCTTCCTAGTCCAATCCCTTAAGCAATTTGTATGGAAGTAATGTTTGCAAGGAGTTTCTCTGGTTTGATCTCGCTTTAAGAATTAGACTAAACAGACACAACAAGTTTCAGTAAGTTGATGTTTTGGCACTGGTTTTATAGGCATGTATTTGTCTAAAACCTCAAGTGAGATTTTAGGCTATTCTTCATACACTTTGGCTTGTTTTCTGATTTGACAAATGATGTAAATGGAAATTAGAATTCCAAAGATAAACACTCCCACGATAGTTAGGATGGCCCACAAGGGGAATGAATCTTCTTCGTCTTCAGATTGTTAATGTAAGGTCAATGTAATAGCTGCGTCTTCATCAAGGTTGTAGACTCCAATTGCAAAAACATAGGATGAAATTTCTGCCGGTCTTAGCAATTTCACTTCTTTAGTATCCCCATTTGAGTTAAGTAACATCAAATTAGATTAAAACGAGGGTAGTGTTGTTGTAGACGCCTTATCTACTGGCAAGAGAGCTACAACAAATGATGCCCAATCACTTTGTGCTTCGATCTAAATTGTTTATTTTATTTTACTTTATAATCGTAGTTATCCAATATATAATATACGTAGTTCCAAGTATATTTAGGCACGATCAAAGACGTTGAAGTTTCTGTTTCAAATTCTTCCATGTTCTACTGGCAATCCGAGCCATATGTAGGAAAATTGCAAACCAACTTTTCAGGAGGCTATTTTATATTTTTGAGAATTTAATACTGAATCGATAATTGTGATTGTAAATTATATTACTTGGCTAAGATTAGATTCAGGTATGAAAGTTAACTTTTTATTAGAAACTGATATTTGAATCTAATCACTCTAAACATATATCGATTAGACTTTTGATTTTGTTGCATATCCTTATTCATCATACAGGGTTTAAGTAACATCATTGAAGGTTGAATTAACCTCTAAGTAAGGAAGACATGATTGGTCATCTGGGAATTTTTTTATTGTCAACTAATTATTAACCCTTTTCATTTACTTATATCAAGTGTGTCTTAGATGAGTCTAATTTGTAACTAAACTCCATAAATACAGTTTCAAATGTTTTTTGGTAAATTTAAGTTGCACAACAAACACTCAAAAAGATGAATTATATTTGTAAAAACATAAATTTTTAAATTGATATTCACTGATTACCAACAAATATATTTTAATTCAACATCACTTCTATTGCGATGTTATCTAATTTTAGATCTTCTTACTATTTTCCATTTGGGTTTTACAATAAGAAACAGCTGAGATAATCTCAAATAGATAATTAATAGTCCTTTCATCAACTTTTAAACAATTAAAATATATAACCCGGTTGTGTTATAATGAATCACGAACTATTTATCAACTGAGTAGAATTGGAAATGTTTTCTAATTATAAATTTATTGATTTAATTATTTTTATACTTGATTTTATTTTAATGCCATTTAATTCTTAAGGATTAATATATGTGCTCATACTTTTAAATTTAGACTTTTTATTTGTTGCATAATACTTTATAAATCAGAGTCAAAAATTCATTGATATTCATTCTCTTTAATGTCTACATCCGTTGGAGTAACTGGCAGATCTAGAGGAACACTCAAAAAGATAGATTTTCAATATAAATTTTAATTATAATTATCAATCGATAACTTAAGCTTTATTTATTTACATAAGTTCTGTTAAGGTAATGAGAATTATTCGTAGATTTAATTTAAGAGTATTTTGATCATAAGTTTCAAAATAATATATTAATCTTAATTATCTTCTAATTCTTTATTATCCATTTTTTTCATTAGTAAATTAATAAATAGAAATTATATACTTTTATATGAATAAATTTATATGTAATACCAATTATATCATGAAAATAAGCCTCATAGTTTATTTAATAATTAGACATATTTTATACATGTATTTATTAATAAAATAACAACATGTATGATAGGTAAGAAAGGAAATAACTTTTATTAATGCTTGAATATTTCTGATATGATATTAATTATATATATTAAATAACAAGATCAATCATTTCATCCATGGCTTACTTGGATTGCCAGTGGTGGAGAATCCTGGGAGATCATTCAGATAGTTAATTGATTGGACAGTGCTTGGCTATTGTTATTATTAAGTCTATTATTCTTAATTCGATGGTGGATTTTCTTCAATGTGATTCCAGAAATCACTCTATTGGATTGGTAATTGAGATGTGTCTGCTTGAGTATCTAGCTATTACTGTTCTTCTGCCTCTTCTGTATCCGATTACTTTTGTGCAACTTCGGTTTCTTATTTTTCTCTCATTTTCCTCTTCATATGTGTCAACAACGCACCAATCAATAGAATGACTGCATATTTAATTTAAGAATACCGACTAACAAAAGCAAACGTATAGCAATAATCCATTACTTACCAATCGAAGTACTAGTGTTTACTACTGATTTACCTATCTATGTCATAGTCAATTCCCCTTTAAGAAATTACTTGATCCGAAGCAATGTCAATAGTTTATTAAGTGAAGTGACAGCTCCAGATTTAATGAATTCTAACAGCTTTTTCGTTTTCTCCATTAGCATTGAGCCAAATATACACAATTAAATAGTTGAGAATGAGATTCCCATCAAGGATTATATGCCCTTTTAATGAATTATTGCACTAAATACTTAAACCACGCTTTAATAATCATTTCTAAGGCCATTTGGCTGTTGAGGCTGTTGTCCTCTGTTGTTGAGCATCATTCGAGGGTTCATATAATTATTTAACATAATAATTTTACTGTATTTGTAATTAATTTATCACTATTATCACATTGATTTATTGATATAACAATCAAGTAAAGGTCATGGCATTCATTATTATTGCCAGATCCTAGTGTTACATAATATAAATCTAAGCAAATAATGTCCCCTTGTAGAAACCGTGAACCTATTTAAGAATAAATCCAAAATAAGAATACTATACGACGACTACCATACCCACAATAATGATTAGAATGCTTATTCCTTAAGGTTATTGTGAAAAATAATATAAATTTTTTTAATTGAGATAGAAGAATGGACAGGGAAAGTCGTTCTAGAGATGATAGCAAAGGTAGACAGGCTCCTTTGTATAGGGAATCTCTATACCGAAGTTCATCCTCAGTAAGCAGCTAATTTAAAGTCTCATCAGGCCCTATGTTATTCAAAGGTACTGAGAATTCAAGTGTGATGAAAAATGCTCAACCTTAATTTGAGGAAGATGCAGATGGATTTAAGAAGCCACCTGCTCGTTCAGAGAAGTTGGAAGAGGAAAGGAAACGCAATAAATTACTTAATGAGTACACAGCATTTGAATGGGAAAACATAGAATAGGAATCAGATAGGAAATGGTACGATTATGATGAAGATGATATTGGTAATGCTTCTTAATAAGATTGGGGAGGTGAAGTCTTTAAAGGTTAAAAAGAGGAATTTAAATTTGAGGAATATAGTAAACGCAAAGGTTAAACAGTGAGACAATCAGAAAAGAATTAAGAATAAAATAGATGGGAACTCAATCGTATGATTGCATCAGATGTTTTCAAGAGAAAAGCAGATGCTTATGATTTTTATGAAGAAGAGAACGAAAAAAGAGTTGTCATACATGTACATGATATCAAACCTCCTTTTTTGGATGGTAAAGTGGTCTATACAACCTAATTGACATAAGTCTAAATTGTCAAGGATCCTAATTCGGACATGGCTAAATTGGCAAAGCAAGGATCTGAAGTCTTAATGTTGATGAGAGAGAAATAGGATAAGACTAAAATGAGGGAGAGATTTTGGGAATTAAGTGGATCAAAAATGGGAAAGGTAATGAACTTAGATAGAAAAAAAGAAATGGATCCAGACAGACATCTATTGAATGAAGATGGAGATTATGACTTCAAAGCATCTTCAAGATATTAAACAGCCCTTTAAAGAGTCACTCAAGGTCAAAGTGATTTTGCTAGAAATAAAACAATCAAAGAACAAAGAGAATACTTACCAGTATTTCACTGTAGATCTGAATTAGTTTAATTGTTGCATGATAACAGAGTTTGTATTATTGTAGGAGAAACTGGATCTGGTAAAACTACTCAATTGACTTAATATTTATATGAAGAAGGCTATACTAATACTGGTGTTATTGGATGTACTTAACCAAGGAGAGTGGCAGCAGTATCAGTGGCTAAAAGAGTAGCTGAAGAAATGGGAGTGGAATTAGGTAGTAAAGTAGGATACGCCATTCGTTTTGAAGATTATACTAGTAAAGATACGGTCATCAAATACATGACAGATGGTGTCTTATTAAGAGAATCTTTGTAAGATCCTGATCTTGAGAAATATTCTGCTGTGATTATGGATGAAGCACATGAAAGATCATTGAATACTGATGTTCTATTTGGAATTCTTAAGAAAGTGGCATAAAGGAGAAGAGACATTAGAATTGTTATCACATCTGCGACAATGAATGCGAAGAAATTCAGTGATTTCTTTGGAGGAGTGCCCATCTACAAAATACCAGGTAGGACTTTTCCAGTTGATGTCAGATTCGAAAAAGCACCTGCCTAAGATTATGTGAGAAGTGCAATTAAGAAAACTATTGAAGTTCATATTCAATAACCTCCTGGAGATGTTTTAATATTTATGACAGGACAAGAAGATATTGAAACTACTTGTTATTTATTAGCTGAAGAACTCAATAAATTAAGTGAAGCTACTCCTCCTCTTTTAATTTTACCTATATATTCATAGTTGAGATCTGAAGAGTAGGCAAGGATCTTTGAAAAAAGTGAATTCAGAAAATGTATTGTGGCAACTAATATTGCAGAGACATCTCTAACTTTGGATGGTGTTAAATATGTGATTGATACTGGATACTGTAAAATGAAAGTTTATAATCCAAGAATTGGTATGGATGCATTATAGGTCACTCCAATATCATAGGCTAATGCAGATTAAAGAAAAGGTAGAGCTGGACGTACTGGACCTGGTATTTGTTTTAGATTGTATTCCTCATTAAATTATAGATAAGATATGTTGGAAAATAACATCCCTGAAATATAAAGAACTAATTTAGCTAATGTTGTTTTGTTATTGAAGTCATTAAATATCAACAATCTTTTAGATTTTGATTTTATGGATCCTCCTCCTTAAGATACTATTTTAAATGCTATGTATCAATTGTGGGTATTGGGAGCATTGGATAATGTAGGCGAACTAACTGAACTTGGTAGAAAAATGAGTGAATTTCCATTGGATCCACCATTGTCAAAAATGTTAATCAAAGGAGATTAATTGGGATGCACTGAAGAAATTCTAACTGTGGTTAGTATGTTGAGTGTTCCAGGCATATTTTATAGACCTAAAGATAGAGAAGCTGAAAGTGATGCTGCTAGAGAGAAGTTGTTTGTTGGAGAAAGTGATCATTTAACTATGTTAAATGTATTTGAGTAATGGAAAAGACACGAATTTTCACCTGAATGGTGTAATGAACATTTTGTTTAAGCAAAGAGTATGAGAAAAGTTAGAGAAGTGAGAGCTTAATTAAAGGATATTGCAGGTAAATTAGGATTAAAAATGAGTACTTGTAATTTCTCTTATGATGTTGTAAGAAAGGCCATTTGTTCAGCATATTTTTAGAATGCTGCCAAGATTAAAGGTGTTGGAGATTATATAAATTTACGTACAGGTATGCCATGTAAACTACATCCTTCAAGTGCTTTGTATTCTCTAGGTTATGCTCCTGATTATGTTGTTTATCATGAATTGGTTATGACATCTAAGGAATATATGCATTGTGTGAGTGCTGTTGATCCTCAATGGTTGGCTGAGATGGGTCCCATGTTTTTTAGTATCAAAGAAGATGGTGAGACTAGAGCTTCTCGTATTGAGAGTGAAAAAAAGAGTAAGAGAGAAATTGAGTTGTCCATTGAGAAAGCTAAGAGAGAACATGAAATGAAGAGTGAAGAGTGTTTGAGAAGGAGAGAGAAAGAGGATAGAGAGAGGAGATTAATCAGTGAACGAACAGCCACTTTGGGATAAAGACCTAGTAGAATGCAAACACCATTAAGGTAATAAACATCATCAGTGGCTGCCACTCCTTTAAGAAGTGAATGTGAATCCGTTATCTCTGGTATGACAAGCATATAAGCTAAATAAATGAGAATGGCATATTATGACGATGAGGAGGAATAAGACGTTGGCAGAAACAAAATACCAAAATTAGAATGATTAATTAAATGAGTTCTATGTATAAAAGATATTAGTTATAATTGAATATATATTCAATATATTTGAGATTATTTAATTATAAAATATGCACATCATTTTGTAAAATTTTATTAATAAATAATGCAAGATAATCTTGATCAGACAGCTTCCTTCTTCCATAACCCTAAACTCAAAATCCCGAAATTGAAATGCACTTACGAAGTTATTTGTTCTCCTGATCTCGAGATTCCTACTTTTAGTAGAAAAGAAGACTCATATTAATAAAAATCATTATTCAAGTAATGCCAAAGGAGAAATAGCCAAACTAACATTACTCACAACAATTTCGGCAATATCTTCAATTAAATTTCACTAAAAAAGGCAAATTCAGACTCTAAAACCAATCCAAAAGTCCCACCACTCAAGATACAGTAAAAATCTCTGATTTCTAAAGTTTCAGACTAGAAATCAATTAGTCAGCATTCCACAACTATATTAAGGGGAAGAGGAAGCATTAAAATACTTCAAAATCCTTTTATCACAGACTCTCGCAATTCTTAAAAATCAACTTGCACATCAGGAAGTCAACCTCCGTAACCCAAAGGAAAACCATTTTTATAAAGAAAAGCTTAAATACAAATGGTCAATAGAGTATTCTCTTCGATGTCTTAGCATAGATGAATTTAATTAAATTTATGTCTCAAAACTTTCGTAGAATATTCATTTCTCATCTGCCATTCAACTCTACATGATTAATCATATCAACCCTATACTTGTTTACTCCTTTATAAAAATAGTGTTATTTAAAAAAATCTATCTTGATAATTTTCTTCATAAAATTAAGTTCCCTTCTTAAAACAAAGAATAATCGAAAATAATTAACTTAAAATCAATAAACTATGCGATAATTTCAAGACTAGAAAGAATTTATTGAAAAATTTTATAATTATGAATTCTCATGGGGGATATTAACATAATAAAAAATGAAGTGTTTATTGGGTATTTGAAGTAATACCTTACTCGAATCAATTAAATTATTAGTATTACGGAATTAAACTAAAATAAATGAGATGATTATATTTAATAATTTATCTAACGAATTATGGATCATTTTGAGAGAATTCGAAAAATTGGTAAAGGGAATTTTGGGGATGTTCTTTTGGTATCAAGAAAAAGTGATGGAAAAGTAAGATGACTCTTTCTAATTACAGCAATTTGCACTAAAAAGAGTAGATTTGAGTCTGAGAGAAAGTTTTGTGGTTGACCCTCTCAATGAAGTTAAGGTTCTCAAATCGTTAGACCATATGAACATCATTAAACATTATGATTCGTTTGTCCACAACAATAAACTGTGTATTCTAATGGAATATGCCGAGAATGGTAAATTTTGAAAAAATAATCCAAGCTGATCTCAGTTTAAAAGTGAAGGAAGCTAAACAAAACAAATAATTCATTCAAGAATCTACAGTTCTGTATTTCATTTATGCATTATTATAGATTCTTGCCTGGTTGACCTAATTGGCAGTAGCGCTCGATTATCTCCATTCTCAAAAGATACTTCATAGAGACATCAAAGTTCAAAACATATTCCTTTGCAATGATGGAATTGTAAGATCACTATTAAAATATAATAGGTGAAATTGGGTGATTTTGGCATCTCTAGAACATTAGAAAACACATCTGAATTGGCCTAAACTTCAATAGGTATTAATTAATAGAAAACGAATAAATTAGGAACCCCATTTTATCTATCCCCTGAATTATGTTAGAACCAGTCCTACAATCATAAGATTGACATCTGGATGTTGGGATGTGCCATTTATGAATTATGTACATTACAAAAACCATTCACTGCTGAATCAATCAATGTAATATAATCAATTTTAATCAAAGGCTTTGGCAACCAAAATTATAAATGAGTAACATACAAAAATCTCTGATCACTATTCAGATTTTTTGTCAAATCTCATTGATGAAATGTTATAAAAACAACCAGAAAAAAGACCAGAAATTTCAAAAATCCTTTCATTCCCCTAAATCCAAACGGAAATGCAAAAGCAATCTAAAATTTATCAACCTCCTAAAGTTCCTTATTCAAATAATGGATTCTCATCCAGTAAAAAAAGCAACAGAATGCAACAGAATTCTATACATTTTCTAGTTGAAAAATCGAAATAACAACAAGGCTCATCACCTATTTCTTCTAGAAGAAGCTAGTCTAAACTCAACACTCCCTATTAAGGCTATAAAACGGATGCTATTGATTAAAATAGTCCTAATTTTAAATTGAATGGAAAACTATTAGCATCAAATTTACACACTCTTCCAGATTATATAGATGATCAATAAAAAGCCTAAACTCCTATATCTACTCAGAGAACGGAATCTAATGAAGTTAATTCAAAACATCTAAAATATTAAAAATCTATTTCTATTAATACTCAGATTGATGATAATAATAATAAAAGAAATCCGGAAGTTGAAAGCTAGCCTACACTATTAAAAAATTAAAAATCATTCACTTTTGTTGATTTATTTTTCAATCCTAATACTCCTACATCCCCTAATAGATCATTACTATTAACCGACTTCCTTAAAAGAAAGCTGGGAAATGAAAAATTTTATTAAATGAAAATAGTATTCTATTTAATAATCATCTTAGTTACTTGAGTAAAATAATGATCCAATTAAGTTGTTAGATTAAGAAAAAGGGTTAGTCTAAGATATCATAGGAGAACAAAACATGGATTGTATTAGAGTAAAATTTTAATGAATTTATTAGATTTTTAAACTTTTGATCAGTTGTTCTATAACTCCTTAAGCAAGTCATGGTAGAGCTAAAAGTGCTTAGGTGTTCACCCAAGAAAAACAAGAAACACTAATAGATATCATAAAAGACTCTGACTTTTAGCCTTCAAATTCCATAGGCTCAAATCCAGGATTAGAAATTTCATTCAAAAATCTCTAACATTTTACTGAAGACTAATAATCAGAAAATTTATAATTAAAGGAATGAGTTTATAAACAACTAAAATTTCTTTTATTTTATTTTATCCAATATATTTTACAAAATTAATTTAAATTAGAATAAACTATCTTTAAGTAATATCTTTTCATTTTATTCTAAATTTAGTACCAATAAGAAGTTTAGAATAAACTACTTCAAATAATTAAGGAATGATTGCTTTGATAACTAAAAACTTTATTAGTATAATTTCAATATACAACAAAAACTTATAAATTCATATATATTTTTCATTTACAAACTATATGTGAATAATTTGCCTTTAATATTCTTCCCTTTGTATATTAACTGCAAATCATTACTTTTAAGTATAATACTGTTACTAATGTATGACTATTCTAAAATTTTTTATTTTATTAGTTGAGAATAACAATTTAATTGAAATATGAAAATTTGTATAAACCTTAGAATGAATCAAGATTAGAATTTGGATTTTAATGTCATATCATAAGGTCTACGCTTATTTATTAGCTCGCCTTACTAAAAACTATAGATTCATTCTAATTTTTGGAAATATTTATGATTAAATAAATATAAAATTAAAATATGTAATAGTAATTTTCTAAACTATTATATGAATGATTCCATTCATGCTCTAGGAAAGTTAATGCATAAACAGAAATAATTTATGTAATCAATAGAGTAGTTGTTATAATTTATTTCAAAAAATACAAATTAATTTATATTACGTAATCAAATCGTTATCCTACTTATCGATATTCAGTCATGCAACAAAAGAGATAAAAAAAGTATGTCTTTATCTGAAATTTAGATCATCAAGAAGTCCTTTAAGAAATCCTTAGGCAACCAATACTACTCATATCAGCAATACAACCCATAATTCACCTTATAAGTTTTGTAGAAAGAGAGGTACTTCAGTAACAATCACAAACGATTCGTATAGTATTGGGAAACGAGAAAAAGTTGAGAAACGGAAGGTTTCTAAAATATCGTAATTAACAAATTTTGAAAACAATAATTTTGTAAGGAGGGAATAAAAGTCAAAGATAATTCAAAGAAGATAGGAGATAGGATTGGAATTCTTAAATAAAATCCCAAAAAAACATATTTAATTGCTCCTTCAAAGTATGTCTTCGCTCTTAGCTTATAGGATAAAAAAATTAAGGACTTTCGCTAATGAAGCAGAGCATCCCAAAAAATTCATTTAAACATATGTTACATCTAAAGTAGAAAAATTAATCACATCAGTAGTACAAATAGAATGAATAAGCGAAGAGAAAAAAGGATACAAAAAAATAATTGCAAAATAGTCGAAATATTTTGAAATGTATAAGTAATTTAAATGATTATAGAAAATAAATCATAATAGAGATCCAAAAAAAGGAGTATATCTTCAATACCTTTAAAAAAATAGACCACCTAAAGAAATTCAAGTTCCAAGAGCAAAAATGAGAATATGGCTTAGTTCACTGGTTTTGAAGGAGAATTGTTGGAAAAATATAAATAATTATAAGCTCGATATTCAAAAATATCTTAAGCCTTTTTTGATGAGAGTAGTTGCGTACAATATATAACAGATACAGATCAAAATTTATTGCCTTCTCAACCAACCTCGAATAAAAAATAACAAGTTTTAATTGAAGAATTGATATTAAATAGAGAGGAATTAAATTATTTAAATGAGTTTGCCATTCTCGAAAATGAATTAAATAAAATGCATTAAGCAGCAACTAAAATTTAGAAAGTTTGGAGAGGATATATTACAAGAAAATAAATCTTGGAATTGTAATTCCAATAATACTATTATAAAAAACCTGAAGTTTTTAATGAAGAAACTTTCAGAAGTCAGTTTCGTTTTGAAAAAGAGACTCAATCAGTCTAATAAGGTAGAGAGCAATCTTTGATTCAACTTACCCATTAAACTGAACTCAATTTTATTTTAGATTTGGAATCTGAAAAAAAGGAGAAATGGGAACAAAAATATAGTCCTAAAATTTCTGATAAATTTATCACATATTAAAAATTGAAATGGCAAGAGCTTCTCAATTATATCTCTTACTTAGAGGCTTAGGTTTAGGAGAAATCTATTGATGAAGTCCTTAAAGAAGTGAAACTATTTACTTATTAATGTTCTTAAGATTGCTCCCTCAGCAGGTTTTAAATTAAGAAATTAGAGATAGAGGTTCCGTAATTTTCATAAGAATCTATGGTAATGAGTGAACTTCGATAAGCTATGTGTTCTGAAAAGTTAATTAAGTAAATACTGAAGCCTTCACTAAAAAAGGAGAAAGAATAGATTTTTGAAGAAAAACCATTTCATGAATTTGCGTCAAAAAAAGTTGATGAAATTTTGAATAGATCCTAGATGGATGAATTAATCAAAATGAGATAGTTCATCTTATAAGAATAATAGAAATCTTAATAATAGGTTTTGACCTAATAATTTGAATAAAGATTAATATCACCTAAGACTTTCAAAGAGAAATATCAAACTTTGGAAAAGTGGGTAACTAAGTAACATTAGGATATTGAAAAAAATAAAATTAATTTTGAAAAGGGTTGGCAAGGATTATATGATACCTTCATTCAAACTGAAAAGGAACTGAGATTTTTAAAGTAATAAAAGAATCTGTAATATTCTCAACATTCAAATTCTCAGCAATTTATCAATTATTCAATTTCTGTCTTCTCTGATTCAGAGTACAAAAAATCTTTATAGGAATTATCAAATTAAAATGAAACGATTATAGTAAATAATTAATTTGAAGAATTTGAGAATCATCGTTTAAAAACTCATACATCTACATCCCAAACTCCAGATGATAAGCTCAAATTTCAACAATTAGATTCTAATCATGAAACTATCGAATGGGATGATGAATAATGTATTATCAATCGTTAGACGAAAGACTGTTAAATAAACCATCAATTAAAGAATGTTTTACAAAAAGGCTTAGAATAGGCTGAGATCGATTATCTGCACCAGGAAGTATCAACTATCTATTAGCATAGGTTTAAACTGAGGAATCAAATTGGCTGAACTATGATGAGTACAAATTTTATGTACTCCTGGATATCTCAAATTTGATTTATAATGATTTAATAGTGGAATTTGAGTAGGAATGTATATAAAGATAATTTTGAAATTTATTATATTAGATATTAAGATCAAATTAAATTTCAAAATTAAGTTTCTGTTAGATTTTCCATGCAAGGATTAAGTTTAATTTGAAAGCAGAAAATATTCGATCTCTCTAGTAATATATGTCTTTTTTATACAAATTTTATATTAAAAGCTTGATTAAAGGAAAAATGTAGTTCAATTAAATTGGGAAAATATTAACAAAGAATAAGATTGGATTGAGAGAGTTTGATGAAATAGTGTCATTTAACAATATCTATTAGATGAGGTCCTTTTTAGTTGAAATATAGGATTAGATTTGATTTGTCTTGATAATGCTATTATGGATAAAGTTTATAAAGTATGAAAATTAATATAATTAATAAATGGACGAATCTCTTAAGCAATATCTGCCTAAAGATTACAAAAGAAGAGCCTATTATACTCCTTATGATGTCTCAGTACATAATACAGCCAACGATTTGTGGGTGAGTTTTTTTGGAAAGGTTTGGGATCTTACATAACTTGTCTAAGAAAATATTTCATCGAAACTATGCGAACCATTAATCAAAATAGCTGGAAGTGATATATCTTATTGGTTTGATAAATAAACGGGAGAACCCAGAAAGTAACGAATTTTATGATTATTTTGAATAGGTAAGTAGATACCAATACAGGGTTGATAACCTATTATTGTCCATAAGGCAGATATTTGCACATTCCATCATCTGACCCTTGTGGAGATGATGAGCTTGGGAATCACTCAAAACCGTAATGAATTATAATTGATTATTTCAAGATGGTGGAACAACGAATAACAATATTGTATTGGAAATTTGAGTCACAAAACAAGAAAGATCAAAATAATCAATATGCTTACAGATCACGAGGACATCATTGAAGTAATTTTAAAATCAAATTAATTTTAGGTGCCTTCTGAAGAGACTATAAATGAAATTCTTGATAGGTATAAAAAGATCAATGCACATGCTGCCAGTTATACTTGGAAGAGATTGGGAAAGCCTTTGGATATGGAATTAACTTTGAGTGCCAATGGAATACCTGATGAAACCGATGAATTTGAATAATTAGGAGTTCCTGAGAGTTAGTGGTACATTCCAGCAATTCATCTATATTTTAATGATGATTTAACAGTGGCGTGATAAGAATCAATATTATATATTATTATATATGATTAAGCGTAATCTTAAATGGAGAATTAATTCCTAAAGAGAAAATACTACGGCCAAACCAAAATCAATTAGTATTGAATCTTCTCCTAGACGTCCAATTTATTTGATTCGAAGAGAGGCCAAACCTAAAAAATTATAAATGCAGAGTCCTTTGTCAACTTACACCAAATATGTGTTTCATTCCAATCAGATTAGCCCAGTAAGTTCGCCAAACACTTCAAAAATTATTAAATTGGAAGAATAGCAAATCAATTTTGCCAACAACAATTGTAATCAAGAAAGGAAGCATTCAATTAGTACTCTATCAACAGAAAATCGTAGTTTTAAACACAAAATATCAGCTCATAATAGGCATTTATAAACAGAATCAATAAAACTCATTACCCAACAGTTCACCGAATAGAATGTTGATATCATCATTGATAATTAAGACAAATAATAGGAAATAGATATTGAATGTTCAAATATTGATATGTAACAAAAAAAAATTTCGTTTAATTACTTATTTAATGATTAGAAAAAGAAAAAATTTAGATAAAAAGTGCAATATTTTTAAGGTAAGGAATAAAAGAAGACAAGCTCATTGACAGATTAGGTAATGAAGCTGATAAGAACTATAAAATAACCATCATATCGTTATGAGGCTCATTAAAGATCCTCTAGAATTTGGTTGGAGAATGCGTCCTTCGAGCCAGTAAAATTAAAGGAAAACTACACATATTCTTAAAGTTAATTTAAGTTTTATTTTAGTTAATATTTTGATAAGCATTTAAAATTCTATAGGATACTTGAAATTAATAACGAACTTTTATAATTAATGAACACTCATCAATAAAATGCTAAAGATATTCAAGAATAGCGCAAAGCTGTGTTTATGAATAAAATTTATAGTCAAACTTAACTTGAGCATTATAAAACTGAATGTATGTTTAGATTTTAAAATGAAATCTAAACCTATGGAATGTACTTATTATATTTGATATTAGGATAGACTTTTTAAATGAAAATTCTTAACTAACAATTTCGGTAGATCACAATAATTCAGAGTTGAATGAGAAAAAAATTACAGAGTCATTAGAAGATGATGAAGACGAAGATTCGGAATTATTTAAATAAGCGAAAACTAATGCTCTATCAAGTTTAACTCCTATTTAACCTGAATTCAATACAAATCTAAATGATCATTAATTTTAACTCCAATCTATTGTCTCAGAATTAGATAAAAATTCAAAAAATACGTTATTATCAGTTGATTACTCAACCACAGACTAATAAATATATAACGATAATATCAATCAAATTGTACCGACTTTTGAGGAAGAATTCAATAATCCGATATTTTATAAAACTTACGCCTAATATTATAATCAAAGTTATAATGACATTTTATTTGGTAATTTTTGCAATTCAAATCCTATTGATGATTTGGAATATGAAGCTCCTAATCTTAAAGCAATTGAAAAAGGAAATCTTTAAATAGAAGACGGGATAGATAAGAGAAAGATGCTCAACGCTTTAAGATAAAAGAAGAATTGGTAGAGTGGAGGATTATAAAAATAAAGTTAGACGATTGATGCACCATCTCCGCATAGAGCCACAATATAAATATTTTCTAATAAATAAAGTTCAGATAGTGCAGCAGGGTCACCTTAATTACCACAAATAAATATCTTATAATAATTTTCAAATGAATAGACTAATATTAGAAGCATTAGAAAATCCATTCATGGTAGGAATGCCTTATCACCTAAATCTCCACATAATCAAGATAATGCATTTTAAGATCCTCTAATAAAAAGTCAAAACGATACTTCTTAGGATTCAATAGGAGAAATCAAAAAGATTACTATGTCTAAATCTCAATAACAGCTCCCAAAACTTATGATTGAGTCTAATCAAATCCCATCAAAAATTTATTAGAAAGAAGACTCTATCAAATATTTAAAGGATATAAAAATGATCACATCCGTTAAATCAGATATTATTTACCATGACTCAATGTCAGATTCAGTTAAATCAAGTACACAATAAATAAATTTATAAAATGTATGGTATTATCTAATTATAAGAAAGGTGCAAACCCTCAAAGTATTAAGTTGGAAACTATGTTGCTCTTTGATAAGATGATGAAACGAAATAGGTCTAAAAAAAAGATCGCCACAATTATGATTGAACATGGATTATTGAATTAATTCTAAGAGTTCATGGATGTGCATAGAAACTTTAATTTGAATGGACATACCACTGATGGAATTCCTTTAATTTCACTTGCGGCTGCAAATGGTCATGAAGGTATTGTTAGACATATGTTGAATTACAATGTTAATTTAAATCAATTAGATGTAAGATAAACCTAATATTTTTAATAGAAAAATGGGAATACACCTCTTTACTATGCTATGATTCATAATAATTTCGAAATAGCTGATCTACTATTATAAAATGGTGCAAATCCCTATTTAAAAACTTAAGGAAGATGAAGTGTAAAAATGTGATTAGTTTATGTATACTATTATTTATAAGAACGATTATATACAAAAAATACAAATAATGTCGATCAGCAATAAGGACAATACTTTTTTGGGAGAGGTTTAAGTTATCGTCCATATTTTCTGGGTTTTTAAGAATTGTTAATCCAAAAATAATTACATAATGGATTTAAACAATTCTGAACCTGCACTTGATATGTAATACATTTTAGTTACTATTCATACAATTAATTAACTAATTGCTCTATGCCCCTTACTTTTAGTTCTCTTACAAATTCTGGACATAATTTCATCCCACAAAAACAAGAAAAATGGGGTTTAATATCTTAAAGTTACTCTTTAAAAAGGTCCAGAATGCATTTTTCATGAAACATGTGCTGACCAGTATCACACTGGAATATTATTTTATTCTAAAAATTGAATTTCCGACATTTTAAACAATCCTACTCTTTATTATAACTCTTGCTAACACTCCTTTCAATTAGTAGATTACGAGGGCTCTGATCAAGAGTTTTAATACGACGATTACAACTTTTCCTAGGGGATACGGAAGTTTTATTTTTATTTGCAAAGGCTTTGATCTAGAAATCCAATTCTTTCATTAGTTTGTTTTGTACATAAATAGGCACAACATTTTTGTTAATTAGAACATCTTTGATTAGCTACATTTTTTCATATCTCCAATTAGTATGAAAATTCATTCAATTAATAAAAATTAAATAATGCTTTCTTAAGAAATATGGCATATTAATAGGTTAAAACTATAAGTTCATAATTTTATCGTTATTAAATCTCTTGAGATCTCATTAAAAAGATGGATGCAGAATGGCATTTTGTTTATAACAATTTATAATAATAATTACATTAAATTATCATTATTTGATTTCTCCACAATCAGCTATAACAATACTAACTTTTGGCTTGTCCTAATCTGTTTCAATCTTCTCAATTACATCAAGCAACTCAATACCCTTAGTTATTTTACCAAATACAACATGTTTTCCTATAATTTAGCTTTATTTATTTACCATCAAGCCAAGGAGTGTCCTTAAAAAGAATGAAAAATTGGCTTCCATTTGTATTTACACCAGCATTAGCCATACTCAAATATCCTCTTCCAGTGTGTTTATGAGTAAAGTTCTCATCTGCAAACTTCTCTCCATAAATGCTTTCACCACCAGTGCCATCTTAAATATAATAATATTCTTTACTTCCTTAAGTGAAATCTCCTCCTTAAATCATGAAATCCTTAATCAATCTATGAAATTCGCAACCCTTATAATGCAAAGGCTTTCCTGCTTTGCCAATACCCTTCTCACCTGTACAAAGAGCCCTGAAATTCTCCACTGTCTTGGGACAAGATTTCTTGAATAAAGTGAATTCCATTCTTTTTGGTTCGTCATCTCCGATTTTGATATCAAAGTATGTTGTTACGTTGCTTGGATCACTTTCTTATAAAGAAATAGGAGTTGCCTCTTCTTCGTAGTATGATTATTAAAATAACTTTCCATAAATGTCCTTCTCTTTTTTTTTGGACAAATTTATCTTGTTTTGTACTTCATGCATTTCCTCAATAACTGCTTAATTATTTGGATCAATAGCATAAGCAGCCTTTAAGTCATTCTTTGCTTCTGTGTAATCAGCTAAAGAACTATGTGCAATGGCTCTTCTATAATATGCCTTAACTAATTAAGCATTGTTTGGTTTATCTTAAATAACCTTTGTTGCATGATCTAGAGATTCTTTGTAATCTTTTGTATAATAATAGCAAAGACTAAGGTTTAAATGTGAAGCCAATTTTTATTCCTTAGCAAATTCTGTTTCTGCTTCAAAATAGCTGACAGCCTCAAGATATTATTTAATGGCTTCAGGATAGTTCTTTGCCTTAAATGCAGTGGTTCCCAATTCTTTGAATCGCTTAGCTTCATTAGTCTTTTCTTCATCACTCAATTCCCTAATATTATTTTAATCATTTATACCATTTTTACTTCTATTTCTCTTTGAAATCCACTAATTGGACATCAAAAATAAGAGTAGCTCCACCTGGTATTTTAGGAGGACTTCCTTATTATCCATATCCATATTCTGATTTAATTTTTAATTGCGCCTTTTCACCCTTTTTCATCGAGGCAACACCAACATCCCATCCTTTGATGACCTCCTCCTCGCCTAATGTGAAACTAAAAGGATCCTTTCCTTCGTTTGAATCAAATACTGTGCCATCCTCCAATTTTCCAGTATAGAACATCTAAGATTTATAAATTTTGGATACCTCGCATACATTTCCTTTTTAGGGTAAATCTCCTTGGCCTTCCTCAAGAATCAGCTTTTAGATTCCTCCGTCTTCTTTTAGACTTATGTATTCTGCCATGTCTATTAGAAATTTCTAGAAAAAATAAAATAATTATTAATATACACATAGAACACTACAATTAAATTAGTTCATGAACAACAATTAAATGCAATATTTTGCTAATATATATTCGAATCAAATTTATAAAGTCAAATTAATCCATTTTTAAATCCCATTCTATCATGAATAGGAATACTCAACAAAACGTTGAGTATGTCAATAAGTACCATTACAAATGGATTATAAAAACTAGTTAAATTTGTTTATATAAAATTTTATTTCATCTATTAATTTTTTTTAAGCATAATTTATTTCTTTATAAATAAATCTTAGTCATGAGAATATAAAGGTAAATGGGTTTGGGGTTTCTCAATTTCTTATTGATTATTTATAATTTTGATTGTAGAGTTATTCTTATAAAAAAACCTCAACAAATTTAGATTCCAGTTAATTTTTCGTAGGTTTATATATATATTTCTTCATAAAATTTTGAATCAATTTCAAACCGAATGTAGACTGTAAATTTAACAATTTATTTGTACTTGTTTTATTATTAATAAGCTCAATGTATTATTAAATATCTTTAGTATTACATACTTGTATGGGTTGACCAATTCAAAAATAGCAATAATATAAATTATATAAATAGCAATTAAATCATGAGCAAGCCTGGAATTGGACTGAACTCACTTCACATAGTTTTTATTCAGAAATCCTTTGGTGATATTGACTAAGAGGAAAGCACAAAAGGATACTCTGAGAGAACTTTGCTAGAGAATAAAGTGCGATTTGCTGATGACATTTTGATTTGCTTTTTTAATCAATAGGAGAAGGTAACTTAAATCAATGAGGGGAAGAAAAAAACCGTAAAAGAATTTTTAAAATGAAAGTTCCTCATGGAGTGAATTTATAATATTCTCTATATTCTATTCTCATTACTCATTAACTATCTTTGTTGAAAAAAAAAATGGAATTTAATATTTTAAACTTAAATATTTCACATTAACAAAAGCTTTCTTCTCTGATCATCGGTCAATTGATTCCACTCCTGAGCGTTGATTCGAATTTCCTTTAGGTCGTATTTTTTAGCAGCCCCTTCAAGAATCCATTTATTAAAATGATGAAAACCAGTGTAATGTTTCTTGATAAAGACAATTATGTACCATATCATACGTTACATATAATGAATTATCGACCGATATGATTTGATTCCTCATTTAAATATAGAAATCAACATATTGAGTGTCAAGGAAATAATTTACTTTATACTCCACCTAGCATTTATCAAGGAATAGCATTAAGTTTTTGAATTACTAAGTTAATTTTTAATTTGGAATAAATTTGGTATTAACTACTTTTTTAGCATTATCAACAATTTATTTGCCTAACTATAATTGCTTTGGATTTAATTCTTTAAAAATAAATTAAACATAATTACATAATTCTAAATGTTAACTAAACTCTAGCAGATTGTAGATATCCATAAATTGTCGAAAAACAACGGGCAATTTAGAGTTCGCAGGGAAGGTCGGAAACTTTTACACTCTAAATTACATTATTTTATACATACTCATGCATAAGATAAGAAATCAATTTCTCATATCTATAGTAGTAATCCCTATTCAATTATTTCTTGAAGTATTATAAATTAATCAAAACACTCCATAGAGTCTATACAAAGATTACGAGGTTGGCTTAAATTCTTTATTCCTTTTACAACTTATCCAAAATATTCAACATCAATGATTCATTAAAATAACCAACCTTGGCATGAGAGTTTAGAATCTCTGTCAATTCAAAAGGACTATAATATTACAACTTCCTTGAGATTTGTCTACTCAGAGCATCAAACAAGGATTCAACATAGATTTTTTATTCAGATAAATTTTGTGTGACTTCGACAATTTAGACTTATTTTAAGTTGTCTATCTGTTTCTTGATGTAATCAGTTAAGACTTGGATGGTATCATCATTATTTACTTTGATTTTCTTAGCAAATTCAATATAATCCAAACAAATTGAAATCTGAGGTATTTAGTGGTTTCTTAAATCATGACATTTTGAAAACATCTTCTTAAACAATTAATCATAACTCTTTATAAACTGATATTTTGAATCAGACTATCCAATAGTCCTCAGGATAGCCTTCAAGCCTGGTCTCAAGTTATTCATAGTCAATAGATGATCTAAATTATCGAAATATGTTTCTATGAAGTCTTACAAACCATCATCGTATTCGTTTTTCAAATTGTTATATCTCCAACCATCATATTCCAACAACAGCATCAAACCATCCAAATAATGCTCTTTTGAGTTGTTTAGATCAAATTTGGTAATCTCTTATTTTAATTAATCAATCATGAATTTCAATGACACTTCATCTGATTTCTGACGTAGTTTTGCTTAATTTTTCATTTAATACAATAGAACTTTAGTTTTCATTATAATGGCCTCATAGGTCTCTATCTCAACTGCAAGTGCCAAATTTAAGAAATCGTTAATAACGGCAATACTCTGGAATTGATGAATATTAGCCTCTGTGATAATAGCTGCCACTTATAACTTCTCCAAGTCACTCAAACTGTCTACTTATTTAGACAGTCTTTAACAAATATTGTTAATTAAATTAGTTTTCAATTCCAATTGAGTCATTTATTCGTTAAATTTAATAAGCATACCTATATTGATTTCTATGTTCTTTTGAGACTAATAGACTTGCTTTGTGAATAATTCAATCAATTCTCTTATAGTTTGCAGGACTGTCCCTCTCATATTATGAAGTGAGTGATAAGGACAGTTGAGAAGGAATGTAAACAACAGGTTTAAGGATGAGTTAATATTGAAGGAGTCATCAATAATGCTTTTATCAGTTAAAACTAAAAACCATTTTGCTATTTGTTTTACTAATTTGTCATTTAAGAAATCAATAGTATTAATATCGTTAATGATTCTTTATAATTAATCAAAAGATGGAAGCATCTGCTCACTCCTATTTCTGATTTCTGAATTGAAGTGAGATTTGCTATTTAATCTCAAAATAAAAGTTTAAAAGTAGGAGTCAGGTAAGGATTCCAGTTTGATATGTCTATCAATAAATTCATAGAAAGGATCTTCTGAATAAGGATCTAAAGAGATGATTAAGGATGAGATCTTCAATTTTAGATCGTAATCTAATTTTTCTACTTTATCTAAAAATGATTCTACGCATGCTTAAATATTTTCCTATTGCTAAACCGATTTATAACTGTTAATCTACTTATGACAATTATGTAATTATTCAATAATTTTGAGAAGAGAACTATCATTAATCTAATTCAAATCTAAGATTTCATCTAATCTATTTTATTTTATTAGCACTTTTATAAAATCTGCCTTCTATTTCATACTAAAATTATTCATGTTCCTTTTTAGATTCTTGATACATAAATTTATTCTATCTAGGTTTTACTCTCCGAATTCAACATCAAGAAATCTTATCAATAAGACAGTCTCTGTGATATCTTCAAAATTAATCTTATTTAATAACACCTGTAGAACTTCATTTGATGGTTAATTTTATTCTTTTTGCAGTTTTAGAAAGACGTATAATTTCAATTGGTTTGCACTAGTCAAGTTATCAGATTCAAAGGATTGATATAATTTTTAATACAAATCAACTGGGAATGATTCTGGAAGTTCAGAATAGGCTTCCAAGAGCTTCAACTTAGAGTACTAAGAGATTTTATCAAAGTTTTCGATGAACTTTTCCTAAAGTTTGTACATGATTTCTGGAAGTCTTCTCTATGATGTATTTTGATCCAGTTGCATTCGAGCTAGTTAATTAAATACTGCAACTAAGCCATGAAAATTGATATTATCTATAAGGTTAACCAATTGTTGACATGCTTAATAGGCCAAATCGGAATGATAATGTTATTTGAGAGTGCTGTGCTCAATGTAACAACCTCTTATGATTTGGCATAAAGGGTGAGCCGTAAAGGTTTAAGTAGCCAAATAGTGCTTGAGTATCTTAGCAATGTGTGCCATCTTCCACCCTTATTTGGAGTAGAATGAAAACACATATGGCAATTGTAGGTATGTATAGTTTTTCAAATTCTAATCAATGTGTCGTTTTATTTAAGTGCAATAGGATTTATTGGACAACTTTAAGAATAGCTGAATGATCGTAACACTTTGTTCTGAACTCAATTTATCGAAATTAGGAATAATTTTTTCTTAGATAAATGCATCTAACTAGGAGTCTTGAGAAACTTATTTGTGTTAAACTATATTCATCAATTAAAATGCAGCAAAATGAATCTATTCATATGATAAGTTATTCTCATTGAAAGCCTTAATGACATCTTCGGTTGTTTATGCATTCACAAAATGTTAATACACTTCAAATTTAGTAAGTAGAGCTTTAGACTCAGAGTCAGATTCCCCATCAGAGAAATATTCCTATTCCTTAGAAACTGACTATTAGGAGAAGCATGCTATACTCCTTTTAAATAATCTTAATGAGAACTTTGATGTGATTAGAAATTTAAGCATAAATAAAATTTTATATTTAAATTATTAATAACTAATTGTATTAAAGGCGGTTGCTACTTTCATTGCAATTATTGGTGTGTATTTATTACAATCTTGGAGATTGACTTGTCTATAAACAATGAAGTTTAATAGAGATTCTTTTAAATGAAATGAAATTTACGATTATTTGATCATCAAGATTTTGTTTTCACTTATAAGGAGGATTGACTCAAATTACCAGTATAAACGATTACTTGAAATCGATAAATTGATTTACTGAATTCGATTATATATCTGTGATAATCTATTTAAATTTAGAATAAGAAAAATCTCAAAGTTTTTCTACTCGTTCAATTTATTTCTCTAAATTTTAAAAAAGAGCCTTAGGTGGTATAAGTTATTTATTATGTGTTATTATATTCCTCTTAAGGAAAGCTCACATAATTAAATGAGATTTAGATTCTATAGTTCTCTTAATAATTTTCAATTTTACTATAACAAATAGGGAGTAATTGCTCTTAATTTTAATGGAATCCATGATATTGGGTATTATTGGGAGGATATATGTCTCTGCGAAAGAGGGATTGAAAAAATCAATTACTTAGAAAGAAGAATTGATTATGAAGGGAATCTAGTTATAACGATGTTGTTTGTGGAGAGTATAAAGAATGAGATGATTATATTCAAATAATAATAAAAATTTTTATTATCAAAATATGATAAAAAACCCTAATCCTTTGAATGTGAATGAACCAAAATTAGGAATTCAAATCACTCAACGTAAGATGCTCGCAGAAGTAGTGAATAACAAGACTGTTGAGAATGCGAAGATAACTGATATTTGTTTTAACAACCAGAAATATAAAACTCAGTTAGCGAGCATAGATATTTCTGGAGTCTTAAAAATATGGGATGTTGCATAAAATAGATTGATTCAATAATTTCATGCTTCGAACATGTGGCTAACAACAGTAGATGTAGAAAAGCAAGAAGGGAAAAAGGTAGCTTGTGGAACGTTAGACGGGAAGGTCTTAGTTTATGAGTAAGTATTCTAAAGTAATAAAAAGAATAAATCAAAGTAACAAAAAGGGCAAGAGTTTCAGCAAAGATAAGCCCAACATAGAACTGTTTGGCCACTCAGGTTCAATCCAATGTGTTTAGTTTCTTAGTCCATAATATATAATTGTATAGAATAATAATTTATATAGGCAGGATCAACAGATTCCTTGGTATCATTGTGGGACCTGGAGAACCCTCAGAGATACTTAGCCATCCATCAGCAACACACTGGAGATGTGTTATCCTTGCATGCCTACGAAAACGATAGCAATATTTTTATCTCTGGTTCCAGCGATTTGACATGTAAAATCTGGGATATCAGAGTGAAAAAACCCGTATAGGCTGAATACAAAGGTAACACGCAACATATTAAACCATAGGCCATGAGTCCGCAGTCAACACAGTGAAGTTCATCCAGATGCCTTAACCAACAACGTTTGTGACTGGGAGTGATGATGCCTCCATAAACTTGTGGGACTTGAGAATGAAAGATCCGATAGTATCATTTCAGGATAGTTGTTACTATGATTCGATTTACTCGATTGCCATTTCATTGAGTGGAAGATACATATTCGCAGCTAGTGAAAATTCGACCTTGAAGGTTTTTGATGTTTTGGGAGATACCGATATTTACACTAATTTAGATGTTGGTCTTTAGTAAAATGATGGGCTAATCAAATCCATCGATATTTCAGCCGATGGGTATGCCTTGGGAATGGCCTTAGGAACTAAAAGCAATCATAAGGATTTATTAGTGATTATGTGATTATATCAATTATATCGAATTAGTTATAATATAAGATAAAGACTATACAAATTGCAAATTGACTTATAAATTCATTAATATGTTTTTTGTAATTTACTTAACGGCAGTGGCCTATGCAGTGGTGTATGCTATATCCCTTAACATCTAGAAATCCAACAAAATTTGGATATGATTCTAAAGACAATATCTGTCCTTTAGGAATTGCTGATTGTTCCCCAAAATAATACATTCCATGCGAATTCGGTTACTTCCTCTATGTCGATGCTTTGAATTAGATCAACTGTTTGCCATGGTATTTAGAAGTTATCTAGTTAGTCCTTATTTTTTGTATTAAGACTCTTTGAATATTTTATGTGGTGATTGTTTGGAGGATCCCTATAATTGGTAATCCTCTAGGGCTTGCACTTATAACTACCGAATCCAAACAGGGTCTCCAGAAGATGTGTATTTGAGAGAAAACGTCTAGAAAACCATATTTTATATATAGGAGAAGCCAACTTAAATTGTAAATCCAAAAAGACCTGTGACATTCAAATATGAGCTTTCAATTTGTGAAGGATGCAGTGTCTTCTGTACTTTGAATACAAATCAAGATGAAGGTGATGAAGGTGATGAAGGCGATGAGAACAACGATGAGAACAACGATGAGAATAATGACGAGAATAATGATGAGGGAGATGAGGGAGATGAAGGTCTATCATGTTTTGACAATAATTAATAGGATAACTTATTCAATGGGATATTGTGTTTGGATCATTACTATTATGAAAATTTCGAATGTCGAGAATGTCAACCAAATTGTAAAACTTGTACTTCCTCATCATGCCAAGCTTGCAATGACGGATTTTATTTGAATGATTAATCGTTATGTTAAATGTGTCAACCTGGTTGCATAAAATGTGAGTATTCTGATTCAATGTTGTTATGTCTATAATGTTCAAAAACAAATACAGAATACCTGGTTGAAAGCACTGATTTTCAGAATTGCAACACTTGTGGAAATTAATGTGCAAGATGTGAATACATATCATATGATAATTATGAGGAATATGGCTACTTAGAATATGGAACAAGAGATTAGTACTTTGATCCATATTATAACTACTTATTGAGATGTAGACAGTGTGTTTCAAATTCACAATTCATCTCTTATGATGGAGAAACTTGTGAAGACTGCTCAATCAAAAATTGTCAGATTTGTTACTATGAATTAGATGATAAGGGTCATACAACTTTAGAATATGATTTCATTCCAAAAGCCAATCCAAAATCATAAATGTTATGTCATATATGCTCAGCTGGTTATTATAGAAACAAAGAGAAAACTGAGTGTAATGAAATTCTTGATCCTCCTCCCTCCACTTGTAGTTCTTTTAATAAAGATCCTGATGGCTCTAATGCTTCTGACGATAAATGCACATTTTGTGATGATAAAATCTTAGATTTATCAGATCCAGCTTCACCTTGGTGTCCATCCAAAATGTGTTCTAAAATCATAAAGAACTGTGAAAAATGCTTCATCCAAAAACGACCTGAAAACGAAGATTCCACCATGTCTTTTTGTACTAAATGTGCATATGGCTATTATCCTGATGTATTTTCAGGTAAGTGTGTAGCATGTCCAGTTAATTGTAAGACATGTTGGTAATACACTCCAAGTTATAATTTTACATCCTATTTATAAAATTACAATGTTATCACCTAAGATGACTTCTCCTTATTCATACTTGAACCATAATAAGATGCCAAATGCACTTAATGTTTAGAAGGATTCTCCCTCTATGATAATTAATGTATGGGATGTACCAGCAATTGTAAGAATTGCTATGAAGATGATGAAAAAGCCTTCTGTTACAATTGTGGCAATATTAATTAGCAATCAATTCTTGCTGATATGAGTGAATGTTAAGAGTGTCCAAATTATTGTGCAGCTTGTAGAGATAGATTAGACTCTGACCCCACTGTCAATAGATACTTTAATCCAGTAAGTGAAATACTCAACAAATACAGTAGAATGTGTTATAAGTTGGGTAAAGATGCTGAATCTGCCTGTGTATTTCTTGATAATAAAATTGGTGTACCTGTTAAATGTGATATTGCTGAGTGTCCAGCTACCAAATAGTATAAGTGTTTCAATTCAGACCAGGTAGACTTAGAATTCAATTGTGATACAGACTTAGAAAAATATAATTCTGCTAAAACTAAGGTTTCAGTCATCACTTTTTAGAATGTTGACTCCTTCCAATAATATCAAGATTACAATGATAAAACGATTAAGGTATTGACAATCAACATGAAATTGACTGGCGACGTATGTCAATTCAAAAAGGAAACCTAGTTTCAGTTTTCTTTTCGTTAAAATGTATTCTCCTTACAGACAGTTATATTAAATATCAATCAGGATCGATTGGATTAACAGGATTGGAAAGTAGCTGGATTGATTACTTTTAAGGGAGTATCTTAGGTTAATTTGAATAAAATTAAAATTGAATACTTAAAGGATGGAAAAAATGCTGCTAAAGAGTTTGGGTTTTATTTAAAAAGCGAAGACGAATCCCAATTAATTCTTAACGATATTGAATTTGTGAAGGAGAAATACAAAAATCAGAAACTCCTTATTATTGCTGAAAATCCTGTCAATTTCACTATGTCCAATGTTAAAATCAGGAATATAGAAACAAAAGATCAAGTAGTCTTATTCAATTACTCATTGCGCTCTCTCAGTTATCAAGATATTAAATTGAGCAATGTAGAATTGACTGATTGCAATTACAACTTTTCAAGTATAATCACCTTTTCTAATCTCGCTTCCTCCTTGTTCTTGAAAATAAGCAATCTGAAAATCGCTTCGGGCAATTTTATAAGTTCATCAATCATTAAGTCTGCCTTTCAAACTAATAGCCTGTACTACCAGATCGACAAATTGATTTTGATGTTCAATTACTTTTCAAATAGTACTCTATTTCAATTGTCTAACCTGCAAACATCATAACAATTTTCAAATGTGGATATCCTCTATAATCGCTTTGTTAATAGTAGGGCGTTTCTAATGAATTCATTCCAGTTTTCTTCGTTTTACTTTGACAACAACATACTCCAAAACAACTCAGTTATATTTTAGACTGTCAAGGAGATGAAAACCAATGATTAATTATAGAGTTCACTGTTGGAGTACAAACTAGATAAAATCAAGATTGTCAACTCTAATTGCTATTCAATAAATTGCCTGATGATCATGAGTACTCCAATAAACACATATTCTATAACCTCAATGCTCACTATAAGCAACTTATAAATCACCAATATTGGGTTATCTGATATCAGTTAATAAAATACTTTTCTGACAACATCAGCATTAATAAGTTGGAATACATTCTCAGATGTCAAACTATCGAATGCTCAATTCGATAATGTGTAAGGATTAACAATATTCTACATTTCTACAATCAAGTCCTTAACAATTACCACATTAAAATACGATTGGAGTCAAACCAATTATTACAAATAACAAGTAAGTCCAATTAATAATCTAATCCCTACAACAACAGACTGTTCGGATCGCAAAGTTACAGCTACCTCATTCTCCTACATATTGTTCTTTATCTATCAATTTTCAAGTTCAGTCTCAATTTCTGATGTTTTGGTGCAAAGACAATTATTTATAGATGCTTCAATATTCTACATTCAATCATACGATGTAGCCTATTAAAACACTACAAATGGTAACACAGTCGAGAGCATTAACTTATCTGGATTCCAAATATTCAACAATTCCTTGGTGTCCACTAAAAAAGGTTTGTTTTCTGGTTGCCTAACGATCTAATCCAATCAAATTTAGATGATCACTATGGATAATCTAAACTTTCAGAGTAATCATCTCTAATAGCTCATATCCAAATAGACCATAGTCATAGTCACTCTCTTCGAAATATCATCTCCAAGATCAACTGTTCAGATGACCAACTTTTTGTCAGAATACAACAGAGCCATCAAGAGTGATTACGGTTTAATTAAAATCGATTGTCTTAAAATAGTGATCAACAATGCAACATTTAGATACACCAATATAATAGATAGATAATGGGTGAAGAGAGTTGAACCTAATCTCATTATTACAGACGATGACATAAACTCATTCTTTGAAGTAAAGTCATACGGAACAATAATGGACTTGACAACTACCGTAGCCTCGATTTCTCAGGTTTTCATCAATTATACATATGGAATCTAGGCTGGGATAAAATTAACAACAATTGGAATATCGAATGTTAAAATCACGAATTCCTAATTAAAAAATATCTTCAGTAGTTTAGAATTGAAACACTCATCCATAGGAGGAAGCTTCTATATTGATTCGAGTTTGTCAGATCTGACTTGTCTCATTTCAAATTTAAGTATTGTCATCAGCAGAGTCAGATAAACTGGGGGTTGTATCTACGTGTTGGCTTCAAATAAAAACTAAAATATCACAATTCAAAATTCTTATTTCGAGTAATGTTAAGCCTTGGATACTTCATTTATGAGAGTGGATTTCTTGGCAGATGCTTCCTTCCAATAGGTGTCATTAGAAGAAGTGAGTGTAATTGATAATAGTATCGACAAATTGATTAGCGTGACTCCTTAGATCTAAGTATTTGAATACTTATACTTTTTGCAAACCAGCAGTGTCTATACATAAACAAGTGGCAGATTGATAATTGGAGATTCATTGTTTCAGTAAATCAATTATACATCTGCCTTGTAATTGAATCAGATTAAATTATTGTACATCAATAAATTATCTATATTGAAGGGATTCCTATTTTACAATCCTTTGCTCTCTTTAAGCTTATTGCAATCAGGTGGATAAGCATACATAGGTAATTTGGACATCATTGAGTTCTAGGAAACCGCATACACATTCACTACTCAATATAATTGTTCTTCCTTAACTCCTCCATCATTTTCGTATATCATCCCAGAGTAAAATTGCGATTAGATAATATCACTTCAAGACTAATTGGATGAACTAAATGATGATGACGAAATCTATGAATACTATGATGAAAGTTTAGAAGATAAGTACAAGAAATTGAGTCCAAGTAGTAAATATGTTCCTGCATATATTTCAATAGCGAAGTTGGATAAAATATCTGATATAATAAGTGTAGTGATCACTCTGAATTCACAACTAGTGAGTTGCATAATGAACAGCATTTTGTATTTAAGTAAACAACTGAACTTGGATAACTTTTCATCTCTGTTTTATGTATCAGAAGTTAATGATAATCACATAATTCAAATTAAGAAAATACAATTGGTTTAAAACAAATGCTTATAATGTAGAGGAGGGTTGTTCCAAATAAGGAGTGTGTCTGACACAAACACGAAAGAGTTGATATCTATTACGGAATTCTTTTGTTAATATAACACAGTTGGGTATTACGGTTGCGCATCACTTTTATTTGAAGACGTCATTCAAGATGTTACATTGCTGTCTGAAATCATTGATGAAAGCATTCAACAATCCAGACTTCTATAAGCATCCGATGTTTCATCTTTAAATCACACTATACTTATTTCCAGTTATGAATGTAATAATAATTTGGCCAGAGCTGGAGCTTGTTTAAATCTGAGAGGTGTTACTGCAATAGTGCAAGAAAGCCAATTCAGTAGTAACAATGCATCTCTGGTTGGAGGAGCTATCTATTTTGAAAATCTAGGTTCTAATAACATGTACTTGCAGAATAATTAATTTGTTAACAATTAAGCTTAAATTGGAGGGGCTATCTATTTATTGAATTATCAACTAAGTAATACTGATAAGTTGGGCTTAAGTTTCGATAAAAACTCAGCAGATGATGGAGGAACTGACATTTAGGAACTCACGATATACCAAACATTGCAATTAATCGATATTCCTTTTGAATGTGCCACTTATATGGGATAGGATGGAGATGAAACCGATGATGGAGCTATCGATAATACTAGTATTGTAATCAAGGACAATATTACTTTGGAATATCATAAGATTGGTAATTATCCACAAGCAACCAATCTCTTGATTTTACCATCAGGTCAAAGAATCTCAAAGTACATGTACTTTTATGAGGTTACACAAGAATAAGTCCCTTTTGAATGGGTGTTTAGAATTATCAATCTGAATAGATTCGGAGATGTTGTAAGGAACAGTAAACCAGATGAGAGTTGTGTGATAGATGGCAGAATTTAGAATTAGTCATCTTACAATGATCTTTTGTCATTTAGCAATAATTTCACTATTCCAACCAAAGTGAACTACAATCCAGATAAAGGAGGATATGATATGGATGATTTGATTCTCATTTTCGATCCCTAAGCTCCATCTGATTTGTATTTGGAACTTCGATTCACATGCAATTCTGTTTAATTACCCATTTACAATACAAAACCACCTTATGAAATTCTTGGATTCAATAAGAATTATGAATTGTATGCTAGAATACGTACATTCCCATGTTAAATTGGTGAAGCCTACGATTCTTAGCAATGTAAAGCATGTCAAAAATCAGATCTTGCCTATTCTGTTGAGATAGACTCTGTATAATGCAAATAAATGAACAGACTAACCATGAGAACAGTCTCACCAACTGGTATCAATTTGATCCAAGGCTATTGGAGACCCGTCTTTTCTAATGATCAGGTTGAATATTGTGTAAATCTACCCAATAATTGCAATGGAGGTTGGATTCCTGGTAACCCCTCTTGTTATACTGGCCATAATGGAGCATTGTGTGAATCCTGTGATATATACATGATTCAAAATGAAGAGAGATGGGCTCCCTCTGATCCTTACAAATGTGGATTGTGCAAGGATTCAGAGAAGTACAATTTGATCATCATCATTGCAATCTCTGTTTTGACCATGGTCTCAACCATCATGTCAGTCAAGGGCACCTTCGAAGCTCTCCAACTTCAAATTGTGGAGGATATTATCAAAATGTTTGGCAGAAGACTTAAATCAGATTCTTCCAACTTAGCCACCATGGTCCAAACACTCACCAACTATTTCCAAATCGTGCAAATCGTAATGACCTTCCAATTATAAATACCAAATGGTGTAGATACTGCTACCAAAACAGCTGGTAATCCCACTGGCTCCATGGCCTATTCACTTGATTGTCTACTAATCAAAATATCAGACATTGAATTGCTCTACTTTAAGATGGTCTGGGCTTTGGTTATGCCCTTGTGTTATTTGGGTGCTATCATTTTGGGATACCTCATTATATGTATCATCGGAGTCACCAAATTCTCATAGTCCATTATATACACTGCCTTGATTTACATGTTCTTATACATGCATCCTACTCTTGTACAAGGCTTCATCTCTTAGGCTTCCATCAGAACTATCAGTGGTCTGCCATGGGTCAAAGCAGATGTTGGATATAGATATGATAGTGAGCTCCACAGTTATTGGATGGCTCGCTTTATTGGACCTATGCTCATCATTTGGGTCATTGCATTGCCTGGGTTATTTATGTTTTTGGTTTGGCTTAAAAGACATAAACTTGATCTGAAGCAAACCAAAATGACCCTTGGTTATTTCTATAGAGAATACTCTAAGGATAGTTACCTTTGGGAATTTGTTAAGATCTTTTAAAAAGAATTCTTTGTTATCATATTGGTCTACTACGAAGAATATGTTATCATAAAAGGCTTACTGATAGTTTTAGTGCTCTTTATTTATGGATGGTACCAAGTCTCTGTTAGTCCCTACGGTAGTAAAAAATTAAATGAAATTGATCGCTACTCTACCATGGTGTGTGCAGCTACTCTTTGTTTGGGTGTCTTAATGTACGGAGCTCAACTTAAAGATTATTACTATCTTTAGGTCATCATCCTAATCATCTTAGCATTACTCAACCTCTGGTTTATTATCATGTGCATTCTACAAATATTCTAGGGCTACCTAATCCAATTCTAAGTAATTTTATATTATTACTCATAGGACTAATTGGATATGATTAGAGAAAAGCTTCTCAAATCCAAGCCGGAATTAAAAGAGAAAAGAGGATTTATTGGGAAGCTGCTCATCCATAGAGGAAATATGAATAAGAGAGTCAAATCATTGTGGGAATTACTAAAATCAAGAACTATTGCAGCTGTTAAGATTACCAAACTATCTCAAGATATTTAATTTGAGGATGCTTTTGAATACGTGAGTTAAAATAAGATTGAGCCAACCCAAGTTTGCAAAGTTTCATCAAAAAAACAATTTGAATAACTAAATAGTCACGAAAATTATTGAACTATTTTAAAGATATTTATATCAATAGAATTATTATGTTGTATTTATAGTTAGTATTACATATATATTCTCTTAATTTAAAGAATGTCTTGATAATATGAATTTCATCTGGCTTAAAAAAATCAATAAATAATTGTTCCTATATTTTGGTATAATAAATAAACCAGAAAATAATAAATTAATTTAAATCTTTATCCGAATCTATAATCATCAATAACGAATTGGCCTAATCCTCTTTTTAGAAGATCGTTATCCTTCTTGAGCATAACATATTGGGCTGTCTATGATTGTTTCGATTGTCAATTTGGATCTCTGAGCTTCTATTTGTGCCATCTGGAAATTTGATTAAAAAAACACAAATTTTACAATTATCCTTTGATTATTTTTAATTAAACAGTATATTTGCCACAATATTAAAATGTATAATAGTATATAAGTTTTAGGAAGTTCTTGAGTGACAAAGAAAAGTAAATATTGGTTCAATATGTAGCGGAAAAAAGAAGACAAAGAAAAATCAGAACTAAAAGATGGAGTAGGAGGGGAATCGAGAAGAAATTATTTATCATGTATTTATTTGATTTTTACATTAGAATCTCTATTTTCCATATAACAAAGTGCATTGTGACAACTGCGAAAAAGATATCACAAAATAGGCACGAATTCTGTGCAACGACTGTCCAAATGCGATAGATATTTGCATGAATTGCTTTTTAAACCTCTAAGAATTTGGTATGGTTACTTCTTATATTGCAGAATCTCACTTAATTAGTCATTCCTACTCTATAATAAATAAATTAAATTTTCCCATTTTTGTAGAGGATTGGACAGCTGAAGAAGAATTATTGTTGCTGGAAGGATTGGAGAAGAAGGGATTTGGTAATTGGCAAGACATAGCTGAAATGCTTGGTGGAGAAAAAGCACAGGAAGAAATTGCACAACATTATGATGATATAATTTTAAGTGGGAAATTTAGAAATGTTTGTTTTTATATAATTTATATATTTTTAGATGCCACTATTATCCAAAAGAAATTAAGATACTCTTGAACTAATTAAGCCAAAAAGAGCATAAACAGCTCCCAAAAGAATAAAGGACGAGCAAAATATAACCAAAACTGGTCGATTAACACCCAACATGTCTTCTTAGAGTGGTTAGGAAATAGTAGGATTTATGCCCAAAAGAGGAGACTTCGATATTGAATTCGATAATGATGCAGAACTCTTGTTGGCTGAAATGGAATTCAATGATGATGACAAACCATATGAAATTGAAATGAAATTAAAAGTCCTCGATATTTACAATATAAGATTGGACGAAAGAATCAAAAGAAAGAAGTTCGTTATTGAGAGAGACTTGCTCAATCTAAAGAAACAGAATATCTAGGATAAATCTAGATCAAAAGAGGAGAAGGAATTGCATAACTTAATGAAACCATTTGCAAGATTCAACAAACCAGAAGATCACGAAAGATTAGTTCAGAATCTGATCAAGGAAAAGTAACTTAGAGCTAAGATCGAGGAGTTGAGGTACTATAGGAAATTAGGGATGAAGACTTTTGAAGAGGTTGAGGAGTATTTGGCTGATAAGAGAAAGCGGGATGAACAATATCAAAGGAGATAAAAACAAAATGATTCATTTGTTTATGACTCATAAAAATAAAGGTTTATGCAAAGAAGAACCAGGTTCATTCCGTTGATGGAAGGAAGAGATAAGCATAAGTCGGGGCCATCATTTTGCGAAGAAGAATATTAATTGTGTCAAAAATTAGGATTAACTGAATAAGAATATTTGATACTCAAAGAGGTACTTGTGAGGGAATCAGTCAAAAATGGAATCATCAAGAAGGATTAGGCACTACAAAACTTCAAGCTAGACAAAGAACGTGTCACAGGAGTTTTTGATTACTTGGTTGTTAAAGGTTTAATACATGAGAAGGAATGATATATAAATTAAATCAATAATATCACATTCAAAAAAAGTTATGGATTAAAAATTTAGGTTTTGTATGTAAAAATTATAAATATTATATACAATTTATGCATAGTCTTAATAGCGTACATCTAGATAATATCAATACAGTCGGCTAATAAGATACATCTATCTGCAAAAATCTCCCAGTAAACAATGAGTGCGACTCCTCATCAATTATCTTACTTAAGAAAATGGAAGCTCCGAGTCCTGATATTCCTGGTTTCAATTAAGCAGTTTTCAAACCCTTTCAAAAATTAATCATTTACTATCATATTGGATTGTTTGTTCGAAAACTATTGAAGTATATTAAACCAGATCAATCATTTAAACCCAAACATTACTACCTCATTAATGACAAAAGTTCGGGCAACATCAAAGATTTTATCAGTTATGCTGGCAAAGCTAAATAGACGGTTATGCAATATCCGAGTCTTGACGAGGTCAATTTCTTTGTAAGATTGCGATACGAATACAGATAAGGTCTGGTAAATTGTCAACAAAAAATATTGTACTTATTTGAATAGATACCCTTGATAGATCCATCATTTAAAATCAAAATCATTTGGGATCTCCTCCTAAATGTCTTCAGGATCTACCTTATGTATATTATTCCCATCATCATTACATTCGAATAACTGATTGAAGACTACGATTATATTATTATCATCTCCTAGATTGTGTTTGCTATTGATTTACTATTACGAAACATCACTATCTATTATGATTAGGGTCTGCCTGTCGTTGATCGTTATTAAATAGTAAAAAACCAATATCATGTTACCAACCTAATTGAATTGATGGAAATTTGCCTGCTTTTTGCTATGGCCTATTTCAAATTCGATTTTAATCACTAATTCATATTGTTTGGGGGTTGGCCTAAGTTATGGATGCTCTCATATTTTATTCAGTTAAAAAATCTATTAAATTTTATAGGATCATGGCAGCAATCCTTCTTAATGGGTTAATTAGCATCATCATTAATTGAGTTGTTTAAATTGATAGGCTTGTTGCTTATAATATAGCATATTTTTAGTTGCATATGGTTGATCATTGGAAAATATCATCTTCTTATGGGAAATTCAAATTGGATTACCTTTTTCAACTTGGAACACATCTCATGGACAGATCTATACATAGAATCAATGTATTACACTAGTGTAACTATGTACACTGTGGGATATGGTGATCTCCATCCAATAAGTAATTATTGACAATTTATTTTAGATATCTCTGAAAAAATGTTTGCCTTTTTATTTGTATTTGTTTGTACATTTTAACTGTCCTTCAGTTTAAATACAATTGGAGAAATTTTAACAAGAATGAAAAACAACAACGATATAATTAATAAAAAGTTAATCTTCATTAATTAATACATGCATAATAAAAAGATTAGTCACCAATTACAGTTTTAAGTAAGGGAGTATCTAAATTATTATTGGTATCAAGAGTAAACATAATAAACTAAGGAATAAACGGAAATTCTAAGTTAATTATCAGATGATCTTAGAAAATAAATAGCAGTTGAATCAAATAGCATTGTTCTAAAAAATTGTGACTTTTTCTACAAGAACTTTTCTACTGAATTTTTGAATGAGCTCCTGAAAAACCTATAATTTTAAGCTTATCAACCTTCATCTACCATTAATATATTTAATGAAGATGATCATTTCATTCATATAATTGAATCTGGATAGGTTGATATTTACGATAAATCTTTTGAAAAGAAAGTACTTATTGGATGTTTTAAATCAAATGAACTTTTTGGATTGACAGAATTCTTAAATAATTAAAAAAATTATAAATACGAATATAAAAGTTCTGGATTTGTCAGCACTTTAGTAATACCTAAATCAAAATTTCATATGATATTACAAAAATATAAATAGGATTTCGAAACCTTTTGGAATCTCAAAACCAATAATTATTAAGAATTAAAGTGTGCAGTCTGCGAATCCAAAAGACATCCTCCTGATCTTTGTAAGCAAGTACACTATATTCCTGATAGAGAGAAGGTGATTAAATAATTTAATTTCTATTAAAATTAGGATAGATAAAAATTTAGGAGAAATTCAATCAGAATTAAGCAATTATATCATGCATCAACTGATTAAGAAATTATCAAGGAAGCTGCTTAAATGGTCAAAGTGAAAAATGACAGCATTTTCTTTTAGAAGTATCAAATTATTGAAGAGGAAACAACCCAATATGAAAGCTAAGGTAATCTATTGCATTTAAACTTAGAATATATAAACAAAAAGGATATGGATTCAGTGGGGATTTTAATAAAAGATCTGGAAAGCCGATCTTATCTCGATTTCTATCAAAAGTCTCAATAAAAATCTGAAAAAGAAATTTTGGACATTAGAATACACTTTTCATTGGAACTGCAAACTTTAAAGTCTTTGAAGGATAAATTGCATCATAAGGACTTATATTCTGAAAAGGACATCCAATAAATAGAATATCTGATCAAAATTTTAGAACTCAAACTCAATTTAGAAGATAAAATTGAACTTGATTAATAGTAGGAATATCAGACCTTTAATTAAAAGGCAAATATCAATTTAGTAATTAAGAAGCTGATACATCCAGTCAGATACATAATAACATAAACTTCAAAAAGTTTAGATTAATTCTAGTTGATTAGTGGGTACGGGTTGTTAAAATATTTGTTCTATCCTTATGATTTCATAAATCAATATAGGTTTAATGTTAATAGATTAGGTTTGCCGAGAAAGTCAGTGGTTGTGAGACAATAAGAACGCAGGTTGTCTTCTGCTTTAATGAGAAAAAAATAATAAAATATACGATCCATGAAAAGATCAATTTAAGTTCATCCAATAAAATGAATAAATATAATAATCATAAAATAATTAGGTTTTTCTCTATTCAGCATTAAGTGTTGTATAAAATATTACTATATATTAAATCATTATTTATTATAAACATCAATTCAAATTTTAGAACTTCGGAATTTCTAAAAAAGTTTAATAATAATAATAATATTAAGGATTGTAGTTATTTAAATATTAACTTATTAAACAAAAATCACTAAGGGAGAAAGATTATTTTTCAGAATTAGATCAAATTAAGGAGATTAGGAATAATTTATTTTCAATCAAAGAATAATATTTTTTTCTTCTGTTGTATGTTTTATCTAATTAAAATACCTGCTTTATTATAATTCAAAAGAATTTACATTCCTCAACTTTATTATAATTCAATTGTTCATAAAAATTATATAATTTAATTTTGCCGATAAATAGTTTTCAGAATTCAAGAACCTTTAGATTTCTCAACGAAATTTGTCAAGCTTTAGGGATGATTAATACTACAAACATTTATCAATTATTTTATATTTTATAATTTGATAATTTCTTCAACCAGATTACATTTGTCCATGCATTGATTAAAATTTAAGAAAAAAATAAGAAATTTCAACATAAAACTATTTATATTAAAACATATCAAAGTTAACTCGATAGAGATTTAAAGTTTTTAAAGAGCTTAAAGAGAAGCCAGAGAATCATAGCCGCAGTGATTTACATTTATTCCACAACTTCATATTTAAATTGTGATATAAAACAAAATTGATTCTTTCGATAGTTAATAGTTACTAAAATAATTGTGTATATCTACTATAAATATAATAATCTTGACAAGTCTCAGAGCATATTTAGGCTAGTTTTTAACCATGTTGCAATATGCAGATCAGATGAGGGCTAAAATTATCCTTTTCAATTTGCTCTTCTTACTTTCATAATAAAGTTATGATTATCATGATGTTTAAAGTTAACTTAAGGCTGAATTGATATGCTTTATCTGCTTCTATATATTTTGAGTAACTCTGTAGATATTAATAACAACAAATAATCTGGTAAGGGATATTAATTATTCATTAGTATTTATTCTTAATTACATTTCTATTTGATAATTTTATTTAACTACATAAATTATTATTTTTCAAATCCTTTCATCTTCGTATAATAATTAAAATAATACAAAAATATTAATTTTTCATCAAATTTATTTTTAAATTATCAAACTATCAACATTTAACTTTACAATCACTTTTCTTCTCTAGAACACTTTTAATATGTGTATGTTTCATAAATAAATTATTTCACCCCATAAATGTGATTATAATAATTGAAATAATTAATGAAGACTTTTTAAAAAAATGAAAGGGAAAGTTAATTAGAGATGAACAAATAAGAGAAAATCAGAATTTAGTTGTTGATATTTTGATCAATAATTTTATAGCAAATTATTATTACTTATATTAAATTAATTTAATTTTGAGCATCTATTTCTTAATTCTTGAAGCTTAGCATTTTTAAGCAACCATTTAATTTATTTATTTTTTTTGGCCATTTTTGAGTAATTTAAATACTCAAGGTCATTTGGGCATTATATAGATAGAAAAAGCTAGATTAACTTAGAATGCTTACCTTCACAACATCTTATTGATTAGATTGAATTGCATGTGATAGAGCAGATTCTCCATTCAAATCTTTGCTCAAAATGTTTGCACCATATGACAGTAATATTTTAATCATTATATATGATTGTTTCTTGGTTGCTGTGTGTAATGCAGTCATGTTTTTTTCATCAAAATCATGTACATACAAAGGGTTTACTCCCAACATCTCTTCGACTTTGTCTGTTACTCCTTTTTTTACATAAAATAAAAATGCAAAAGATCCTTATTGCTAATAAGGCTTATTTTAAGTAATTTTATTATCAATAAGATCCTGCAAGGAAATTTGTAATTCTTTTGACTTTTTTAATAAGAACTAGATGATTTCCCTTAGTCTTCTCAATCTTGCACATCTATAATATCTATTATCAAAATCCATGAGTTCTTTTTAATCATTTCTATAAGTCATTTAATTCAAGGCTTTATTATAAATTTAAACTTGGGAATCATAATTTTGTTTTTATTCTTATGCTTGTAAAAATGAATAAATACATGATTTGTAAATTGATCTTTTTGAAGACATGTAACTATTAAGATTTTGTTAATATTGACTTGAAGTTCTTTGAGAATAAATTCCAGGACTATATCCATCTTGAATGCTAATATTATCATGCTTAAATTAGCTGTGTGTTTAATTTTTAATGATTTTTAGGCTTGGAACATCAGATTTTGGTATATGTTTTTTAATTACAAATTTTGAAGGAGTTTGCCTGGAAGTTAATATGTAATTAGATTGACTGATTCCTCGAGAATGCACGGATGAAATAGATCTTGTTTCTTTGTTTGATATTCCTTGTTGTGATTATTATTGTTTTTAATAAATAATTTTTCTCATAATTATAAAAATTAGTAGTTATCTTTCGTATAATCTATTATATTTAGTAATTTTAGATTAGCTGTGATTTATAATTAGCAAAAATTAGAAGCCAAAGTTTGGAAATAATTTTATTATTTTAATAATGTTTAAAATTAATCAGGACTGGCTGCTTAAAAATAAATATAAAGCATTAACAATAGTCGCAAGTGTTGGTTTATTGATGTTGGCTTTTAGGAAGAAAAGCCTAAACCCATTTGAATCAACATACAGGAGAGTAGCCTAAGAGATCCAATAAAAAGTTCTAAAAGCGAGATATGTTATATAGACAGAGTTAAAGCTATCTAATGAAGACAAAACCCTAATTTTAAATAGTTCTATTCCTTAAATTCATAAATTTTATGAGTCTAAAAAGTTCACTTGTTTAGATGTGTTATTAACATTTTTGGAAGTGGCATTAGAAAAAGGGTTCTAAATGGGATATTTGAATGATGTAAATTTAGAAGATGCCATTTAAAAAGCTAGACAATTAGATTAGGAATTAAAGAGTAAAGATTATAAGATCGAAAATATGCCACTGTTTGGAATTCCCATAAGTGTGAAAGACACATTTATTGTTAAAGGGACATATTAAGCCTTTGGGTGTGGTGCTTATGCATAAAAGAGATCAGAAATAGATGGAATATAAGGATATTTAATAAATAAATCAGGAGGAATAATATTTGCAAAAACAAATTTACCATAATTTGGATTTTCTTATGAAAGCTGGAATTATTTATTTGGAAGATCAATCCATCCTTAAGATCCTTCTAGAACTTCAGGTGGTTCAACAGGAGGAGAAGGTGGATTGCTTGCAGTGAATGGTTCTCCTTTGGGATTGGGAAGTGATAGTGGTGGAAGTATTAGAATACCTTCTCATTTTTGTGGTTTGTATGGATATAAGCCAAGTGCTAAAAGGTTGATAATGAGAGGTTAGGCAAAAGGTGTTCCAACATGGGATGGAATTAGGAATATTGCATCATGTTATGGTCCTATGGGTAAGAATTGATTAATATACATAAGCTAAACATTTTCCAAATTTAGTGAATATGATGTAGGCATTGACAACCAATTACGAATAGGCTCCAATTAACATCAAGGATATAAATTTTGTGATGAAAACATTTGATGAGAAGGAGTGTTATAATAATAATAAGAAATACAAGATAGGAGTCTTAAGGAAGATCAATTTACTATTACCTTGCAAAGCAAATTAAAGAGCTTTAGATATAGCAGTAGAGAAATTGAGAGCATAAGGACACACAGTTATAGAATTTGACATTGATTAAAGTATGTATGAGAATGTTTTCTAACATGTTTATGATGTGATGTTAGGTGATGGAGGAATGAGAGGAACTTATGAATTATACAAAGGAGAACCATGGATTTCTCATTTTGATAATTTTAAGAAAGCCACACAATCATGTCCTCTTTGGAAGAAGATTTATTAGAAATGGTTGAAATTGTAGGATCGCAAAAGAGAATTAATGATTTGGAAGGCAGGAGATCATGGATTGTCATACTATGAGAATCTTCAAATAACAACTAAATTAACAGCAAGTTAAATTTAAATGATTTAGATTTGGCATGATTTACAATTGGATGCAGTCATCAGTCCTGTGACTGCTGGAGTTGCTGTTAAACATAATACTGCATAACATTGTTTTAGTGGAATATGTTATACATTCTTCTGGAATATGATTGATTTCAGTTGTGGATCAGTTCCTATTACAACTGTTTAGGAGGATGAGCAATTTTACAATGAAGAATCCTTGTTTGGTGCTAAGGATATTGAATATAAGGTCTTAGAAGAAACAATGAAACACAGTGCAGGATTACCAGTGGGCATTTAAGTTATCTCAAAACCTTTGGAGGATGAGGTTTGTTTAAATATCATGAGATAATGTGGATAATGAGAATTTAAATATAAATAAATCATTTATATTATGCTAATAAATTAATAAATCCACCTCCAATTATTACAAATGGTATTGGAACACTTTTATATAGGCATAAACAACTGAGAATTCCTATGCCTATAGGGACTACTATGCCTTAACTACAAGAGTTAATTATCAAATGCACTATTGCACTTAATATAAACCCAACTGCAACTGCTGCTATTCCTTATAAAACTGCTCTTATAGTTCTTAATCCTCTGTATTTCTTCCAATAAGGCAGTATCCCAAATATTGTAAAGAATCCAGGAAGAAACATAAATATTTCAGCCAAAATAGCCATTGGGATACCTCCAATTAAAGCTCCAATATATATGGCTATGTTGAACATAGGACCAGGCATACAAGAAACCAAAGCAAAGGCATTCCAAAACTGTTCTGTTGTCAAATAATTCGATAAAGAAAATTGTATCATAGGCAAAACGACATGGCCCCCTCCAATGACCAGACTTCCAGTTTTGAATAAATTACTACACACTGCAATTGGCATCCAATCAATATAAGACAAAAAAAAAAACAAAACAAATGCAATTCCATATCCAATCAACGATCTGTATCCCAGTAACCAACTATCAAAACTGTGTTATACTTGCTCTTCCTATGGAATTAAGAGTTATTATCCAATCTAGCGATCAGATACATAGTTTGCAATGGCACCAATGACTATCATTAAAACTGCAATTGAAGGGGTAGGAAAAAAAGTCGTTACTATTGCACTTGCAATCCACAAAAACAAATGGAATTTATTTTTTATGGCTCCATTTGATAATTTATAAGCTGCCTCTATTATTACTCCAATTGATGCGTATTTAAACCCATTTATCAATAATTATATCCATGGTATTGATAAGTTCGGCACAGTTAGACCTAGTACCATCATTACAAAAGCAGATGGCATACTAAAATATAGAAAAGCAACTAATCCTCCCAAACAACTGTGTGTAAGATTAGCTCCTACTGCAATTACCATTTGAGTAGAAGTTGGACCAGGTAAAGTCTAGCATAATGCGAATAATTCCTGAAATTCTTCTTCAGTGGTGTAATCCCTAAATCTTTCTCTTAGCACATTAATATGAGCTAAGGGTCCACCATAAGTAATAAATCCAAGTGGGAACATCACATCTCTTAATTACTTTAAGTTCATTTATTTCGAACTGCATGTATCCATAGGAATCATTATTAATAATTATATTATATTTATTCAATACATTCCAAGTCCTCTTAACTGTAAATACCATGTAAAACTGAAATCCACATCCCAAACAGTTCTAAAAATAGGTATTTATTTATTATTAAAATGTTATGGATAATTCTACTTGCTGTAATAATCTAAAAAATATTGAAGTTATATTTGTTTATGTATCTAAATTCCAAAATTCACCCGAATTAATAATACTTTCAAAATGATTTGATTGAATAGATCTTAACAGGTATAACAATAAGGTTATCTTCTTTACTGTCGTACCTATATTGCCAATCAAATGAATCTATTCAACTTCCTACCAGTAAAAAAATTGAGAAAGATTAAATATGACAGGACCAATAAATTTGATAATCAAACTTCTTGAAGAAATTGCTCAAAAATGTAAAACTACTTAGTTTGCTTTAATCAGTAAAATAATTACTTTTGGAGAATGGTGCATCTTTTATAGAGTTAATAATAGAAAACCGAAAGATTAATTAAATGCCAAAAAGAAAATAAAATTACTTTTTGTCAACATCAGATCTTTAGAAATAAACTTGAAAAAGGCCTAAATATAGTTATTCTTCTAAAAACCTATATTCCTCATTACTAATTATGAATTCAAATAAAATACATAGGGTATAATGTACCAGATTAATATTATTACTTCTTCTTCTTTGAATTTAAATTTTGCATACTGACTGAAGAAAAGTGACTGACCATTACACTTTACAATACAGGGTAACCATCTAACATCCTATCAATCAAAATAACACTAAATAGATATTGAATTAACACTTAACAAATTCTATATTGTAAATCTGAATGTGTTTTCACTTCACTAGATAATGACTATAATACAATTTGTATCTATTACTGCAATCAATAAAGCCAAAACCAAATAAGCTATAAAATAAATTCCATTTTATAAATATGTAAATATAAACATTTAAATACACAAGTATAATCAATTACATCATTTTTAAATCTAATTAAATTTATTGTTCCCTTTAAAACATCTACAAATATTCATAATATGATTACATTTCATTTGGATACTCCTTATACTTTTCATTTAATGGATTTTCCTCATAGTTTTCATCAATTTACTCCTAGTATACAGATTCATCGTGTGCTACAAATTCTATTGAAACCATCCTTTTTAATCCAGGACTCTTTTTATTAATCGCTGATGGCAGATACCTTAATCTCATTGAACTATAAGTGCCCATAACAACAGAAATGTTTGAACCGCTAGAAAAATGATGAACATCACTCCTTTTTTTTTATAATTCTGGAGGCATTAAGAGATTTTTCTATGATTAAGGTCGACTGTGAATATTGTAGAATAAGTACTTTGAATTATCACACACAGACCAAATCACTTAATTGGAGATTTTGGTGGTGCTTTTCATTTATTATTTAGGGGATTAAGGTTCTTTTTTATCTAAAGAAACTTTAGATTCTGAAAGTTTTTTACTAAGTTTCATTCCCTCTGTCCAATCGTAATATCCATCTAATTTAATGTTATTGTTTTTAGCTGCTTCTACAAGAAGATCTTTAATAAATTCATAATCTGGCTATTCATCGAATTTTAGTTTTCTAATATATTGAAAAATTTTAATGAATTCTGGACACTTCATTGCTGTTAATTCCTATACAGAAATGGTTTATTTCATCTCTCCAACAATTCTATTACGTTCACTATCTTCGACGGGGATGTTTTGCCAAGGTAGATTCCCTCTTAGGAAATAAAAGATGACATAAAATAATGATTCTAAATCATCTTTTCTTCCTAATTCTTATCCCTTATGAGCAGCAATTGAAGCATATCTGAGAGTACCAATAAAATCTTTGTCCTATCTAAAAGGTCTTTGTAAGACTTTTTTACAAATAATTTTTACATGTGATCTGCTTCAAAATAAATCTTGCTTACACCAAAATCTACAATGTATATTTAATTTAAATCGATTGACATCATAATATTCTCTGGTTTTAAATCTCGATGTATGATGAACCTTTTATGTATATTTTTTAGAATATCTATGCAATCGTAAGCAACTTACAAACAACATTTAAATGAGAACTTCTTATAAAGTTTTAAGTAATAAGCTAGATCTTTACCTAGAAGCTGCAATGCCATCAATTAAGTCTGTCCTTCAAAACCATACCATATCAGTTTTGGAATTCCTTCAACATTTTCCAATTAGATAAGCATAGTAATTTCTCTTTCTAATGTTTTCTTCTCCTAATTCTCTTCCAACTCAACTTTCAATGCGCATTCAGCATTTGTAGCTCGATCATAAACTTGATAAACCATTCCAAAGGATCCTTAAGACAATTTTTTCTTCATTACGAATCTATTTGCATAAATTTTGGAACTATTTAAACTCATATTTAGTAGTGATTATTAATTATATATCAAATCAAACCATAAAAAAGAAATGAAGAATTAAGAATTAGAATGGATTTTCAATTAATTTTTCATTAGATTAAAATATCATTAGATCTAATAAAATCAAAATTTTGAAAATGATAATTAATATTCTGTGCAAATGCCTATGAAATAATATCTCATTATGGTTTATTGGATGCCACTGGTTATTATGCTTATTATGTTCTAGCACCAACTGGTGGGTAACTTGGGTAAACCTAAGCAATATAGAATAACCATCTCATACTGGTGCATAAGCTGGTCTCACACCTGAAAAAGTGAGAGCCGGAGCAACTACTGGTTAAGCATACACTGGAGCTTAGGCAATTGGTCTAGCAACTGAATAAGTGAGTGGTTGGACTGGTTGAACAATTGATTAAACAACTGGTTGAACAGGAACAGTCTAGACTGGTTGAACAGGAACAGTCTAGACTGGTTGATATTACTATTAAATAGTTCATTTATTGAACTTACCACTCTTTATACCTCTCTCTCAACAGCATCATATTCAACTCTAGGCACAGTTTTAGTGACTGGCACATATTCAGTTTACTACTCATAAACTGTTCTAGGGATGTACTCAGTTTAGTATTCAACTGGATAATAATCAGTCACATATTTGGTTTTTGGTACTTGAACTTAAATAGTTTCTGTTTCCATTTCAACAACAGGTCTTTGATATTCTCTGTATTCAACTCTGGATTCTCCTTTGATTGGAGCCTATTATGGGGCAGCTACAACTGATTGGGTGAGGATTGGTTAAGCAATAACTGGTTGTTGATAAACAGGTTGGGGCACATATTAAACTGGTTATGGAGCATATGAGATAGGTTGGGCATAAGTCACTGGTTGGGCATAGCTTACTGGTTAAACAACACTCACTGGAGCTGGAATAGAACTGGTAAGAGGTGCTGTTGGATAGATAGGCATTCTTTTATATTCAATAAATATTTTATTTAATATTCATTGGAAAATAAATTTTAATTGAAATTTAATTGCTCACCTCATTATCAATGTATTTACACTTTTATTTCAGAAAAAGATGTTAAATTTAATAATTACTCTTTGTTTAATTAAATTGAAAGTTGTGTGGATCAATATTTATTTTATTAAATTAAAATTATGGCTGATGAATAAGCTGATTTTTTTAAGGAGGTCTTAAAGTTGATTTCTAACTTGCACTTTGAAAATAAAATCACTGAAGTTTAGAAGTCAGAATTAAAGAAATTATTGATGGACGACGAAGATTTCGTTAAATAATTATAGGAAGAATATCAAGTAGAAGGTCTTAAGGGGATAGTTAGTATTATAATTGGTGACACAATTTCAAATTGTAGTTTCAGAGATTTAATAGATTTCAATTAGGAAAAAAGAAAAAGATCCTAATCGTTAACTATTTAAACTGACTCTTCAGATTGAGTCAATTTCTGCTAATCTTAGTTCTGTTCAGGCATCTTGATTTATGCATTATTTACATATCAATATATATGTCATCTGCTAAAAGTAACAAATTTATCCTAGATTTAAACATTTCCAACTCTAATCACAATTAATAAAATTAAAACTTAAAAATTCTTATTATTAAATGAATAATTGCTGTAAAAATAGATTCCTAAATTTAGAATAACATTTAATGATAGCAAACATAAAAAATTAAGAATTAAGTCAAATTAAGAATAATACACAAGATAAAACTACCGTTATAATTTATTAATCAAATAAATGAATTTTCACTTTCCTCTTTAATAATATTACTAGTATCATTATTATTTTTTGCTTGATTTAATCTCTACTTTACTTACAATTTTTTCTATCCTTTTCCATATAATATTTAATTAATTTCAGTATTTAAACTTTCATTTATTGATTGAGAATCATTGAGATAGTTTACTTACTACCTTGCAATAACTTCTAAATTCGGTTTCCTTAGTTACTCTTCAGAACTTTGAATTGTTCTAAAGGCAAATGCAGGACCCCCCAATTTCTTTTATATTGCTGGTTAATCCATGCTAACTTATCTAGGATTCAGTTTAGTTGGTCTGAATGAATATTATGCTTTGTAAATTATACGATAAAAATTTTATTATGTTTTTGGAAACTCAATCTTATTTTTTTATTCCATGATTGTTTTCCCTTTTACTAAACCTTAAAAAAACTAACCCACTTATTATGCTTTTTAATCCTCAGAATCAATTAAATTATTAATTTTTGATTTCAAAGTTGGGAGTTAAAATCTTTATTCTTATTTAGAATGAATCCTTGGCATGCTTCTACTCTATAAATTGTCTTAAAGCGTAGTGAGTGGACTGCTTAGCTACCTCATCTCAATTTATTATTTAATTATAACATTAATAATTTTGTTTTTATACTATATTTTTCTGATATAGCAAACAATCCATCACCAGCAAAGTAACTTATATAGATTTTATATCTTATATGATTTCTTTGAAGTTCTATAAACCCATGTTCCAAATATGAATATAGGAAAATTATACTTTCAATAAAACAACGTATTGCTATATTAATAGATATAATAAAAATAATCTTAGAGATATGGATGGGTAAATTGAAATGCAAACTTACCTTATGAATTTTAAATACATTAAATATTTGATGTAAAATCAATATTTTTCCATTCTAAAATATGTAAGTTCAAAGCATATCTAGAAAAATAACAAAATTATATTCAATTAGGTATTTTTTTATGAATAATAAGAACCTTTTTGATATAAATATTTTGTACTATAAATGATTTTATTGCTTTTCTTTATATCTGCAGTGTTATCCAAATCTATTAATCCAAATAAATTAGATGAAAACGAGAAGTACTCTGATTTAAAATATCACCATCACAAGAATAAATTCAAAATCGAAGTAACTGGATCTGGAATTGTCGAATTATAACCTACTATTGGAACTGTCATTTTTCCAATAGAATTTCGTGACAAAAAGGCGGATAATGCTTTATACTTAGCAAACAGTTTAATCTTCAATGCTGCAGAAAAAATTAAATGGATTTTTTCAGATCCACGATCGTTCTTGGATCCCAAAGAGGAACAGTCGCTGAAAGGCTCATTGGAATTAGGAATAGAACCAGTGCTTTTTGATAAATATTCAATAGAGACTGGAAAGTAGTAAATTTCTCTGATATATAATAATAAAACAGGAGTAGAGCAATATGCGGTCACCAATACATTATATATAACAACCAAGCATATAGATATGATTAATAAAATTATTGTTGAGTGTGTTAATTCTGGCTTAAATAGAGGGGTTAAAGTTAACTACTCAAATAATTAAACAGAAGTAGATAAGGCAAAGGATAAGGCATTAAAATTAGCCATTAAAGATGCTAAACGAAAAGCTAAAAATATTGCTCGTTCGCTAAATCTAGAAATTCATGAATATCTTAAATTTAAATATTTAATTGATCAAAATAATGCTGCAACAGATCAATGTGATCCCAAAGCAGCAGAAATGGTAAATTAAGCAACATGTATTCCTAATGAATCAGCCAAAAACTATTTTAGAGTAGATGTTGAATTAGCAGTATTATTAAAATGATTAAGAAAATAAATCAATTTTATTCTATTCATAATATATTCTCATAGATTAAATAAAAATTCTTACAATAAATTTACAGTTTAAATTAATAATAAAAATAATGATCGTAGTCATATTATCATTCACTATATTAAATCTCAGTTCCTAAGTAAGCGCATAACCATAAGAGTCAAACTGTAACATAATTTCTAAAAGTCTAAATTCAAAATAGGCATCCTAATTTGAATATAATCTGAATGCAATTCGCAATCAAGTAGCAATGGGAAGAAGAGCAAATCATAAGGGCTAAATTTAACCAGCATCGGATATGCATATCGCAACATGGTCTTAAGAACTAGCCAAATTAGCTTAAAAGTGCTCTGAAACCTGTCCAGAACATCCTCTATATTGTAGACATGTAAATATTCATTTTACTTAGTATAAAGCGTAATAGGGATTTTTGATTCATAAGTAACTTGTTCATACAGACAAATGGAACATAGACCCAGACTTGATTTTAAATGAATGGATGTAATCTAAACAATCTTCTCAATAATTGCTTTAATCAATGTTATTTTAGATTGGATGTGGAAAAGCAATGAGCTCTAATTTAGGTGAATATGTCGTATATGTTGTATGTTATTTCGATTATGTATGGATTACATCATGACATCTTATAGCCTAATAAATAGGAACCCTATAGGCCAAGCTCTTCCTTAAATGTTGCAAATTCATGCAGATTAGGGAGATCTTCAAGTTATACAGCTTTGTGCACTTCGCCTTATTAAAAAGAATAAGGAGTAATGCAATTAACAAGGAGACATAGAGAAATTGTATCGAAATGATAATATTATGGATAAAGTTAATTATGTTTATTTTCGTTATTTAAATTTGAATGAAGCAACCACCGCAGTGTCGACTCATTATACAGGATGCAAGGCGCAAGAATTTAAGTGCTGTTGCTCTTCTTGATCCTTCACCTAAGTAAATCACTATAAGGAAGGCTTCTGTAGGTGGATTAAAGAATAAGGAAAATATGAATAGCAATGACACCTAAAGGAAACAAAAATCATCCTAAAATACTAATACGGAGGATATTAGAAAATAAATTAGCTAATTAATTAAAAAAACAGCTTAATCTTAGAGAACCAAATTGAAGAAAATAGATATTGGATGTCAAGAATAGATAGAAATCAATGATCAAAAAGAAGGAATTTTTGATGAAATGACACTGAGACTATTATATTAAAAAGAATTGGAATATAAAATTCATCCATAGTTCTTTGAACATTAATGTCATATCTCTCCATTGATGAGATCAATTTTATATGACTGGATTAGTGAAGTTTGTAAAGAATTCACATTAAAGAGAGAGACCTTCCACTTATGTATTCATAACTTAGATAGATATATGACTAAAGTCTCTGTCACTAAATCAGAACTCCAATTATGTGGCTTAGCAAGTCTGTTAATTGCATGTAAAATTGAAGTATTCTTATCACTTATTCTAGGAAATCTATCCACCAAAAGTAAATGATTTTTCATCAGCTAGTAATTATGGATTCACTGAGCAATAAATCTTAGATAAAGAATAATAAATTTTAAGTGAATTAAAGTGGATGATCAATCCACCTACTCTCTATCTTTGGAGCTCATGGTACTTATCTTAATGGGATATTTATTATCCTTAAGCCAATCTATAAATTAAATAACCAACATAATCATCATATACATTATTCAGGCATTTTATGAACTTTTTAGATTGTGCAATTTTAGATATAAAATTATATCAATTTACCAATCGAGAAATAGTTTCATCCTTACTTTATTTGGTTTTACTAAAACAATATTGTGGATGCACTTATCAAAGAATAGTTGAGAATAAAGTTCAAGAGAAAGATGTGCTTGATTTTTAGCGTATTTATAAGCCATTCATTGAACTTGTGTTTGGTTTTCAATTTAGTTAATTAAGTAGATGCATCAGATATCTAACCAAATTTTTAATATTAGATATAGTTGTTGATTAACCTGGCACAACTAAAGTTGTAGCCGAAAAAGAATTAGTAGAAGTTTATGAGTATTTCTTATCAATTCAGACACACAATCCAGCAGGTCTCTAATTAATTAGAAAATGATTGATATCATATACTTTAATTATTTTTTATTGTTATTTTTTTAAATGGCCTTAACCGATCAACTGTGCCTTGGTTTCACTATTTTAACATTTCTATCCTACATAGCCATTGATGTGGTGCTTCAATTACAAATCCCCTATAATAGTATTGGACTACCACAAAAAGGTTTGATATGTCCGAATCAATACATCAAATACACTGATTCGTTTGATATTTAATGTGTATCTGATTGCAATCAAAAAGAAATCACCAAAAAATAAAGCATTCATAAGCATTTGGCCAAAAACAATCAACCAAATTTCATAGCATGTATATTTTATTATAATGTAGATGAAAATTAAATCTGCTTGCCTACTCTAGATCAGAAATTCTATTAATTATAACCATATGTTGAAAAACCTATTTAAATGTACATTAGTTAATCCTTAAAGTATGATTCCCTAGTGATAATATGCATAATTTTCATTTCATTAGCCATTATTAATGGGACTTTGGCATTTTACAGAGATTATGCAGAATTCATAGTAAAGATTTCATAAATAGTTTCCATGGTTCTCAGCTTTGCTATTATTTTAATTCTGCTGAGGAAATACAGATCAGTCCAAGAGGCCAATGAATTGTATAATAATATTTCTATTCCTTTTAGTTTAATTTCCAATGATTCCTAATACGATTTATCACAAATGGCTGCTATTATGATGCTTAATAAAATGGACTTGGTTTATTTGGCTTTGATGGCTTTTATGAGTCTTTTATTGGGCTTTTTAATCATTAATTATTCAATGGATAGACTTCAATTTTCAGTGTTTCCACTTACTCATTGGTTCACAATCTCCTATTATAAGGATTATTTGAATAATGAATAAATGGATCAAAATGAAAAACCAAAAAAATCATCCTGGCCATTGATCCTATTTTAAATTATCAACTTTATCCTATTTTATACTATTAACATGTATGTACTAATCATTAAATATTCTAGGTCTTCTTTGTCCATAAGTTAAGAGTCCTCTCAATACGCATTTGGAGAAACCTCTATTGTCTTTAACATTGTTTTGCCGACTCTTTCATTTATACTTTATCTATACTTTGCTATTTTGATTTCCCTAATTTCAGAATACAATCTTTATTAAAGATAAAATACAATACTTCCTTAAATAGGCAAGGCAGGAATTCAAGCAGCTATTTTAATTATCTTGTTCCCATTGAACTTTTTAAGGAGTTTTCTATAATTTTTTGGAAAGGATAAATTTTCATACCTAGCATTTACAACCCTCAGATAGGGCTTTGAATTAATGAGAGAGTAAAACCATAATATGAATGAATAAGAATTGGGCGAAGTTGAATTAAGGTCTAAAATTAATTTATGTAACAAAATTGTTATAACTCTTTAGATGATTAATTGAATAAGGTTACTCATATAATCTCAGTTTGTTTAGCATTGGCCTGCAATTTTGTTATGCTCATTTTATAATAAAATATTCCAGCTCCATTTCTAATTTCTTTGTTAGCTTACTCCATCAGTTACACTTATTATATCCCAATCGTTTCCAGTCCCCTTAAGTATAGTTTCTTTGAAGGTCAGAATGAAATGGACGAACACAAGCAGTAAAATATGAAATGTCTTTTAAGACTTTTAGAATAAAATTAATAATGATAATTTAACATATAAATTATTTATCAAAAAAATAATTATTAGATGTCGATGGAATAAAAGATAGAAGAACTGAATCAAAAATACAAGAAATTGATTAATGACGATGAAAACTATAATTCCAAATTTACTAAGAACTTCTAAAATTTTTACTAATACGCAATTGCTGCCGGGGATGCCGATTTTTCAAGAGGAATTCAAGCAACTAAAAAACTTAAAAAGTTGATTGATACATTATATGACTCATCAAAATTAACCAATTAGATCATTATCAAGGAGGCTTTCTATAGGTAATGTTTGACGCCTAATAATAGCATTTAAATCCTAATTTCTACTCTTTTATAAAGTATTAGATGGCAAGATAATAATGCAGGAATAATGATTATAATTGTACTAATGCTTCATATGTTTTTAGTTTTACTTAGAATCAAATTATTAATTTCTAGATATCAAAACTTTAAGTTAAATTTTCAAACTTCATTTAACTTAATACTTGGAAGAATCAGAAGAAATGCTATAAGAAAACACATCAAAATTATTAACATTATTAATGAATAAAAATGACATATTTTAAAAACCTGAATATTTGGAAATTCAAGAAAAACTCGTATAAAGCATGAATACATCATTATAACTATGTGATAATTTTTAAGACTGCTTTGAAGTTATCATTAATTACTTAAGTATAATTGTTACTTATAATAAGATTAAGACCATTATTAATTGATTGGATTGCGAACTCAAAAAGTGGATTTTTCAGAGAAATACATCTCAAAGATTTAATTGAGTCCCCTATTATAAATACTGAAAGAACTTTATAGTAAAACAAACATTAATAATTTTACTAATTTGCTTTTAAAATGTTGCTTAATCAATTAAAAGTAAACTTAGCTATCTGCTTTTCATTAGTTGCTTTAAGTAAGTAATATTGATTAAAGCGATTTTATTGAAGTTCTTAGATATTCTTTATTGCATAACAACATTGAAATCATTAAGTTAGGAACCTAAATAGCAAAGAATGTCATTCAGGATTATGAATGCAATCAACTCCAAGACATTAAATTGCTAATTTATCTAAATTAATCTTTATAACCTGTGGGAGATATTTCAACTGATTTGATAATGAATAAATTTAAGATTGAAAAAAATGACACTCTGATTTTAAGAGATAATTTCAAGCTTATATTAAATATATGCTCAATTTTAGTTTAAAGTGAGTATTTTGAATTTAGAGTTTAGACATGGAGAATCCTGTACATTTTAATAAAATAACAAAATTCATAAGATCTTTATTAATACAAAAAACAAATAGTTTAAATAAGCTAAATTGCAAAAAATGAAACTCTAGAGAAGGCAATCTATTATTTTTTATATTTCATTGAATTATTAGTTAAAAAACTCGAAGATTCAGATAAAAATGAAAATCTTTTATTTGCTTAAATCATTTGTAATTTTGTTGGTCAATTTAGATAGAATTCAATTACAGCAAAAATATTAGATATTTTCAACTATTTTGATTTCAATGATGCATAACTATTACAATTATAAAGTCAAAGCAATGTTCAAGATTCAAATGAAATTTAGTAGGCTTGGAAGGAATTAAGACAAAAGTTTTAATAGCTTAAATCTAAAGCTTGAGAAAATAATTTCCGTTTAGATGAGTAATATATTTAATGATTTTTTTATTAAAATTTTAAATCAGTCAATAAATTTGTCTTTTTTTGAGAAAAGATTCCTCTTCTTCATTCAGTTTTTATACTAAAATAATTAAGAGAATAATTTACTTAACTCTTGTTTATAGGAATTGGCAGGAGGACTATTAGAATCTAAGATTGCTTAAACTACCTCAATTTTATCACCTGCTTCATTCCAACGTGGTAGTTAAACCATGTTAAACTTGTTCAATTACTTTTAATTATCTAGATGGATTTCTTTAAATTCCTAATCTTTGTGTCTTTTCATTTAATTGATTTACAGAAACTATTTAATATCTGACATCTCTGTTTCAGCCACATCAGTGAACCAATCAGATATACAGGGTATACTCTTAGTAATCTTGCTCTTTGCTCCACTATAAGATGGATCTTAATAGACCACCACTGATGTTTTCTCTGGAATATAGATACTTTTGGCTAATCTCATGATTGAATTGAAATCAGATACATCCTTACATAAGTATACTTTTGATCCTTAGTAATTACACATCGAATAAACAATAGGACATTTCTTATATTCTTTCTCTTCGAAATAATACAATCCCAAGACTGCCTAATTTCCTTTATCCAAAGTGATTCTCAGATTCACATTCAAAGCAGTTGGATCAATTTAATCTCCCTACCACATAAAAGTGACTGGCAATGATGTAAATCTTAGACCATTAATACCATTTATTTAAATGAGTTTTGGTTTGCTTCTTAATTATAAGAACTCTTTGGTTTCTTCTGCTTTTTCTGATGAGTGAGATTCCTCATTATGATCAACAGGTTCAATATGTGCTTGTTTTTACCCGGTATGTGTAACTTATTATGCTAATTCCTTGCTAGACTATGTAGCAACATATGCCAATTAGACTTTCTAGACGCTAGTCTCTCCGAACTTCTTGAAATTTAATTAAACTCCATGTAATGAAACAGTTAATGGAGAAACTTCGAACTGTATAAGCTTAGATTATGATTCCACTCCTACTAAGAATACTTAGACAATTGGGTCTTCAGTAAATGTCCTTTTAAATGTCAATAAAGATGGTATGACTCTATCTCCAGCTTCTGCTTTCTTCAACATTGAAAGTGCATCAACATTAAAATATCCAAATTCAACCTCATCTTAATTAATTGCAATATAATCATAGGCTAAAACTTTTAATGTGGCATGGAGAACTGTCAATTAGAATGTAAAGTCTACATAGATTCTCTGTAGTTACCTTATTCAGTCACATCTTAAATCTAACAGAAAAATCCAACAGGGCCTGCATCATATTCTATGGCTCTAATCGTTACTAAAATTTAAGGGATATCAGCAAATTTATCTGGAAACGTGATCTTTCTAATTATAGGATCACAACAACTTGGCGCTGTAAATTCAATAACACCTTTCATTACTGATTTAGTCTAAACTAACATTAGAGTTAACAATGCAATAAAGAATCGTTTTTGCATTATAAATTTTAATTATATAAATCAAACAATTATATAAATACTAATCAAGCTAATGAAGAGAATAATAAGAATCAGATATACAGGCTATTAATTTTATTATATAATTTTAGCTTGCTGAACTTCAATCTATGGCTTTTTCAGAAGAGAAAGAAATGTTTTTAAATCTGGATGTGGTTTGCTTGGTCTACTATCTATTATTTTCTTTATTAGTAATTCTTATTCCTTTATTTTACTTTAAGCTAAAAATACAATATTTATGTTTACATAGCTATCCAAATTGAGTCAACTCTCTCTGCTTTTTAAATAAATCTAAAAATTCCTCGTTGAACCTTAATTGATCTAAACTATTCTATGACCGAAAATGAGCAGATTCTTTAACATCACTCTATTGATTCGAAATTTTTGCAAAGTCCAATTTAAGATGTTTATTCTACGAAGGAGTACTCTTTTAGGGTATTTCAATGTCTTCTATTTGCTCCGAACTCTGATCATTTTCTTATTATGATTCACTTTCTATTTCTGGTTATAACGATAAATATCGAACGTGCTTGTTTAATTTGTTTACAAAGATCTAACTATTTTACTCCGATCTAGATTATTTCATTTATTGTTCATCATTTTTTAAGATTTATAAGGGCATTTTGCATCTCAAAGTGAATATTCTTTAAAGTTTATTTATAGCTAAGCTCCAGTGATAAGTTAGAACCATTTTTTTAAAGTGAATTGATGGTTTAGATAGCTGTTTAACATGTATATGACAATTATTGATCTTTTCTAATAATTAATTAGGTTATGATTTCATTCTTACTTTAAAATAATAAAAATGGATTAAGTAAATTAGGCATTTAAAGAGTTGTATTTTCAAGGAGAGTCTTATGAGAACGTTAGAGTTAAAATAGATCAATGCCCTTATGACGAAGTTGCCTCTCTTATGGAAATCTATGTAAAAAATTATCTTGATGTAATACATTATTAACAAGTAGACAGTACAAAATAACTTATACTCGTATAGTTATAATGATCAAGATTCGGCAAAGTTCTACATCGAATAGCTTAATAGTCATTGGATTAGAATATAGAATATTGCATAAGAATTGGGGAAATACTAATAATTGAGTAATGGCTTTAGAGTAAATTTGAAAATAATCTAGATTCAAGAATACCATCGCATAAAGTTTTAGGATAGAATATTTTCAGATAATAAGATTAATTTTGCATTAAGAGAGATTTGCAGGATCTATAAATTCAATTAACTCATCGAGTCTCATTTTGGCTCTTCTGTTGTTCAATACTTCAGACCCAAAATAACAACCCATCAAGATCTTATGACTAATTGGCTAACCTATAGTTAATGCGAATAGGGCATAGATGAAATAAAGGATTTTGAAAGAAGACTCGAATGTGCAATGACCTATTTGCCAGATAACGAAAAACAATAACCTAAATTACCTCCAAATTGGGAAAAGAATATGGTAAATTTGATGAAAAAGAAAAAGAAGAAGATATGATAAATAATAATATGTTAAATATATATTGGAATTCTCTACAATTATTATAATCAATTGTAAAATTTGCAAATATTTATGACTAAAAATAATCATTACATATCCTTTATATAATAATTTGAATTTATTTCATCTTTTCATTTTTATTTCAAATCCACCTAATTGAGAAAGTTTTGAGGATAAATTGTGACATGAATCATCCTCTAAAAATAAGTTGGCATCGTCATCATCACTCTCAGAAGAATCCCCATTCATACTCTCCCCTGAATCACTTTCTATTTATTATTCACCATTTTATCCATTCTTTGTCTCTGTATAGAAAGAGCCTGCTATCTAAATTAAATGAACTATTTTACATGCTTAACTGTTTCTTACACAATCAGATTTTCTTAATCTTCCTCTTCTCCTTGTTATTGTTCAGCTATTTGTTGCATCATTTATGTTTTCTATTTTTCAGTAATGATGGCTTATTTCAATAAAATATATTATCTCATAGATCTTCTCTTTGCCTTAGAAAGATTAATCTATTCAGGTAAAACTGATGATCCCAAGTAACTTAATCGAATCTATTCAGTTATTATAAACATTACTTCTTTTTATTTTTATGGAGTTCCTAATTCATTATTAACCGTTTAAAGTTATAAAAATAGTGAATCTAAACAATCTGCTGCAGATGGTCTTTGATTTTCTTCTAAACATAACACTCTTTTAAGAAATGATTATGCATCCTTACTAAGACATATAAATTTCGAATTATTAAAATCAATTCTTCCTGCCGTATTTTAATTTAATATGGCACTGATTGTATTTCCTGAAAACAATGGTTGTTGAGTCAATAATATATAAGCCACAACACCTGCACTAAATATATCAATTTTTTCATTATAAACTTTTAAATTGAGGACTTCAGGGGCTATGTACCCAGGAGTTCCATATTTTTTGTATTCGAATTTAGGTATTTTTTTAGCTGCCAATCCAAAATCAGCAATGACAATAGTTGAAGAATCTTTTACAAGTATATTTTCTAACTTAATGTCTCTATGCATAATATTAAGGGAATGTATATGTTTAAGACCTTCGAAAATTTGTTTCATAAAATTGCTAATCTACTGTTCACTAAATTGGGATTTCTCGGCTTTCTTCTTCTAGAATTCTTAAAACAATTCTCCCTTTGCATATTCATATATCAAATATATTTATTTGTTGTCTTCATGAATTTCTAATAACTTAATTACATTTGGATGATCGATAGGTCTAAGTAGCAACATTTCGCCAATTACAGAATCTCTAAGTTTAGTAACTTTGATCAAGTCAGTCTTTTGGAAGGTCTTGCACACAAATTGTCTTTACTTATTGTCCTCGATGAGATAACCCTTTTTTTAAAATAAAGTACTTTTGAATAATTGCCATTATTGATTTAACTTAAAAATCTAAATCTAGTTTAGATTTGGCCCCTTGTTACGCAAAACCTTATTAGAAGTTCGATCCAATTTTTTAATTATTTTTGGTCAGTGCAATGATACTCTTTTACTCTATCGTATGAAGTTAACAAAAAACTCTTATCAGTATAAGATAGAATATATAGACTATTAAAGAGGTTACAATATTTGGTTTTTTGATGTCCAAATTTTACTAATGAGCCATCTTTGGTTAATGCATATTCGTAATTCTGACTTTTAGTTAGATTCACTAATTAAGACTTGATCAGATAGGCTGATTGAACATTTCCCGTCGACCAAAAAGTTGTAGTTTTAAGTAGTGATTATAAATTCTTACTAGTTGGTATATACAAGTAATCAATATTTTAAGATTATTAGAGCATATTTATTTATTTAATTATTTTTTAATAAATAATGGGATCATGTGCGTCAATGAAATAAAAAAAAATAGAAGGAAATATATAAATTGTGTCATACAAGTAAATAAAACTAATATTTTCAGAGTCTGCATAACAGCTTTCATTTGGAATAAAGAAAGTCATAACTTATTCGATTTCGAGAGCCACCAAGCAAGCCGAAAAGACTTGGAACTAGATTTCTCAGGTAACTTTGTAGGTTATCATTTAGCAACACTTTCGATGGTTGATAATTAAATAATAGCACTAAGTGAGAATGTAAATTTATTATCACTATAATAAAGGAGTATGTAAAAAAACAGGTTCAGCTGCTTAGAGTGGATTGCGAATAAGACTATGTGACTCTGTCAGGAATGAGCTAGAAATCCGATTAAAGGGTGTGGGCTATATTATGTCGGAGACCAGAGTTTGAGTCATTGAATGTATAAATATAAATGAAAATAAAAAGGAATGGGAACTATCGAGAGGAGATATTATAAAATTGGGAAGGATGAAATTACAATTACTCGATTTTAATTATGATTTAGATGCATTACAATAATAAAGAGATTAAACTGATATAAATGATGAAGAAATATAGTCTCAAGATTTAGACCCAGATGGTTGTTAATGCAGAATTTGTTTCTAAAAAAATGCTACAGTTTCGAACCCCCTTTTTAGTCCATGCAAATGTAAATCTATTCAACTTAAATTGCAGGTATTGGTTCCATGAAATATGTTCATCTTCATTGCTTATAAGTTTGGATTCAATAATCAATCAAGGTTAAAAATCAATAATCCTCAACTCAATACATCTGGAAGAAAATGGAGTGTGAGATCTGTAAAATGCCATTAAAAAGCACCTACACCTATCAAAGATAGATCTTTTGTATTATGCAAATTTAGAAGCCTAATGTGCCTTATATGATTTGGAAAATTACTTCGGATGACAAATCTAAAGAAGGTATCATCTAGGTAATGGAACTCTAAGATAAAGAAGAAATCAAAATTGGGAGAATACCTGACTGTGATATCAAGCTTAAAGATATATCAGTTTCAAGAAGTCATGCCTTAATCAAAGTTATCAAGCAAGAAGACAATCATTACAAACTTATTCTGCAAGACAATAATTCTAAATTTGGAACCCTTCTATATGCCTAGTCTGATAAATTACTCAGGTACAATCTACCATCATTGCAAAAAGTGCTTTACCAAATTGGAAGAGTCTTACTATACATTCAATTTAAGGATAAAGGCAAGTCTTACAATAAACAGTAATTTCAATTTAATAAAACCTAGATTCACATGTTACAAACATCCTGATAAAATTGTCGTGCAAACAAAAATCAATCAAAATGAATAAGCCACAATCATTCCGAATGTTGAAAAAGATAAAGATAATTAGATGTCCTTTTAGACTTATAATGAGTTACATTAAGAGGACATCGTAATTAATGTAAAATAAATATGAATACCTATAAACTAATTATATTATTTATTAATTAAAATATTTGTCTGTTAAATGATATAAAAATTAAACAAGTGGGATTGCATAATTGACCCAATTATCAAAAACAATTAATAGATGTAAGTTCCATATTAATCATTTTAGTGGTGGTTTATATCTGGCTGATATAGATTGTGCATTAAGTCAAGAATTATTACAATAATTGTAAGTTGGAGCCTTGCTTAGTGTTATCGATGAACCTAAAGTAACCACTTCTCCCAATATAATCCACCAAGTAATTAACATTCCAGATTGCACTGAATAAAACATTCAAGAATTTTTCCCAAAAACCAATGAATTTATAGAAAGACACAGATAACATACTAATGTTATGGTTCATTGTTTTGCTGGAATCTCCAGAAGTGCGTCAGTTGTTATTGCATACATCATGCAAAAGTTCAATTGGGGTTTTCAAAGAACTCTCAATTCAGTTATTGCAAGGAGACCCTAAGTCAAACCAAATTCAGGTTTCGTCAAACAACTGATTTAATATGAAACCTAGAATAGAAATAGGTCATCCTCTCAATAACACAGGATTCTTAACACTATTAACACTGTTATTGATAAAATACCTTATTAATCAGATAGCAAAAATAATAAATACTTTTAACCATCAAAATTAGATTTAAATTAATTGGAAATGGAAATTACTAAAAGACAATAAGATTTATAAATATTAAGGATGAAATATTAACAATTAAATGACAAGATTGTAAATAGGAACAACGTCTACGTTTCTGCTTTTGAATGAGATGATGACTTTTAACACTTATATATTATAACCCAATTTGTTAGATCATGCTTAAAATTAATATAATTAATTCCATTTTTAAATCATTTTTTCTTCCATCTATTTTCTAACCCATTTCTATCAACATTGGTTAAGGATTATACTAATTGTTCACGAATTATTATTTACCTTATAGATAGTATTATACGAAATAACTACTTTCTTTTAATAATTTAAATGCCGTGTCAAAACTTTTATTGGACAAATCTAATAATTGAATTACATCCCAATCAGTACACTGAGGATATATTTAAGACAGTTCATCAAAAAGCAATTAAACTAACTAAAATCTTTTTATACATAATTCATCATTTCTTTAATAAATTTTCACATATCTAGGACGAAGACTTGAACTTGGAAACTGTAACTATTAACATTGAGTACCCAAATGAATATTTTTTTCCCTCTTTTAAACTTATTCAACCTTTTTCTTCGATTTATTTTATTTTTACTCAGATTTAGATACTTTATTATTATTCCTTTAATTTCTTGTTTAAACTTAAGAAATTATTGATTAGCGTGAATCATCTTCATATACTCTACCTGATTAAAGTAAATCATCCAGATCTAAGAGTCTTGGAATTTAAAATTGAAATGCGTTGCTAAATCCTATAGTATTTAATTTATCATTTTCAACTATTATTGAATTTTGAGATGCAATATACTATTAATTTGATAACTCTCTATTCTATGTAGCAGTATTATCATAACTAAAAGGAAGTGCCTAAGAGTCCCCCTTAGAATAAAGTTATCCAAGCAATTCATAGTAGTTTAGCTTGCTCATTTGATAATTTATTTATTTAATAATCATAATATGATACTTTAGATATCCATTGTATAATTAATTTGTAAATATATAAATTTCCTAATCAAATTTTTTTGTGCATTTTTATTAGCGAATGGATGTCTTCCAAAACTCTCAACTTATTTTGTGTTGTGGCTTAATCCTGTTTCACTTACAATACTTATCTTGACTAAATTTCTCTCTCACTTTCATAAATTCTCACTTTCTCTTCAATCTATATTTAATTTTAATTATTTACTTGTTTTAATGAGTACTGGCTCTATTCAATCTATTATTTATATTTGGCAGACTTCTAAGCATGCTTAAGGATTTCCTCTTCTTGAGTTTTTATTTTTTATTTCAATTCATTTTCTCTATTTTTGTATTCCTTGATTTCTTCTTTACTTTAAGCTAACTATTTTACCAGATGGTCAATTTTAATCTCAATTTCATCCATGGTTTTATTATTCTCATGTTTGGTTAATTAAATATCATTTTCTAAATCCCTACTATACTGTTATGATTTAGTTAATTGTTCCTATAAATGAAGAACCTAATTTTTTAACTAAAATGCTTATATTCTATAATACTTATTCTATTGTACGAAAATCTTGTCTAGATTATAATTCAAATTCTTCAGACTTTTGTTTCTTTAGTTATAATACAGATTTTAAATCTTGGATTTCAAGAATGAGACTTTAGATTCTATTCTCTGCTGTCAATAATTTGCTTTATTAATTATCAATAACCGATTTAAGCTCAGAGTTTATTTGCTATAATTTCTAATTATCTTATAGTTAAATTTAATGATTTTTCTCCTCATTATCAAGTATTCTCTAAAAATCAATGATTTTTTAATTTAAATTATCGATTGACAATTTTTATTCATTTATTTTTTATTTTTTTTTTTCAAGCTAGTCTTTATAATTAGAAACCCTCTTTTCAACTTCAGATTCTTACACCTATAAAAGTACTTGTTACTGCTTTTCGACTTTAGCTAATTAAGCATAAGCTTCATCTTATTTATATGAAGCCTGATCTAACTATTACTTATAGTAATTGACTTATTAATTTAGATATTCAATCTGTGATTACTAATCAGCATCTCTGTATCTAATATCCTAATACATTTATTCGAAATATCGAATTTGTTCATCTCTATTAATTAGTTCATCTCTTTATTTTAATAACTCTCCCTCTAATTCCTTATTTTATTCTTCTTAATTTTTTCTATGTAAATAATGAATCATTACATTTCATTTGAAAATTCCTCACATAATTTTTACACTCTTTCAAGTTCTTTACCAAAATTTTACCCTTATTCTTCATAAACTGTCTCTGCTTATTTCAACTAATCCCTCATAGCAGTTAATTTTTATTTCTTATCACCTAATTTTTATTTTAATGTATGATTTTGCTATTGTAATTCTTCGATTAATTTTTCAGAAGTCTCTGCTTTGATCTTGACTTCTTTAGTATTTACATCTCCCTTATTTAATGAATCCAACAATTATTTATTTTCTTATTCTAATGCTCTAATTTATTTATCTTTAGCTGATAACTTTCCTTCTAGTTCTTTATTAACTGTCATATATTCTTTAAGAGTGATCTAAGGAATAGTATAAAGAAAAGTACTTTTAACTCCTTATTTAATATTCTTATTCTCTCATATTTTTCTCTTTCTTACAAATCCCTAGCATTCAAGGTTTCCCTCAATCTGCTAATTTACTCTAATGATCCACTTTGCCTACGTCTTTCTCTTGAAGAATCGTCGCTGATGAAATAGAGAAAAGAATTACTCATCATCATTGAGTTTGCTTGGCCTTGATCTGCCAATAAAATATGTGACAGGTTATTGAGGAGCGGGTTCATATTACATGATCTAGTCGATCTACTGACTTGTTTTCTTGTAACGATCCATGAGTTTATTGACATTTCTCTCTAATCGGTTATCCATTATTTAAATTCAAAATTATTATAATTCAGGTTAACTTTATTTTCTTAATTCTTACGAATCAATCATTTTCACATCTGATTCTTCATGCTACACGTCTTGGAATGGGTTCTTCTCCTCTTCTGACAATTCCAAATTCAACTTTTGTGATAGATTGAATTCATCTTCATTTTATTCTTCCAATTTCTCTATATTGTTATCTATTTTCTTCTAATTCGATCTCAAATTGTGATCGACATCCTCCTCAATCAGATTAACAAATTCTGATTCCTTACGATTATTTATGATTAGTATTTCACTATTGGACATTTTTAGACTCTCAGGTTAAGCATCACCTAAATTGATATTCTATTGTTAATCTTCTAAATCATCTTCCTCTTAATTTACATCAAAGGGTGAATGTATTTATTATAAAAATATTCTTGATGACCTATTTTATCTTAAGATTAGAGCATAGAAATGATCAATCTCTATTTTACTTAATTAAATTTCCACTGAAGAAAGTACTTCCAAATAGGCCTAAATATATACTCTACATTTACATCGATTGTAATGTATCCACTAGTGTAAGTATCTGGATATTTCCTAATTAAAATGTCTGATATCTCATTCTTCTTCTTCATTATCTATTGATTGATATTATTCAATTATTCTATTGATAAAATTTAGTAGTTTTCCATCAAAGTTTTAAAGATACTTCTCACTCTAGCACTGGTTGTCGTTTCTGTTTCATTTTCAACATCTGCTAAATAAATAGCAGCCATTTCCACTTATTCAATTGATTTTAAACCAAAGATTCTATTAGATAGATTTTATTTCAATTATTATTAAGTTAATACCTCGTCTGTCAATAAATATGTTTCTACTTATTATAAAGATATTTTCAATCCAATCAAATTTAATTTGACTTGTCTAGCAATGGCTAAGATATCATTTTTGTCCACATTTATAAATTTCTTTTTTTACAATTCAATATCTTCTTATAATTACCCTTGCTCCTCAGGCGGTTAAGGACCATTGTTTTTTATTAGAATAGTCCTTTTGGGCTGATATTTTGATTGCTTTTCTAATTCATATTCTCTTTGCAAAGTTTCAAATTATCTCTTTTATTCAGCCATCCTTTTTTCTAAATTCTCTATTTATTCTTAATTATCTGCCTAAAGTTTTTGCATTTGATTTTCCAGATACTTGTTCTTCTGTCTTTCATTTCTCAAGTCGACCATTGCCTAATCATAGCCCAATTGTAATTGTTCCTCCATCTTCTTATTATCTTTCTGTTGAGGCCTTTCAAGAAATAAAGTATCTTTTTTTTTTAATTCTGCCATCTCTAATAGTAATTATGCATTCAAATTCTTGAGTTACTTATATTTATTTAAGATTGCATTATATTTAATGTTCATCTTATTGCAATTATTCTAAATTTAATAAATTTTCACTACTTATTATAATGTAACTGACTGTTCTAAGTGTGAAATTAATTATGTCATTTTCATATTGTCTTCACTTAAAGATATACACAATCCTTCAACATTATTTTTGTTCATCGGACTTTGCAATTGATTAATATAGGATATTTATTCCTATAACTATTGTTGCAATTTGATGTTATTGTCCTGCATTTACAGAAATTTATACCTCTAACTTTGTGATTTTCTCCAAAAACCCTTATTTTAATCTTGTATAATTCTTCAAAGGCGTACTTTCTTCTTTTTAAATGGATTGCACTTCTCTCTTGAAATATTAATTTTACGATTAAAACTATCGTAATGCTAATTTTAATTAATTGTTTTCTTATTTCAGATTTTAAATTTCCTCGTATAGACTTTCTTTGTCATGAATTATATATTTAGCTCTCATTTTACTGGCATCTGTATTGTCAAGCGTTCTATTTCTCGTAAATAAATTAAATCTATTCAATTTCGTAGAGGATTGCACTTAAGGTGATTTCTATATTTATGATATAGACAACATCCTTATATTATATAATTAATTATCAAATTACAACATTTAAACAAGCTTTGGAAATTACATGCATCTCATATGCTAGCAATGAAAACTTACTAAAAAATCAGAAGTCTTTCTATCCATCATAGATATTCCCACAAAACTAGCAATTTAGACAGAATTGAGAAAAATTATTTTGAAACATTCTCCTCAAAAATATGAAGAAATATAAAAGGGTAACAATAAATACAGATATTAAATGCTATCCTCATAAAATTGATTTTAGAATCAAAAGGAATCGTATAGTTAATTGATCTTTGTAATTAAGGGATAAATATATAGAGATATTTAAATTATTGATTAATAATTGGACTAATAACAATTATAGTTTATTCAAATATTTATTGAACTCACTACTCAATTAAAAAGTATTGTTAATTAATGTAATAGTTTGATCTCTCTTTTTTTAATTATTAGCAATTTCTCCTTATTAATAGCAGTAATAGAATGTTTGCTATTTCTTGGATCAAATATCTTCAAGAACATTAGATAATAAAATGTTGCTTGAAAATTAATACTAAGCGTTAGATTACAATAATTAGAATAATATATCAATTATAATTTATCATTAATCTATAAATAAATGAAAATACAAATTAGATGAAATGATTTAATTTATAAATATACATATCATTTTCCTAAACTTTTGATAACTTCTGTTGTAAATTGATCTGTTGTAGCATTTCCACCAATATCTTTAGTTTTAACATTCTTGACTTGGATAGTATGTTAAACAGCTCTACAAATTTAATCAGCAAAGTTTGGTAAACCTAGATGTCTTAACAAAAGAGTGGAAGAAACAAGCATAGCGGAAGGATTCACAACATTTTTACCTAGAATACATAATATTAGTACCTGCAATATCTCTTCCTGTATGTCTACAACCTTGAGAAAAGAGAGCATGATCTTTACCAATTGATGCTCCTGCAGCCATACCCACTCCCCCAGTGATACCAGCTACAACATTTTGTACAATTGATCCATACAGATTTGGCATAACCATCACATCGAATTGTGTTGGATTTTTGACCAATTACATGCAACAATTATCAATAATCATCTCTTCATATTTAATGAATGAATATCTTTGAGCCACTTCTCTACAGGCTTATAAAAACAGACCATCGACTAGCTTCATGATATTTGCTTTGTGAACAGCTGTGACCTTCTTTCTACCGCTAAGATGAGCAAATTCAAATGCGTATTCAGCAATTCTTAAGGATGCTTATTTTGTAGTCACTTTGATCGATTCAACTACTCCTGGATAGACTTCGTGTTCCACACCAGAGTATTCACCTGCGATAGTTAGCATTATAATAGATTACCTTCAGTATTTTCTCTTATCACCACTATGTCTGTATTATTATGTCTTTATACTATTCCTTCGAAAGAAAAGGCAAATGTAATATTGGAATACAAGTCTAAGTATTTATAGAACTTGTAATTGTCAGTGTATTTCTAATTCTTTTCTGTCATCACACCCAAAAGAATGCATTCATTTTTTCTTAGTTGCTTCTTAGATTCGTCATTCTCAAAATTGAAATTGTCCAACACATCGAATTTGATTGGAACATGCAATTCTTCAAAGATGGTTCTTACACTATCTAATAATTCTAATAATTTCTTACTTGTTATTTCAGGTCCGATTCCTACTCCAGGTATTAAAGTGACATTCTTTAAAGCACCTTCTCCAGGCTTTTATAAATAGTTTTAAGACCAAGCACCCCTGAGTTAATGATGTTAACGAAAAGCTGATCTAATACAATTTCTCATAATTAAATTTTTATAAAAATATTTGATATTATGATTTTGTATTTAAGAACCCCCATATCCTAGAATAATTCATATTATTATTATAAATTATTATTATATAATTTTATTATATATGGCATAACAAAATATATATAAATTTTATAACTCTATTCAGTTAATCATTTTACTTCATTTATCTCTAGCCATGCAAGTAAACAAACTAGCAATCCTCTAGAATACAGTTCTATTATTATTATCACTTTGTTATTAAGGAACGATTTGCTAGGGATTACAACTCGCTTGAGTTTCGTCAGAATACGAGTTTGAAGACTCCTCCACCTTCATCTAATTTAGATCTACTCTTGTTATAAATGGATGCAAAAGTATCTGGTTCAAAGTAATCCTCTCCTTTGGATTTGGATTCAACATTTTTTAAATTAAGTCTTTTGCAAATTGGTCTACAATCGTAAACCTTGGCTCTGTGAACAGTAGAATCTACTCCACCATTTCTGCTTCAGTACCTACCCTATCTTTATTTCGTACCTGATATTATTGGTTTCTTCTCAAGCATCCAATAGAGCAGGCATCCCAAACTCCAAATGTCAACAGAATAAGATTATGGAAAATTCCTTAAGATTTCTGGAGCCATGAACTCATATGTGCCACTAAAATTGCTAATAATGTCAATATGGGTAGCCAAACCAAAATCACATAATTTTACATTGTTTTTGTGATCTAATAACACATTGCTTGGTTTAATGTCTCTATGAATTATGCCCTGTGAATGTAAATATTTCAAGGCATTGCATAATTGTACTACTACCTATTTTGGATCTATTTACAGATCTGTTGTCAAATGTCCATGTTCTAAACTATATATCAATTACATACTTGCATATTCCAATATTAAAAATAAATCATCATCTTTCTCTAAAAATTGTAGCAATTAAATTATATTTTTATGTTTAAGTAGCTTATGAATTTTGAGTTCCCTGTTCCCAATATATTTGTTGATTTTTTTTATTGCAAAATTATATCCATTCTGTTATTTTAGGTAAACATACCCAAAACTCCCTGAACCTATCAAATTCATCTCTTCATTCAATTAACTTAAAGAGAGTTTTGGAACTAGTTCGAATTATCCATTACACACTAAATAATGGTATGCCTCCCTACCAAATTACAAATCATTATTTACCAATCAAAATCTCTACATTTTGATGAACAATAAAACACACTTGAACAACTATCACAAGTTATTTGATTTCCATTTAATATTGAATTATAAGGAATATTCTTGCTGCATTTCGAATTTTAGCAATTCATTTGAAGTTTCGGAAAGAAAATTTATTAAACTAAAATAACAAATACATTTTAAATGTATAGTAATTCATACACTTATAATCACAATTGGTATATATTCCAACTCTTTTTTCATCTATTCATTGCATCTCTACCATTTCTTAGATTAGAATTAGCTTTTTTCTATATGACTTCAGAATTTTATTTGATAATTATTTTCCTTTTACTTGTAATTACTATTATTTTCCTTAAAAAATTAAAATCCGTGAACTTTGATAAGTCTTTTAATTAAATACAAGAATTTTTTATAAACTAATTTAGAATTCCAATAATACTTTAGTTTATATCTCATTAGCCTTTTTCCACACATGTATTGGTTAATCTTTACATTAATTGCTATTATTTAAAATACAATTTTGATATAACAATTACTATTGAAAACAGTAAATATTTAAAGTTGTTTCATCTAATCAAATTGTTATGAGTATTTTATTAAACTTATTCAATAATATATACTTGTAATCAATTAAGTAGTTCTGATGATAAACAAATTTCTATAAAAGTGGTATATTTTTATGAATTATATCAAGAATGTGTATTTAATTGTCTTTTTTTTAATGAATAAGTGTTGGAAAACTTCTCAATTTTAATAAAATTCTAAATATCATTATATAAAATCTGAAGAAATCAATTTTTGTAATCTAAACATACTTGAGAAAATGATTGAAAACTTATAGTAAACTTTGTTATTTCTTATTAAAAGAAAGATATCTCTAGTAAATTAATTATTGATTTAGCTATAAATTTATATTTATTATAATAATTCAGATAAGTCTGAATACACATATGAACTCAACACCTGTTGGAACAAGAGTCAGAAATAATAGAGAATCAATGTCAAATATAACTATCAATAAACTACTGCTTCCGAATAATTTAAAATTGAAGAAATCTCATTAGAATTCTTAGAGTCAGCAAATTTTGGATTAACAAATAGATGAAAATGTATTTTATATTCCGAAATAAACTTTGAGAAGAGCTAAATATTCAGAATAAAATAGTAAACTGCTTTCTATTATTCTTAGTAATGACAAGCTCAACAGCAGGAAAATCATTGCAATCCCAACTAATTGGTAAGTTTTTGAATGAAAATATCATAAAATTCCATTAAATAAAGTCTCGAAAGTAAATTGCCATTAAAGACTTAGTATCATCTTCAAAAACCTATCACGCAACAAAGAAAGATGGGAATATAAACACAGAACCAAATTAAGTTAGATAATCTCTCCCTTTTATGCCTCAATTGAAATCATCCTAAATAATTGATGATCAATATAAATTCACTTTTTATAGTCCGAAGACTTAGGAGAATAAACTTAGATTGCCTAAAGAATTCTAAATTCAACCCTGTAGTAAGAAAAAATATTTTATATGAGTAAAGCAATGAATCTAATAATTATATATATAATATAATTTTTAATTGCAAAATCTTCAAGAATTTCATGTCTGCTAAGAAAATAACATCTCCGCAAACTAATAGATGTCACCCCACCAGCAGAGGCCATGATATTAAAACCATTTAAAAATTAGAATTTTTTACAAGTACAAATGCCAAAATAAATAAGGTATTCAAGTATAAGGGTTATTAGTTATCAGAGCAGTAAACATCAGTTAACTTCTGTTACAGAACAAATACAAGTGAACTGCTTGACAAATAAGGTCTCTTTAAAAAATGGTCAAAATAATGATAGAGAAAAAATAATTAATTAATTACTACAGGAGAACCTAAAATTGAAGGAATAGAATGATCAGAAAAATAAATTAATAGAGATGTTGATTGATGAAAGAACAGATATAAAAAGAGTTACAAGTCTTCATATTCCTCATATTCCTCATGAAAGAGATATTTAACAGTCAAAAACAAATTTTAGACTATAAAGTCCAAATCATATGGAATTTACATTTTATAAAAGTCCTAGTAGAGGGTTACCCAAAGAATTCTAAATAACTCCTTCTCGGAAAATGTTTTTTTGAGAAATAATAAATACTGATATTTTCATAAATGTTTGCTCTATAATTATGCAAATTCAATAAAATATCATCATAAACCATTATTTAAATATGGTAACAAGAACTAAAAATGAATTTTAAACACTAGTAAAATCAGTAATTAATTAAATTAGTTATAAATAAAAAAATTGATTCATATTACTAATGCTTAATTTTTTATTATATAATTAATTATAACAATAGAAACTCTAAATATTTTAAACTAAAAACTAAATTCTCTAAATATTAGACAAAATATTAAAATTTTCAAACTAATTTTTTGAATGGACAGGGATTAGGAAACAAAAAAGTTGCGCCGTTAAAGCGAATTATAAAATTTACAATGCATTTCTTCAACTGATGCAAAAATGGAAGAACTTGATTCATTTTGGAACTATAATCTTAAGTAGAGTTGCTCTGTTAATATAGAGGATCTATTCTAGATTTAAATGGAGGACAATAGTACTCTTGAATAAATAGCTTCAAAGATGAAAATATTCTTAAAACCACAAATTGAAAATGTAAAATTTAACTTTATGATTAGTTTTTAAAAGTGAATCGAAGAAATGTTAAACTAATCAAATATCCAAAAGCATAATGGAACACCAATTTGAGTATTTAGAAAAAGGATGTCAATTAATTATACTTCTCCGATTAATAGGCCGTATTTCAAACAAATGAAAATTAAGTTATTATTCACAATATTGCGCCATAATTAATACATTAATATACAAATTATTTAAAAATAGATCAAAATATTAAAGTATAAATGTGTATCTAAAATAGAGATAAGAAACACAAGATCTAAATTTTAAGTACAACTTTACTTCGGAATTAAGAGAAAAATATAAACTTGACATTCTCAAAGTCAACAAAGAATTATGGAGATCTTAAGAAGGGATCAATTAAATGATTCTGCTTAATAAGAAATATGCCCTAAATCAAATGGACTTTAGTAAGATTATTATAATTAAATTCTAGTTTAAATTTATTCTTAATATTTATATTTAATTGAAAAAAAGAATATTTCAAAATTAACTTTAAATGAAATTTTTGATTACCTCTAACAATAACTAATTAAAAAGAATGTAAACATAGAAATAAATCTAAATTCATTAATATAGATCTACCTACAACTTTAAAACAAGTAGTTTTCTCAAATTAAGCAAACAATATTCTAAAAAATTAATTTCATTTAACAATTTGATTTAACCGCAATTTAGAATCTATCATTTAAATCATTTAGAACAAATAGATATATAGAAGCAGACTTAGCATATATTTGCAATTCATGCTCATAATTCTTAAATTAATGTACTTGCACATTCATTAACAAATTGGCTTAAATAAGAAACCTATTAGACTTTTGCAGCATTGTAAATTATAAGGGACCCTCTAGAAAACCTGCTTGGTACTATGATATTTTAAAAGCTAATGTATAAAGAAGTTGCGGTGAAGGGTGTTACAAAAACTAAAACAATTTTGAGTTATTAAAAAAGAAACCGAGTAATAATTAGTTGATTGAAGAATATTAACCAATAAAAATTGATAGAGATCCATGCTTATTAACTTAAATCTATAATTAGGATTGTTTGTCTATTTTTATACAAGCAAGATATCGATACAAGGAAATAAAAGAACAATACTTATAAACAATAAAATAAATACAAGAAAATCAAGATTAAGAGGCACTAATTAATTATCCTTTTAATAATGCAAATTTATATATTCCATGTTCTCATAAATAGGATTTTAAATGTCAAAATTGCAATTGTGATTAATTTTGCTCAAAATACTGTGATTGTTAATAAGGTTGCTGTACTAAAAAGCTGTAAGGATGTACATGTAAAGAGAGATGCTCTATTGATAGTAAATGTTCTTGTAGAATCGACAATGTGGAATGTGATCCTTTAATATGCAAATGCTGTAATGTTGATTCAAATTTTGTTTGTTCCAATATCCAGATTTTAATTAACAATGTCTAGCCTACTTTATTGGGAAGATCTGGCGTTTGTAACGGGCTTGGAGTATTCGCAAGAAATTATATAATGAAGGATGAATTAATAATTTTATATATTGGAGAAGTACTAATTGATGATGAAGACGAAATTCGAGATCAATTTGATGATACATTTACATTTTATAACTATTAATTAAATGAAGATAAATATTCATTGGAAAGTAGATTTTGTGGAAATGAAAGCAGATTTATTAATCACAATAGTTAAAATTTAATGAATTGTAAAACCAGACAGATATTTTCTTCAGGTACTAAAATAATTTCATTTTAGGAAAATTTCAACTAGCAATTTATGCTCTTACAGAAATTTCTCCATAACAAGAGATATTGTTGAATTATAATGAAGGCGATCAAATCAATAAAGATCTAAATAATTGGGTTGACATCAACTCTTAGTATTGGAATTATAAGCAAACTACTTTCATTGGATAAAAATGATTTATAATTTTTGTGATTATTTAAAGTAATATCATTAAAATTAATTATCCTTCAATTTTAGGGATTAAACGAGAGCTTCTCATAGGCAGATAGATACTTTCTTAAATGAGTGAGAGAGTTATTGCAAATATAAAGTAACTAGTAATTATATATTTAATTATTTACTTAATATTTTTGAATTAAAACTTGAATCAGTTAGAGTAACCTCTTTGTGAAGTTTTCTTGTTTGAAATGATAGAGATTGACTACCAAATGCACTATGTCTTCATATTTTGTTTGCTGTTCAAGTAGACTCTATTCTCTCATATTACAAAATTCAATAATTGTTTTTAAGTTCGCTTTTTTTAAAGCTTAATAATCTTCCTATTCCAAAGGGACATAACCATAACAGATATTTTTATTGAGTTAAAATACCATCTGTTTTAGTTTAGCAAGACCATCAGAGAAAATGAGTAGGGCATCTTTATGGTATTATACTAAAATTAGATATTACTACTGTTTACATTGACAATTTAAGTCAGCTCTATAAACTGGACTAGAAAACTCACTCTTTGTTATTATGTGGTATTAATATTGAATTTAAGAGTCATTAATGTTGGTAAGGAATTTTGATTATGATATCCCATCCTTATTTTTCATTCGAACTCTTCTTTAAAATTGACCCATTGAAATCGAAGACCCAGAAATGTAAATATCGAAATTCTGTGGGTTTACACATTGAAAACATATTTTTCTGTGGTTCCATACGTCATTTGAATTCTTATTAGTAACTCTGTTAGGCCCTGATTCCCATTATATTTTTTAAACTTTTTCATACTGAGAAATAAAATATTTATATTCCATCAAATGATAAGCCACTTCAGCTGTCCAAATATCGTTCTAAATATGAAAAAAATTATACCTGAGTCCAAGTCATTCGAATTGCTTGTTCTGGATTCCATTGTCCCATATATTTTGATTTGCCAGAAATATACAAGGCCTGACCAAATTCAGTCTTATAATGGATTTATAATCGGATCATATTTACTATTTATTATTAATTACAAAGGATTTATTTTAGTTGGTTATGATGATAATAATAATACGCAAATTTTACACGAGCAATTTTTATAAAAATGATATAATATGAAATATTAAAAAATAATATAAAAATTGTATAATATCCTAATTCAATAAGTAAAAACTGATTAGATATTTGGTTTTGGTGATTTCAGATTTCGAGAATGATCTAATCATGCATTTAAAATTTATCTATATATCTTTATAATCAATTATATATTCATGATATCTGAGATACTTTTATCTTTTTAAGATTATTCTTAATTTATTATATAATTTCTAATAAACATATTTCCATTAATTTTTGTAAATAAGTATAAATCTATAATTTTGTTTGTTTATCAATCCTCGAGCTTCTTTCTATTATTAATTCATTTAATGAAGACGCACTCTTAAAAAACATCTAGAGCCAGTACAATAAATCATCATTCACCTTGTTTTTTTGCTTTAAGTAATCCTTATATACCACCATGAACTGTTCCTTTAACTCCAAAGATAACGATGCTATTTCTGCCTCAGGTGTAAACCTATATAACACAGTCATCTATAGATATAAATATGACACACTTTATCGATTGCAGCAACAGCATTTTTGAATAGAGCTGCCTTATATTTATGTTCTGGTTCTGAATTAAATATCTTAGGCTTAAACATTACATATTAGGTAATGAGTCCCCCTTTTACAAGCAATACATTCCATCTTTTTATTAGAAAACTCACCTATTATATTGTATTATAATCACCTTCTCCTCTAACTTATCAATGTGGTGGATTTATTCAAGCGATTCATTGAGTGCTGGTTTGCAATCGTTCAATCTATAAGGATTCAATTAGCATAAGTCCAAACATTACTAACATCTTTCTATAAATTTTTCAATGTTCTTGCTCACCTTTCCCAATGAGTTTAGTAGAATGATGGTCTTGGTATAGCATTCTGCTTATTCAAAATGAGAATTTGAATGAGCACCTTTCCGAAATAGAATAAGAGCGTTGCCTAGAGTAATGTTGTTACTTGTCTCTTCTTATAATTCAATCAAGAATTGATCAATTTTTTAAATCATAATTTAATTATATTTTTATTGCATTTATGATATCATTATCTGCATATCGTTTATATGCACAGCCTTTTGTCTGGATTCTTTATACTAAAGTTATATTTAAAGCAAAACAATTGATAAATTCGATTGCGAGAATATATAAAAATAATGTTATATTTTATTTCCCAAAAAATTAATAAAAATATATTTATTTATTCAAAAATCTCTTGCAAATTAATTCAATACTGTTCTTCTAATAAATTGAAGCAAGAGCTTATTGTAATCAATTTTTGGTTTGCCTTAAAGTGTGTATTTAATTTAAGGGCTTATTGCAAAATTTGAATATGATATATGTTAGTTTAAATTACCATTTTTTAAATATAATAGCAGATATTGAAGCCAAATCAATAATATTGATCAAATTTTAGAATGGCTCTATTGATTTTCTCTTTATTCATATATAGAACTTATATTTCATAAATTATTCTTAAATTATATACCCTTTAGTTGGAGTGTTCAAAGCAAATAAAGTGATTAAGTAGTTGTGAATTATAATTATCAATGAAATCTATAATATTATAATAGTACTACAGGTTGAGAATATTTAATAGCATTCATTATAAAAAGTTCATAATTATTAATAAAAAACGAAATATGGATATTAGATTAAGGCAGCAATCAGCCATGACCTATTAAGAATACTTAAACTATTTTAATAAAGAGCCAGATTCTCCTCGAATTCAGTAATAATATTTTTAAACAGGATAGCCCCAAGGATAGTCCAGTAGAACCTTTATCAGATTTAGAGTTGAGTCCTGTTTAGGAGAAACATCGAAATAAGCTAACAGTGTAGAGCTGTAAAGTCATCAAAATTAATTCAAAACTATGATTATCAACTTTATATAGTTAGGTATGTTCAACTAAAAAAGAATTTATTTTAAGATAAGATATGTAAAAATATATGTGACTAATGGATATTGGTAAGATCATCACTTTTAAATACAGTTAAAGCTTATTCTCTAATTCTAAGCTCTTTAGTGGGTGTATTCTTTAAATTATTGTAGATATGGTTTCTCTGCATATATTAAATTTTGTAATTTAAGTTTTGCTGTCTATAGTTTTCATCAACTTCTTATAGTCTCTAAATTTATTTTATTAAATCTGTCCTTCTTATTTCATTTAGGTCTTATTTAAGTCTCACTTTATGCTGTCAATTCAACATTAAATTTATTGTGTTATCTTTTGAATTCAGCAAATTTAGCATCTAGTTATTCAAGATTACTCTTAGTGATCAGCTTAAACATCAGCATCCGCATTTGTTTAAGTTTTATTGAATTATTAATGCTCTCCTGAATTCATTATTAGCACTGACAATTTAGCAGATGATTACTTAATCAGAGGAGTTTAATTGAAAATCTACCTAATTAAAGCTTAGATCATAAGAGCATATATTGATTTAAGCTATGATCAATATTCTTCAATAAATTTTAATCACTTAAGTTAGAAAATGAGTAGATTAGTAAGTGATAAAGAAGGACAGGATAATTTTCTAAAGCAGTTGCTGTAAAACTTATTTCTACGACTTAAATTTCAAAGCTCTCTTGTTTTTATTGACTTCTAGAAACTGATTACTCATAGTTTTTTATTGGTTTCTTAGTATTCTTGAGTTTAATGAATTCTATTTTTAAGTTATTCTCTTCTTGATTAATGTGAGCTGTTCAAAGTACTTTATGCATGTTTATGTCATAATTTTATTTTATAGTCTTAACAATTATTTGCATCCTAATATCTTATTCAAGACTAAGAACTGATGTTTGGTGTTAGTATGCTTTATCTTAAGGTACAATTCTAAATCATCTACCTCATCTTATAGGTCATAGTTATGTTCATGAATAGAATCCAACTATTCTTGTACTGGTTCTTAAACCATTAGTGAAGTTCAACCAAATAAAAGTGTGACTTCCAAAGGCACTCTTTTTCAATTCAGTTGTTATTTCAACAGTTTCTTTTTCTATATTTTAGCAGAGTATGTAATAGCAATTAACACTATAAGCAACACTTTTTTCATTAAAATAATTAAGGAAAATATAGATAGAAATTATAGTAACAAAACGACTATCATATATTCAAATTGGCTATTATTAAAAAAGCATTTAGAAATGAACTTTTTGAAAAGCTCAATCAATCTATTCAACAATTTTAATACATTTTTATTTTCAAAAACAAGTCAATTTATTAAAATATTTACTTTTATATTTCTATCCTCAGTAAAAATTCAAAATCTCATAGGATAATTAATTTAGATTATTTTTTATTTAGAAGCTTATCTTAATATAAAATGTTGAAATCTTGTTCATTTGTAATAAATAATTAATTTATAAAATTATTAAAAATTCACCATATCATATTTTTTTTAAAGGCAGCTCTTTTCAGTATTTCATTCAAATTAATTTTATCAATATTTTCTCAAATCTCTTATTAAAGTACCTTTAAAGAAACAAATTTAAACAACCTTTCTCATCTAACAATGGGTTCTCTTTAAATATATATATCAGATAATCGAATAAGTTCTAAAAGTTAATTAAAATTTATATTTCAACTTATATAACTTTTAAAGCTATTATCAAATCAGCTGTTATTAATTAATTATGAATTGTGAATCCTATTCAACTGTGGTTTATTCAATTTTCTTTGATAAATTTCTACATCATTAAATTTGATGATAAAATTTGCCATATTCATCAAAATGTAAAATGATTACTTTATCAATTAATTTCTTCTCAAGAAAATCTTCCAATTCATATAAATTTTAATTTAATTATTTATGCCTCATTGTGGAAGCAAAAAATAATTCCTTTGGTTACATTAATTAATAATATCAAATAAAGACCTTTATTCTTAAACTTGAATTGTGACCATAACCTAGTATATTTACCAAATAAGCTGCTTATACAGAAAACAAAAAAGCCTTTAAAAGAAACTTACAATTAGTAAACACAAAGATCTCATTATGCAATTGCTCTTAGCTTACCTGTTAAATATTAACTTTGTATTAATACAGCTTGTATTATTGAAAATAAAAGGTAATATCAGAGAAAGGAGAGCAACAAGTAGATAATAAACATGAGCAGTTTTTTTGATAAGAAATTTCAATAAAATAAACTTTTGATTTCTAGGCTATTACTTACCTCTTTAAAAGCTCACTATATTCTTAAATTAACACATAATACTACTGAAATGCCTTCAAAACAATAATTTATTGCTTGTCTTCTTGATTAACAACTAATCCACAGAGAAAAATGATAAGCCTTACTCCATTTATTATATTAGAATATTTTTTTTAAACAGAAGCAGAAAGATGAAATTTATATAAGAATAAAGTCAAACCCAACAGAATGTAAAGCATGTTGTTAAAAGTTATCGAAATAACCTTAGTTATTTTTCACAATAAAATTTGATACAAGCAGATGGATAGAATTTGAACATTTTAGGCTTAGATAGAAGATGGATTAGTTATTGTATTGTAGATAAATAGGATATCGTAAGACAAATACTAGAATAAGAGATCGACCAAGAAAAGGTTTGCTAATGATTTATGTAAGTGAAGGTAAATCAAATAACTAGTGAAGAGTTTAATAAAGATGTTCATAATTTACTCAAAGTTTACAATCATATTATGATATATATTTCAGTTATATTATTAAAAATATACCTGAATAATTTAGATTAAAAGAAATTTAACTCAGGATAAAGGCTTGGTTATTGATAGTAACAATTATATCATTTTTAATAATTCTATGATATCAAGGAATATGAGATTGAATTGGAGGTTAGATCATAATTATATCACTTAAAAAATAAATAGGGAACCACATATAAATCTCCATAAAAATTGCCATTTTATTCAAACATTGTATTGCTTGGAACCGATTCTGTTTTACTCAATTAAAAGGATTCTCTTGAAGTCTGCACACACTTTAATAAAGAATATGAGATAAATGTAAATAGAAGATAGAAATACAAGTTACCTTAGATCGATATGGGATAAAAGTTGAAAAGCCAACAGAGCCTCCACAATTTAGCTTTCCTCATCTTTTAAGTTTCCATATTAATGAAAGTAGGTAATCTTCATAAAAAATTGTAGAATTCGTATTAAATTTGTTAATTTTCTAATTTAAGTAATATAATACAGATTATTTAGAGAATTCTAAATCTAAAAAATATTGTCAGAACCTTAAATAAGGAAATAGTCTTACTATTTATGTGTATATTAGATCGATATGAAAATCTAAGCCCAATAAAAATTTTATTCTTAATTTACTAAATTAATAAACTTCTATAGAGCTTAAAGTCTTTCTAGCAAGTAATATTGATTCACGATTCTTTTTTTTCTGCAACTTCATGATTATAAAATATAGCATGATGCTTATTTTCACAATAGGTATTAAGCAAGTATTTCAATAATAAATAAAAACGGATTATAATATTTATTATGAATAAATTTTCATTAGTCTTGCTACTTATTGTCTTCGCAAGCTCTTCTGATTTGGAAAATTAGATTTCTTTAGGAAGAGGTACTCTTTTAACTAACAAGAATAGAGTTAAAATTCTAAGAAGCAATACATCTGAGTCCAAATCGGTTCACATGTGAAATGGATCCGAAATTTTATGACTTTATTATAATGGAACTATCAAAATGGTCAGATATTATTGATAGAAAGCCACAACTAATGAAGGATTTAACAGTTATTGAATAAATAATTAAATTAGTAGATAAAGCTAAATATATAGATGCTGCATAATAAGGTACACTAATTTAACTTAAGTAGAAATGTTTATTTAAATAACTCAAAGTCTTTCAGCTTCTATAAGAGAGATTTCAATGGCTGAAATAAAAAATCAATGGGCGTAATTTAACATTGATGAGGTCTTACAATAGATGAAAAAATTATCAGCATTAACAAATGTTTAGGAAAAAAGCTTGATGGGAGATTAAATAGTGGGTCAATTATAGATCATGGAGAAATAAATAAACATCTACTTAAATGAATGTTAAGGCTATTCAAGCAGCGCTGAACTTTAAGAAAAAGTATAACAACTAAAAAATTAAAAAAATAAATGTGGGTGGTCATATGACAATGAATTTTAAGGTTCGACCAGATTGCCACCAGGAAGATCAGATTAGCCAGAATCCTCTGATCCTTAGCATGATACACAATCAGTTCATTAGTAAGCTGCTAATCAAGACAAACCATTTTAATCAAATCCAAATTATGAAGGAAATTAAAAGGAAAATAAATAATAGTCAACTAGATTACCACCAGGAAGATCTGATTAGCCAGAATCTACAGACCCTAAGCATGATACTTAATCAGTTCATCAATAAGCTGCTAATCAAGATTAACCATATTAAGCAAATCCAAATTATGAGGGAAGTCAAAAGGAAAATAAGTAATAGTCAACAAGATTACCACCAGGCAGATCAGATCAACTAGAATCCTCTGATCCTAAGCATGATACTTAATCAGTTCATTAATAAGCTGCTAATCAAGATAAACCATTTTAATCAAATCCAAATTACGAAGGAAGTCAAAAGGAAAATAAATAATAATCAACAAGGTTACCACCAGGTAGATCAGATTAACCAGAATCTTCAAATCCATAGCATGACACTTAATCAGTTCATTAATAAGCTGCTAATCAAGATAAACCATTCTAATCAAATCCAAATTACGAAGGAAGTCAAAAGGAAAATAAATAATAATCAACTAGATTGCCACCCGGAAGATCTGATTAGCCAGAATCTTCAGATCCTAAACATGATACTTAATCAGTTCATCAATAAGCTGCCAATTAAGACAAACCATTCTAATCAAATCCAAATTATGAAGGAAGTTAAAAAGAAAATAAATAACAATCAACTAGATTACCACCAGGAAGATCTGATCAACCAGAATCTTCAGACCCTAAGCATGATACTTAATCAGTTCATTAATAAGCTGCTAATTAAGATTAACCATTTTAAGCAAATCCAAATTATGAAGGAAGTCCAAAGGAAAATAAATAACAATCAACTAGACTGCCACCAGGAAGATCTGATCAACCAGAATCCTCTGATCCTAAGCATGATACTTAATCAGTTCATCAATAAGCTGCTAATCAAGATTAACCATATTAAGCAAATCCAAATTATGAGGGAAGTCAAAAGGAAAATAAGTAATAGTCAACAAGATTACCACCAGGCAGATCAGATCAACTAGAATCCTCTGATCCTAAGCATGATACTTAATCAGTTCATTAATAAGCTGCTAATCAAGATAAACCATTTTAATCAAATCCAAATTACGAAGGAAGTCAAAAGGAAAATAAATAATAATCAACAAGGTTACCACCAGGTAGATCAGATTAACCAGAATCTTCAAATCCATAGCATGACACTTAATCAGTTCATTAATAAGCTGCTAATCAAGATAAACCATTCTAATCAAATCCAAATTACGAAGGAAGTCAAAAGGAAAATAAATAATAATCAACTAGATTGCCACCCGGAAGATCTGATTAGCCAGAATCTTCAGATCCTAAACATGATACTTAATCAGTTCATCAATAAGCTGCCAATTAAGACAAACCATTCTAATCAAATCCAAATTATGAAGGAAGTTAAAAAGAAAATAAATAACAATCAACTAGATTACCACCAGGAAGATCTGATCAACCAGAATCTTCAGACCCTAAGCATGATACTTAATCAGTTCATTAATAAGCTGCTAATTAAGATTAACCATTTTAAGCAAATCCAAATTATGAAGGAAGTCCAAAGGAAAATAAATAACAATCAACTAGACTGCCACCAGGAAGATCTGATCAACCAGAATCCTCTGATCCTAAGCATGATACTTAATCAGTTCATCAATAAGCTGCTAATCAAGATTAACCATATTAAGCAAATCCAAATTATGAGGGAAGTCAAAAGGAAAATAAGTAATAGTCAACAAGATTACCACCAGGCAGATCAGATCAACCAGAATCCTCTGATCCTAAGCATGATACTTAATCAGTTCATNAGGTAATCTTCATAAAAAATTGTAGAATTCGTATTAAATTTGTTAATTTTCTAATTTAAGTAATATAATACAGATTATTTAGAGAATTCTAAATCTAAAAAATATTGTCAGAACCTTAAATAAGGAAATAGTCTTACTATTTATGTGTATATTAGATCGATATGAAAATCTAAGCCCAATAAAAATTTTATTCTTAATTTACTAAATTAATAAACTTCTATAGAGCTTAAAGTCTTTCTAGCAAGTAATATTGATTCACGATTCTTTTTTTTCTGCAACTTCATGATTATAAAATATAGCATGATGCTTATTTTCACAATAGGTATTAAGCAAGTATTTCAATAATAAATAAAAACGGATTATAATATTTATTATGAATAAATTTTCATTAGTCTTGCTACTTATTGTCTTCGCAAGCTCTTCTGATTTGGAAAATTAGATTTCTTTAGGAAGAGGTACTCTTTTAACTAACAAGAATAGAGTTAAAATTCTAAGAAGCAATACATCTGAGTCCAAATCGGTTCACATGTGAAATGGATCCGAAATTTTATGACTTTATTATAATGGAACTATCAAAATGGTCAGATATTATTGATAGAAAGCCACAACTAATGAAGGATTTAACAGTTATTGAATAAATAATTAAATTAGTAGATAAAGCTAAATATATAGATGCTGCATAATAAGGTACACTAATTTAACTTAAGTAGAAATGTTTATTTAAATAACTCAAAGTCTTTCAGCTTCTATAAGAGAGATTTCAATGGCTGAAATAAAAAATCAATGGGCGTAATTTAACATTGATGAGGTCTTACAATAGATGAAAAAATTATCAGCATTAACAAATGTTTAGGAAAAAAGCTTGATGGGAGATTAAATAGTGGGTCAATTATAGATCATGGAGAAATAAATAAACATCTACTTAAATGAATGTTAAGGCTATTCAAGCAGCGCTGAACTTTAAGAAAAAGTATAACAACTAAAAAATTAAAAAAATAAATGTGGGTGGTCATATGACAATGAATTTTAAGGTTCGACCAGATTGCCACCAGGAAGATCAGATTAGCCAGAATCCTCTGATCCTTAGCATGATACACAATCAGTTCATTAGTAAGCTGCTAATCAAGACAAACCATTTTAATCAAATCCAAATTATGAAGGAAATTAAAAGGAAAATAAATAATAGTCAACTAGATTACCACCAGGAAGATCTGATTAGCCAGAATCTACAGACCCTAAGCATGATACTTAATCAGTTCATCAATAAGCTGCTAATCAAGATTAACCATATTAAGCAAATCCAAATTATGAGGGAAGTCAAAAGGAAAATAAGTAATAGTCAACAAGATTACCACCAGGCAGATCAGATCAACCAGAATCCTCTGATCCTAAGCATGATACTTAATCAGTTCATCAATAAGCCGCTAATCAAGATTAACCATATTAAGCATCTCCAAACTATGAAGGAAGTCAAAAGGAAAATAAATAATAGTCAACAAGGTTACCACCAGGTAGATCAGATTAACCAGAATCTTCAAATCCATAGCATGACACTTAATCAGTTCATTAATAAGCTGCTAATCAAGATAAACCATTCTAATCAAATCCAAATTATGAAGGAAGTTAAAAAGAAAATAAGTAATAGTCAACTAGATTGCCACCTGGAAAGTCAGATTAACCAGAGTCCTCTAACCCCCTACATGATCATTAAACAGCACATTAATAAACAGCAAATCAAGAAAATAAATTATAAGGAAACCTTATACATGATGAAAGCAAATCAACTTCCACAAGATTGCCTCCTGGTAGATATGATCAACCAGAATCATCTAATCCAATTCATGATAAATAAACTTCTCATCAACAAGCTGCAAATTAGGATAAACCATTTTAATCCAATCCTAACTATAAAGATGCTTCTGCAACTGATGAATCTTCTGCAAAACCCACTCATAATTCGAACAATTAACATGTCACTGTTAATTCAGCAGGAAATTCAAATTCCCATGCTGGAATTTACGAAGAACCATTCCAAGGTAATCCAAATTATAAGGAGGAAAAACCAGTGAAAATAATTGAAGATGAAGGTTTTGGATCTGGCTTACATAATGCTTATGATGAAAATGAATGTCCATAAGGAGAAGAAGATGATACTCCAATCAATTATGAAGAAGAAGAGGTACCAGAATAACCTGAACCTGAAGATTAAGAAGCTCCTGAAGAAACTGAGAAAGAAGACTCAAAACCAGAGGAAGAATAAAAAGGCGAGGAGGAGGAAAAACCAAAATAAGAACCAGAAGTTTAGAAGCCTAAGGAGGAAGAAAAATAACCTATTCCAGAAATTCCTCCTGATGATGATGAACCTCCAGTTGAAGGAGAGGTTATAAAAACAGAGGGAGTTGGCTCATCAGTGGATGGTAGAGTAGGCTAACAAGTTTAAAATTCTTAAGAATAAGAAGGGGAAGAACCTGAAGAAATTGATGTAGAAGTAGATGAAGAGGTTGATGATGGCAAAGGAGGTAAAAAAATAGTCAAGAAAATTATAAAAAAGGCTGTCAAAAAAAATAAATAGAGATCTGCAAAGCTTGTAAAGGGTTCAAAAAGAACATAGAAAAAATCAACAAAGCCAGGGTCGAAATAGAAGGTCATAAATAAAAAAGCTGGACAATAAAAAAAAAAAGTAAAGTCTAAATCAGGAGGAAATGGGGATGGAGAAGAATATTGGGAAGAAACTGAGGAAACATTTGAAGTAACAGAAGACGGCAAGGAAACTTTAGTTTCCTCAACAACAAAATCATCTGCATAAAAAAAATTACTTTTTAATGCTATTGGTGATACTTCTATTGATTTGAATATTTCAAATATAAATAACGAAGAAGATAATTCTGTAGAAGATTATTATTAATAGGATACCTTTTATGAAGAATTAGATGATAGAATTATATATTATGAATATGATCCAGTTGATAAAGTTTTTAGATAGGCTGATATAATTTTAAAGCCTTAATAATAAAGATCTTTGATGATATCAAATTGGGGTGATCTTTTGGATTATGTTACTGATTTACCAGAAAGTGAGTAAGATTAAGATAAATCAAGTTCAGGTGATCAAAAAGAAACAAATACCATTTCTGATGAAAAATAACAAAATGACAAACAAGTTACATAAAGTAAATAAGAAAACAAGGATTAATAGTAATAATAGTAATAATAACAATAATAAGCATCACAATAGTAATAATAACAAGAATAATAATAATAATAATAATAATAATAATAATAATAATAATAATAATAATAATAATAATAATAATAATAATAATAACAATAATAATAACAATAACAATAACAATAACAATAACAATAACTACAAGAACAAAAACAACAACAACAATAACAATAGTCAGAATAGTAATAATAATAATAATAACAATAACAATAGTCAGAATAGTAATAATAATAATAGTAATAATAAAGCTAGCCTTAGAATCAATAACCATAAGAGTAGTAAAAATAATAATAGGACTAAGGAGAGAAAGATAAGTAAAATGTTAAAATATCTTAATAACAAGAATAATAGCAATAATAGAGCTAATAGCCTACTGAAGTGAAAAAATAAGAAGATAAAAGTTAAGATTCTAAAAAGCAAGGTTAGGCTTAATAAACTAAGGAGAGTTCTTTTGGTGGTGCTATTCAAGATCTCTTAAAGGATGAAAAACAAGCCTTAAAAACTGATTAAAATGAAAAACCAAAACAAAAAGTAGAGCATGATCATGAAAAATCAATAAAGATTAGCTCAATTAAGGAAGAATATAACCCAAATGAACCAACCTAATATGTACCTCCAAAACATAAAGTTAATACAAGGCCTGCAAAAGAAAAAGTTGTTGTACCAGTATCAACTAAATATGTTTCAAGTTCTTTTGATGGGGAACCAGCAGAACAATATGAATTTGCTGATAGAGAAATGCTTTAAGACTCTGATGAATATGGTTATGGTTTTTGGTTAAGATACACTGACAATTTCCCTAAGAAACACTCACGATAGCCTCAATAATATTATTTTATATCAAGATTAACCTCGAATTAGGAATATAAAGATCATACATTTTATGGAGATAGAACCCTCTCAGTGTTTTTATTAGAAAATACTTTTGTCTTTTCCACATATGATCATGGTGATAAAAAGAAAATAAAAGATTAAGTAGTAGCCTTGAATGAAGAATTAGAAAGTATGTGGTACTTCATTACATTTTCTTACAGTTTGGCCAAAAAATCAGCAGTTGGTTATGTAGTGGGATATGGTGATAATGGTAAAGTGTTAAAAACAGAAATTCATTGTTAGCATGTGCCTCCTACCTACTTTAAATTAATAATAGGAGGAAAGCATTTTGCATATGAGGGATTTAATGGATAATTTGCAAATATCTTTTATGATATTGATGCCCCAGCCTTTGTTGATTCTGAAGATAAAATATATCAGCTCATAAAAACAATTAGTAATGCTCCTTAAGCAGTTAGCAGTTTAACTGATTTAGAGATTTTAACAAATCCAAGGTCCTTTGGGGCAAATAATAAAGGTGATTCTGTTGTATTAGATCCATAAGAGTCAAATCTAATAATAGAGGAGTATAGTTTTGCAGGGTGGTTTAGATGGGTAGATGATTTAAAGGTGGATGAGTCAAACACATTCTAAATATTTAATTTGAGATCCACAGATAAAAAGTAGCCAAATAAAGGAGTGTTAGGAGATCGTTCATTGGAAGTTCATTACACTTATGGTGGAGGAGCTAAAAGCACAGTTTACTTTAATACTTATACAATTCAAGGAAACAAAGCCAAAGGAACATCATATATTTCTAAAACAGTTGAATCACCAAATTATACTTGGACATATGTTTACTTTGGTTATGATAATGATTAAATAAAAGCGTATGGAGCATTGATTAGACCAGGATAAGCTGATGAAATCTTATTTGATCCCGTTCAACATAAACTTGTAACTAAATTGCACTTTACTATTGGAGGTGATGACCAAATTTCATCATTCAATGGCAGAATAGGATATGTTGGTGTATATTTGGGACCAGGTGCTTATAAGTCAAGTCTTAATTTTGGTTAATAATTTTTCTATGGAGACGGTGCTATTGGTGTCTATCAATTAGTCAAACCAATTTCATTTTAGGATGATGCCTAGGAGCCAAACGTTATTAGGGATGCTGAATATGATTCAGATAAACCTTTAGTTGATAAA